AAAAAACACATCCAAATTCCCAATTGCCTCCAAAAGTTCAAACCCCAAATCCCCGTTTGTCTCCAAGACTCCGTCTAGGATCTCCATACACCCAAAACTCCCGATTCCCGCATTTTCACCAAGACTTTCCGTCCAAAAGATCCATGTCCCGCAACAAGTTGAGTCCGACAACGCTCGAAGATGTGTCACCTATGGTTGGAATGACACACCCCGCAATCAGCGGAGAGTCCGACGACACTCAAAAACGTGCCACCTATGGCTGGTATGACACATTTTCGCATTTCCTGTATCGTCCAAAAAACAGAGCTCAGATCCGATTAAGGCAGTACTCGCAGATCAGGCGTCCGCAGTCTTCACACTCGTACAAGAAGTGGAGACCATTGCAGATTGCGCACCCGGAGCCGCGTGGGCTTCCATATTCTCTGAGCTCGAAACGCACACAGGTGTGCAGCTCATTGATCCTATTTCGTGGAGGGTTGAGCTGCTCCTCGAGGGTTGCGCGGGGTGGAACTGGGACTCGGCGGCCGGCGTTGTTTCGATTGCGATTGCCTCCTCGATGACGAGGGCCGTGGTCGCGGGGTGGAACTGGAACTCGGCGGCCGGCGTTGTTTCGATTGCGATTGCCTCCTCGATGACGAGGGCCGTGGTCGCGGGGTGGAACTGGAACTCGGCGGCCGGCGTTGTTTCGATTGCGATTGCCTCCTCGATGACGAGGGCCATGGTCGCGAGGCGGCGGCATCACCCATTCGGGGTTGGCGAACTGGTTCCCATGTTCATATTGGGGGCAGAGACAGGTGCGCCATCTCGCTCCGCATCGGTAACAGAACTGTGCACCACAACGACATCTATCACGCATTCACTCGATGTTAGCATACCTGGTCTATCCGTGGGGCAAGTCTCAAGGTTAGTTCTCAGGGGTGCACTCACCTCATGTGATTGCAGCCCCGAGAAAGCTGCACGACTGCCTTGCACGAGTAACACCGTCGCCATCCTTCTTGCTCCGCGAGCGCGAGTGTGGCTTGGATGGCCGGATCCTCGGGACAGTCGGCGTCGAAATGAAATAGGTTCATACATTGAGCACAGGTCAGGTTGAGGCACCCGGTGCAACGGGCCCTGTCTCCTCTGATGAGTTCCGGTCGAATGAAGGCGCCGCACGCAGGATTCCCGCAGTAAACGCGGTGGGCTGTGGTATGTTCGATCTCGCGGTGGTGGAAGGTTTGGATTTCATCCTCGTTCAAGAGGTCCTCGGCGAGTGCAAGACGGATCTCCTGGCCGCAGCACTTCGGTGGAAACAGCGATTCATCGTGGAGGGACTTGATGAAGAGCTGCTTGATGCAGGCGTGGCAGTATTCGTGGTCACAGCCAACACGAGTTACCTCGCTTCGTTGAAACTGGTCAAGGCACACGCAGCATTTGATATTTGTGGTGTTTCGTCCTCCGCTGGTTTGTTGGCCATGGTTGTCCGTCATCGTGGCAGTGGTGGAACCGATATCGATGGATGAGATGGACGGTTTGATGGAGGATTTGTGGTTTTTTTGTAGCTGGGATGAAGGACTCTTTGTTAGATGGATGAAGATGATGATAGTTGATGAAAGATGGATGAAAAACTCACGTTGTTGGTGGACAAGAACAGAGGTTGATGGAAGAGAGGTGGTTGAAGAAAGAAGAAAGGAAGAAGGAAGGAAGAAAGAGAAGAAGAGTTGAAGATGGTGAGAAGATATTTTTATATTCGAGGCCTGAGAAGTGAGACACCTGACATCTTGCTTACGAAGAGTCTTGGTGAAGAACAATGTGAATGAAAGCGATATCATGAAGCTATTCACGTCCTACATCGACAGGCAGGCTGTGAGCTTGTACGACCAATCACCAACCAGAACCCCGCCCCACACAGCCCTACCATCACATGCATATCCCGAAACGGAAATCGTGAAGCTATACCAGCTGCACCTGTCAATAGGCACTAGGCAGCCACATAACCTCATGAATAGGAGACAATAAGAACGTCTAATCATTGATATGTAACTGCAGAGCGGGGTAATCAGAGTTTTATATCAAGATGGCACCAGCCCAGCTGCGATGAACGAGACGACGTGGTGCCAGACAGACAGATTCTTTCGCAGGGAGTCCTGCCGCAGGCGATGTGGGCTGGGAAATACATTTTCTTCCTTCGTTACTACGTGGCCCTTTAGTGATTCCAAATGCTCGATGGCTACAGAAAACCTTTTTATACGAGGTTAGCAGCGCGGCCATGACCCTTGGCCACATCTGCCATAGAGAAGTCGATGAAAGACCTTAACGATGCCAGCCGATAAGGGGAGGCTCCCAGTGAGCAGCCACAGCGGGGTTCTTATTCTGAGCATGCTTTCGTCCTATCAAGATGAGCCCAGCCTTATGGGGATATAGTGGTTGACATACTTGATTGAAGACCGACGACGCCTGGTCAAGACGAAGACCTCCTCCCAACCACAGGAGTGGTCAGGCGTTCTTCAGTCGGATGATATGACATGCTGACCGCTGGCTATGGATTTGAAGAAAGCATAGCACAGTGCTTCAAACAACACTTTGTACGATATCAGAGGTTAAATGGAGCGCAGTTTCAGAGACTGATACAGGTGAAGCAGAACGAATGGTAGATTCTAGTGACTTCTGTTTTTTTCTGGTGGATACCAGATCATTTAGCAAGTGGAACTTTGATGGAGGCACATACTCCCCGTGCGGGAGCTGGCAAGCAAAGCCCAAAAAGGAAGTTATGAAGCCTAGCACAACCATCGCAATATCTACTATACATGACATCATTCCCTCGCACGACCCTTAAAACGATCGGGATAGAATATTGCTACGCGGAGCCGTATAGTAAGTCATAGGCTCTAGTTGACTCATTTTTTCTTCACATGACTAACACAAACTACAACAGACAGAGCAAAGAAGGGCTTGATGACTCGAAGATACGCCAACCTGTTCCCACTCAGGAAACCTGTCTGACACACGTCAATGACTCTTGATGAATACTAACATTGTGCTCCATCGGCGTGGCCATCAACGACTGCAGTCCCGCAGCAATTCTGTTGCGGCTGATGTGACGATAGAGCGCCCCGAGGGCAGGTAGGTCGTAAGGCGACCGGGTGATCAGCTCGTTGATGTGATACAGGCCAGACAGGGAAAAACTCGCCTCGCTCGGCGAATACCCAATGCTCTCAAGGTCTTATTGAAGCAGGTACGGGAAAGAGCACATACTGGTCAGGACCGTGGCCAGGTTCCCGAGCACAGGCGGACGTGGGTAAAGGAAATGGATTGAAGTGTATTATAAAGAGCCTCCAGGAAGCGAAGCAGCCATTTCGAGGAAATTTTGACGCCAAGCAGACAAAGAGCGCGGAGTTGTAGTGATGGAAGGATCGCTGTGTCAAGGCGTAGAAACCACGATGTGAGAGTCAGTGTCTCGAGATTAGGGGCGAGCCCCAACAGACAGAGCACCCGAGCTGCATGGGACTGGGCTGCAGCAGCAGCAGCAGCCTCAGGTTCAGGCGATTCTTGCGCTATGTTGTCGTAGTTGAGGCCGGGCGCATACAACACGAGGTGTCGGAGACGAGGCAGATTGTCGTTTGTACGGGGCTGTGATGAGGAGCAGATGGCGTCGAGGACACGCCTCAAGTAGTGCGCGTACTCGAGGTGGAGGTGAAGCTCGGACAAACAGGGGAGCTCGACGTCGTGCAAAGTCATAGCGACTATGCCAAGATATCGGTCTGGACGAACACGATCTCTCGCAGACCCGGAAACCGGGAAAGACAATCATTGACGCCCTGCTGTAGCTGTTGGAGATATCGAATGTTGTCGGCAAGGTTCGCAAATCTGGATTGTCTACAGAGTTCCGGGTAATAAAATCCGAAACTGAGGTGACGAACACAAGCGACATAGGGGCTGTGTGATAGACATTCGAGGCGCTCCAGAGAATCTGAACTATGACCTTCTACGGTAAGGGCCCGGAAGAGTAAGACTGAGGCACTGCGATAGGAGACTCGACCGGTGAGATGTAATGCGGCCAGCTGTCGCCTGTCTGCAGTAGTTGATGCGAGAATGCGTTTCGGTTTGCCTTCTCTCTGGCAAAGCATGCCGTAAGAAGGCTTCGGCGAGAAGAGCTCCACCACGAAGGAGAGGATCTAAATGCAATGATTCAGCTCAATCCCAGGACTCGAGGGCTTCCAGCCTTACCTGACCCAGTATCTCTGTAGGGAGGAGCTTCGTGGGGTTCGAGGATAAATACGTGCGTGAGACCTGAGGTTAAAAGGACTGAGAAGTTTGGAGACTTATTTTGACTCCGAGCACTGCGGGTAAGATAATGACTTGATATCTCGTGGTACCGTCAATGGAGATAGAATTGACTAACTGGATACCTCCAACCCACGATATCATGGCGTATGTATGTATCTTGGTTCATTGATATCAGAGCATAGGATAGCATTATACACATCGTCATTCTTAGGCAACCTTCCGAAACTGCCTCCCAAGGCCGCAACAGAACAAATTATCATGTCATCATAGCAGCATCTATCAGAAGATTTCCTTTTTCGACAAGACTCCAAAAGTTCGAGTCCCTGCCAACTGCACATACCTCCCCAGCGCCATCATCGGAAAGTAATGTGCATACAGTGCGTATCCAAGATAGAAAAAGTTCGGAAATCCCGTCCCAGTATACCGGCTCTCCTCCCACGTTGCTCCTTTCCCACTGCCTTCCTGCTTTGACTGCATTTGAATGAGATAGCCAACACCTCGTTCTATAGCGGGGGCGCTCGGCGCCAGATACGGCAGCAAAGCCATCACGGCCCATCCCGTCTGTGACGCGGTGGAAGAATGATCGAGTCCGACCCGACTGCTAGACCGATAGGTCTGTAGGCTTTCGCCCCAACCCCCATCAGAATTTTGAATCGACAGGACCCATTGCACGGCTCGAGATGTTAAGGCCGGGATGCGGCTGCTATGTTTGGTGAAATACGTTAGACCACAGAGGACATTACTCGTGCCGTAGATGTAGTTGCATCCCCAACGGCCGTACCACGACCCATCCGCCTCCTGACTTTGCGCAAGATACTCAATGGCACGGTCGGATGCAGTGCGTATCTGTGACAGCAAGTCTGAGCCCGCATATTGCGCAACCGGGCTCCGGAACAAGAGACCAAACGCTTCCAACACACGTCCCGTGACATCTGCCGACGATGGATCGCATAAACTGTCCATATCACTGAATGGGATCTTGTTCAGGAAGAGCGCATCATTGTTGATGTCGAACGCGCCCCAGCCGCCGTCTTTGTTCTGCATGCCCAGGATCCAGAGCACCGCTTGGATGACATTGTGGTGCGTGTGGTCGGTTCCGTGCTTGAGGAAGGCAATGATCGCGGCCGCAGTGTCGTCGACATCCGGGTACCAGGTGTTGAAATACTCGAAGCTGAAGCCTCCGGGGATGGTCTTGGGGCTGTAGACCTGCCAGTCGCCGTAGGGCTGCGTGAGCTGGCGATTCTGAATCCACTTGATGGCGCGGTGTAGTCTTTTACTGTCCTTGGGATGGGAGGCATCACATAAGGCGATGGACATGAGGATTGTGTCCCAGGTTGGTGAGACGCAGGCTTGCATGCGCCGGCCTTGCTGGTCCTCCCATGCAAACCTCTCGACAGATTCCAGTGCTTTGACAACGGGTGCATCGGTGAGCTGAAAGCCCTCCAGTGTGAGGGCCAGTAAGCCGAGATGCATAGGCGGGAAGATGCCAGCCCAGTCTCCGGAGTCTTCTTGATGGTCGAGGATCCAGGAGATACAGCTGCGACGACTGTAAGCTCTAGTGGGAAAGAATCGAAGCCCGTTCAGGAAGTGCAGCACGTGGTCGATGATCAAGAACAAAGTTACCAGCAAGTTCAGTCCAGCACTACTCACAGGCCGCTGGTATGGCACCGCTTTATTCCCAAGGTCAAGCCACAGCTCATCCAAGTATGTACCGTCCGCTGCACACCCCAGAGGAAGAGGGTAAATCGGACGATGGTGGGACACAATCAGCAGAGGCACGATCGTGCTGCGCGCCCACGAGGCGAACTTGTAGATGTTGATCGGGGCCCAGGCCGGCATGAAGATGAGCTCCGCCGGCAGTTCCGGCACTGCGTCCCAGGGAAACAATCCAAACATTGCCAAGTAGAACCGAGTGAAGATGCGGACCTTGGCCACGCCCCCAACACTCCGGATAAACTCACAGGCCTTGCGCATCGCCGGGTGTTCTGGTGAGAACTGGAGGATTTTGAGAGCGAAGTACGCCTCGGTCGAGGTTGAGATGTCACCGGGATAGTGGGGCGCAATTCCCCAGGAACCATCTGGATTCTGCTGCGAGAGAAGCCATTGAATGAGGGGCTTCGCCTCTTGGGTGAGGTCCAAGCCAAGAGACAGTCGCAGGAAGACATATTCAGCCGTGATAGTCGCATTGGACCGTAACTCGCCACACCAATGGTTGTCTTCTCTCATTTGCTCTATCGAGTACTGGGTTGCTTTGTCAAGAGCATCGCGTGCGGCGCGAACCGTAGGCTCAGGGCTTAAACCTGGTAAGCCTGGCTCTGCCGTAAGGACCTTTGTGTGCATAGTTGCTGTTCAAGGTTAGAGTGGCAATCAGCAAGCATGGAGAAAACTTTCGGTGAATGGGTTTGTCAACCAGGCAGATATACACCGGACTTTATCCCCCCTCGTGCGTGGAGGGGTCACACGCACTTAAGTGACAACCGAACCTATTCACGAACGGCATTGATCCAAGCTACCTGCATGTATGGACTCGGGGAAATTCTGATATTCTCATCACATCGGTTATTGACCCATGCGGAGCCAGCGAAGGATCAATGGGTTTTGAGGTAGCCCGAGATTTGGAACCCTCACCACCATCTAAAGTGTATTGAAATTCGATCTTGACAAAATCCAAGCCAAAGTGGAGCCCGAAATTCCTGACGATTGGGGTGAAAGACAAAACTACTGCAGACTGAAAGCAAATAGTGCGGCTGATATCGTATTCGCGGGGCTGATGAGGTGATCCGAATATGATAAGCCCTACCCGGCTGGCCCAATCGCCTCATGATCGGCACTCGGCGATTTGGTCACAATCACTCGGTTCAATGTGATTGAAGCGCCTGCAGGTCCCCACACGAACAACTCAATGTATCATAAGTCTCGCCATGGCCACCTCGCCGCCGCGAAACTTGGTGTCTTTCACCTCAGATTCGAGCTCGTCATATTAGTGGGTTGAAGCCAGCCGTCAGCCCACCCAGCGCGACGGTGGTCGACAAACAAATAACATGTTGTTGGTTCTCCTGGTTAGTACCATTTGCCTTTTCTGATGGACGCAGTCTGACGGTATCCAGGTTACTGGGGCGATTCTCGCCGCCACCGTGATTTACGATCGATACTTCCACCCTTTGGCCAAGTTTCCAGGCCCAGCAATTGCAGCAGCGTCTCCGGTTCACAGCTTCCCTCCAATCTTTTAATCACCAGACTAATATTGACCGAAGCTATGGGCAATGCACGCGCGCTACTCAGGGAGACTTCTTCCTAAGCTACGAGACTTACATGAGAAATATGGTACGCTACAGATCACCTATTTCTGAGAACCATTTACCTGACTCTACACAGGCCCGGTCGTTCGAATCTCCCCTAATGAACTATCCTTCGCGAGCCCCCGAGCGCGAGACGCAATTTACAAGGACGAGTACATCAAAGGCTTCACTCCAACGCAGAACAACGTCAGTTTTGCGATTGATGTCGTGATCGGAGACACCACGGCGCAGTCGGCCACCACCCGAACAGACCATCGGAGTGTGCGGTCGCAGGTCCAGGGGATTCTGGCAACCTATCCCACACAAAGCCAGGAGAAGATTCACCAGACCTATCTGGCGGAGCTGGAGGATGAGCTGGACACCGCAGCCCGCGGGGGGAAGCAATACAATCTGACGGCCGGGATGGACCGGCTGATCTGGCAGTGCATGGGGCATTTCTTCCTCGGTCATTCCATTCCCATTAGCACGAAAGAGACATTTGACTACTTTCGGCGGTGGGATAATGTGTACACCGCTGGTTTGGACTTGATGTTTTACATCGGTCGCTTGCCAGGGGCATCGGCCGTCGCGGCGGTTCTGCTATGGACAGTTCGAAATCTTATGACGACAGACTGGGTGCAGGTGAACACTTTCAGTCGGATTCAGGAGTAGGTTCTTCCTCCCCACGAGATTGTCCACTGGAAATGCGGTGTGTCTAATTGTCTCGTAGACTCACAGACCGCAAAGAGTTTCGAGAGAGCATTGTCGCGCAAAAGCTGGGGATCGTGGACGGGGCCGATGGAAAGCCCGAGTTGAAGCGCGCCATGGCACATATCAGTCTTCTTGTGTGAGGGCATCCCTAATATGCCATTCGAGGATTTCCATGTTATAAAACTAACAACGGTATGAATAGAATTGGTGGATATGACCCTGTTTCAGCCGCTGCATCCGCCGTCTTCTACTACCTACTGCAACATCCCAAAGCGCTCGCAACGCTGCAGCACGAGCTCCGCATCGCTATCTCCAGCGAAGAAGCTTGCACAGATGACGCTCTGTCCCAGATCGCTTACCTAAATGCCTGCATCCAAGAAAGTCTACGACTACAGCCACCAGTGAACGACGTGGGCGCCAGAATCTCCACCGGTATAGAGGTGGATGGCGTCTACGTACCCAACGGGGTGAGCCACCTTCAGGAATACAGCTGACCCAGATTTATACTGACATTGCGCAGGCCAAAGTCTTCGTCGACAAGTATTCGATCCACCGATCTGCAAGGTACTTTAAAGACCCCGATCGCTGGGACCCCGAACGGTGGCTTGCCCCGACCCCCGAGTCGGATCTGGCTGCATTCTCGGCATTCTCAGTGGGCACCCATGCGTGCCCGGGGAAGATCATGGGTCTGCGGGTGCTGCGTCTGACCATCGCAAAACTCCTGCTGAGCTATGATTTCCAGCTGGCTGGCCCGGAGTTCGACTGGGATCGCGATGCGCATTGCTGTCATGTTTGGCAGGATTTTCGCGTGGCTGTAAAGGCTAGCAAGCGAAGGATTGTACAGTGAATTTAGAGCCGTGGACGGCGATAGATTTGACAAGGACAAAAATGGGGCTCATTTATATGACTAGTCAACACACCTTAGAACCGTGAAAATAGAACTGGATATTCATTTCGCTTTGGGAAGAAAGATGAAGAAATGGAAATACGGCCCATTGACTACACAACTGTTTGGCATTCGGTGTGATCTATCAACTTTGAGATTGACAAATCAGATACGAACCACTGTTTGTAATCCACAGTCAGTTTCTTTTTAGTGCATTGGGTTAAAATTGCTTACTCTTGTCCTGGAAGATCTGCCTGAGACTGGTTACTTATAATGAAAGCATTAGTCCGGGCTTCGGAGAATTTCCGTCGCCATCGGGAATTCACCGCGCGCAGATACAGATAGATACTTGCCATCTATTCAACGACGCTTGATTCCTGAAATCACTTTCGCCCTCTTCCAGCAAAGAAGGAGCGTCAGAAGTGACAGAAACTGAATTATGAATTCGAAACATCCTTCATTTGCAGACCTCCCACTGCAAAGGGACGGCCCACATGGCAACGCCTGGGGCCTCTGGGGACCGGATGATCAACTTGGGACGTTGAACCATCTGACAGACGCGATAATTGCACGGGCAGCAGGAGAGGGAGTCCGATCCGGCAAGAGAGTATCTTTGAAGTAAGTGAAACCACCCGTTTACTTGTTCTGCCAACTAGCACCAACGGCCAGAGTCATTGATGAAAAGTCAGTTGGTCTATGACAGGGTCATCGTATCCCCACTTGGGCCGGAAAACGCTGGAGCTGAAACTGACCAACAAAGCCCCTTTGAAGCATGCTCATGATGATGAGGTAGAGTACACGATTTTGACTTCAAAGCTGCGGTCTACTAAGATCTGATCTGACCAGAGTCTTAGTGGTCTTTCAACTCCCAGTGCAGCTCCCAGTGGGACGGGTTCCGACATTACGCATACCAGAAAGAAGGGGTACGTCTGGGTTAAAACACGCACCCTTCATATGCTTCAGACGGCTGACTGTTTGGTTGATTTAGGTATACTACATGGGTCGCACCGCCGCGCAGTTCGCAGAGTCCCCTATTCCGAACGGAATCCAACGTGAGAAGCCCGCACCTACCCATAATCCTCTTCGAAACCGACTGACCTCAACTTTCCAAACCCGACAGACATCGCCAACAAAGGCATCGCCGGCCGCGCTGTGCTGATCGACTGGTACAGCTGGGCCGTTCAGAACGGCCGCATCATCGACGCCCTGAGTGCCCACCCCGTCCCTTTTGCCGAGCTTCTCAAGGTTCTCTCCTACCAGAACCTGTCCCCGGACGACATCCGCCACGGCGACATCCTCCTCATCCGCTTCGGATACATCCACCAATACGAAACCCTGAGTGACGACAGGCGCTCGCGACTAGACGCAGTGTACCGCACCCAGAAACCCGAAAATATCGGGATCCAGCCATCGGAGGAGGTGCTCCAGTTCCTGTGGGAGAAGCGGATCGCGGCGATTGCGGGCGACACGCGCTCGCTCGAGGTCTGGCCGTGCACGGAACCGCGGTGGCATCTGCACGAGTGGCTATTAGCCGGCTGGGGGATGCCAATCGGGGAATTGTTCGATCTGGAGGAGTTGAGCCAGGTGTGCGCGGCGGAGAAGCGGTATACTTTCTTCCTGACGAGCGCGCCGATGAATGTAAGTTCTCTGCTCGTTTGGTTTGGTGGTTCGGGTTCGATGCAATGCATGGGTTAGGGCTAACTCTGGATCGATGTAGGTGCCCGGGGCAGTTGCGAGCCCGCCGAATGTGTTGGCGTTGTTTTGAGATGGTAGCCCTGACGTAACGATCATGCATGGCTTGTAAATAGCAGATAGTTTGACATTGTAACCTGCATAAAGATTATCTCTACAAAAGAGACGATGGGATAGAGCATTTCGTAATGATCGAAATCCAGTCCAAGCTATCGGCTAGGCATAACCTCACTTTTCGAAGAACACTCAAACAATCAGTCGCTCTACAAACACAGTACACAAGACTCGGTGTCATTCACAAATTTCTCTTCCTCCCAAAGTGCTTTCCGCCTTTCGCAGCACGTCCTACAGTGTGTACATGTAAAGGGGGCTCTTCTCTCCCATCGAAGCCAGTTGCTCCGGGGTATACTTCGCTCGCACCTCATCCTCGGAGATCTCGCTTTTTGCTCGGTTCAGTCGCCAAAGAGAGAGCTCTAAGACGCAGCACGCGACAATACCCATAGCAATGATACCCAACGAGACCCCGTAGCCCACCGTAAAGTGCGGCGCTTGCCTCTCCAGAAATACGTTCGTGCCGATAAAACCTGAAAAAAAACGTTAATTTTCATCGCGTCTAGCGGAACAAATGGCAAACCCACTTCCTGTATTCCCAGCAGCCAGCAACCACGCCATTCCAATGGACCTTTTCCACGACTGGGGGAGATTGTTCCCCGTCCACGCAGAGATCCCAGGGAGCAAGGGGTAGATGCCGATTTGGGCTAGGATGATGGCAAAATAGAGAGGTCTCTTGTAGGCGTCGATATCCGCCGAGAGTACGAAAAGCAGCACGAAGGCGATCAACATCACGAACATAGGCGCTACGATGAAGGGAAAGCGCCAAGTGAACCGGTCCGCCAGGCGGCCGCTGAGCCAGCTGGAGACGGCGCCGCAGAAGTAGGGCGGGATGGTCAGCAGCTGCGCTTTCTGCGCCTCGAAGCCGAGATGGTTAATGATGGTCGGCATTGTGTAGGCAAACGCCGCATTTGGTGCGGCATTGACCATCGCCAAGAGGACCCCAAGGAGGATCTTCCAGTCCAGCATGGTCTGGAGGAGCAGTGACCACGAGAATTTGTCGTCCTCTTCTGCACTCGTAGCGGAGCGAACTCCTGATTGTCGGAGGCGAAGGTCGATGTATCTTTTCTCGTCTGAGGTCAGCCACTTGGCTCGCTCGGGGCTGTCGGGGAGGAGAATGGGTAAAAGCCCCCCCAGAGCCACGGGGACGATGCCCTCGAGGATGAAGATCCACCGCCAGCCTGCAATTTCGCGAAGACCGTCCATCTGTGAAATCGCGTAGGCTAAGAGGCCGCTGAACGCCCCCGAGATGGCGGATGCAGTATAGAGCAAAGCTAGTCGCTGCTGGACTTCATACCGGGGATACCACTGGGATACTAGGAACACGGCCCCTGGGAAGAAACCAGCCTGAACCACCATTAAAAATCCGTTCAGTGATTAAAGACCAAAGGAACAATGTATACCTCGCAGATCCCCAGTAGTACTCTGCAGGCAGTCAGACTCGCAAAGCCCTGCACGGCTCCCATACAGGTCATCACCACACCCCACGTCACGACTTGGACAGACAGCCAGACACTTGGGCGTGTCTTTTTGATCATGATGTTCGAGAGGATTTCTGGAACTCGGTGCGATTATCGTCAGCGAACAATGATCAGGACCGTAGTAGGGCCAATGAAGATGCCAACCCACCAAAGATAATGTAAGGGACGAAAAACAGTGTGCTCGCGATGTTATACTGATTGCCAACCAACCCAAGGTCCGTTGCCATTCCTTCGATCTTTGCATTGCCAAGATTGTTCCGATCGACATGAGAACACATGTAAAGCAGGGCGAGCACAGGAATAAGATGGTAGTCCACCTGCATGACCATGAGATACGAGCAGATATAACGGCAGGAACGGCTTCTGGTCACCTTTTGAACCACCTTTCTCCCCTTGAGCCCTTCATACTCACGGAGGAACTCAACCTCGTCGCTGCTTTCATCGACGCGCTCGACATGCTTGTGAGCGCTGCCCTCGGTGGCTTTCTCGGTTAGTTCGTGACTCATGGCTCCTTCGACGCTTTCGTTGCAGATACCTAGTAGAGATCAGGACCTACAATCTCTGAAGATGACTGACTTATATATACAGCGACACTTACGTTACTCTTGAGGATGTAGCTTTTTCAGGCTCTGGGGTACCCCATGGGGGATATCCACAAAGCTCCACATCGCTCCACCTCGGAGAAATCCCGAGCCAGCCTTGTGGCAGTCTATGCTTCAAGACCCTTGCTTGAGTGATGTAAAATAGAGGTGACACTGGCGGAGTATTTCCGTCGGGATGCTCCCGATACCAGCGGAGGAGAGGTTAACATGAGGAAATATGCCTGTCTCCAAACAGCCCGCCGTGGACAACCGGCTTTTTTGTATAGGCTAATACGATGAGAATCAAAACAGTACGACAACCAGCATCACATCCCAAACACAGCCCCGACCGGACCAAGCCCCAGTTAACCCTCCTTCCCCCTGACAAACGACCTCTCCACCTCCTCCAATGACTTCCCCTTCGTCTCCGGCATCCACACCCAACACACCGCCGCTGTGACGAGCGTAAACCCGCCGAACAAGAAATACGCCGCGCAGCTACTCTTCGCCAGTAACACTGGGGTGATCAAGGCGACAAAGAAGTTCGAGACCCAGTTGGCGCCGTGCGCGAGACAGGTGGCGGAGGCGCGGGTGCGCTGGGGCTGGATCTCGGCGGCATAGACCTTGCAGCTGACGGCCCAGGAGACGCTGTAGATGGCGGCGAACAGGTAGATGGCGATGATGACGACCCAGCGGCCGGCGCCCGTGGACTCGTGGACGGCGTCGGCGGCGTACAGCGCACCGATCACCAGCATGGTGACCGTCAGCCCCAGGCCGCCCAGAATGACGTTGTGGCGCCGGCCCCAGCTGTCGGCATAGATGAGCGCGGGCACCGTCACGGCGAAGATGACGATCCCCGACACGCCGGAGGCGAGGAAGCTGGCTTGGTCGGAGGTCATGCCTGCTTGTTCGAAAAGGAGCGGGGCGTACTATTTCCCTTAATTAGTATGCGTGATGAGGATGGTTGGGCGGAGAGGAAAGGGGAGATCGTACGTAGAGGACCCCGTCAATCCCGGCAAGCTGTTGCATGGACATCAGGAATAGACCCAAAAGCGTCCGGTTGCGCACGTCCGGCTTGAACGCGTCGAACAGGCTGGTCTGGTGGCCACCTTTCGTCGGGAATGATCTCTCGCTGCGGCGCGAGAGGACTTGTTCGAGGGTGTTCGGGGCCAGGGTGCTCCCCGTCGGCGCCAGCGGGTGCGTGACGGCCTCCTCGTGAACTTCGTAGTCGTCCTCTTCGCTCAACTCCTCCCGATCCGCCGGGCTGACTTGAAGATACTCCCAGGCGCGCGTGGCCTCGTCGGAGCGGTTGTGGAGGGTGAGCCACCGCGGGGACTCGGGCAGCCACAGGAACGCCGCGAGACCAAAAAGGACGGAGACACCGGCCAGGAGAGTGAAGGGGCCGCGCCACGCCATGGACGAGTGCAGGCGCTCGCAGCCGTAGCAGGTGAAGAAGCCGACGACGAGGCCCACCGTGACGAAGAGCTGCGGGCCAGTGGTGAGCGGGCCTCGCTGCTTCGGAGGCGAGATCTCGCAGATGTATCTGCAAGCAGATGGACGCAATCAGCAACTCTTCCACTATGCGAGTCGCAAGTGAAGAGGTCGACTTACACAACCAGCGTCCCCAGATACAGACCCTCCCCGAGTCCCTCCACGACACGGCCGACAATGAACATGGCCAGATGCACAGCGCCCGCTTCGATGGCCGCCCCGACCCCGAAGATGAGCGCCCCCAGACTGATGGCCCTGGGCCGTCCAACCCAATCGGCCAGTTTGCCGCCGAAGAACGAGGAGAAAGCGGCGGGGATCAAGATGGCTGAGACGACGAGCCCGTGAACGATAGACGAGAAGGAGCCAAACTTCTGTGTGAATTGCTCCATGACGACCACTGATCCGATAATGCCGGTGTCCATCCTACCATTCAGTCACTGGTTAGATTTTGGATGTAAGCGTGCAAGTCTTGGGGAGGCCACGCACCCGAACAGGAACCCCCCAAGGGAGCATAAAATACTGGCCCTGACATAGCGCGATAGATGCACGATCGGCGACATGGTTGCGGTATGGTGTCCCTCTCGCTAGGGAGAATGGTGCTGAGATATCTCTCTGCACGAGTAGACCGAGTCTGAAGCGGCCGTTTATAGGCCTCGAAGGCTTAAGTGACCCCGAAGAATTTTTTTTTTCAAAGGTGGGATCTACATGTTCGCACAACATCGTCACACTTCGAGACCGCGATAGGCGAAGGAATTGGTAGCTCGGGAGGGATTCCTTCACTTTCGGGAAGATCGCCTCTTTCTGCGGCGTCCGGCTCTTATCTGTTATCGCCCCAACACGAAGTCGGTGGGGAATAGTGGGCTGATTAGATTGACCTGGCCAATGGATCTAGACCTCCTCGTCTTTGAGCTCGGGAGAATTTCCTTTGTTTCTGGATATTCTCCCCACTGTTCTCGCAAGTGAAGTGCATTGCAGCTTCGCGTCATAGGTATTCGTAAGCCATTGCCAGCGCATCCCGATGCTTACTACTCAGTATTGAGAGGATTCTATCAGAAAAAAGAATTTCGCTACCGCGCCCGGGTCAAATAATGCACCTCAGAATGTTCCAAGTCTATGGGGGGTGCTAAGGGTGTATTATACCCGTCGTCTACGGCAAACCCATCAGCCCTAACATCTAGCATTCAAACTCAGCCTTCTCTCCACCAATGCCACCTAAGGTTCAGAAATATACAAGAACAAGGAAAAGAAGAAAGGGGGAGAAAGCAACACTACACACAGCCTTGTCAGACCAGCGCTCCCCCCGCCGCCCACTGCCGCCGTAGATCCTGCACGCGATACTCGGTCGCCCACGTCGTCTCGCACTCGACCCGTCGCAGCAGATCCACCACCAACCGCCGCTCGGGCACTCCCTCGAAACACTGGCCCGCTACGAACAAGGGCTGCACCGTGTGGGGGAGCACGGCATCCGGCAGCCCAGCCAGACTGATGCCGCAGACCTCGCGGGCGTGGCGCACCACCTCGCCCGCGATGCGCCGGTAGTTGTGCAGGCGGGCGGTGACCGTCGACCGGATGGCGGTCGCCTCCTGCGGCATGTTGCTCAGGAGCAGGATACGCGCCATGTGGTAGGTTTGGATGGTGACGGCGCACATGGGGACCGTGAAGACGACGGCGTCGATGGCGTTGCTGTCGTTTGAGTCATCGGCGTCGCGGTGCTCGGGGGCGGGGCGTCGCGCGACCAGTCTGGAACCCGTGGAGAGAGACAGGCGGGTCCGCGCACAGGGGGTGAAGGAAGCAGGCAGGGTGTCGTGCCAGGCGCGGAGCTCGAAGTCGAGTCGCTGCCATCGTTTTAACAGATCCTCTTGCGTCGTGCCGAAGGATGGCCGCTGGTCTGGGGGGCTTTCGTAGTCGCCCGGGTTGATGCCGTCGCCGCTGGTGATGTAATTGATCATCTTGCCTGTGAGCCAGATGAGAGCGTTGCTGAGCGTGGCTTCATCGAGCCAGGGAGCTGGGGACGAGATGTGAGGGGAAGGAGAGGCGGAGGAGATGGCCGGGGTGGTGGATGTGCTCGACGGGGGCAAGAGGTGGCCGTATGAGGAGATGCTGAGGCCGAAATTACGCCAGAGGATGAGATCGGAGAGGTCCAGACGGGTTTGAGTCTCATTGATGACTACGTCCACGGCATTAGAACAGAAACGTATGCGGAATCGCACATGGCAGGAAAGAAAACCTACAGGCGGAGAGACAGTCCTGCCGATAGAGACTCCAAAACACGGAGCGCGAAATGTGCAGCAGGGAGTCAGGCAGCGCCTCGGTCGAGCTAGAGGCATCGGGGCTGCCACAGTACAGGAAGGGCAGGGCGCTGAGGTGAGCCCGCCATTCGGTGCTGGGGGCGTCGCTCAGCTCATACATGCAGAGGATCGCGACCACGGCGAACATCTCCTCGCGCCGATCATCGGGGATCTCCAGCGCAATGGCCTCTTTCAGGTGGTGGATGGCCTGGTCGTAGAGCCGCACGGATTCGTACTTCCAGTCGATTGCCCTGATAATCCACTGCAACGGGCTTTTGCGCAGGTGGGGGAGCTGCGATATCCGCACGGAATCCCCCTGGCAGAGCCGGTGCAAATGTTTGGCGGCGAGGGCACAAGCAGCCGCTCTCAACATCGGCCGCGTAGCCGCCATGATGGGCACCTTGATGGAGTAATACGCATTGGAATCGAAGCTGTCCAGCCACTGACCGGGAGCTGCCTGGAAGTGTTGGATCAAGACTGCTGTCAAGATTCCATTTTGTTCGGGCGGCACGGGGCTCCGGGCAGGAGTCGGGACGATACTCTCTTCAGCAGCAGCAATTGTCGAGGGCGAGGCGACTACTAGATGGTGCTCGTGATGCTGATGGCGCTCATCCAACGAGGATATTGATTCCTCGTCGGCAAATGGGTCTATGACCTGAATAAAGGTGACTGTGGGGCAGGGTCAGTGCTGTTCGCTCGTCCGTGAGACCGGAAGCCACTGTACGGTGCGAGGGAATTGGGACCCATATCTGAGGGCTCCCCGGGTACCAACCGCTCCCCGCGTCGCGGTAGAGATCATTGACGTTGGAGTGGCGAAAGATGCAGTTGCTGGAAAAGACACAGTTTCGAGAGGCTTTGACACAGGGGCCGCATATAGGCCGTGCTTCGTCGCATTTAACCTTGCGCTGTCGACATGTCACACTGTGAAGGCAGACAAGAGGTTACGAGGTGATCGCCTTGGTGGCATTTGAGGGTCAAAAGCATGTTACCAGCCAAAGTAAGAGCGCATATCTGCCCGGAGGCATTCATGTTATGCAGTTTGAGGGCGAATACGGAGAGTCCTTCAGGGAGAAAGAACAACAGACGCAAGGAGTCTTGATGCTACAGAGGAGATTTGGATGGGGGGAAATGGGAAATGGCGGGGTAAAGAGGGAAGTCCTGCCGAATTTCGCGGGGTGAAAATTTTTACTGCGGTTTTAAACGCGGAAATGTTGGCGATGCTCCACCGCAGCCGGGAATAGTCGGAGTACTTATCACAAGACAGTGCGCCGGGCTATAATTCCAGTATGGAGTAGTCAGTTAGTTATAGCTAGTCAAAGTCTTTCTCTGGCAGTAGTTTCAACAATTCAATGTACTAAGGTAGTAAACGAAAGGATCAGAGCTGGCATCTGCCATAGATAAGTGAGTCAGGGCTGACAGATTGTCCCGGGGAAGGATGCCGAGCAAACAGGGCAACCTTGCCGAACACCAAACTGCCCTCGTATCTTCTGCAATCGACTGGGCCATGAGCTGCAGCTAGCTTTATCAGATCACACTTTTGCTATCAGTTTTCTTCCTGCGCAGCATGTCCCCGAACCTCCATCTCCCCCAAGGTCCCAAAGATCTTCACCACCACCTAGTCAGGACATTGACATGCGACCCACCTACACCACTAGCAGTGTCTAGGCTTCCTGGAAGACTAGCTTCGGTTCACAGCAAATTATCATGATAGCTTGGTTGTTTGGCCTTTTCTGAACCGATAATTGGACACCTTTCATGTTTCTTAACATGCGAATAAGGCCTGCAAAAATTTCTATATATTTGCCCGGGAGGGAGTGCTTTCCTCCAAAAGGGGCTATAGCTCTTCATGTACACACGAATAACTTTAATATCAAGATCCGGAAGTTTGACGAGCTCTAAATCAGACATTATGGATTACGTATATTCCCATATGGCGTGTGTTATGGAGTTCGAGAGCAGATAAAAGGGACTGAATGGGAGGAGGGACTTCAGGCAAAAATCCCAGCTTCTGCCTGAGGCGAAAATGATGGTCACATGACCCAAGTAGGGCTGATTTCCTGACCCTCGCTTACTCGCCGTCACATTCTGTACATTCTCATAGCATAAAGAGGAGCATATTAAAATAGCACCAAAAATTTGAATGTCAGATAAATTCCCCCTAGTAAGTTGCCGAAATCCTGATCGACCTGGTTTCCGGCGGATGGCATCGTCCCTCCGACCAGTGCAATCAGCAGTCTCATAAAAACCCCTTCGTCCAGTCGAGCGCACAAAAAACAGAATCTCCGTGACCAGGGACCAGGCGCCTTGGCCAGCAAGCTAATCTAGACCGTGGACTGGAACGGTCACTTCCGCTTCCGCGGGTCTCACGGGGATCCACACTTGAGTGATTTCTCCGCCAAGGCCTTGTAATTCGATCACCAAGGCAGCAGCACACAGCTCGGGGTGGTCGGCACCGGTGAGGGAAAGAGACTACATTGTCCGGACTCAGTTGACCAGTCCACAGATAAGGAAGGGTGATGTTTCCCTAGATACGTGGACGCGGTGTGGTTGTCAGACTATGAGTGTGTTGTTATCGTCTTGGAGTGGAGAGGATGGGCGATCCGGGCGATCCGGGATATCTTGATGCCTCAAGCATTAAATCATGGCAGGAATGGTTACGAGGTGAGGCACCGGTTGCACTTGTTGCCTAATTGACGTGGTGGGAAATTGATTAATACTTCGCTGTCTCGGTGAGCTGAATCTGAGTGTCTTGCGTAGTAGTGTTCGAACTGCTGTGTACTGCACTACTGTTCAATAAATCCATTAATGCATTAGTTAAGTTCTATGATGCATATATACAAGCTTCCATCTAAATCCTCCTAGATTGCAGTTGTAAAACCTGAAACCATGAGACAACACACAGTCCGCTCAGAGATACACGTAGCAGAAAGGCCCAGCAGTCGTGCTCATCAAGTCGCGCATGGCGATGGGCTGACCGTTGGCATAACCAATATCAATGACAGTGTCGAGAGTGGTATTGGCCGACGGGGGGTTGTTCATGAAAGTACCCGTGCCGGAGATGGCATTCTGGCGGTGCTTGCGGTCGAGGTTCTGCCAGATCCACCAGACGCGGTCGATCATGCCGTGGTGGTGCCAGAAGGCCACGTCGCCGGGGCTCACATAGACGTCGCGACCGGGATCGCCGCCCATGGAGTAGTGGCCACCGCCGTGGACACCAATCGAGCCGCTGCCGGGAATGCCTTGCATCGTCATCTCGAAGTCCCAGACATCGTTGTTGTCCAGGATCAGAGAGACGATCTTGGGGTAGGTGTTGTACCGACTGAGGATCTCGGTGGTCAGCGACCGCTTCAGACACCGGGGGTTGTAGGCCAGCGGGTTAGCCGCCATCGAGGTGTTGCCCCCGGGCAGGGAGAGAACAGCCGGGCCCAGGTTGACCTTGTAGTCCTTAAATGGCCCGCTGGTGATGCAGCCGCCGCCGGTGCCGGGCGGGAGGTCAATAGCCGGGTAGTCGCCCAGGTACAGCATCACGTCCGGCTGATCAGCAATGGGGGCTCCATTACCAGACATGGAGGTCTCACTGCCGTCAAAAACGGGTGAGTTCTCCATGTCGTGGGCGTCGGCACCCCAGTCCCAGTAAGGGTAGTCGCCGGTGTAGCCACACTCGTCGCGCAGGGCAGACTCGAACTCGTAGATGAAGTAGCGGTGCCACGCCAGAAAGGTGCCCGTGTAGTGGATTTCCAGGGTCTGGTTGATGTGCGTGGCCACGAAGTCGTCGTAGCGGGTGCGCGCCCCGGGGACCAGGTCGGCCGGGGTGCGCGAAGGCAGCTTCTGGAGGCAGAGGACGGAGTTGATGTACGCTTTTTTCTGGGACTTGGAGAAGGTGCGCCACTCACGACGCACACGCAGCTTGTCCAGAGTGCAAGTGCCATCACTGCGCTTGGTGCTACCCGAGGGAGTGGACAGGGTGTCGGTGGTGAGGTTATAGGCAAAGGAATTCAGCTGGTCCAGCTGCGACGAGGCCACGTCAGTCGAGCTGGAGGCACTCGTGGGGAGAGTGGCCGTTGCTGTCTCAGCCGCGGGGAGGGCCCACGACCCTGAGAGCAGCAGGCCCAGAGTGAGAGTCTGGAGGGCGACCATGGTGGCGATGGCAGATGTCACACCACTCCTGGGCAGAGGGGGAAAAGGAAGAGAAGGGAGAAGAGATGGAGGAAGCAAAGGAAAGTTAGAATTAAGGAGGCTGGGCGGGGAGAAGCAGGTTGAATGAGGGAATGATTGTCAATTTAAAGGCGGCGCATCTCAGCTATCTACAGACAGCGCATCAATCGGCCCACCCAGCTAGCTAACTAAACTGCATGCTGCACTATGACTCGGTCTGATAGACAAGGAACGGAATTGTTAAGACCGAGGGAGAAGACGAGAGAAGGAAAGTCCCCACCAACCCAACCCCCACGCACTCAGCAGCATGGCGACCAAAGTCAATTAGCAACAACATGCTGACTGGCTGGCCTTGGCCAGGGGAAAGAACGTAATGTTGCTTCGGGGGAGAACTGATTTGGATGACCGGGGTTTCAGAGGCGGACTGGCGAGTACTAACCAGGGATTATAAATTGAATGACTTTGAAGTACTGGGTTGGTTAGGGTTGGAGATGCAACCGGCGACAGCACAAAATCATTGACGTGCATCTCTCCAGTCAATCCTCGGTCCCTGTCCCCACTGCACTCCACCCGGGTCCACTTCGGCCAAAAAGTCAATCAATCTGCCCATCCACCCAATTTTAGGGGTGCAGGGTGCGAGTGCGACACTGCAAATCAACTGCCCAAGCCGAGGTTGAAGCGACTTGGCAGGTCCGGTGGCACTGGCCGATCCACCCTGGGCTGGCTGGCCCTCCCATAGGCGCACGGTCCATTGGCCAGGTTTTTGGTCCGTCAATCGTGGCTTGAACTATGTTGTAGGGGACTAGGATAGGAAGAGTAAATGAATGACAAGGGCCAGGAAGAAGCATCGGTGCAGGCACCAACTTGGGTGGTGTATTGCTGCTATCAGATGGCCACCGTCCAGGGTCTGCTACCGGATCCTGATCGTCGCCCGAGATCGAACGGTCAACCGTTGGCTCCGGAAATCCGGTCGCGACCGGACGCCCATTTTTTGTGAGATGGATCCTGCTCCGATCGAATTCTTTAGTCAAGCGAATGCAGCTATGCATCCTGAGGGATCTTGATCCTCGTGTTCCTGAATCTTCCATGGTCGCATGGCGGACCCGTAGTTCATGCACCTATCCTTGGCATGGTCGTCACACCAGCTCTGGCTGCTCCTGGATATTCATAACCTGGCCAAGGTCAAGCATCGCCCAGGAAATAGCTAGCTAGCTCAGCTCAGTCCTTCGTTTATCTGTGGTGAGCATGTCGACCATCGCGCATCCGGGCGGCGCGGGCCTTCCTGATGATAATCAAGGGCCACGCATCCTGGCGGCCACGAGCATTGTGACTGCTGGGGCTGCAGTCACCGTGCTCGCTCGCATGTATGTCCGCATTTTCCTCATTCGCAATGTGGGGTTTGATGTAAGTGTTGTCTTCTGCCTTGTCTATACCGAATTTGATTGTGCTGACCAACCTCGAGGATTATACCATGCTGTTAACCATGATCTTGGTAAGTCACTCGGGTCATCTCTGTCGAGCCGGGTGGTATCTGCAGTACTAACATTGCGGCCATCAGTCACTCAGCGGATGGGGAGTCATCATTCCAGAGGTCATCTACGGCGCGGGCCGACATACGGCCTACGTCGAAAAGACAGCTACCAAAGCAATGCATTTGAACTTTGCTACCCAGGCGATATACATGTGGGCTATTGGACTCGTCAAGATCTCCATCGGACTGTTCCTGCTACGGTTTGCGCCGCGCAAAGGCTACCGCGTTTTCATCTGGATTGTCATCGGTCAGTGCTGTTTCCACTATGTTCTAGCTCTTTTCCAACTGACGACATATAGCTCTGATGCTCATTTACACGACAATCTGTTTCTTCGTACGTGGTGCTGGTTTATTTTCTAGATGACAATGTGATGCTGACTCCTGATAGACACTCATTTTCCAATGCCATGACATGCGGAGTATTTGGGATTTCTCGGTCAAGTCGAAATGCTTTGCCCCGATACAGCTGTTGAAATTGAGTTATACAAATACAGGTACGCATGTTAAGCGAGAGATCTTGCTTGTCGTCCACTAAACAAACCTCTAGCTTTGAATATCCTGACTGATTTGATCTTCGCCATCCTTCCTATCTTCATGCTCAGGTAAGTCTAGCGGATCAGATTGTATGCTGGAAAAGACGGAGCACTAACACCACCCCCCGACAGACATCTACAAGTCAACAAGCGAACCAAGGCTTCCTTGATCTGCATCCTGGGTTTGGGTATCTTGTAAGACTGCAAACATTCCTTCCAAATAGTATAGCGGCGATGGACTAATCAGATCCAACCGTGCGTACAGTGCCTGTGCCGCAGCGATCGTGAAGCTCACTGTGCTTCCCAACTACGGTCGCACGGGCGACTTCCTTTGGGATTATTCTACTCTCACGATCTGGGTTGTGTAAGTTCCCCTTCAGTACCCTGCCCGTCAATCCTCCTCATCGGCTAACAATACCTCCTTGTGAAGTGTCGAATCCAACATGGGCATCGTCGCCGGCAGCCTCCCAACCTTGAAACCCCTCTTTAAGCAAGTGCTGGGCAGCTACGGCTCACGCTACAAATCGCGACCCTACAACTACCCCCAGCATAACACATACGGCAGTAAGGCCTACCGTCTGCGCTCCATGTCCCGCTCGCAGCAGCACGGCCAGTCGCAGACCCAGGCCAGCCACCACGACCCCGAGCCCTTTCCCAAGAAACCGACGGCAACCACCACCACAACCACCGCCACGGCGACATCGTTCCCGGGGCACGACAGCAGCCATAACTCGAGCGAGGAGTACATTCTCTCACCGCATGAGCATGACACGATCATGCTGACGACAGAGGTGACCGTGTCGCATTCGATGCAGGCCCAGGCGGAGCGGAGTCGCGCGGCGGCTGCATCGCAGGGTCGGGGGTTCGATCGGCCGGGGCCGGGGATGGTGTAGACTTCTTGGATCCTTGCGTTTTGTGTCTTTTCTCCTTTGATCCCTCCATTTCTCTTCTAGACACTTCTTTCAATATGATATTTCCTTTGTTTATTCTATATCCGTGTCATGTTAATGGAGGAATGGATTCAAGGGGCTCGGTATCCCGGCTAGGGCGTTTGCAAAGTTTGCCCTAGCCCCAGGGAGGTAAGACGCATAGACGACAGTCAAGCAGTGGAAGGGGTCACGCTCAGTAACAAAGAATCCTGCTTCTATCCGAGATCAAACCACTTTTAGTCAGAGGTTGGAGATGAGGTTTGCGACTCACCGACAGATAACCTTTGTTTGCTTCATTCACCTAGCGGGAGTGAAGGCAAGGGTCTGACTCGCTTAACCAGGATAGACGGGAATTGTAATGGATGACCCGCGTGCTCATTAAGTGACCGGTGCATGTGAGATTTGTTCGCAATATATGGGTGGAGATGCAAGCATACTAGCCTAGCAAGGGCCAATGTTCGCTTGGGTGGCGGAACATCACATCCGACGGGGGAATTGCGGGTCTGACAGGGGGGTGCGAGCCACCGCAATTACGGCACCATATGATCTCTTGGTGTACAACTCGCCTGTGGATGAGATTAGGCTAAAAGACGAGATGAGTGTCGGTGTAATCTCACAAAATACTTGATCCAATGCAAACAAAATGCCTCAATCGGAATAGATTGACCGTTCCACTCTCATGCCGTGAGCTACTATGCCTACTCCGTAAATCTATGTGTTTACAGTACAGATGCCGTGTAGTGGGAAACCAACCCTAGCAACAACCACAATCATCCTCGCTTCAAGTGTAGTCCCCGAAACATTCCGTCGAACCTGGCGCATGTCGACATAATCCGGCCAGCTGCTATACCACTCCAAGAATTCCGGAATTGAATCAAACAAGGGTCTGCGCCCGTACAGCGTCGCGGGGTTATCTTCGCTCGCCTCGAAGAAAACCACCCGCCACGCCCAATGCTTATACGCGGAGTCCGCACCATCCTCCTCGATCACCCGACAGTACGCATAAGCACTGTACCACCGATCCTCATGCATCCAACCACCACACCCTATCAGAAAGCCAACCTTGACCTCCAGATCATCATCAATCGTCCCATGGAGCCCCACCTGGCCAAGGAGACTATCCTTCAAATACCCTCTCAGCGCCTCCCGCTGCGCCTCCAAATCTCTGAAACCCTTCATCTCCCGCTCCGCCCCCTCCTCTACAAACGCATATTCAGACACCCCAATATAGAACCCCGGCACAAAAGGCGCGATCCCCAGACGCCGGAAATCCGGATCGCAGACCCCGTTCGCGTATTTAAGGAAGAGCACTAACTCCTCACACTGCGGGATTGCATCCGCCTCCTGGCTTTGGCCATCATCAGCCACCGCCGCGGAGCACACCTCGTGGAACATCTCCAGATACATCTGCCGCCACGCCTCCGTCCGTAGACGCGGGGGACACACCCCGTCCATGTACTGGTGGTACAGCGACGGAACCTCCGCCAGACACGTCACGCCACGGACCTCGCGGTCTTCGCGGACGGGTCCGGGCGGGACGAGTTGGTTCCAGTGCGGGTCCGGCCCGCCGATGCCCAGATTGTCCCAGTAGTCGCGCATCCGCTGGAGCTTGTCAGCTTCGGTGGGGAGGTGCAGGGCTTCGATCTCGGTGACTCGGTCTCGGAGGAAGCGGCGGTTGGCGGTTTCCATATTGTGGCGGAATTGGGTGATGGCGTGGCGCATGGTTGCGTCTGCGTCCCTTTCGGCTCCGACCATTGCTGGGAGAAGGAAGAGGTGTCAAGTAAGTAGATGGAAAGTGTATGTACAGAATGAGGCACTCCGTGTGGACGAGATGTTATGTATAGGATATCTAATATCTTTCGTGATTTTATACTATCAAAAGATGACTCTTGCTTGGTGTAGTGTGGCCTGGGAAAGGTTGTGTAGCCTAGAATACCGGATCTAATCAATAGGTCCCAAGGGTCATTACCCCGCCATGCTCATGTCAGATTGCCGGTTAGTACCTGAAATAGGCTACAGCCTGTTAAATCGTCCTTCTGTTTTTATTCTTTTTGCAGGACGCTTTGAGTTTCAACTCAGCTGAACATCACAAATCTTCAAGCCTCTGGTGCGGTGCAAAGGTCGCTTTCGTCATTCCCTTGGAACATATAAAACCTTGCCCCTGCACTACGCCCGACACAAGAAAGTGACCAGCCACAAGCACATTGCTCGGACTACACGGCCCTAACCAACAGTGACAATGCGCTTGAACACACATCTGCCGACTTACACATGTATTCTCTATGTAGCCCGGCAGAAAAGACAAGTGGAATGAATCTTGCGCGGTCGCGGGGTAGGATCGCGCTATAAGAGGGACAGAAGCCTTGGCATGATGCAGCTGAATGGCGATCGGAGGTCAATGCCTTGATCCCCCGCCTCGAACCTCTCTTAGAAATGCCATTGTTCGCTGTAGTTCCCACTCTGCCGGCCTATGTACAGCATCTCATGGGCCTGTTCCTGGTTGCTAGTGGATATATGATATCTGGACCGCGCTTATTAAAGTGTTCCCCTCCTTCCCTCGCATGTCGCGCGTGGGCAGATTTATGCAGGTTCCTACCTTGAGGGGCACCGTATTTAAATCAAGTCTCGAGACCCCAAGGATTACCCCCAAGCAATTCCCATCTCTTTTCTACAGCCTACTGTTCTCTTGCAAACCACACACCTATAACGATGGCAACCCAAGTCCAGGTAGAAAATGCCCTGCTAGTCAAGGCCCGCGCCAGCGGCAGCAAGGAAGACTGCATGGCGCTCTACGACACCTGGGCGATATCCTACAACCAGGACCTCACCGATGCCTCCCAGAGCTACGTCGCCCCGTTTACCGTCGCGCAAACCGCACTCCAAGTCAACACGATCCCGAACGCGCGGATTCTCGACGCCGGCTGCGGCACCGGCCTCGTCGGCGAGGGCCTCACCCGAGGCGCCGGCAATGCAACATCACTAATCATCGACGGCCTAGACTTATCGCCTGCGATGCTGAAGGTCGCCGCCAACACCGGGGTGTATCACACTCTCACAAAAGCCGACCTGACCCAGCCGACCGCCCTACCCGCCGAGACCTACGACATCGTGACCTGCGCCGGCACCTTCACCCACGGCCACGTGGGGCCGGACCCTGCGCTCCGCGAGTTTATCCGCGTCCTTAAAACAGGCGGGCTGATTGTGGCAACAATCTTGGACGAGGTGTGGGTGTCGATGGGGTTTGACACGGAGATCGAGAGGCTGGTGGCCGAGGGCCTGGTGCGAGTAGTCAATATCGAGCTCACCGACTATCGAAAGGGGTGGGACAAGGCGCGGTTGGTGGTATTGCAGAAGACCGCGATTGCTTGATATTTTGCCAATGCGCCAAACCTGTATCAGGAGTTTGCTCGAATCAACACCCAACGCGACATCGAACCGACTGACGACTTGGCCCTGGTGCGACAACCCCAATGCGATCTGCCTCCGTGTTAAACGTCCATACGCAGCAGTCCTTTGCAGCCCTAACGCAGGTTGATATCTCCCCAGTGCGGCATCTATAGCTTTTCTAGTTCTCACATACATTATATAAGACGCTTTTCATCTTTCTGTTAGCACAGTTCATAGACCTCGTCGCGGAGTGGTAGGACTACAGTGAAACCTCGAGAAGCAACTTTCCAGCCTATGATTCGCTTAGTCATAGCTGTGAGGAGAACTGAGTATAATTGCTGAGTCCCTGCCGTAGTAAATTGAGCTACGTCAAGTACGATTGGTAGCCAGCACAACTTATAGAATAACGTATACCTTAACCTAACATATCGAACTGGGGGGGGGGGGGGGGCTCGTGCTCACATCTATGGAGAATCGATAAGTATGCTAGATGGTAATTGGATCCTTCTATCCATGTCGGAGCTAACCACTGGGCCATTCTTCACGCGGCAAAATGTGTGAGCAATTCTTAAAAAAGATATTTCCTTATCAAAAGCCACAAAGACTCCAAGACGATTTGCTATCCTTAGAGACTTATTCATCTGCCTTAGCTCCACTACCCACATCACCTATGTACATAAATCCTTGATGCCTCCATCAAACCCCTACTCGCACTTGACCTGCAGCCGCTGCAAATACTCCGCGTCCACGGGGTAGCAGGTATGCTCATCGGTGACGTCGTAGGTAGCGTAGAGGGTGGTACCGCAGTTGTCGTAGTCCTGCTCGTTGTAGTCGGTCCAGGTGTACAGCACGGGCGTCTTGGTGGCATCGCTGCAGGTGGTCCCATCGGCGAGGTAGGGGGCGAGAGAGCCCCAGGGCCACCCCTCGATGCCGAAGCAGGAGTTTTCCAGGATGGTGTAGGTGGTGGGCGTGTCCAAGGAGCAGGTGGTGTTGAACAGGTAGAAATCGATGGAGACCTCCGCGAGGGCTGTGGCCGTGGCGGCCGTGGCGGAGAGGAGGGCAAGCGTCTGTACGATTTGGTTAGTGCGATTGCTTGGTGATTGAAGGCTCCGCGGGGTATCTGACCTTGGACACGGTGAGCTTCATTTTGTAGAGTGTGTACTTGCGAGTGCGGGCTGCTCAGGAGGATTGACTGTGGAGGGAATGGGGAGCTTGGTGAGTCTGGTCTGTATTCTGGGTGGAGATGGACTCTCCTTTTATAGCCCAGAGACCCAGTCGAGCCTGTTCTTCACCTTGCGTTTCATTCCTCCGATGACGGAGTGTTCTTCAGCTCTTCAGAGCTTCTCGGAGCCCGACGAGTGCTGAAGTTTTCGATCTAAAACTCCGAACATGGCCCAGACAGCTATTTGATTTGTTGCATGAGTAGAAAATGCCTACGTAGATTTGGTGATTAGTGAACTGAGGTCGAGGCCCCACATGGTTCTCTGCGCAGCTGTCAGCTCTATTCCGGAAGAGTATTTGTGGCTGCTTATTAGTTCCCGCACCCAATTACCGGCCGCTCAAGTAGGCGAGCTAAGACTCCGTCGAGGCGCTAAGCCTCTGAAGCGCCACATGAGTCGTGGTGTGTACTGTAAGCAAGGAAAGGTACCGTGATAAACCGGATACATTGAATCTCCTGTGAGAACAGATCTTAGGGACTGAGACTGTGTAACTACCGCCATACCAATCGGTCCCAGTATACTCAGTCTATTCATACTGCGTTAGAATGAAAAAGCCCCGTCTATAAAATTCCCTATCTAAGCGAGATAGGCCGCCTGAAGAACCCGCCCACGTCAGCCCCCGCTCGGGTCGGGATGCTTTCTTCACGGACTAGCCCGCTAGCCTGCCATTCCAGGGTCCGCTCTTGCATTCGCCTACTTTGCTGCTGACTGAGACGAACAGGTGTCTCGTCACAATGTGTCCGGGGAGATTAGGTGAGTGGGAAGATCTAGGGTTCCCCCAAAAGAATTGTCGATTCAGATGCTTTCCGATTATTACATTATTCTACATCCCACATGCTGCGCTTATGTCGACTCGCCCATCAATTCACCATATTTACGGTCCAACGGCCACAGATTGCCTGCTCGCATCACTGCTGCGTGCAATCGATTTTGTCGAGCTGCAAAGTCAAAAGCGTGTCAGCACGGGGGTTCCTCTGAGCACTGGGAGGGTGAAGAATCCCATACCCCGTAGCTGTCCGTACAGCAGACAAGTGTCCGTACATTGGAGTTGCATTGGCGCGTTTCTTCATCAGGGAGGTCACCTAAGTTCATTTGTCTGGGTCAACATCATGCTGCACATGCGGACTGTGCCCAGTCCCAAAGGAATGGCTTGGTGAGACTTGGAAGGGCACAGGGGCAGGCGGCAAGGCTCACAATTGGATCCGACGCCAGCACCCGGGTCGGTGTATTCCTGAACCCTGGTATAATAATCGGTGCCAGGGCCGCGGTAGATGCAGCAGTACAGGTCGTCAGGGTCGCAGCTCGGTTCTTTTCCATAACCCAGTGTTGTGGCAACTTGAGCTGCGAGCTCGCCTAGGACACCTTCTTGGGCGAATGCCGTGAGCGGGTGGAACGCTAGCGCCAGAAAGGGAAGGATGGCTGTGACACGCATTGTGGTGGGCTAGGTTCTTGCGGGAGTCGAGGAGGAAAGCGAAATTTGAAAGAGTGTTGGGAAGACTGGAGGGGACGCATGGGGAGTATCAGGGAATTTATGTTCGCTGACGGATGGCTATGATTGATGATCACTGTGATCGAGCTTTAGCACCCGAGCTCAATTCCTGACCATCAGTGCTGGAACAGCTGGTGTGACGCCGATCATAACCTATAGGATCATCGCGATGATCGACAGGTAGTGCTCGAATAAGGCATTCGTCTTCGGACTCCTCATCTACCAATGACGATCCTACATGATCTCTGATCAGCAAAGTGAGGTACCAAGTACTAGGGGTATATATGAGGATATGAAGGTTGAGTGTTCCTGCTTGTTACACCCTCAACAAAACAGATACCCTCACTTTTCCCTCTCATGCACCAAGAGTCCAGATCCCCGCTCGGAGGAAATAAGTACTAAGACAAGGCCTCTTCCTCGATCCACACAACACCTTTGATTCCATTGCGAGGAGCTCTTCTCTAGCACTTCCCAACATGACATACCAATGCTTTATGAGTCGCTACTGTCTGTCTGTCTGCCCTCATCCCCGGCCGAAGCGACAAGCTTTCCGACTTGGGACAAAGCTGTGCTCGCCGTGGAGGAGATTTTGAGGACATTCTAAGTATTTTCACTTGTGGTTTTGGTCTAATGATGATATTGGAAGCCGCTCCAACCTGATTCACTAAGTCACAGTTGATCTGACGACTTCCTGCCTCCAGTTGCTTGCTTCCTACCCAGAAGCTGAAGATCAGTCGGAATTGGAATGGTTGACTCAGCATCCGATAATCCAAGAGATGCCTCAAAGTCCAATATAACTCCAGCTAGTCCACCTTCGGCCAGTGCAGAGAGTGGGTGGGTGGCCAGCGCCAGTAAGGGGGGAATAACTGTGTAGCGCGTGGTGATGAGCTGAATATAATCAAAGTCGAGAAGACTGGCTGGAAGGGAGGGAGGTGAGTGGACGGTCGAGGTTTGCGAAGACTGGAGATGGGTAGCATGTTGAATGTATGGTGGCCGGCAACCGGCGTGGTGGACAATCATTCTGACCATCTACAGCATAGTCATTTCCATGTGCAGTCTCGTTCAAGAGTCGGCTCCTGCAATTGAAGCCCCTTAGTGCTCTAAATGATAGGTCACGTTCCCTCTGCTCGCGGGAGTAGAATGACATGTATTCTTCCGGTTCTATGGCTCGCCGATCATCGAACTCAACAACAGGTGCGTCGGCGACATCAGATATGGATGGTCGACCTGCAAATTTACTCGAGTAAAAAGGGGCTGTTATGTCTCTGTGGAAATAGAAAGGAGAGATTTCACACCCTTATCGCCATTCAGAATTGAGATACTAGCGAACCGAGGAACCGGGCGGAGAGTTCAGATGGCTACCAGGCGACTGTGAGAATGAGACATTGCTGGTCAATCAAGAACGATTCAAACATAACGGCCATTGAAGAGAGATAACTCCGGACTCGTTACGGCTAGGCTCAGAAGCAGGCTCAGGGCTACTAACTAGCCTGGATCAAATCGTGGAATAGGCCTGGAAAGCGGGCCGAAGCGACAATATCCCGATTTGGCAATCTCGTGGAGTCGGCACTAGGGAAATGTGAATGCCCTCAAAATCTGCATCCACCGAGCAATTCCTGTTGTCTACCATCAGCTCTGTGTTGGGGCTCAGGGTGGTAGATGATAGATTGTGATTCCTAAAAGCAGGATGAAAATGAGACCCATCATGAAGTTTTCCCTCACACCCACTCTTCATGTTTCAGGATGGCATCCTCAATCTCCACGCGTGTCTAAGCGAACGCCTCCGGCGGTTCCGGCATCTCGGTTACAGGATTCGGCCCATCCCGATCGCTCATATCTGGGATATCTGGGGAAAGCCAAGAACTACGAGTCAGAGCCACCACTGCTGTGACGCCAACCGAAGGCAACACGCCATCTGTGATTCGCTACCTTTTTCAACAATGATCTCGCTTAGCTTCTTCAGGATCTCCCGATCTGAGCATGTCGGGTTTCAGATCGTGACTTGTTGGGATATCAAAGAAGTACAGATGAATCAATGTGAAGAGCGCAAGATGGCTCTCTTGCCGTCGAAAAGCATAAATACCACACAAACTTCTGAAGTGTGTCGTCTTCGTCCATCGACAATCATCTTGGTTCTTCCGTTCCTTCCAGGCTAGTCCTGCTGTCATTCTTTACATTCGCTTCTAGAAGTTGTGCCTGTGGCAAACAACGTACCTTCTCGCTCGTTCATTGCGTCAATTGTCTGGAACAATTTGACCTGCTCTGACTCATTGCCCCTACGGCCACTGTCTCTTTCTATTCTTTGAAGTCATCATGTTGTTCACCAAGCCCAGTGTGGTTGCTGCATCGGTGCTCTCGGCCTCGATGGTCCAGGCACATATGATCATGAACCACCCAGTCCCGTATGGCAAATCAACCCTCAACAACTCGCCCTTGGCTGCAGATGGCAGCGACTTCCCCTGCAAGCAACGCGACGGGGTGTACGACTGGCCTGCCGCGGACGAGATGAACTATTTCGAAACCGGGGTGTCTCAAGTCCTGAACTTCACCGGCATCGCCGTCCACGGCGGCGGTTCTTGCCAGGTGAGTCTTACCACGGATATGCAACCCTCCAAGGACACAGTCTGGCAGGTCATCAAGTCCTTCGAGGGGGGCTGTCCGGCCAACGTGGACGGCAATCTGGACGGTGACGCCTCGACTCCGGACCCCTATCAGTTCAACTTCACTATCCCAGCCGATTTCTCCGCCGGCAACTACACGCTGGCGTGGACCTGGTTCAACCGCGTCGGGGCCCGCGAGATGTACATGAACTGCGCTCCCATCACCGTTCTGGAGAGCGCAGCCCAGAAGCGCTCTGTCGCCAAGCGCACCAGCTACCCTGACCTCTTCGTGGCTAACATCAACGGCTGCACCACCACAGAAGGCGTGGACATCCGGTTTCCCAACCCCGGTGATGTGATCGAGTACGACGGCGAGGCCTCCCGTCTCGCGGCTACGGATGCGGCCGCCTGCACGGGGGTGTCTACTGCATGGGGCGGCAGCTCTGCGACGGCGGCTGCGTCCGTCACTTCCACGACCACCACCGCTGCAGAGATCACCGCCACCGCCCCCATCGTGGCCGTTGAGACCTCTGTTGCGGCCTCGTCTGTCGACAACTCCGCTGCCATCACCACCGCTGCTGCCCCCGCTGCGACAACGACCGCGGGCCGTCCCAACGGACACCAACAAAATGCTGTCACCACCACCACCACCACCGCCACCGCCACCGCCACCGCCAGCTCTTCCACCGGAACCGCTCTCTCTGGCGTTCTTACCGGCGCCTGCAACCCCGAGGGATCGTGGTGGTGCAACGCCGGTACTTCCTTCCAGCGCTGCGCCAACGGGGTCTGGACTCCTTCCCAGGATATGGCGCCCGGTACGGTCTGCACGGCGGGCCAGTCGTCTGATCTCACGATTTCTCTCGCCAAGAGCCGTCGTGATGAGCAGCGCATGCGTCGTCGTCAGGTCGCCTAGGTGGTTAAAGTTATCATGGGTTTGGGCGATGTACACTAGGTAGGGGGCATGACCTTCCATGTTGGTCTTGTCTTTTCTTGGGGTGGATGTATACTAGGAACCGGGATGTGGGGTATAGCTTTGGCAATGTCCATTAAGAGAATACTATGCTTCCGTCTCATATTAGAGTAAGGTACGCATATAAGTAAACTATTTTGCACATACCGTTGCTTACCCTATTCTGGCTGCTTCTATGAGGGCAGCACGTGAGTGACCCGTTACTTGGCGGTTATGCCAGATCTTGCTCTCTAATGGCTAAACTGCTAGTTCTTTTTACCCCGGTATATTCGAGGATAACAAATAGCCAATGATCTTCATTTCCTATCCGCATGGATCTTGTTCGGTCAGTTGTCTAGTGGTGAGTTCATGGCCCGTGCACCCGAGGGAATTGCCCTGGCAGGGCTACCGGAATGACCACCTGGCAGGCTACAGCCTTGACACACGAGCGCCATTCAATCTACGGAGCCTCGCAACTTATGCAGCTCCCCTGCCTTATGAATCACCTGGCAGTAGCCATTGGCCAGCCTCGTGGCCCGGGTGCGGGCAGGAAGCTTGGCTGTGGCCGCGGGCACCAATCCCCTCCAGCGTTAGATCGAGGCGGCCATCATCTGATAGATGTCCTTGACAGCCTTGCGATAAGATGAGAACGATATATATCGCTCCTCAACTGAACATCCCATCCCCTTCTGCAAACACAATCCCGCACTCTACCGTATTGCACGTGTTCTAGTTCTCACTTATTCTATTCTTGATTCCCCAGGATCAACAAAGTGAACAGTCCATCGCAATGTGCAAGACCTCATACGATTGTGGGTGCAGTGTCAACAACGGCAACGGCTGTAACTGCGGCACTGTGACCCAACGGAACACTGGGTACTGTATTGCTCACCAGTACGTCCATGCCATCTTCTTTCTCCTATCGTTGCTTTCCTTCTCTTCTCATTTTCTTATTGTTTCCGTGGTGGAGAGAGAAGAGCGTATAATTTCACCTGTATAGGTATAGATATAAGTTTAGACTAACAATTCTCACTCATTCTAGGAACGGGGGCGGTGGTGTCTACACCCGGCCACGCGGACAGCCGCGTTAGAGGCAGGCTATAAGGCAAGAAGACCGCTCTACTACATTGGACAGATTAATTGGAGCGCCGTCGTGTTAACAAGAAAGAGCAGGGTCGGGCTCAGCATCTCGATTTCATTATCCTCGCCGACGTCAGAGAGGTTCTGCCACCGTTGCTAAATGGGTAGCGGTTCGATCGGAGAGAGGATGAGCTGTTGGAGTTATGAGACTTATTGGGTATTGAGTAGTTGGAAACCTAAGTGCGCATTGCTACCTTTTTGACTTCAGTTGTGTAACGCCGCAAGCCCTACCGGGGGCGGGGCTGTCACCCACAATGCCAGATCTATCTTCATAAGCTTCAGCCCTATAGATTCATTATTGCTTTGGCCACTCAAAGCGTGTAGAAATACGAAGAAGACTGGTTTTACTCTATAGGTAGTTAGTAAAAGAAAAACTTCAACAGCTGGCCTGCTGGCCCAATGGTAAGGCGCTTGACTACGAATCAAGAGATTGCAGGTTCGAGCCCTGCGTAGGTCATTACTTTTTGCGCCCCCTGCTTAGTCATTCTTCCTCTAGAGGACCTCGTTGTGAACTTTGGTCTTATATCTAGTACTGAACTCTTCTATCTCACGATTGCTACGATTTAGCTACTCACTTTCGGGTGTTTCGGCGGTTATGAAAATGGGCGTATAATTATTCATGGTTCTAAGCAGATGTTGTTTTGCAGCCCCACCCGCGCGAGCCGGATATCCACAAGCTCGGCAGCTGAACTCCTGATACCGGTCTACGGGGACGGTGTCGATTGCGCAGTCATGTTCTGCATATGTTTACAGTTTGTGGTTGATCGTTTGCAGAGTTACCTTGTCTTCCTACCTAACACTGGTTGATAAGAAAGGGTGTCTTGCTAGGGGAAGTAAAGAAAAGAAGACTCATGGAAGATATGAGAAGGGCGAAACATATTTACAGTCGGACTCTTTGATTTCCCAGATTTGTCGTACCTGAGTATGGAATGACGATGACCTGGTTTCATCGCTTAAGGGACAAGGTGAGGAATGGCATGCACTTTTCATATGTATTGATTCTCTCGCACTCCTGCTGGTACATTTATAGTGTCACCAAAGCTGGTGGAGTATGGAAACATCCGTGGGTCTCGAGAGCTTTGGCAAGATAATCGGCGACTGTCCTCCGGCACAGCCTTGCCACCATGGTGGGAGGTCGAGGTGCATCAGTTTCGTACCTTGTGTGATCATGTCTGTTGAGCGGATGTGCTGTGTGCTCTAAGATATGTACTAGGTACACACTGTACAGCAAAGTATATCCAACTCCCTAGAATATATCGATGATAGCCAGACGACGACGACGGCTATCGTCTTCTGGAACACGATAATAACCCTTGTCAAACACCTTGATAGTTGCAACAAGTCCCTCATAGCCAAGCCAGTCTCATCGTAATCCTAGATACCGTCATTGAGAATATCCTTGTCATTGTGTCCTACACTTTTCTTTGACATATTCTTCGCATTGCTCCTAGGGATACGGTTATTGATTTACGCAGGGAGTAGAATTAAACTACTGGGTATAGTGAAAGGCTGGACTGCTCCCGATGATGTAATGAGAACCCAAGTACACCGGCCCGAAAATAGCCAATCGGAATCGCCGGTCCAGCATCACGCTCCGAACCTCTGCGGATACTATGGACATGTTCAGCTGCTGTACATAAAAAGGTATTTACAAATTCTGCAAGGCCCCGAATACCAGAGTAACGGTTCTACCTGCTATCATTAACACCAGGAAACAGAACAGAATGTCCACCTCACTCGAACAATACGTCTCCCACTTCGATGGCCGTGACGCCCTCCGAAAGGTCAAGGCACCGCTGCCATCCCCGGGACCGGGAGAGGTCCTCGTCAAGATCAACGCCGTGTCTCTCAACTACCGCGATATGGAAGGTACCGTCCCTTCCCTTACCCTTAGCGACCCACGAGTCGAGCCGGCACATAGCCAGCCTTAAAGTATACTCCAGCAGCAAAAGCTTACAGCCTTCCCAGTCATCCGCGGCGAATACACGCACCACCAGTCCGTCAGCCAGGGATCCGAAATCGTTCCCTGCTCTGACATGGCGGGAACCATCACCGCCGTCGGCGCCGGGGTCACCAAGTGGCAAGTCGGCGACCGCGTGGTCTCCACCTTCGTGCCCGACCACAAGACCGGGCAATTGACCGAGGCGGCGCTGAAGTCGAGCCTGGGTCTCCCGGAGAACGGGGTATTGGCCACGCACCGGATCTTCCGTCAGGGTTCGCTGGTGAAGACGCCCGAGCAGATGAGCGACGAGGAGGCCTCCACGCTTCCGATCGCGGCGGTCACGGCGTGGATGGCGCTGACGGGAACCAACCCGCTCGGTCAGCCGAAGGCGACGAAGGGGAAGTACGTCCTGCTCCAGGGGACGGGAGGCGTTAGTGTTGCGGGGTTGTTGCTGGGGAAGGCGTTGGGTGCGAAAGGTTTGCTCACAATGCCCTTTCTCCCATGGAGAATCTCATACCGATAAACCAAAACAGTGATCATCACCTCCTCGTCCAACGAGAAACTGGCCCGCGCCAAGGATTTGGGGGCGGACTTCGGCGTCAATTACAAGGAGCGGCCCGACTGGGAAAAGTACGTGATGGAGGTCACCGACGGCCACGGCGCGGATATCGTCCTCGAGACCGGAGGGTCGCAGACCATTGGCAAGAGCTTCGCCTGTGCCGCGTACGGGGGCCTGATCAATTGCATCGGGTACACCTCCGGCAAATCCCAAGCCGTGGGCGAGCAGCCGAATGTGAATGTGCTTACGATCAGCCGATGCCTGACTCTCAGGGGCTTTGTCAACGGCCCGAGGGACCGGTTTGAGGAGATGGCGCAGTTTGCGGAGCACCATGGGGTGCATCCGGTTATCTGCAAGACCTTTGGGTTTGATGAGGCGAAGGAGGCGTTCAAGTATATGGAGGCGGGGTCGCACTTTGGGAAGATTGTCATTAAGATTGGACAGTAGACGCTGTGTATGTATGTAAAGTCAATATAGCGGGTTCGGAATGATTCTTGAAGTTTGTTGAGTTGGTTGTAGGTCTAGTACTTATTTCTTACAAAGAATACGCGCATAGTACACCGGCAAAAAGGATATATGTTCACATGCGCTCAGTATCCGATATGCCTTCTAGTTCTTCTCCAGACATGGAATAAGAAGTTTGCCTATCGGCAGCACAGACCGATCTTGTTTAGGTTGCTGAATAAAAATATGATAGGTAGTATAACTAGGCGATATGAACCATGCTTCTTGGAGATAGGTATTGAAGTGGATGGTGGGTTCAACACATATGGTACTACATAGTGCTGACATTCCTTACGTCAAGTCTGTGGCGGTGTGAGTTCCACCGCATCCATAAACGCCTCGCTTACGCCCTCGCAGTAACTCGACCAGGCATCCCAGTTGATCAAATCCGCCCAGGCCCAATGTGCCTCATCGTCAACCTCCGGAAGCGGAGTTCTCTCCGTCCGCATAACAGGCCACGCGGAAGGGTCCGACAACACGTCATGCAATGGTTCACTCTCCGCGGTGGGAGCAGGCGTAGGGTGACCGGGACCGAGAACCTGCACCAGCGTATCGGTCTTGGTGCAGAGCTGTCGCGTGAGAGCAGCGGCTCGTGCTGCGGTGATGTTTTCACTACCAGCCAAGTCGAAGATTTCGAGAGCCAAGTCGAGGTGCGCTCTGGCTCGGGCGCACCGGTGGCAGTAGGGGTACGCGAGCATGAACCCGATGATGGTCAGTACGGCATTCCACTGGTACTGGTATATCTCCGAGAGGCCGTGCAAGACTTCGTATAGCCCCATTCGCTGATGGGTGGTTCGAATCATCGTCAAGGCGTGGTTGAGCGCTGTTGCAGCGTGGGCGTCGGCTTTGGGGTGTGACTTCGGGACGAACGGGTAGGAGGGGAACTGGACGAAGACGCGGTGTAGGCTGATGATGGCATTGTGGTATTGAAGTAGTAGTAATGTGCTCAGCAAGGTGACCATCGATGATTGGTCCCTGGATTGACCTTCAAGCTCCGGGGCATCTTGGGTATCATCGGGTGGTACGTCGGGTACCTCGAAGAATAAGTCGGGAAAAACCTGTGTTCGAGACACCGCATCACACCAGTCTTGGAGGTGGTATAGACTATCGGACAAACACTTTGCTCGTCTTTCGAGGTGCGCGGGGTCAACCGCCCCATCCAGCACGGAACGGTGACCCATGGCCTCGCTCACGGCCAAGGCAGCAGCTGTCAGGCGGATGGACTCGGTATGATAGAGCAGCCCATTCGACAGATGGACATCTTGTGGCTCTCTGTTAGGCATCAGCCATATAAGATTTTCGATAAGAACAGTGACCGGTTTCCCAACATGCCGCGAGCAGCGGAAGTCGAGGCAGACTAATGTCCACCACAGGCGCCGGAAGAGCTGGCATACTGGTTGTCCACGATGTCGGGCGTCCATATAGTTCATTGACTGGGCGATCCGCAAGGCTAGTCCCACCATATTGTATGCTGCCTGGTGATGTCCCGCATCGAGGAGGTATGTAGTCAGGTAACAGTAGCACTGAATGACGGGTAAGGAGGGGGCAGCGAACGTTGTGAGTTGGGTGACAGCTGGAAGACTGCGTTGGAAATAAGGCATTCCGACCGTCGACGACCTGCGCTCGAATTGTGGCCAATTGAAACCAACAAGTCTGGTGTGAAGTTTGGAGTGGTACACATAATGTAAAGCGACTGCCGTGACGGCATCTTGTAAGGGGGGGTGTCGGGAAGAGGAAGTCAGGTCCTTCCACTCCACAATCGGCATCAATGGTCGAAGACGAGACCAGAAAAAGCGCATCAAATGATTAATCTGAGAGGGAGATAGGTCACAATCTGGCCCCTGTGGTTCCGGTAGAACGGTGGATGGGAAAGGTGATATATGGCCCAGAGATGGATTGCTGCCCGGTGCAGTAGCGCTGGGGGACAACTGCGACTCTCCGCCACAGAAAGCATTGATACGAGCAATGAAGCCTAGAGTTGAGTCGATTTTGTGTGAAGTCCATGCCAGATTTGCCGATGCTGATGGCGATGGCGGCGGGACTGACTCCACGGGCTGGGCATCGTTGACCGGAGTTCTTTCTACTGAGGACCGATCCGCGGATTGTTTGAGAACTCCTCGGCCGGGGGGCTGAATGCAATTCCTCCTGCACCTCTGAGAAACCTTTCGCGGAGGATTCACAGGGCGAGATCGACGGCACACAATATTGTTGGCCACGCAAGGGGGACACGGAGTGGCAGCTTCGCATCGCACCCGGTGTTCGCGGCAAAAGTCGCAGGCCTTGGCAATCCTCCGACGCCGTGAGGCAAGTGTCGTCTGAGGAAATACATTCATTTGTATTTCCAACGAATCATACAAAGCGGTATATCGCAGAAGACTTTGCATAAGTATCGAGGAATGCTGGCAGCGCATCGAGTAATGAAGGGGCGGGGCGGGGTGGGGTAAAAAAATAGATTTTGGCCCAATGTGAGCTCACGGGTCATTGCTACTTACTTACTTACCTTCAGTACTGTAAATTACTTACTAAATACCCGGTACTACCTAGTACCTACCTAGGAGTACTCGCTCACTCAGGTCACGGGTACCTATCTAGTAATTTACCTCCTTTACTGTCGTACTAATTAATCTATCAATAGCTATCTATTGCTATAGCTCCTATCGACTACTGCAGCCATCTCTTTGGCGTTTGTCGTCGCAAATTTGTGCTGCCGCCGGTGCATTGCTTATCATGACTGGATGCGATTAACCTATTTAGGAAAATTGGGGGTAGATGCCCTATATACAGATATGGCCGAGATTATGCAAACGAAAGATATTAACCGCAAATACGTTCCATCTGCATGCTACTAAAAAGCAGGAGTCCCTGCGAGTTAGAAAATACAGAATTAGACCTTCGCAGCCCCCACATACGACGATTCAGTTCTTGGACCGTTTGGGACATGCACCCGGAAACCTGCAAATAAGCCAACAGCGCCCCTCGGTAAATAGACATCAGAACCTCATATCTGGCTTCTCAACATGTCGACAGTGTCTCTTCCCCTTAACTACGAGTAAGCTGAGAAAAAAATGCTTAGGCGAGGTGCTGCTTTCTAACTGAATGGGGTCTCTAGATCGGCTTTGACAACGGAATACCTCAGAGGTTTAGCCCAACAATGGAATATATCCTTTAGCTCTGAAGAGGAAGAAGCAACCTACCTCCTCCTACTTCAGTCAGCCGAGGCGGTGCACCGGCAAATCGTCGACTTGCCTGACTTTGATCATCCGGATCTTCTACCCCTTGCCACCGCCGAGGTGCGGCAGTTCTGGAAGCCTGACTTTCGTGACAATCCTTGCAATGCCTGGAGTCATCGATGCAGTTTCCGCGCTGCCCATCCAACATCATCCTTGTTGAAAGGTCGGAGTGTCGCATTCAAGGATAACATCAGCGTGGGCGGCCTTCCCACTACCGTTGGGGCGTTCTCGACACTCGTGTCAAGAGACGCCCGCTTTCCGATTTCCCCCATCGATGCTACAGTGGTGAAGCGTGTGCTCGAAGCGGGTGGAATCCTGAAGGGAACCGCCACTTGCGAGATGTACTCGGCCGCACCGCTTTCTTCGACGTCTGCGAGCGGCCCAGTACATAATCCCTGGGCACCTGGACATACTAGCGGAGGAAGTAGCAGCGGTTGTGGGTGCTTGATGGGCATGAACGCAGTCGATCCCAATCAGGATCAGCCAAATCTCGGCGACAGGGCGGATCTCGCCATAGGTGGTGACCAAGGGGGGTCAATTCGGATTCCTGCTTCATACTGTGGGGTATACGGGTTGAAGCCCACGCACGGGTTAGTTCCCTACACGGGAGCAGTGACCTTAACCCCTATGATTGATCACTTGGGATCTATGGCCAGCACGCTGAGGGATATCGCCATCCTGCTCCAGGTACTCGCCGGATACGATGGAATTGACCCGCGCATGACACCCGAATCGCCGCTTCCTACCGCTGTGCCAGACTACCCTGCCATCCTGGACGACGTTCGAGTGGAACAAGGCCGCAAGCTGCGAGTTGGCCTCTTGAAAGAAGCATTTGAGGTACCCGGTATGTCACCTCAAGTCCGCACGGGTGTGTACGATGCTGCGGTCGAGTTCTTCGGAGCTGTAGGTGCGACTGTCGTCGAGGTGTCCGTACCACTCCACGCCCAAGGACCTATCATATGGACGGCCGCAACCCGAATGACCATGAGTGACTGGGGATGCCAGTCATTGATGCCGGGCTTTCTTTCTTACAATGCGCCGCATGTCGAGCTCAGATGGCCTCCCGACCAGGAAATGCACAACCTGTTGACAGAGAACAATCCGAGCATTATGAATCTGATCTTCTCAGCTGCATATCTTAAGGAGACGTTCCCTTCCAAACTGGTTGCCAAGGCCCATCGCAAGGTTTTCGAGCTGAGGAAAGCTTACGATGATGTCCTTGTGGACTTTGATGTGCTTATAACCCCGACTACTCCAACACTATCATCCCCGCATCCGGAAAGCCTAACGGACAGAGTCAAGGCGGCTGTGGGGATTGTTGCCTGTCCTTTTAACGTCACTGGTCATCCGGCTCTCAGTGTGCCTTGTGGCTTTGGCGGCGCCGAGAAAAGGCTCCCGTTCGGGATGCAGATTGTGTCGAAGCGCTGGGGTGAGGAAACGGTACTCCGGGCTGCGGCGTTGTTTGAGCTAGGGAAAGAGGCGTTGCGTACAAACAAATAGACTGTGTATATTAGAGATAATACTACACCGTAGGAGATGTTCAATCTGTACGCAGGATTCACAAATATCATTCATTATTGCTAGTTCTCCTATACCTCTTAGCATCGAAAAGCCTCTGCGGCACGCACAAGAATCTATACAGCGGCGAACTGATCTTCCTACGACTACTCATAGTTCTAGGCTACAATTGTAGAGATAAACTGATAACGGCTCTTGACCAATCAAGGAATTTGGGGCATATAGCTTCTAATGGCTAGGAGACATACTCCACTCCTGGCATATCGCCACAACATCAAGCAGACAAAGGACATCGGCCAAGACATCCCTATCTTTGTCTAGATCCGTTATCGAGATAACATAGGATCCTATGACACTCACCAAGTTTGCATAAATAGTGTCATGTAGTACCTACTGCTGCTGTACCAAGTATCAAACCCAAGTCTCGTCTCTCCCTCGCACATCATGCACGACACAGTCGCACCCGAAAAGGGCCACAAATCACCCAACGACGAAGATGCTCCCTCGATCTATGACCAGCAGGTGGGTACCATGGAGGACAACGAGATATTTCGAACCACCAGTGGCAAGAACGGGGTCAATTTCCGAACCCTAACGTGGCCCATGGCTGCAATTCTCTTTCTCAAGGTTCAATTCTCGACCGGTGTCCTGTCCATACCCACGGCTATGTATACATTGGGGGCATTGGGTGGCAGCCTGAGCGTCATAGGCTGGACCCCATGGACCGAGTACACCGCGATCATCATGGGGAATTTCCGAACTCGACATGGGGGGTGTCACAGTATCGCCGACATGGCAGAGATAGTGGGGGGTCGATTTCTGAAGGAGACTATTGGCTTACTGTTCATCTTCGCCAACGTCCTTTGCGCTGGCTCTGCCATCATCGCCATCTCAACTGCCTTGAATGCTCTCTCGCATCACGCGGCGTGTACAGTCTGGTGGGCCCTGATTGCAGCTGTATCGATCGCATCGTGTGCCTCGGTTCGAAAGCTCGAGAATCTGACATTTCTAACATGGGCTGGGTTCGTATCAATTTTCAGCGCGGTCCTAATCGTCGTCATTGCTGTTACGATCCCGGACCGACCAGCAGCAGCGCCTCAAACCGGCCCGTTTGAACTGGGATTTTACGCATTCCCCGTTCCAGCGCCCACCTTCGCCGAAGGGCTGGTGGCTACGTGCACCATCTTCGTATCCAGCTCAAACACCGGCGCTTTCATCCCGGTTATCTCGGAGATGAAGAAACCCAAGGAGTACAATAAGGCCATCTACACGTCAATGACCAGCCTTACCGTGCTATACCTTGTTTTCGGTCTCGTCGTGTATCGCTATTGCGGCAAGTGGGTTGCAAGCCCGTCTCTAGGCGTAAGTGCGGTCTTCCTACCCTTGAACATGTATTACAGCATAGCGGTAACGCCCAATATAGTCCGCCGGACAAACCATCAAGATGGTTTCCTACGGGGTTGGCCTCCTCGGCCTCATCGTAACCGGCTGTCTCTATACCCATGTAAGTGTCGCGCCTCCGCATCCACACCGGACCAAGCAAAGCACCCCTGACAGCGCCAGATCGGAGCAAAATACACCTTTGTCCGCATCCTCCGCAACTCGCGCCATCTCCAAGACAGCACAGTCACGCACTGGATTACCTGGCTAAGCTGCACATTCGGCATCGCGACCCTGGGCTTCATCCTCGCCGAGTCGATCCCCATCTTCAACTACCTCCTTGCCCTGCTCGGAGCGATCGTCTTCGGCCCCGTCACGCTGGCCTTCCCGGCTTACCTCTGGCTGTATGATCACCGCGGGTATTGGCGCGAGTCACGGCGCCGGAAAGCGCTGTATGCCTTCCATGCGTTCTTCATCCCGCTCGGGTGTTTTGTCACTGTAGCGGGGACGTATGCGGTTTGTCTGCAGATTCGAGATGCCTATGCGAGTGGGCAAATCAGTAGGTTTTGCTGAACTTCCTTTGGATTGAGGAGAGTGTTTGAGGCTAATCAGTCCTGATCAGGTTCGGCGTTCTCGTGTGCGGATAACTCCAATTCGTCTTGAAAAGGTGGAGCTTGATTGCTCGCGGACGCTGGAGAGGAAGACTGGGTAGGTTGGAAGGAGTGGATTCTATGCATTAGAGTGACGATATTCAATCATCGCAATAATCAAAGTAATAGATACGGGACCTGCTCTTTTTGAATGGCTAGATCCAGCAATTGAGGGCTTTTATGTCGCTGTCCCACGCGAGTATTGAAGCCGAAGAATTCATATGTGCTCCCCACCTGGCCACTATAAACAAGTCCTTTGCCAGGACCAAGATCCATTCAGCGCTTACGTACCCTCCAATTGCCCTGCTTTACCATTTGCCGAGTGGCCGCAATGGTATTCTGTAGTGGTCGAGATACTGTCCACCCTTATCACAACGATTTAGTTGGTGACGCCTTGTGATATGGTTATCAACAAATATTATTCTGATATCCCTTTTCTACTACACTTCCTAGTTCCTCTGATACTTCTTGATCATCACCCATTTTGTATTAAGTCTTATCCTTTTGAGTGATATCAATATAGACTATCTTTGCCTATATTCTCCTCATCGCTATAACAACGCACACCGAGTTTTGTTTAGGAAAATTGATTCGTATATCGGGCGAAATTGCTTGGTGTGGAAATTGTTATAGCGATGATTGTTCCACCGAGGGAACACAGTACAGACCAACATCAATACGTGGATTTGTACACGCAGTCCATAAATCTTGTGCCATCGAATTCTCATCCTATTTCAGTCCATCTAATTAATCGTATACCCCCCATCGACCACGAGCGCATGCCCCTGCACAAACGATGAAAGCGGGGAGCAAAGAAACACCACCACGTTGGCCACCTCCTCCGGCGTGCCCATCCGCTTCATCGGCGCTATGTCAACCGCCGGCTTGAACCGTTCCGCCCGCTCAGGCGACCCCATCGCCATCGAGGTCGCTACGATCCCCGGGCAGACACAGTTGACTCGGATCGAATCCCGCGAGTAATCGATCGCGTCCGCGCGGGTCATGTGGATGATGGCTGCTTTGGAGCCGCAGTAGGGTGCTAGAGACGGGGGTCTAGAGTTAGCCATTGGTCCCTTCCCGGGCAAGGGGGTAAAAGGTACCAGCGCCAGCACGTGCCACAACCCCTAGTTGACTTGCAATGTTCACCACTGCGCCTCGCTGGCCTGGGTGCTTGGGGAGCGGCTCCTGCGTGACCATTTGGGCGAATGCGGCCCTTGAGCACAGCCAGACGCTGCGATAATTTACCCGGTTGATACGATCGAATGTGTCAATGGGGGTCTCCGAGGTGCGGAGGTCCGCACCTAGGATCCCGGCGCAGTTGACGAGATAGTCCAGACGGCCGTATGCGTCGATGGCTTGACTGACTAATGAATCGACAAAGGTCTCGTCCGAAATGTCACCTGGGACCGCCAGAACTCGGGCCTCGGAGCAGAGGGCACATATGGCCTGTTTGGTCGCGTCAAGGGACGCAGCGTTGAGATCGGTGATGGTCATGCGGTGGCAGCCGGCCAGCGCGAATGCCTTTGCGATTGCGGCGCCAATGCCGCCTCCCACGCCGGTAATTAGGGCGGTGCCGGGGAGGTGTATGGTGATTGACGACATGGTGATGGGATTGTGCGTCGGCTGAAATCTGGTCCTGTATCTCTGTACTGTAGCTGGGAAATAACGGATAAGAGGGCCTTCGGCGTGGTATAGTACTACTATATCTAGACAATTGTATGGATTCAACCCATTTGTCAGCCATGCTAGTTAGCTTGTGAGGAGGTCCACGGTCATTTGGGGTATGTCCGTAACAGGAAAATCGGAGGCGGGGCTCTGGGGAGGGCTGGGCAGGGCTGGGCAAACTACAAACTCCATGAATGCTCAGTAGATAATCTTATCATCCGTGCAAGAGTTTACCTAGTACTGGGATGGTTGAGGGTAACTCCCCTTTTGTGATGACGACAAAGAGGTGGACCCTCTATCATAGACCCCCAGCCAATTGGAAATCCTGGATCATGTACTCAGCTGCCGCATCCAGCCCCACTGACGAGTCGAAGTCCATGACCCACAAATTGTCGAGGATAAAGAAGAGCTGGGAGAAGTGAACATTCGTGCTCTCGAATTCACAAGAAGCGCAAATGTTGTTTTAACCCGCTGTTCACTTGATTTCGTCACCTAGTCGCGGCGCAATGTCCCACCACGTGTTGATTACTGGAGCTTCGGGCTACCTGGGAGGAACACTCCTCGCTCGACTATCGACCCTGCAGCTGGCCGGCCTCGGCAAGATCTTTGCTCTGGTGAGGACAGATGCGCAGGCGGATGCTTGCCGGCGATATGGCGCGGAGCCGCTGCAGTTCGACGCATACGACCAAGCAGCCATCCGCAAGGCGATCGTCGAAAGCCAGATCACCATCGTCTATTTCCTGATCGATTGCGACAAGTTCGAGAACCAAGAGTTCTTCATCCAAGCCCTTGCCGAGTCTAGGAGGATTACTGGGTTGGAGGCTCACTTTATCTTCGTGCGTCTAGATTCCAGACTATAAGTATCCACTGGAACATGTCTCTCAGCTAATGTGCCTCGGGCGCTTTCTAGACCACCGGAACAAAACAATTTGGCAGCTACTGCGGTGCGCCAACTGATCGGCCTCTGCTAGATACTGATCCAGAGTTGTATAACATCCAGAAGTCCCAACGCACCGAGCATCCATGGGGTCAAACTGTACGCACACTCCGCTGAGTGGCAACTGGGCGCGGAACCCACAGCTGATTATTCGCTAGTCCGTCCAGGTGAATTGCAGCGTCATCGACAAAGGGCTGGAGTACGGTGTACGAACATACATCTTCTCGCCCTGCATGGTTTGTAAGTCTTCTGCAATCAACGTCGTCACCCCAGCAACTCTGACTGGTTGGTCGGAACAGATGGAAAGGGAGAGGGATTCGGAAACCAAATCTCTATCCAGGTCGTTGATATCGTTCGGGCCGCTAAGGCAGCGGGCCGTGTTTATCAAGTCGAATCCGAGCAGAATGTAAGTATTGTATTTACTTCGCGCGCCTGGCAAGGTCGTCTCGACGGTACTAACCCACGGCAGGCATGGCCTGTATGCCACATTACGGACAACACGAACCTCTACATCCAGATCCTTCGGTCAATTGTCGCGGGCAAGAATCCTGGATACGGGAAAAATGGCTACTATCTCGCATCATCTGGCCGCGTGGCTTGGAATCATGTTTACGAAGCAATGGCCGCTGCTTTGGCTAGACGAGGTGTCATTGACGACGCGACGGTCGTTCAAGCCGATGATGCCGCGCTGGAGAAGATGGCCGCCGCCTTGGGGACATACAGCTCGTTCGTGGGGGCGAGAATCGCCGGGCAGTAAGTCATTTCCACGCCCTATGTGGCCCTTATCTTACTAACGATCTCGATTTCAAGGTCTACATATACTGCAGAGCATGGAAAGAGAATTGGCTGGGCGCCTCAATACCCGCCTCAGCATATTCTAAGTGCTGCGGACGACGAGGTGGACTTCATACTAAAGAATCTGAAGTAGGTCTGCATGATGGACTGAAAAGAGGAGGGGGAAGGGACTGTCTGTTATCTATGAATATTTCTGTAGGAATTTTCGTCACGTCGGGTTACCCAAGGACATCAAGAATTAAATTCAATGATCCGGCAAGTATCCACGAGTGGAACGCCCAAGAACACGTAGGTGTGAGTGTATGTCTAACCTTTTGCGGTAATTCGGAGGCAAGCCGGCAGGTAGCTTCTATGCGTCTTCAGAAGCGTTATCGATATCTATCACTTACAACAACTTTTGACAAACAGCCTACACTGAGGGAGGAGTCGCGGTCTATATAGCACCACAGCTGCCATAATTATTTAGACTTAGGCTTTCATCGGAAAAATAAAAGTGATCAGTCGGGCTAACCGGCCACACCTCCCAACTCTTCAATCATATGCGGATATGGCGTCTCCAAAAATCCAGATGCCCATCCCACCTTCGACCTCAGAATCGGACCCGGTCGAATTTGTCAGGAGACCGCAGCTTGGGAGCAAGTGCAAGTACTTGATCCTGTTTATCATAAGTTGGAACACCTTGGTGGTCACCTTCCTGAGTACTTCTTTGCTCGTCGCCACACCCGAGATCTCGACCGAGTTCGACACAACCTCTGAGACCTTAAACATTACGAACGCCGGCGTCCTGGTCTCTATGGGGTGCTCCTCCCTGATATGGCTACCGCTAGCTAAGCTGTTCAATCGGAAAAAAAGTTACGATGTTGCGACTCTATTCATGTTCGCGACATCTATTGGGACAGCCCTGGCACCGGATCTGAGGACCTTCACTGCGATGAGAATTCTATCGGGCCTGACAGGGACATTCTTCATGGTCGCAGGCCAGAGTATAATTGCAGACATTTTTGAACCAATCTTCCGTGGCCGTGCTGTTGGCTGTATGCAAGTCGGAAGCGTCGCGGGCACTGCGCTAGGTATGTCTTTCCTGAACCCAACATCTACGTCATATGTGTCGGTTTAACGAGTGACTAGGTCCATGTATAAGCGGTGTGATAGTGATATTTAGTCACTGGCGAGACATCTATTGGCTACAGGTAGCCATGGCGGGCTTTGGCTCGGCCCTCGCTGTCCTCACCATTCCTAGCATCGAAAGCGAGGTGAAGCAGGTCTATGAAGATGAGAAAGCTCGGATCACAGTCCCATACGTTCTGCAAGCATTCAACCCGATCGGAGTTTTTAAGCTATATCGTCTTCCTCAGGTCCTGCTCTCAGACCTGACATGCGGGTTCCTGGCCGTGACTCAATACGGGGTTCTGACCTCTGTCAGGAATGTCATCAACCCGCGCTTTGGCTTTAGCTCCCCCTTAGTCAGCGGACTCTTTTATATATCTCCTGGAGTGGGTTTTGTTCTGGGAAGCCTGATTGGAGGGCGTCTCTCCGACCAAACTGTGAAGCGCTATATCACCGCCCGGGGCGGAATCCGCCTGCCAAAAGATAGACTGAACAGCGGGTTACCATACCTCTTCATCGTCTTGCCAGTTTCTATGGTCCTCTATGGATGGTGTCTACAGAAGGGCTTCGGTGGTCTGGCTTTGCCAGTCGTCCTAGCGTGCTTGATTGGCGCCGGACTTATGGGGGCTTGGAACGGCTTGAATACCTACGCTGCGGGTTTGACACTCTTCCCTGGAGGTTCGTTCCGATACTAACATATACCAGAGGTGATTCCTACCCAACGATCCGAAGTAGTGTGCAGTAAGTACGCTCTCCAGTATGTGTTTGGGGCAACTGCAACCGCTGCTGTGATGCCCTTGATCAATGCCATCGGGATCGGCTGGTCATTTACCATATGTGAGTTCCGGTGCCGACTGAGTTAAGTAAGCAATTGACAATGGCAACTGACTAGTTTAGTCGCTGTACTTAAAGCCCTTGGTGGAGTGATCTTAGTCATCATTGCGAGAATAGCTCCGGACAGGGGAATCTGGGTTTACAAAGGTTAGATGACATCGGGGATGTGGATAGGTGACGCACTCGGCGACGTGAGGTTATCTTAATCGCCTGGCCAGCGAGGCAGTAGGCCCACTGACAAATAGCGTCAGGGTACTAAGCATAAGTGATTGGTAGGATCATGCTGGATCTTTGACGACTCCGATCATTCCTATTGGTCGCCAGTAAGCTTATCATTTACTCCTCCAAGTTCCAAGTCGGCATATCCAATTACATGAGTCTGTTGGGCCAGTGACCAACGTACCTACTTAATGATGATCTCGCAATCATTCCACGATCCCATTCCTACTCATCTTATCTTCATGCGTTCTTCTGGGGTCAAATTGAATTCAAAAAAATGTCACAGGGTTTCTGCTGCATCACTTTTAGTGCAGATCAACAAGACCAGGCCGGGAGACCCCATGCTTGCCCCAAGTGCCAGAGGCAATTTCGTCGCCTCGAGCACCTGAAACGCCACGCGCGAACTCGTACGTGTACCGCCTAATGCTCAAGTCTTGTTGTAACAGATAGCCTAGACACTAAAGAAAGGCCATTCACATGCTCCTGTGGGGTATCGTTTACTCGCAGGGATCTCCTGAAGCGACATACGAAAGTGTCCCACCCTTCACCGCAGGCGACTGGACGGAGTACTTACCAGGACTTTGGTACTGGCTCAGCCGAGGAGGGGGGAGGTCAGCCTAACGCAAGAATAGTACAGAGACCCGAAGACAGTCTCCATCTAACAGAATATCCTACTGTCCCTACGACCTCTGATGATCATGGTGACGAGGGCCAGCAGTTTTTTGTACACACTGATTCAGTCGGAGACTACCGAGACGACTTCACTGTGGAGGAGGCCATTCATCTACAGGATCCCGGCTCTCTTAGTATGACGGAGGATTCACGCCTAGAAGGCTTGGAGCAAGTATGGGAGATGCCTCAGATGCTGATGGAGTATGAACCCACTGGTTGGCAGAGCACCTCGAATCAAAGGCATCACCTCGCTCAACAGCCTTCCCAATGTGGGCGATTTCGTCCCGCAACCGATGAAGTCGCCGATCCGGTCCCCGGACACGGTCTTAGGACTACCCTCAAGGCTTGTAGGTTTCCATCACCCCAACCAGCCATCCGAGATATCAGCATTGGGCTCATTCAGACCTGGGCTGGCTCTAACAAGACTCCGTCAGACGCAGGTAGAGAGCTCGTTTCTAAGCATCTTCACCGACGGTTACAAGACTTGCTCCTCGAGTACACGGGGGTTCTCCCCGGATTTAAGCTCCCCTCGCACTCTCGGCTCGACCGGTACGTGAAGAGCTACTTTGACGGCTGGACACGGCATCTATCTTTTTTGCACGAGTCAACCCTTGACTTGGAGGCCCAGTCCGCCGAATTTGTTCTAGCGCTTGCGAGTCTCGGTGCCCAATGGTGCCTCGAACAGCGTAATGCGCTGAATTTCTACCTAGCATCCATGGCCATTCTACGACGAAGAGCCATGTTCAATAATCAGTTCCCGGGCTCTGGACGCAAGCCGCTCTTTACACCGGAGCAAGCTTATAACCATCTGAGCACCTCGGTTGTTCTTCTTGGGTACGCGCCGTGGGAGTCGCCGGAAGTTTTGGGGGATATATCAGCCCTCGTTTGCATCGTCACTCCGTGTATCGAGATTGTGGGCATGAAGGAGGGTGATAGCACTGACACGAGTTGGCACGGCTGGGTAAAGCAGGAAAGCCGCCGCCGCCTGTGCTTCGTGGCATTCGTGCTTCTTGAGACCTTGAGTCTTGCCTATAACTTGCCTCCTGCGCTCTTAGGCAGTAGGCTCGGCTTAACACTACCCTGCGAATCAAGGCTGTGGCACGCCGACACTGCACACGACTGGGCAATTCTCAAGGCTGCATCTGGAGCCGAAGACCGGTCTTTATACCGCGATGCGCTGTCCGCAATCCTGCAATGGCAGCCCGGGCAGCCAGCTCCTGGCTTCCAGATGACAGCTCAGGGCGGGTATTTTCTTATCCACGGACTGCTGCAGAGAATCCAGTTGCTGCGGGAGATATCTGTCCCGCTCATAGCACAATATTTCTGGTTTTGTGTCATGTTTTCAAAGGATGTGTACGAGATGGCTAACGCGGATGTATGGTGAAGACCACGAGGGGACCATCTTGGTTCGTATCCGACAAAATATGGTAGATGGCTATAACTCCGTGGATCGGCCGGCGGATGTCTTTGTCTTCGGTGAGACAAAGAGCCCCTCGGAGTGGAATTGCCAGCAACTAGGGCTGGGGGTGCTGGCTGTCTGGAGCCGGGTTTTGAACCATGACAGCCCATGGTCAATCTTAAGCGTGATGGGGGCGAGCCTGGATCGGTATGCTTCAAGACTTGCTCGGCGTAGTAGTCTCACTGCGTAGGGGTCTGGGTGTCTAGAAGCCTACTGCTTTGAGTGTTGAGATAGTTATGGCTTGATGAAGCCATTCATTGATTCACCTACCACATAATAGAAGCCTAGAAGCCGAGCTATCTATATCTGAACTCTTACTCCCCGTGTCACCGAAGCTATACCCCAGGGTCAGTCCCTCACAAGCCCCCATTAACCTCCCAAACTCCACCATTCACAAACCCAGCCTCCTCCCCGAACAAGAACCCCACCACACTCGCCACCTCCTCAGGCTTGCCCAGCCTCCCGAGCCCAATCTTCTGCTTAACCTTGTCATTATACCCGCTATCCCCGACCACGTTGCCCCACATCGTCGGCGTATCCACCGGGCCCGGCGCAACAGCATTCACCCTGACCCCGGCGCTCCCGACCTCCAACGCCAGCGCCTTCGTGAAACCCACCACGCCGAACTTGGCCGCGCAGTAGATCGACATCCCGTCGGCGCCGCGCAGGCCCAGATCGCTGGCAATGTTAATGATTGTGCCGCCGCGTGGGATGTAGGGCAGGCACGCGCGAGACATGTAGATGGTGCCGAGGAGATTGGTGGACATGAGGGTTGCGATGTAAGTGTCCGAGGTGGCCGGGAGGGGGAGGGCGGTGGGGTTGATGCCCGCGCAGTTGCGAAGGCCCGTTATGTGGGTGTGGTGGGTGCGGATGGTTTCGGCGGTGGCGGTGCACGCGGCAGGGGAGGATACGTCAAGTGTGTAGGTGGTATGTTGTTGAGCTGAGAGAGATTGAAACGAGGATCCAGGAGAAAGGCTCTGCAGGGTCTCTTGGAGGTTTGGGGTGTTGATGTCGCAGAGGCAGAGGGTTGCGCCTAGGGCGGCGAGTTTCTGGGCTGCAGCGCGGCTGTTGAGATTGCAGGGAAGTGGGTTAGCTTTTTGGAAGTGGTGGGAGAGGTTGCGCTGCTCAGGATAGGATAGGATGTTGAAACTGGATTTGCACTCGTGCTTGCTCCGAGGGAGACCTGGACTTACCCAACGCCGCTGGCTGCGCCGGTGATGATGATGACTTGGTCGGATAGGGGGAGGGCCATGGCTCAGTGATGCGAGATGTTGAGGCTTCGTCAGAGGGATCTTGGGCTATATTGGTGAGGTTTGGAAGTGTGGGGCGTTGCATTATGTTATGGTAGGTACTGTAGCTTCTCTACTGGTCTCGACAATCTTATCACGTCTTTCTCCACAGGGCAATGTCCCCATTTTCCCTTTTCGGGTAATCTGGGGGGTCGGTGGACATTGGATTATGGGGCCCACTGGTTGGATACACGCGAGATAAGCAAACGTCTTGATAGCCGAACTCTACTATCTCCCCGCAGCTTACATGCACAGTTTACATACATGCGCTCTATAAATGTATCGGTTGAGCCGCGGTCATGTTGGCTTCACCCTACTGAAACATCCTTCCCAGCAGATCCTCAGTTTCGATCTTCAAGACAAAAGCCACCGCTACCATGACGAATAAACGGGTTCTGATCACCTATGGTGTCGATGTCGATGCTATCTCCGGCTGGCTGGGTTCCTACGGCGGAGAGGATTCGACCAGCGATATCAGCCGCGGTGAGGTCCCTTCTAGCCTCCATCGCCGGCATGACTGACTGAGAGCGGTATAGGCTACTTTGCCGGTACTATCGGAACGCAGCGGATGCTGAAGCTCTTCAAGAAATACAACATCAAAGCCACCTGGTTCATTCCCGGCCATTCTCTCGAGACCTTCCCGGAGGATATGGCGGCTGTGCGTGATGACGGCCATGAGATTGGCTTGCATGGGTACTCCCATGAGAATCCCAAGGACATGACCTTGGAGCAGCAGCGGGATGTTCTGGATAAGAGCTACAGGCTTTTGACCGAGTTCTGCGGCAAGCCACCGCGCGGGAGTGTGACACCTTGGTATGTCTTCTCGAAGTTGTGTTGGACCGTGATTCGACGCTGACAATTCTGTCGCTCCAGGTGGGAAGTCAGTACCGAGGGCGTGAATCTCTTGCTAGACTACGGCATCGAATACGACCACAGCCTGGGCGACCACGATTGTCAATGCTTCTACACGCGGGTCAACGACCGCTGGACCAAGATTGACTATTCCAAGAAGGCCGAGGAGTGGATGAAGCCGTTTGTTCGTGGCAGTCCCTCCGGTCTGGTGCAGATCCCCGGGACCTGGTATATCGATGACCTGCCGCCGATGATGTTCATCAAGAACTCGGCGAATAGCCATGGGTGGGTCAACCCAAGAGATGTGGAGGACATCTGGCGGGACACGTTCGACTTTTACTACGAGGAATACGACGAGTTTGTCTTTCCGATTACGATCCATCCGGATGTTTCGGGGCGTCCCCAGGTGTTGAAGATGCATGAAAGGTATGTTCCCGGGCAACACATGCTTCGCTTTTCTTGCGTGCCAAGGGACACGGCATCGTATCGGTAATGAGAACTAACTTCCTGCTAGACTGATCAACTACTTCCTGAAGCATGAGGGGGTTGAGTTTGTTACCTTTGCAGAGGTTTGTGACGATTTCAAGACCAAGAATCCGCCGCCACCGGGTGCTGTGCTGCCCACAGATCCTGCAGTTGTTGCGAAGAAGCTAGAGCTTAAATAGGCGTCGGTATTGATCTTTGGAGAATTAAGATGGATTTGTATACAGAACACGAATCGTGCGCAAGCTATGTATATTGCAGAGTCGGCGTCGTCCCCGCACTGCTCTGGACCACTGTACTTTATAAAAGTAGATATATCTAGTAATAGTCTTGGTACTACTGGCAGCCAGTTGAGAAATCGTTATATATTGATCAAAGCACAGCTGTACCTGTTCAAAATGCATTTCATGTAATGACTGATCTGCATATGGTTTAAGGATATGGTATCGAGCAGTCATGAAAGTAGTGGTTAACAGATCTGAGCTGATAACACAGAGTCCTAATGAGTTACTCTAATGAGTCACTCTAATGAGTTATCAGTAATTCAAAGTAGTGGGTTTGACATCAAATGTAAATCGTAGCAGCCAAGACTATACCTTATTGCAACCCTGACCCGCGTACCACGATGCATTTCTATATCTCCACAAGACTATCTCAACACTTCCCATCAACACCTACGACCACCCCTTGCGCTTCCAAGCTAACCCTACTACTCCTCCCACTTTCCTCCTGCCCTTCGTCCTCCCCCTCGCTCTCCCCCTCCCCCCCAAACCCCACATTCCACTCCCCAAACACCGCCAGAACCGTGAACGGCACCGTAACCCCCCACAACACAAACCCAAGCACCATCTGCTTCTCGTTCGGCCAATGCGTCGCGCCCACCGCATACGCAATGGTACTCCCAATCGACTCCCACGAGCGCAGGATGCCCGTCGTGCGCGCGACGTCCCCATCGCCGCTGGCGCCCTTGATCTCCGCCATCAGCCAATAGATATACGTCTGCAGCACCTCGTAAAAGAACTTGAAAAACATGTACACCGTGAAAGCGGAGTTGAAGAAGGCACCGTCGCCCAGATCGAAAGTGGGCGGGTCGTCCATGCGCGCCAGGCGGGTCTGCACGATCGCGTTCCAGGTCCAGGCTGCCGTTACGAAAACTAACACAAAGATGTAGACGCCTCTCGAGCGGGCTTGGCGGGACAGCGAGGGCAGGTCGAGGATGAAGCCCGTCAGGAGGTTGGCGGCGGCGCCGACGACGGCGGTTAGGAAGGAGGCTAGTGCGCGGGAACGGACGGTAAAGTATGCTTTTTCCCAACGTTAGTATGTCTCTTTCATGGGGGAGTGGAGGGTGGGAATGGAGGGAGGCGTACTGGTAAGATAGTTGCCCTGGTAGGTTGTCCCGAACTGTCCAGCTAGAAAGACCGGGATCAGGAGCAGCATGTACTTGTTGTGCAGCTGCTTCCAGATGGCGCGGGCTTCGATCTTCAGGCTTGTGCGCCGCATGTAAGGGATCGGGGTGCCGTTGCTGCGGACTACCTGCTGGGGCTGGGAGAGAAGTAGGGCGAAAGGCGCACCCAGAGACGAGATGGCGACCAGCCCTAGGTAGGTGGTGTAGGTGACCTTGCCGGCGTGGGCGGTGTTGATGTTCAGCGCGAGGGAGATCGCCCCGCCTACCAGGGGGCCCATCTGCCGGATTCCCATCCAGATTCCAACGTATCTACCGAGAGCATTAGACGACGCGGTGGTTGGAGGAAGAGGGATGGGTGACGTACCGTCCTCGCTTTTCTTCTTCGGGGTAGCCGACTGCGATGGCAGCTTCACTCGCCCACAGAAGCGAGGCTCCAATGCCACACAGCGCAGCCCCGAGGAGCAGAAACCACTCGTTGCCGTAGCGGTTATTGCAGTACAGTGCCGCGGCGTACGGAGTGTAAAAGGCGGCGCCGATGAAGAGGGTCCATTTGGCGGTGATCTTGTTAGTGACGCCGCCGGCGAGGAAGCACCCCACGGACATGAGACCGTATGTTAGGGCATTGGCGGCGTTGTTGAGGAAGGGCTGGAGGTTGATTAGCAACGAGTACCTGGAAGAGGAGAGGTAGGCAACGTACACTAGCATTTCCCCCCGCTCCAAGGTTATTCAAAGCAGTCCAGATGCCCGGCTCGCAGAATGCGACCAGGCCCACGATGATGATCTGGAAGAGACAGGAGCGGTAGAATGCTACCAACCGGGTGAATGCCATGGTTGCGTTGTCGTTGTTCCACTCCACAAGACATGTCTTTCCATTGCAGCCCGGGCTGCTATATAAAGTGTGTCTTTGAAGCGATGGAAGCACGTCAGGACCCAATTTAATCGCGATGTCTGGGTTATCGCATCTGCCAAGCGTTGCGGGAAGACTAGCGCTTGAATTAAATACGAATTATACTCAGTTCTGCCCTCAGTCGGCCGATAGATAAGATCGGAGCACGCAATGCTGCAGGCATATGATGTCGACCGCAGTGCAATCGGCAGATGTCCGAGGTTACGACGCACAATCTGTTGCTACCGGGCATGGTTTCTGGATGAAATGAAGGTCTCTAGAATTGCCCTGCACCCCTTGGTGGACTCATTGCCCATGAACTATGTACATCTCTCCCGGTACGACCCCCAGCTCGCGCAAGATCTACATGAATGTCGCATACTCGACTCCAGAGGGCATTGAAGGAGGGCAAGCAGGATCCAACCCTCATGAATTGTCAATTTGCAGTTCCATCCCACTCAAGCTTTGCCCTCGTACCATTTGTAGCCCATCACCATGCTCAACAAAATTAAACCCCCGCCTTCTCCCCCTCTCCCTGAACCTGCACCTTCCTCTCCCCCCGCTCGCCAACAAGGGTATGTTCCGACTCCAACGCCCGATCCATACTAGAATGCCCGATCCCCAGCGCCAGCAAGAAGCTCAACCCCGACACAGCCGCAAAGAAGATCCAGAGATCGCGAAACGCCTCGCGAAACACACCGACATACGCCGCCTTGACCCCTTCCGCCAACCCACCCTCCTTACTCCTCAAGACCAACGCAAACTCCGCCGCCATCCGCGCAACCTGCCTATCCAACCCAGCGTTCCCCAGCCTCTCCGCCAACCGATTCTGGAAGAAAGTCCCCGCCACCGCAACGCCAATGCACATCCCCAGCGACCGCATGAACGTGTACAGCCCCGCGGCCGACGCATCCCGATTATCTTTCGCCAACGCCTGCACGGCGAAGTTCTGCGAGGTCAGGATCAGTCCCTGGCCCGTGCCGAGGGTGAGGAAGATGAAGACCCAGCGCACGGCCGAGATCTTGGTGTCGAGGAGGGTGAGCAGGGCGATGGCGAGGGTGGAGAGCAGCCAGCCGGACCAGATGGCCCAGCGGTAGGTGCCCAGGCGCGTGAGCAGGGCCCCGGTCATGACGCTGGCGGGCAGCATCACCCCCAGGATGACCATCAGGGCGAGGCCGCTGGTGATCGGGGAGAAGTGTTTGACCGTCTGGAGGCAGAGAGGGATGAAGTAGAGGAGGCCTAGCATCTATTTCGGTGGATCAGTCAGTATCTTACTCAATGAGGGGGGGGGAAAAGGGGAAAGGGGACTAGGGCCACGAACGAGAGCACCCTGCAAGCACGCGCAGAGATACGCCAGCACGGCGGAGACACTCCCGAACAACTGGAGATGGATGAATGGGCGTCTCGCGCCGTACGCCTCCCACAGCAGCGCCACCACACAGCCCACCCCGCCCACAACGATGGGCACGATCGTGCGCCAGCTATCCCAGCGGAACTGGTTCCCGCCCCAGGTGATGCCGATCAGAAAGCTGCACAAACTGCCGATAAACAGCACCCCGCCGATCCAGTCGATGCACCCCAGTCGCTGCAGGATACTCGGCCGCTCGGCGCGCAGCCGCACCGTCAGCGGGACCATGACCAGCCCCAAACCGCAGAACGGTAAGTTGATGTAGAAGATCCACCGCCAGGGGATCTCCTGGGCGATGGCGCCGCCCACCACGGGTCCCGCCAACGTCCCGATCGCCCACGCCATCTGCACGATCGCGTAGTAAGTCGGCCGCTGCCGCAGCGGCACGATGTCCGTCGTGATCACGATGCAGCTGGCCATGATCCCGCCGCCGCCGACGCCCTGCAGCGACCGGCCGGCCAGGAACAGGTGGAAGTCGTGTGCGACGGCTGAGAGGATCGTCCCCAGGGTGAAGAGGCTGACTACTCCGAACAGGACCTCCCGGCGGCCGAAGACATCGGATAGGTCCACGATGAAGGGCTGGCAGACGGCGCTGGCGAGGAGGTAGGAGGTGCCTGCCCAGAAGGCTTGGACTGTGTCGCCTTTCAGGGATTGTTCCAAGACCTGAGGGTATTAGCGGGATCGCCTGTGATTGTGTCAAGGGGCAGGTACCGGGATGGCCGGCGTGATGACCGTGGTGTCCAGCGAGATGATGAAGGATAGCAGCGCCAGGCAGCCGAAGATCAGCCACTGGCCCTTTTTCGGCTTCCAGACGGGAGGGGAATCGGAGGGGTCGGACTCGACTGCGTCCGTGGCATGACTGGAGGCGAGTTCGCGCGTGGAGGGAGTGTTGAGCTCGTCTTTCGTCGGCGACATGGTCGTGAGTGTGACAGCGTGTCTCGGCCCATTATCAGAGGGAAAGGTCGAGGAGGAGAGAAAGTTGCGAAGTGGGATTGTTTTGCTTGTCATGGTGCAGTCTCAGCCCCGGGGTCAGCTCGGCTTGCAAGCCCTAAGAAGACAAACACCCTTGCAGATGAGCAAGAGCTGAACAAGGGGCAACGTGAGCCCGGCAAACCAATAATCGACATGCACGAGACAGGTCACCCACCCATCAACAATCACAATTCGCCGATCGCTGCCGGATGCAGAAGGGAGAAATGCATCTTCATGCAGCGCATTCCGCCGTATCGGGTCATGATTCGAGGAATGCCGGAGACCTGCAGCTGCCGATACGAGGCTATCGGGAATGAATGCGCTAACGGAAAAGCAATCATTTCGATGGGCTTCGGTCACATGGTTTCGTGTGCGGTGTTTCTTAGCTGCGCGGTGAAATTGCCAATATAGCTGCTGCATAAGTCGCATGGAGCTGGAGATGCTGCACGGTCCAGCCGTTTGTTCTGAGTCAAGGAAGCAGGGATTTCCGGATCGGCAGTGAGGAGGGCTGACCATCATACATCGGGCCCTAATCTGCAGAATGGCTGATTGTGATTCGCTTCGGTGAAGCCCGCCCAATTGGATGGCGAGATTGTCTTCGAGTTACCTATAATCGCAACCTTCTGAAGTGTTACGAGGGATGCGCAAGGAGATTGACGTTCTAGGGCCGACCAGCCACCAAGCAAATTACAACATGAGCTGTGAAGCAGATTAACTCTATACATCTATATAAGTGTGTTCTTTATATACATTACTTAACTTTTGCACCAGTACAGCAATTACAGACAGCCTCCATCCCCGCCGAGTCCCTCACGCAACAGGCGCATAAAAGCTGAACTTTCCGGTGGGATCATACTTCTGCTTCAACGCCTGCAACCGCTGCTGCCGCCAGTCCTCACTCCCGTACAACTCCCGCGGCGACTCCGTGCCATACGCATAATTGACATACGCGCGGATCTCCGAGCGGCCGGTCGCGTTGAATAAGATCTCGCGAAGCTGCTGACCCACGCTGTTGGCCTTCTGGTCCAGCTCGTCCCCGTCGGGGAAGTAATTGATCATCGGGGCGGCGAGGAGGTTCTCGGACCGGAAGGCGAAGGCGCTGGAGTCGCTGTCGACGGCGTGCACGCCCTGCGCGGAGTAGCCCTCGAACATGAAGATGGAGTTGTTGAACGGGGAGGCGCCGCGCGTGGCATCTGCGTAGACGTCCCATGCCTGCTTCTGGGCTGCCACGTCGTACGTCTCGAGGTAAATCGGGAAGCGCGGATTGGCCATGCCCATCTTCTGGCAGGGCGGGGAGTCGACAGCGATGCTGGTCCAGCCGGCCAGGTCTTTGTAGGTGCCGTTGGCGGGGGTCACGGAAATGGGGCCGAGTGCGTGGAAGGGAGCGCTGTAGGTGGAGTCGACGGCGGTGACGCCTTCTTGGATGAGGTAAAAGACGATAACGGGCTTGAAGGGGGTTAGTTTGGAGGTCTGGTAAGTGGGATGGGAAGGGAACGTACGTTGTTGGGGTCAGCGTCGGCGTTGTTCATCCAGTAGGACCAGTTGATCACACCCTCGGGCTGCGTGCCGTTCTTCAAGAGGTAGTCGTTTGTCGTCTGGTAGACGGCCTCGACCTGGTCGCCGCTGAAGATGATGGTCTCGATGGCCCAGTCGCGGTGCTCGATGTCGTAGATCTTCGAGGTCAGCGAGGTGACGATCCCGAAGTTGTGGCCCGCGCCCTTGACGGCCCACCAGAGGTCGGAGGTCTCGTCGATGGTGGTCAGCGTGCCGTTGGCCAGCACGATGTTCATCGAGACGAACTGGTCGGCGACGAGGCCGTGGTGGCCCTGCAGCCAGCCGTGGCCACCTCCCAGAGCGGGGCCCAGGAGACTGACACATTCGCAAGTGCCAGTCACCGTCTGCTTGCCGGCGGCCCACAGCTCGTCCGTCACAATTTTGGACATGGTGCCGCCACCGAAGGTCGCGGTCTGGCCATCAGCGGCGACCTGGACACCGCTCAGCTGGCCCATGTAGATGGCTATCCCGTAGTCCATCTTGCCCAGGGAGGTGAGAGCCCCATGGACGCCATTGTAGGTCAGGAAGGGGATTTCCTTCTTGTTGGCATATTGCACCTACACATCGTCTTGTCAGTATATCTTCCTGATAGTGCGTGGATCAAGGCGGGCATACAATCTCGGCAACATCATTCTCCGTGCCTGGCACAAAGACAATGTTCACCTCGGGCTCTTCGAGCACCGACCAGCGGGTGGTTACATTGGTGAATTCACTGGAGCCCGGGCAATAGACCTGCGCGGTGCTCGACAGCTTGGCTCCGAGAGCCTTGAAGTCGGCATCGCCTGAGTGGCAAGCGCCGTCTGACCCATCGGCCGCACGAGGCAGGGAATGACAGGCTGCCGACAACGCCCACGTGGCGACAACCGTCACGAATTCCAGCTTGAACCGATACATTGTGTGCAGATACCGGATGGCAAGCCAAGTGAGAAGGAGAACAAGCAAAGATGACGACGGGCAACGGGTGTTGAGGATCGTCGCTGTAGAGAATCCTCCCCGGGGGGCGAGGCGAGTTTATTTCTAATATTCGTGGTAGCCGGACTCCACTCGACCAAAATTGGGGTTCGACTTAGGATTGTGTTCCTGACTGGATTGAGTCATATGATCCGGGTTCCTGGAGTAGCACCGGAGATATATCTGAGTGTGTAACTCCCCGACAACCAGGATTAGGCTGAAAGGTTGCTGCTGGGGTACTGGTGGATGGGGGGCGGATGGAAGCCCGGATGTGGTGGTGGCCCTAACTAACCATCGAGATGAATGGGGGAATGGCATGCTCCACACTCTCCATCCAACCATGGAACAAATTCCCTCGGGGATGACGGAAGGCAGCGGAAGTGGTCGATCACTTACTTCCTTAGGACTAATGAGTGGGCACCTTATCTAATTATGAGTGGGGCGCTGGATTCTCCGTGATTTAACCTTGTGCTTGTGCCTCCAACCGAGGTCTTTTCCGGCCATTTAATGTGCACAACTGAATACAACTCCAATTTCCAGGTTAACTTCATCCTCAAAGTTTGATACCCACCACTGGAACACGGCCAATCAATGCTGAATATCTTTCAGTTGCAATTCAGCCAGGCATAGGATAGAGTGCAAGCACTGGCCCAGATGTATGCCCTCGCGGCGAAGTGGCAGTCCACACGGAGTTCAGGTCGTTCTTGTGCGTACCTGGCGACTCAAAAATAGGACAGCATACTTACGTTACATCTGCCACCAGGTGTTCCTGAATTTCGTGATCCAATAGCCGAGCCAAACTCCGAACCACACACTCGGCTTGTGTAATGCTGCTGCACGACAACGTCCACATCCGTTCTTAATACTAAACAGATCGCGCGTCTCTAATCTACTTCCAACACAAATGGAGACCTTTGCTCTGTCATATTCCCCTTACGGTCTCACACATTTTGTTCGCATTGTAGATCGAACTCTTCTCGCAGGACATGTGGACTCTTCTGGAGGCGCGGGATGCCGCCTCTAAAGCGGCCTACAACACCAACGTCCAGCTCTGGACCATGTACGCCATCGGCGTGGCTGTGACGATGCTACGGACCTGGTCGCAGGCCAGAGTCGTGGGCTGGAGGCATCTGCGCCTGGATGATTATCTCGTGTGGGTTGGGATTGTGCGTACCATCCTTTCTGCTGAATGAATTATAAAGCTGACATGATTTGCAGTTGTTCTACACGGCGCAGGTCTCTCTGGCCTACAATGTGGGCGCAGTGGCCCATGGCTTGGCCAACAACAGCATGACTGACGCTCAACGGGCAGCGTTGTCGCCAGAGAGTCCCGAGTATCATGCCAGGTTTGTCGGTCGATCCACGTCTATACTGCACGGTTCACTGATCTCTCATGTCAGGGTGATCGGCTCGAAGATCCAACTGGCGGGTTGGGCCACCTATTCGGCATTGATCAGCTTTCTCAAGCTGTCCATGCTCGCGTTCTATACACGGTTGATGGTGAGCACCACACCTGTTACCCTGGTCTGCGATCACAACTAATGTGAATGACACAGAACGGCCTCGGTCGGCGATATCGCATTCCCATCTACATTGGGTTTGTGCTGGTGGTTGGAAGTTTCCTCGCCAGCATCATCACAATCCTCGCGTCATGCCGCCCATTTCACAAGAATTGGCAAATCTACCCTAATCCCGGCAGTAAGTCCCACCTCGTTCACAATCAGAAATAAACCTACTCACAACAACTATCAGACATCTGCCAACCTGCCATCTCCATGCCCGTCGTCGCCATCACCTTCGCCTCCAACCTCCTCACCGACCCCTACCTAATCCTCCTCCCGATCCCCATGCTGTGGGGCTCCAGCCTGAAAGTCATTAAAAAGATCGCGGCGACCATCATTCTCAGCGCGGGAATCTTCATCCTCGTCTGCGCGACCCTCAAGGCCGTCTTCATAATAGTGGTGAGTCTTACTCCGTCCTCACTCATAGCCTCCCGGAAACCCTAACTCCCGCCCAGGAACAAGACAACGGCGCCTCCCTAGCCGAAGAATGGGGCACGCGCGAGACCTTCGCGGCGGTGATCACCACGAACCTCCCGATGGTCTTCCACCTGCTGCGCACCTGGCTGGCCCGCGCCTTCGGCAGCGCCTTCCAGTCCTCGCAGAAGAGCTACAAGAACCCGTCAGGCTTCCAAACGATTGGTGGCGGAGGTGGACTAGGCGGCTCCTCGAGCCGCAACCGCGGCAAAGCGTCGGATCCGATCACGATCGGGCTGACGTTTACGGAGAGCGAAGAGCGCATGATGGACAACATGAAGATGCAGGCGCTCAAGGCGTACCCTGCGCCGGTTTCACCCCATCCGGATACTGATAACGGGGCGATTGTCGTCTCCAACCAGATCGAGATCACACATGAGACGCGAAGTAGCGCGCATAGTGATGCCGAGGCCGCAGGCAGGACGACGCCGCATGCGCCTGAGGAGAGTTGGTTGCGCTAGGCTGGCCTGGAGCATGGTCCTTGACCGAGGACGGTTTCTTTTGTTTCGTGTACATACTTTTCACCATACGATTTTTTTCATCCCTTTTCATTTGTGTTTTTCTTCTGTAATATGCAGCAGCACACACTACAGCACGAGCGGAGAAGACGAGAATTGCACCCTTAATCAAGTCTGTGCAGTCCGGTCCGCACCGTCAGCACTAGTTTAATCTATCCGGCGGGGCGGCTACACTGAAAGCAGTATGGATTGTTGGGGTCAGTGTGGATGCGATCTCGCCTACAACCACACCAAAGAATTCTCTGCTCTGGCTCGGTTCCGCCCTCTTCCGGCATTATCTTTGTGTTTTGCTTCTCGGGAAAGGTTGCTTCGGCCGGATCCCTGTGGTATCATTCATATCGGCTGGAGTAGTTTCTTTGCTGCTCAGTGGGGTTGACCCTTTCGCTAGGTGCAGGATTTGTAGAATTCATCAGTATGTGCACAAAGGCAATAGAAACATCACACTCTGATGGCCAGAGAGCTTGTTCTGAAGAAAAACGCCGCAGACACACTAGCAGGGATGCTGCATGCTGCAGAGTTTATTCCATCTAGCGCGAACTCTCGACGTTCCTTCGTCTCGAGTCCAAACCCCCATGTAACCCTTCCATAACCGCTGGAGTAGAAACTATCCTAAACCTCTGAGCAGCGCCCACGACTGTGGGATAAGAACTCTGTTGATGGCTAGACCATGTGGTGGGCGCCAAGGACAGTCTTGGCGGGCAGCGGACAGGAAAGATTCCTGTGCGCCGGTCAGAATGCAGACGGTAATGTGGACGGTGGGGCGCAGGTAATGGTCGATTCAATTGAGTTCCGATAGTGAGAAGGCCAGCAGGCGGCCACGTTCTGGTCGAGCTTGTTGGTGCATTAGCTGGAAGCTTGCATCTGCTCGCTGCTTAGCAGAGAACAGGGTTGGTTAATAGGGGCAGCGGCGTGGTTTGAGTTCTTTACTAATTTAGGGCTTTAGGAGTGTGCTGCAAAGAGTACCCGGGTCTGCTAAGCCACAGCTTGTCCAGAACTTCACGTAATCATTGAATGCCACAAGATGGAATAGATGGTTTACTCACTGACTTGTTAGCATCGGGCGTAGTCTCTAAAATGTCGCGTGTTGTAGGAAAGCTGTTTTGTACTGAGATTGTCGATTTCGCAGCGAACTTAGAGTTATGCCGCTGAGTTGCAATTTTAGCTAGCTAGGGAGCGTAGGCATAGCCCTAACTCGGTTGCTTTCCCCCGAGAGTGTAACACTTTCTTCGGACCCTCACAGTAAATTTGAATACCTGACCAGCCTTCAAGAATCCTACCTAGGTCAAGTATATCAGCGCTTTGGATCAGCTTTCAGGCTTGCAGATGCTCTGATAACCACAATTAATTACAAATCAGAATATGAATGCACAGAGAGCCACATGAAGATTTTTGAATAGACCCTTCACAAGCCGTTTTTTATTTTTCTATTTTCATATCACCCAGAGACCACCCCTGGTAGAACCCCATCCCCATCCCCGACCCAGTCAGTCTACCGCGGATCCCGATCCTCCTCCCGAATATTCAAGAACTTGCTCGAGGACAAGCGCGGCCGGTAAGGCGAGGAGACGTCGGAGTCCGTGTCGCTAACCCCCTCGATCTTCTCGCGCGGGACGCGGTCGCGCCACTGGCGGAGCATGAAGAGGTCGTCCTCCTCTTGAAAATGGGAGCGGCCGTTGTGGGTGAACTGGTCGACCTCGCCGTTGCCGGCCTCACGGTACAGGCAGATCTCCTTGCCGGCCTGGATGACCCCGTGGAGGACCTGCGCCGTGTGGTTGAGGGCCCGTAGGCAATGGAATTCGTGCTGCATGACGCGCAGTGGCTCGCCTTGCCAGTCGATGGGGGTCGCGCTCGTCCACACGATGAGCACGACGAAGGTCGTGGTGCTCACATGGGCGTGGTAGAGCTCGAAGGGTTGCTCGATAGGGGCGGGCTGTGTGCGGAGTTCGTGCCTTGTGAGCCCGCGGGAGAGGGGGCCTTGCTGGAGTGGCGGGCTCGCTGGGCCTGGTTCCGGGGCTGGTGAGGCCTCAGGGCAGGGTGGACCCTCCGGGTGGAGGTCGAGGAGATCCTCGGCCTCGAAGATGGGAGCCGAGGAGACCTCGGGCATCGCACGGGCCCGCGGAACTGGTATAGGAGTCCAGTCGAAGAACCGGGGTACATTGTCTTGCGACCCCAAGGTGCCCGAAGAGGTGCTCAAGGAGCCGTCGCCATGATAGTGAGGCTGGGGACAGGTACAGGTACAATGCTCGCACTCGACAGTGCTACTGCCCTCAGATGAGGTGCACGAGGTACACGCCGACGAGGTACAAGTGCATTGCGGCCGGGAAGAGGTACAGTACTCCGAGGAGGTGTCCGATGAGCTCGCATCCTCAGACCCAGATGCATCCCTCGCGGGGCAGGCTGGGACTCCTATGTACACGTTGCCATTGATAACAAGGTTGCCCTCAACAACAATTCGGGGGAACTTCATGGCTGGTGGTGAGGGGGTCCAGTCTACCAAGGTGCTTGTAGGTGTGGTAGTCATGGGTGTTGTGAGGATTCGGGGGGGTGGTTCCTAACCATAGATAGTGTTAGACTATTTATAGCATAGAATAGGGTTTCAGTGAGCTAAGCTTAGAGGTGATTTCTTTGTAGCTCTTATAGAGAAAAGTCTTTACCTGTGCTTGATTGAGTGGAGATATCCTGAAACTTGTGCGACTTTCTTTGATGGCAGTCCATCCCTGGATATGAGGTTTGTTGTCGCAAAGCACTTGTAAAATAAATATTCCGGATGATATGCGACGGCAAAGAAAGTCTTTGGTGCATTTCAGAATGCCTTCCCATGGCCATCAAGCTTCCGGGAGACAAAGAAGATAAGAGAGAAACGTAGTAGAGTGGAGCGGTCTAGCTCTCGATATTCTCCTATAGCCAAACAATTCCAAGTCTGTCCAAAGAGCTGGATACTACCACAGGGCATAGGGCTGTTTCCGTTGATCCCGGCCACTCCTCTCCTGGATAACAATCTCAGGCATGAAATACAGAGCATCGTAGATAGGTATTTCCACATGTTACTAACTGAAAGAAATCAAAGACGGTTGTCATTCCTGAGTAAAGAATTGGTACCAACTATGGAGGACATTGCTAATCTCTAACTTGCTATAAGTAACTTCAACACATCTCTAATTGTAAATTTATTGTTACTGAAGTGTACACGTTTTGAAGCCTTCTATCAGTCATGTTTATCATTTACTTCCTAATCTCATCAAATGCTTATAAACTTGTTAGTCATGTATGATTTAAATTAGACGTAGGTTTTTACTTGACAACCAGATCTCTTCAGCAGGAGTGACCTTAATGGTATGTCTATTCTGTTAATCGTCAGTCCAAATCTACCATGCCTTCAACGGTATACCTGTCATCTTATATAGAATACATCAAAGTCAGAATATATCAGGCAAAATACAGTCAAGAGCAAAGGCTTTGCTTTTGTCTTTTCCTGCTGCTCAAAGTGTATGCATTCTCTACTAAAGTATCCTAGGCAAAGACTGCACTGCTTTGATACTAAGCAAAATTGTCCCACTTCAGTTAATTGCTTACTATCGTATTTATTATTTATTGTGTTGCACTCGCAATCCTTGAGGTCTCCGGTTGCAAATCTCTGGTAATATCCGTTCGATTGAAATTCAATCACCAACGTTGTATAACGAGCGGAACAATCAGCTCTAAAGGATTGAGATATTTCCCATATCTATGTGTCAATGTTTGATACAGCAACTTAACTTTGAAGGCAAATTCTGAAGAAATAGGTAAAAGTCTCCTGATACTCAAGACCAAGTAGAGTAAAATTTCTTTCTAGAGGCGTGTTACTGTATAATGCCTGAAATGCAGACGGATTTTCTTATATTCTCAGTTGAAAGTCACAATGAAAGTCTTTCACAGAGTACAGTGCTGTCAAATACAGAACAAAGCAGATGTCACAGTCTCCTCTGAACCCACCGACACAAATACAAAGACCACTTCCCCACAACTCTATATATAACCTCATCTCGAGCCTTTGTACAACCGATTCCAACCGCCAGTCCCCATGAATCCAGCCAAACCAATGACCAACCACCAACCAACTCCACCCCACACACCTCGGCGCATGAACATGGCTACCCGTCTAGGCCCCCGCCCCACCGGCTTCACCCTCTCCACGAGGGACATGCACCTCATCACCAACCCTTTTCCCAGTTATGAGGTTGCCTTCATCCACCTCAACCTCGCGACCACGCTGACTGTGGTGACCGTACGCGACCCCGCCCTCTCCGTCATCCCGTGGGAGTCGGAGCCGCTGTGCGCCCTGCTCGCCGAGTTCCGGCGGCTGCGGTTCCACCACCCACGGGCCAAACCCCTGTACGGCGTCATCTACGCCGGCGACTGGATGCGACTCTACCGGGAGCGCATTGTAACTCCAGATTGCCAGTCATTCGAGCCGAATGACTTCTATGTGCAGCTCGCCCCCGGGCGGGACACGCTGCATCGGATTCATGACGCCGAGCTGCTGTTCCGGTGGTTGCGGACGATTCCGCGGAATGAAACGAAGCTGGTTGGTATTCCTGACAGTGAGTAGTAGGCTTGTGGTAGCAAAGGGGAGAAGGATGTTACGCTGTTGGATGCAATAGCGTTTTCCTTATAGTGACAGCCATTAGCCTGAAGGGGCTGGCGGGTATATACTCAAATACGAATACAAAAGAAAGACACAATGTCTTTGACTAGTATCAATCTCTTCTCTTTACTGCAAATAAACATACAGACTGCGTTTCAGGCCTACCGTGAGCAGGTTGTGGATAAATAACGCCGAAACCTTTACCCGTACCATCGCCAACGCTATCCTGGCGGCAGAACGATTGCCCTAATTTTCCACGTCGCCTTGGCCGCATCATATAGATAAGCTTAACCACCTGCAGCTGTCCAATAATCTTCTGTCACTTTTAAGAATGGTGTGCCCTTCGGGCACGACCCACAAGCCACAACGCTCGGCATCCTGGGCATGGGGCGGATCGGTCGTGGGGGAGGAGTTGTTAAGTCCGGTGGTGTAGTTGGATTGTGTGGTGGGTTGTGGTAATATAAATGCTGTGTTTTAGGGGGTTGAGATGGTAAGGGGAGAATTGGAGACTGCTATTTGCGGGGTTCGTGATGATGGGCGTATACGTGACGATCACACGTGGACTTGTAGCACGTGGTATAAGGTGTTAGTTCTACTACGCAGTAAGGACCATCGGACATAAGCAGCAGGCACGATGTTCCCAAATAGGCTACCAGAAGGGCCACAAAGAGGACAGTGTATAGTCCTACAGTATGGTACTGAGATCAGCCAGGGTCAGTAGTAGAGTAGTGAGCACACTGTATTGTACGCCAACACATATAGCTACAAGTTCCGAGTGCATCAAACGTCCGTTCCGGAGCTTCTGGGCCGACAGCTGCTCAAATTCAGTCTCCAGCAGGCGCACGTCGCGGCGAGACAGGCCAAGCCGGTGGCTGAAAGTTCAGCCGGAAGGTTTTCGCAGCGGCACGGCCTTCTCCCCGAGCATCTCGGCTACATGTCCGATTCTATACAAATAGCTTCGATGTACCAGTTTAACAATCCTTGTAGGGCACACACCGCTCGTTTCCGGTCTTGCACACCATCACCGGTCAAATACTTTGTTGTTCGCCTCCTCATCATGGTCAACGTGATTGCTGATTCTGTTTTCACCAACCAGGAGTGCAATTCGGCGGCGACGAGATCGTCACCAATAAGCAGGGCGCCGGGAGCGCCACGACGTGCATGGCGTATGCGGGGCTCCGGTTCGTCAAAACTGTACTGGCCGGGTTGCGGGGGGAGGATGTCACTGATGAGGCTTTTTGTGTATTTACCTGGTATTGAAGGGAGGCGTGAGATGGCGGAGGAGCTTGGGGTGGAGTACTTCACTGTGCGGACGGTGCTGGGCCGGGAGGGTGCGAGGAGGGTTCTTCTGTCTGGTGATATCGATGCCAAGGAGAAGGAGATGGTGGAGGTCGCGGTTCGGGAGCTGAGGACGAATGTTGCACCGAGGTTGGGGTTTATGGACTGAGCTGATCAGTTTTTCCAAAGGATCTGATTGAAATCGGTAGGATAAGAAACTACGCCGTCATGCACTACTATCCAAGGCAAAGGATGATGTGGAGGGAGTATATTGCAGTTAACCAGAACTCAAACCCTATCGCAATTACAGATTGTCATTACCGTCCACCTTCCTCCACTTTTCTCCCACCGGTACATGAAGAAACAAAGTTGTATGACAATGCCTGGTCACAGACATCTATCGAACTATCTCAAACAGCCCGACTTCCTTGGATCAACCGCGTCCAGACCGGAGGCTGCCATGATTATTGGCTGCATGCAGCATTTACTCGGTGTACAGGCAGCCGTTGGGGTTGGTGGTGGTCTCAACGCGGGCGGCGATGCCGACGCAGTCGCTGTTGCCGGCGGGGTTGCTCACGCCGGCGCTGGCCCAGATGCTCCAGGCGCCATCGATGCTCTTGGGGCAGGCGATGAGGTCGCTGCCGCCGAACTGCAGGTGGTTGTTCTTGTCGATGGACCAGCCCTGGCGCTCCGCGTTCTTGGGGGCGGGCTGGGCGCCGGTCGTGTAGCCGATCTTACCCTGGCCTGATACGCATAGCTGTCAGTGCTGGTGAAGGGTGAGAGAGTCTATGAATAATCCGGCAGAAAGAGAGGAAGAGGACGTACCCATGCCTGAGCGGTCGACGTAGAACTCCTGGGGAGTGGCGGACTGGTCGTACAGGTACAGAGCGCCGTCCTGGATGTAGAAGGTGGCGGTCTGCTCCTTGGGGCGGGCGCAGCTGGCGTTCTGGCCGGGGAGGCCGGCGAAGAGGCTGCTCTTGGCCGCGGTGAAGGGCTGGTACTGCACGGCGCTGCCGGAGTGGATGGAGACGATGCCGAATGTCTGGCTCTGGGAGGAGGCGTCGGTGGCCGGGAGAGCGGCAGCGGTGGCAGCAGCCGAGGCGGCGAGGACGATGTTCTTGATCTGCATGGTGGCGGTTGGGGTTGGATTAAAAGTGATTAGAGGGAAGAAAGTATGGTGTGATTGTGTACTGTGTAGTGTAGTGGAAGTGTTGATGATGTTGATGATGGTGAGAAGGTAACGAGGAGCAGGATAGACGGTCCCTTTATATCTTCCAGAACAGCTGTGAAGCCATGACCACCTCGTCCAGCTCAGTACAGCCAGTCATTAATTCTCATTATTTCCTGCAGCTGCAACCAGGATCTATGCTGTCATTGTCTCTCAGCTACTATTCCATTCATTGAATCATTCAGGGTCCTGCAGCCCCAAATTTAGCGGCGGGTGGGGCGTGACCAAGGGATGCCCTAATTGGTGAGGATTCGGCTCATGTGGGCGAGACATTCGGCCTTGGGAGCCATTGGCATTTCAGAAATAGTAACCCCCGGTCGCTGTCCCCGTTTTTCTGCTCTGGCAAGACTGTGAGATCCGACCCACACTACAGACATTGTCTCATTTGGAGAATTGTTGATGGTCGATGGGCTTTTTCCTCCCCTTCGCAGCTGCAGCCGAGGTTCGGTTGCCTGAGTCAAGGTGGCTGCTGGGCTGCAGTCGGTTACATGCAGCATTGTCTTTGCTGCGGTTTTTCTCAGCTCCGTGAATAATATTGCTACTTGCCACTGAGACAGCCACCGTTCTTCCACAGCGACTTGAATGAGGCGGGTGATTGTCTCACGAGGCAGGAATTCAGGACTCAAAGTGAGGATGAATGAATTCAATAGTGTGTCAGGATATCAATCAATCGATCGGGGATCGCCTCTAGCGATTTCCTCAGTACGGAGCGTAAGAACCTTGATAGGTGCCCGTCCAATCTACTGGCATGAGTACGGTGGCTTAGCCGTTGGCGGGCGTCTTGGTGGAAATCGGGGATTCCCACGTTTTCCCCCCAAGGGGGTTATGAGGTAATAACTGCGGGACAGCCACCCCCACATTTGTCTCGGAACATCGAAGATCATGGATCAGTACGAGTACCTTTGGTGGCAATTGAGGTGGTTTTCACCTCCTCTCGCTCCTCAAGAGGATTCGGCCGGGGGAGAGTACTGCCGCTGGCTTGCATACACCCACGAGTTTGTTCAATAGACATGCTATAACGTTATGATTTGTTTAGGCAGAAGCATAAACTTCTCCTGGCCAGGAACTGAACCACACCTATACTCCGGAGTAGGTAAGACAGCCAAAAAAAATTGCGAATTCGATAATCCTGCACCGAGTATGCCCGTGTTTTTGCCAGTTGCCACAAACAATGCCATCCCAAAATAGCACGCTGGCCTCATGTGTCCTGCAGGTCTTGGCGGTGTCAAATTGACCACCAGGTGAAACAATGACAATCTCCGCCCGGCGCCCTTTCCAATCCGTCCAATTCAGGGTGTCTCTTTTATGCATAATCCAATACGGCGACGTCCGTTGTTTGTTGCATGAGAATAACGTGCAGCATACTTTCCTCGCATGTGTGGCTTTCAGCTCTACGCTTTTGGTTATGTGGAGGGCGGCTGACTGCGCTGCTTGAGATACATAGGGTATTCATCGTACAAAGCTTCACTCTTCTCCCTTGTCAATCCCCCTGGTGTCTTACTTTTCAGTCTATATCTCCTAGCGAGCGGGGTTCAGAGACGAGGTCCAAGAATTTCTCGACTATCGACACGTTTCTCATAGTCGGGCTGCACGACCAATCCCGACCAGCACATTCAACTCAATATCATGATCACCATGACGCTAGCGACAGGTCGACATGCAATCCTGTTTATTTGCTTTTGTAATGTCTCACTCACTTTCCGCACGCTGTCTGGGAAAGGAGAAATTGGAGCGGTCGGTTGATGAGGATTGTCCGATCGTCCATTTCCGACGCACACCGCGATGTGACAAAGATGAATGCATATTATCTCAGAATATCAGTCCTTGAGCTACATTTCGAAGGTTGAACTTGGGGGTTCTGGAAGCACCTACAGGACTAGTGAGGCGACCGTTTTCTTAATAGTCCCAGAAAACACGATCATGGGTCGGCCCGAGCGAGCCCCTGACTCTGCTTTGGGCCGGAGTCAGCTTTCCAGAGTCAGCTACCACTCCAGCGCCCAACGAGTGGTTCTATAAGACTAACACGGTCGTGCTGGTACCTGTATTATGGGACTTGTCTGCCTGGTGTTGCTATACCTTGATAGTGAGCGCATTGCCTTCACCGGCGATGATCCTGATTCTTTTGGATTTCTCAGTCGCTGCTGCCCAACCATTTCCCATGGGCTAGCTAACAGACGGAACAATTGAAAGAGTGTTTCGGAGAACAGACGAAGCAAATATTGCTCGTCGTAGTGCAGTACTGCTTGCTGATCATAGTTGTAGTAAGCGTTCACACTGCTGTTCTGTTTCTATGGTGTATGCGTACTTCTCTCTAACCAAGCATGAGCATGACGCATAATATGTAGCCTACCGTACCTGATGCAGACTCGATATCTCGCTAACACGTCGATCTCTTTAGCTGCTACATAATGAATGCATCTGAAAGCAATGATCGCCGCACCCATTATCGCGAATGCTATGCAATGCATAGCAGGTACCCAACTTATGAGGGATACATGCTTGTTGCACTAGAGGCTTCTTGAGACTCTAGGCCAAATGTTAATTCCCCCGAATAAGTGATCTTATTACTATCGTGTGGGTAACACTTGCTCCCAATCCCGACCGCTCTTGTTCTTCTCGAACTCTACAATTCGCCATATACCAGAAGCTGATGCGGGGACAGCGCAACCAAATAACAATTAGGGCACAACATCAACTTCACCGACAACGATCACATGCTCCAGACAACTGTTGGCCCCTTGCTCTCCCCAAAATGGAGAAGAACTTACAAATGGTGTCGACTCAATAATGGCGCGGAAGCGCGCCCCTTAAGTTGCCCGAGCGTCTTGCTTATTCCGACTTACCCGGTAAGCACCAACCTTTACCCCTTCTATGGAGTGGTCTCGCTTACAATTCATCGACAGTATCGACGTGCACGGTCGGTCTGCCAAGTAAGAGGGGTGTGCAGCTGCACAGTCACCTGGGTCTATTGGACGGAATATGCCACCGAAGCTTCACCGTCTGGCAATGCTCCCCGACGTGAGGCAATAATTGACGGACCAGGGCGTAAGTGATCATGAACCACTATAAGTATGTATACCACACCCTCTCTCGGTCAATTCAGATGATAGCTCAGGCTGCCAGGTGGTTAGCACAGTACACCCAACCGGGTGCGGCTTATCTTTTCCGATCTAATCGCAACCATGCCGAAAGCAATCTCTGACCAATGACAGCAGCCGGGATCCGGCACGAGGAAGCCATACGATTGGCCGCGCGGCGAGTGAGTCAAAGAAGGGCTTCTCCGAATTGGAGAAAGTGGAGACGCAGTTTCCCCCAACTCAGGTCAGAATTTGCGCGTGCGGCGTCTGCTCTTGCTTTTGCGCGGGTATCGGCCGACACTCGTGCTGCGCTTGATATTCGATCAAGTCATCTGGCAGCCAATATCGGGACAGAGGAGTGCGATAGGTTGGCAGCATAAGGTCGGACACCCTGCAGCAACAGGTCACTTGCATAGCGCCATAATTCTACAAATGGGCAAGGAATGCGGAGGGAGGTGCCAACTCCGGAGGGCAGCTCAGGCCTCATTATCTGGCGCCCTCGGAGAACATCCCGAGGGAAGATTTCTCCAATTTGGTGTTGTGTGCTTTTCCTCCACTAATCCACCGGCGTCATCCTTCTTAAATAACCTCCACATCCCTGCTCCCTCGTAGAGGTCTGGTGACCAGGGACGACGACATATGTGCTGACACACATAAACCCAACCTACTCCCCACATGCACATGCTTAGCTACACCAGTGCACTCGGACACGGACCATCATCACAGTGAGAATCCCAAATGCCTCAAGATCCCCCCTCGGACACCCCGCGGGGTCCCCTCGACGATTCGGGCTCGTCGACCACCGGCACCGTCTTCCTGCCAGAAACCGGCGCAACCACCCCCACCAACGCCTACCTCACCGAGGACGAAAAGGGCGCTGGCGGCTTCGACCCGTCGACCCAGGAGATCCAACAGCGCTACCTCGAACTCGACACGCCGCTGCCCACCCCGTGCATCACGCTGCCGCCCGGCCCTAACCAGTCCGCCCCGCCCGACCCCCCGAACCTCGAGAAATACATCTCCCCGTTCCTGTGGCCGAAATGGCGCAAATCGATGATGACCTGGATCGCCTGCGCCGTCACCGCGCTGGCCGGATACTCCGCAGGCGAGGTCAGTCCCGCCTCGAGCGTGCTGACGGCGGAGTGGGGGGTCAGCGCGGTGGTCTACAACCTGACGATCACCGTGTTCTGTATCGGGTTTGCCCTGGCACCGATGGTGCTGGCGCCTTTTTCGGAGATCAATGGGCGGCGGCCTATTTTCGTGGCTAGCGGGATTCTGTTCACTGGTGGGTGGTTCCCCTTCCCCTTCGCGATATGCACCATAGTGTATACCGTTTCCCGCTCATCTGGGCTAACTTCTCGTCTCTCATGCAGCATCCCTCCTCGCGTGCGGCGGCACCCACATCTTCGGCGGCCTCCTCGTGGCGCGGATCCTGCAGGGGATCGGGGCGTCGACCTTCTCGACGATGGTGGGCGGGGTGATCAGCGATATCTACCACGCGGAGGACCGCAACACGCCGATGGCGCTGTTCTCCGGGGCGGCGCTGTTCGGCACGGGGCTGGCCCCGCTGATCTCGAGCGCGATTGTCCACCACACGACTTGGCGGTGGGTGTACTACTCGCACGCGATCGTGGCGGCCTTCTTCGTGGTGGTGATCTTCTGCTTCTTCAAGGAGACGCGCGGCAGCGTGCTGCTGAGCCGGAAGGCGCAGGCGATCAACCGGTACTACGAGCAGCTGGAGGCGGCGGGCCACTTCGGGGTGATGCTGGAGGAAGGGAAGGTCCGGCGGATTCGCTGGCGGGTCAAGAGTGACGAGGAGCGTGTGTCGCTGGTCAAGATGATTGGGATCTCGGTGTATCGTCCATTTCGTATGTTGCCTTCGTCGTCTCTGGTTCGGAACAGAATGTTTTGTGTAGTGCTAACACTGGCGAACAGATATGCTGGTCAGCGAACCGGTCGTCTTCTTCTTCTCGCTGTGGGTCTCGTTCAGCTGGGCGGTGCTGTACCTGCAATTCGGCTCCATCCCGCTGGTCTTCCGCACCAATCATGGCTTTAATATCGAGCAGACCGGCGCTGTCTTCACCTGTATGCCTCTCCCCATGCCTATCCCAACCAGTCCCCATGCTAACATCCTCAAGCAATGTGCGTCGGCGCCCTCCTCATCACGGTGATCAGCATCTACCAGGACAAAATCGCCCAGCACTACAACCTCCTCCCGCGCACCCCGGAAGCGCGCCTGTATTTCGTGTGTGTGGAGGCGGTGCTCATGCCCATCGGCCTGTTCTGGTTCGGCTGGACCTCGTACTCGTCCATCGCGTGGATCTCTCCGACCATGGCGATCGGGTGCGCCACCATGGGCATCTTCGCCGTCTACCTGGCCGTCTTCAATTATCTGGCCGACACCTACCACCGGTTCGCCAGTTCGGCCATTGCCGCGCAGTCGTGCTGTACGTCCCTCTACCCCTTTCCCTTTCTCTGCAAAGTTATCCAGTGGCGGCAGAATACTAATGGAAACCAGGCCGCAACCTCCTAGGCGGCGTCTTCCCGCTCGTCACCAACGCCCTGTTCACGAACGTGGGGTACCCCGGGGCGTCGAGTTTGTTGGGTGGTATTGTACGTTCATTGCCAATTCCCTTTTTCTAGATTCGTGGTTGTAGGAGTGCTAACTTTGTTGGCTATAGGGTGCCGTCCTAGTCATCGTGCCCTGGGTGCTGGTCTTCTACGGGCCGAAGATCCGGGCCAAGAGCAAACTGGCCAGTCAACTGGCTCATTAAAAGTTTTTCTTTTATTTGATTTTAAAAAGGGGGAGGCATTGGGTCTTGCATAGCGATTTTGTTTCCATATATCCATATATATACAGGGATAGACGGGTGGACTGGGGTTCACTTAATAGATAGACGCAGGGTGGTTACGAATCATGGTAATGAGAAGTGCGCTTACTTTTACGATCAAATTGCAATTCCTTTGGGATTATTGCTGCGGTGGCTGCATGTATGAGGGCAGGGCCTGGCTTGTTGCCAGGCCGGGGCTGGGTCATGTGACCGAGTTGCGCCATCGTCTCTTCTGACTTTCAGGGAACTGACAACGTGCTCAACGCGCTCTTTATGGGATATTGCTTTCAGCCTTATGGCCTCGTTCAGCCAGGATTCAACCCTTGGCAAATAAGGGCACATTTTGGTAACTAACCCATATCACTCATACAGCACCGTAGCCGCACCCCTGCCCATCGCACCGGACAACTCCCCGTAGATAACAGGAGTGGTCGACATCTCTCCACATGTGGCGAGTGAATCCTTACTTTCAGTCAGGGCAGTAAGTAACCTCCGACCGCCGGTAAGGATAGCGATAGAAGATCATCCAGCATGCCCTGCAGCGCCGCCCATTCCTACTATGCAGAGTTATCTACTCTCAGTAAACACAGCAACCCACCACACCAGCAATATGTATGTCTACAAAAGTCGACATATCACACCACAACCCCCCGAAATCGCACCAACCCACCAACTCAGCACGTGCCTTCCCTGAGTCCAAAGTAAGCACCACCAATGGTGGCCACCGTGCGTTGGGGGGATGTCGTTCCTGCACAGTGGCGATAGGGCCCAGGTCAATTGACGTCAAAAAATCGGGTCCAGAATGTTTGCGCGCGATTTTTTTGAATTGTCTATTGTCCAAGCGCAGACCGAAGACGGCGTGGGAGGGTCGAGGGTTGAGGTTCTGCTTTGCCGAAGGGGAAAGATCGTCGTTGGGGTCGGTGGTAGTGCACGGTTTGTACTCCACTTGGTTGGAATTGGGAGAGCTGACGTCAAGGTTTTTCTTATTCTTGGGGGTTTACAATGATTGAGGATTTGAAAGAGTCTGGACTATGTTTGTTACTGTGTTGATGGGGACTCGAGGCTAGGTTTGTTTCTACAGTGTGCTTCGATATGGTCGGGTCATATGGTTTTGAGTTCAATGGTTTTGGGCCTGGCTGGGGAATAATCTGGGGGGAGGATTGTTTGTTGGGGGGGGGACAAAGGGAGGAAAGAAACTTCGAGGCATTTCGGTGAGCACCAAATAGCCGAAATTCACCACTCAGCCTTATGAGAAACAAGAAATTTACCCCGGATGACTCTGCCCCCCGTTTTCCTTCCAATCAGACCCTCCATCGCCGAGGGGCGGAAAAGAGCGAAGAAAAACAGGGTCCAGGAACCCTGCGCTGACCATCACGGCATTAACACACACATGTACGTACTCGTGGTAAATAGTATGAGTATTAAGTAAATCGATGGCTCCCGGATAAACCACCCGTAGTGGTGGTCAGGCTGATCACTGGCTCTCCGTACACGAACACCTCTTTGCTTACCCTGCATCAAGATTACGCAAACCCAGCCCAGCCAAGATCCGACCGACGAATCTGACGATCCTCATCTGCCTGCCCTGTCCCCCTGCCCCCCCCCCGGCCCGACACTTCCGTCCGTCCATGTCTCGGGCTCTGGTTGCTGATTGCTGATGACGCACCCACGCTTGGTTGCATGCAGGTTTGATGGCCAGCAGGAAGCTGTAGTTGGAGCTGTCGCAGCAAGAGGAGCAGGTCGACGTGGTTTGAACTACACCAGTCCAGTCAGTCTCCTATGGCAGGGTTACACGGGCTGTCAATGCTGGTGCCTGTGAGTGGCGAGAGACTGCACTGGGGATCAACAAATGGGGTACATTTCGGGGGTTCCGTCCAGTATCAGAGTTTGAACATATTCTTAGCTACCACCCACCAACTCATCCCCTCTGGTGTGCTGCGTGTGATGGCTCACATTGGAGGAATGCCGACCAGAAAAAGAGGCAGGGCAAGGCGTCCGCCACAACCGTACCGCCACAGACAAACAACCCCGGCCCTCTGAGGGTCTTGGGTCTCCAATGACGACGAGTATCACAGCAAAAAGGAAAACCCAAATTCTAGACACAGAGCAACGTCATTGCCAAGCAGGGAAACAGGAACGCGGCAAGACACTGACTGCTCGCAATGGGATCATAGTGGGGCCTGGGCCGCGTCTCCAGGGCTGTGACTGGTCGAGCCACCCTTCACGACAGCCCTGATTCGTATGAAAGGTTGTCAACGTGGGGGAGCAGGACGGAGATGATCATGCAGTGGACTGGGCTGGGCTGCTATTCTTGTCGTCGACAGGTAAGTCACCTCTTGTGTTTGCTTGTGTGGTGTATGCTAGAAGCCTGGTGGCGATGGAGGTTATAAAGACCCTCGTCCCTCGCCGACCTTTGATCTCTACAATTCTCCAGTGTCTCCTGCATACATCCAGTCCATACATCCATCCTCACTCCTCGGGTCAGGTACCATCTCAATAAAGTTATCGATAATCGACTACCGCTATCTTATCATACCACACCACCAACCAAAAACCAAAATGCAGCTCCAGAGCCTCCTCCTGACCACCCTCCTGTCCGCCGCCGCCCTGGCCTCCCCTCAGGGCGGCGTCGTCTCGGACGTCGTCTCCGGCGCTGAGTCGGCCGCCACTGACGCCGTCGGCGCCGCCACCTCGCTCGCTAGCGCCGCCTCGACCGCGGGAGCCGCCGGCGCCTCGGACGTGACCTCGCTTGCCTCGTCCGTCGCCTCGGAGGCCACCAGTGCGGCCAGCGACGCCCGCTCCGCCGCCTCCAGCGCCGTCTCCAGCGCGCTCTCCGGCTCCTCCGTGTGGGCTGCCTCGACCACCACCCTGACCGGCACCAACGGCTCCGCGACCGCCACCTCCACCATCTCCGACAGCCTGACCCTGGCCAAGTCCACCTTCACCACCACCCACGACGGCACCACCTCCACCGGCACCACCACCTCCACCGGCACCGTCACCAACATCGCCTCCGCCTCCTCCGCCTCCGCCTCCGCCTCGTCCTCGACCGGTGCCGCCGGCGCCCAGGCCACCCCCGCCGGCGTCCTTGGCTTCGGTGTCGCCGGTGTCGCCGGTGTCCTCGGTGTGATGGCTGCCTTGTAAGATCCTTCCTTACAGATAAGAGGATCGCGGTGTGGAGATGGGAAGTGTGATGGGAGATGATTTGTCGGGCTGTGGATAGGTTGTGGGATTTGATACCATCCTTTTTCTTTTTCTTCTATAATGGAATGTCAGTTTTATGTATATGATGAGTTAATGCTATGATCCTTTTTCTATCCGTTTTTTACTCTTTTGACCTGTAAATTGTGGATGTGATCAAATTTGTAGGGTGCGAGTTGGAGTTGGATCCTGTACGGATTAATGTATATGTTTTGGGGGGATTCTCGTGTACGAGCTAGCGGAGCCATGCTTAGAATAGATTTCTTGGTGGCTCTTACTATCCGAGTGATCTGATCAAGGCGATGCTTCGAGATCTCATGAGTCGTCGTCTATACCGATTTTCTCGTCCCTTCGTCGAGATTGCGCGTTGGATTTGCACAAAGTAAACAATAGTCACGTGATAGCATCTCGATACCTAGTACTCCCTACACGAACAACCGACAAGGCTACGAAAATGCTGGATTGACCATTTTTACATACCCAATGCAATAAAACGGTATTTGCTTTAAGGAGATTAGAGAATTGAAACGGAGCACTGAGTCCTGACCGTAGTTGGAAGCAAGTAGAGTCTATTCTAAATATATTTCGGGAGTGGCTGACAGCAACAACACCGGGCACCAAAACAAAACGCGCTCAACGCCAACCCGAATCAGAATCACACAAAACAACACAAAACACCCGAAATGACATCGTGGCCTGTACAAATCACCCCTCAAGCAGTCGGATTACAGGGTATCTATGCGCCACATCTTTTTTTCGAAATCATACAGTCTATAATACATGAGACGGGAAGCAAGCGGTCGCCGCCCGCCCGAGGTCTCGCCTCGCCGTTGGCCAGCCTACGCCAATCATTGTCTCTCAAGGACTTTGAGAACCAGCTCATACGTCCCGATCGTGATCGCCGCCGACGGAACCGTCCGGAGCAGATGCGCCGTCAACCCGCCGTAGAGCGCGATCATCCCCTCCTCCTTCAGGATCAGCCGCGCGCACTGCAGGATGCTGGTGTACTTCTGCCGACCGTCCGCCATGGGGGCCTGTCGGAGACGAGTGCGGATGACCTAGAGAAAGAGAGCCGTCAGCCAATATTCGTACCTTGAAAAACAATGATTCAACTTACCTCGTGAGGATAGGCGATCAGACAGGCCACCATCTTCGACAACCCGGAGGCACCGCTCAGCGCCAAACCCTGCACGAAATGGTTCGACTCGGGGCCGGCCCCCTCCAGATCGACCTTGGTGGCGATCAGCCCCTTGATGCGCTCGTACATGACCAGATGCAGCGTCGTCTCGATGCTCCCCAGATAGCTCGCCGTCAGACCACGGTATAGACCCTTGGGGCCCTCGTGCCGCAGGATCTGCTGCGTGCAATCGAGACTGTTCTTGTAGCGGCGGGCGCCCGCCTTGTCCAGCTGCAGGCGCGTCTTGACCACCCAGATGGGGTTGGTGGCGCTGCCCGTGGCGATGCCCGCGCACGCCGCCGACAGCGCGTGCACCAGCGTCGTGTCCTTGTCGCACCCCAGCACCTCCGGCAGCAGCCGCTTGCAGTTGCCGTATGTGTAGAACTTGACCGCGCTGGCGGGCACCACGCCCGTCAGGCTGGGGCCCAGGCCCTTGAACAACCCGCGCCAGCCCTCGACGCGGTGGATCGAGAACAGGATGCCAAAGGTCTCCCGGAAGTGGTTGACCGAGGAGCGGACGAAGGATTGTCGTATTTGGTTGGGGTGTGGTGTGAGGCGGGTGCTGGATTGGGTTTTGTAGTAGTCGGTTTGGAGGCTGTTCGCGTACATGTCTCATTAGCTTCGCGAAGGAAATTGTTGGGAGGCGATGCTGGCAGCCTGGAGGAGGAAAGCGCTTACCGCGTGCGGAGAACGTCAAGAGGACTTGTCATGATGGCTGTCACCATACCGCCGGTCCTGCACATCGATTAGCTTTCTCTTTCAGATGTCGTCAAGGTCAACTGCAGATAGATCACTCACGCGCCGGCAATCAAATGAGACCATGATCCCAGACTGGAGGTGTTCACGCGGTCGGGCACGGTATCGGTCGGAAGTGTGGGTGGAAGCGGTTCTCCAGATGCACCGCCCGCCTTGCGAACAACGGTCTGCATCGTTGCCATGGAGGGATGTCGATGGATTGTATTCCGGTGTTTCTCAGTAGGTTTAGATGAAGATCGACAGATAAAATCACAAGTGGCAAGGAAGAAGACAGAGACAGGGGGATGCAGGAGCAGGGAGTGGTTTTGCTCGGCCAGGGCCTGGGTCGATGGATTCAGGAAAGTTTTTTTTGCGGCGTTTGGAAAGATACTTCCGGGCGGCGAACCCCAGGCGGTCAGCATCTGTGACGGCCATCATGTGATCCACCTGTCACTTCCCCGTCATTACTCATCCGCTGACTCAGCCATGCATGCGCTGCTGCGAGATAAGGTGGAAATGCATTGGAGATCCGAATTGGTGGGCTTATGGTGAAGCCTAGACTAGCAGATGTGTGTGATGAACCTTGCACACACCACGAGAGTTTGTGCCTGACTACCTCTGCAGCTGCTCCTGCACGACTATCAGGCAGTAAGGCAGCCACAGCCTGGCCAACGGCTCCACTTTCTCCCGCCGATTCTCCACCGACCCAACCCAGACTTCGACTTCCCCAGACCAGACACTCTCACTCCCCCTTCGAAACAATCACTGATAACAAGTACACTCTCAACTCAACTCAACCCAACTTACTCACTTCACGCATGCCATGACCCCAGTCACCTCGCAAATTCATCTCTCGGAGCAATACGCAGACCCTTCACTTTTCCCACTCTCATATCCCCCGAGCCTCGTATTCATCCCGTTAGGCGCGGGTTAGGCCGCACAGTTCGCTCAGTTCGTCCGATCGCGCGAGGGTCCAATCTCCCGCCGACCCGCACTCCAGCCATGGGCAGCACGATAATCCCCAGCCTCATCCGCCCCTTGACCACCTGACACCGGACTAATGCACTGCACTAAAGAGTTCTTCAGCTAGTCCAGCAATTTTAAATATGCTTGATCGCCCCGGATCCGCGCCGACGCGCGCTCCTTCCCTCCCCTGCATCTCCGATCGCGCGCGCAACCCCCTACGACTACATGGCGGCCATCTAGCCGTACGACAACACCATGTCCGATAAGAAATCCAATCCCAAGCCCGCGGCTGCACCCTCCGCGCCAACCCCGCCCACGGGAACCGTCGCAGAGAGCAAAGAGCCCAAGAGTTTAGACGACCTGTGGAAAGAGGCGCTCGATCGCATCGCGGCGGAAAACAATGTCAACCTGGAGGAACTGCAGACCCGAGGCGACCAATGGTCCGACGCCGAGACTGGGCTGCAGAAGGCGTCCAAACTGTTCGAACATTCGCGACGACCCGGTGACCGGAAGGACAAGGTGATGAAGTCCGTGGCCGGGTGTCTGGACTGGGTGGACTCTGGGGTCACCTTCGTCAAGGGTCATGTTTCCGGCACGGTGAGGGGGACATTACATGTTACTGAGTTTTGAATCGAAGGACTGATGTTTCTTCCGATCGCAATGTCTAGTATGCGGTGCCTGCGCAGCTGGTGGCTGGGTCGATTCTGTATATGATTCAGGTGAGGACGGGGCGGAAGTGGAAGAAAGCTTTCGGTCGCTGGCTGGGCTGACACTTGCACAGGCGGCTAAAGATATGTCGGAGGATTTCGATCTGATTGAGTCGACTTTTGAAACGCTGAACATCGCGCTCCAAGACATCGGCGACCTCCGACACCGACAGTTCGACAAGTCCAACTTCCTGCGCCGATTGACCGATATCCTCATCGCCATGGTGGACTTTTGCTCCTTCAGCGGAAGGGTTTTCAGCGAGTACAGTCGGAAGAGTGGGTCCTACATACACTGCTGGCTGCCTGTGCCTGAAGGCTGATTTGCGACAGGACTGTACATACGGGCGCTTCTGAAAGGACGGAACAAGGAAATCATGGCCAAATGCGACCACGTGCAGAAGGTCATTCTGCTGTTCCGCGCCACATTGCCGATCCAGATTCTCAACGTGGTGGAGGGCATGGGCGAGAAGATCGAGAACCTCCCCACTAGCTTCATCCAGGCGCTGCAGGACATGAAGATCAAATCGTCCGACCTGCAGCCCCTGTGGGGCAAGGCGAGTGCACTGGAAAAGATCAAGGAGACCCTGAAGAACAGCAAGGACCTCGATCCGGACACCGAAGTTCGCGTCGAGACGCAGATGAAATTGGTGCGGAAGCATCTCGTGCCGGGGACCTTCTCGTGGTCCGAGACAGACCCGGCCTACAAGTCGTGGGCGACCGGCCACAAGAACCCCTTTATCTTTGTCTCGGGAGAAGCAGGCACCGGCAAGACCTTCTTCGCCTACCACTGCTACCTGTCGATCCAGGAGCAGAGCAAGCGGTACCGTATCGCCAACGACAAGAATAACCCCGACCAGCGACGAACGATGCTGGCGGCCTACTTCCCCTTTGAACCGGGTAGACAGGAGTCGCAGTCCTTTCGGAACGTTCTCGCGTACATCCTAGTGCAGATTGCTGACCACGACATCAAGCTGTGCGAGTCGATCGCAAAGGACCTGATCGCTTCGAAGATCTTTAAGGGTGGACAGAATGACAAGCAGGAAGAGAAGCTCAAGTTTCTGTGGAACAACCTTCTCGTGAAGAAATTCGAGAAGACTCCCGACACCGCAAGAGACGTGTTCATCCTGCTGGACGGTGTGGAGCTCATGGAGGAATCCGACCGCAGACGCATGCTCGAGTTGTTTCAAACCTTGAACTCGGACAAGTGTGGCATTCGGATCCTCATGACCGGAACCACGGATGACTCGCTCTACGACACGGTGTTTGGATTCACCAAATGTCCTAAGATCGACCTCATCGCCAAGACCAAGGCCGGGGGTGACTTTGAGCGGATCATCGAGGCTCGCATCAACGGATCCGAGGTCTTGAAGTCGTTCAAGGATTCCACTCGTAGTGCTATTGAGCGCAAACTGCTGCAGAACCCGAGCCGTAAGTACTGCCCTGGGGTATGGGCTATGTGATTTGACTGACGCCGCTCAGGAGTCATGTCCTCTGTGGATCTTACCTTGACCATGATGGAACAATCGGAGGGAGACGAAGCATCTGCCTTGGCTAAGATCGATAACGTCAACAGCCAAGAAGGCTTGTACACCGCGATGATTGAGATTGTCCGCGCCAGACGAAGTGAGATGGACCGCCGGATCGTTGAAACGATATTCGCCCTATGCACATATGCCAAGCAACCGTTGACTGTATATGATCTACAAGAGATTATTGATCAGGAGCCTAGCTTTAGTAGCTTCAATGTAGCTGGCGAGATTGAGGGAACATTGTCCAGGTATGTATTCGGTAGAAGATGAGGAGCCACGTTAGAATTACGCTGACCAATATTTGCTATCTAAGTTTGTTGTATACGATCAACTACCAGCCGACAGATGCACAGACAAGCACGGTGGCGAAGGAGGGGCAGCCGGAAGGCCCCATCACTGAGGCAGCTCGACTGGAGAAGAAGATAAGCGAAAGCAAGCAACAGCAGGTTCTCTTCCGCCAACCTGCCTTCCGCGACTATCTGGAACAGTCCGTGAACAACATGATCCCTGACCCGATCGAGTCAAGGGTATTTTTCTTTCTGAAGCTGGGGGGTATTCTCTGCGACCGAGATCCGCAAGGAGCGAACCTTCGCAAGGCCCTTCAAGAGTATGCCGCGCAATGGTTCTTGCAGCACCTCAAAGACATAAGTGTAAAGCATACCACACCGAAACAAGGATTGCAGATCGTCGAAGCATTGGCACGGGTTTTGACCAATGACAACGATGTCTGTCGAGTCTTCGAAGAGCTCCATCAGAAGCAGGATGACGACAACGCGGATGTGGATTTCGACTTCTACGACATGTCCACCGATTTTGACAAGTCAGGTGGCTATAACCTGAAGGTTCTGATGGCGTGGGCCCGGAAGATGAGCTTTCATGATGAGGAGGGATTGTCGCCGCGCGCCAAGGCCTGGGTCGAAAAGATCATCATGCAGCCGGGAAGCGTTCTCGAACAGTTGGCCCGAGGGCATATCGAGAGCTGGACGGAAAAGGTGACCTACAGCGAAGCCAAGATCCCTTATAAATTTATCTGTCGGGCTTTGTGGCCGGTACGTATCTCTCTACCAAGCTTTAGCAGTTCACACTAATATCTCTCCAGACTGGAAACTTCCCAGATGGGGACAACAACACTCACTGGTACTTTCCTTTTGTCTTGGCACCCAGGGCCAGGCATATCCTCGAATATGGCAAAGCTGAAATGTTCACTGCCCCAGTCAAGACTGCACGCTGTCGGATCGCCGCTGGATTGGTGTTGCATTCTATAGCGGACAGCGAGGAGAAAGACCTTGCGGCCGAGTTCTACCAGACAAACTTGGATGACAAGACCACGCCCGGACCGGAGCGATTTTATTCTTATTTAGGGCTTGCGGAGTACCACCGTTCGAACCAAGACCAGGCCGAGAGTATGGATGAGGAGGAGATACGGGAAGGCTGGAAGCGAGTGGTGAAGTACGCCAACCTTGCCCTAACCGCCCGTACCGAGGAGAAGGGCGCTCTTGGTTCGGAATTGAGCGACGAGCGATGTACCAATGCTTTCCTCCTCAAGGCCCATGCCTTGCAGCAACTGGGCGAAGATGAACAGGCAATTGAGACCTGTGAGGAAGCTCTGCGGGAGGGTCTCGAGTACACTCAGCAACTCTTGGAACTCCTCACGAGCATCGTCAACATCCATGGCAAGAAGGGTGAATGGAGCAAGGTGATTGATGCCGTTCGCCGCCAACAGCCGAAGATCCGGTCTGAGTGGCTGTGGTTCCGATCGACCGATTTCACCAACAAGAAGGATCTTTTCCGTCGAGCCGCTGTTGAAACTAGACGAGTCGATTATCTTCTCCAGACCTTCCAGGACTCCGTAGACTACTGGCAAAAATTGGATCCGGCGCGCGCGCAAGCTACCCATTTCGAGCTTGCTTTTATATACCGACGAGACGCGCGTGCGACCAAGATGGCAGAGCACATACTGGACAACATGCTTGCCAATCTCACAGAGTCGCAAATTGCGATCTCGCTGATGAGCTCCATTTTCCCCGAGATGGTTGACATCCAACACGAGAACTTTACCGTGACACGATCAACCACTGTGCGCGAGGAGTCGATCATGAAGCTGGAGAGACTGATCAGTACGTACGAGCGGACTCCAATACTGGAGTCGATCCAGTTGGCCGAGGCCTTTCTGGTGCTAGGCAAGATGCATCGGGAGATTGGGAACCTGGGGAAAGCCAGACTCCATGCCGACCGCGCATTCAATATCTGCATTGCAGATCTAGAGGACTCGATTGGGTCGAACGATGTCTATGCATTTCGCTTGCTGGCGAAAGTCCTCATGTTCTTGGACTTAAAGATGGATGCGCAGGTCGCCTTGTCGCTTCAGATGTCCGTGGTGGACCGGAGCTACGATGACTATGCTTATGCTAATTTCGGATCGACTGGACAACCCGCTGAGACAGAGGTGGTTCAAGGTGACGGTGAACCAAGCGCAGAGACGGCGCACGGGGCAGAAGGCCAGCTTCCGGCTGACTCAAGTGAGACAGGAAAGGAAGCAAACGAGCCATCTACGGACTCTGCAGAGACCAGTGCCGTTTCTGAAACCCAAGGATCGGATGGCAATGAGACCTCGGCCACATCACTTCCGTCCGAGCAAGCCGAGACCGCTGACACTGATGCGAAGGTATCCAGCTTGACTGTGGCGCCAATCACACAGAAAAATGGAGAAGCGCCCGCCGTAAACGGCCAGTCCACGTCCGAGGTACCAGGAGTCCACCGCCATGCGACCGACCAGCCAGAGTCCACTCCAGCAGCGTCGCTCACAGATGGCTCTTCCGCGAAACCCGCACAACCCGATATCCCCGACATTTCCTCATCTCAAGACACGATCGATGTCACCAATGGGGTCACTTGCAACGGACCCTGCATGGACCCGCCATTCGAGATGAAGACTTTCGGGCCGAAGGGTCCGAAGATGTATTTCTGTCTCGACTGTGCGACCGTGGATTTCTGCGAAGACTGCTACCGGAAGCAGATCGCATTCTATGATGAGACCGGCGAGGGCTTTTGGTTCAAGTGCTGCTGGGCACGGCACCGGTATCTGCCGCAGCCGATCGATGACTGGATGGGGGTGAAGGATGGGGTGATTCGCATTGGGAGAAAGGAGAAGTTGTGGAAGGATTGGATGATGTCGGTGAGGGATCGGTGGAAGAGGAAGATTATTGAAGTTTGATTAGAGTCTGTTTTTGGAACAACTTCACGATAATGCCTAATGTTGATACCTCGCTGAATATTGAACTAGAGTGCTGAACCTATTCATAAGCTGGCTGTTTCTAACTGATTAATCTACGCCTTCAGACAACGGCATGGGAGACCGTCCGCTTGAGTGCACTCTGCACGATATGATCAATCATTTCATCGAACGAGACACCATTATGCTCAGCGATGAGCGGCAATTGCGACCAGCTAGGGAGCAACCCAGCCAGCGGATTGATCTGTGAGCGTTAGCAACCTCGCCACTTAACCACGAGCCTTCGAGGAAACAGACCTCCATGACATGAGCCACCCCGGCTCCATCCATGCGAACATCAACTCTGCCCCCATCGCGGCACCGCAGCGCTCTCCACGCCCTCAACGCAGTCTCACAAGCCAAGTCTGCCTCTTTGTCCTCGCGAGTGACCTTGACCTCATCCGCCTCCCCGTTCCAATCATCCGACGACTTGGACTTCTCCGTCGTGAATTCAACCGAGCCCTTGTCTCCCTTCGCTCTCGACCAAACAATCTCATCCACCCCAACGACCCACGCATCGACCCCCGTCCCCAGAATCCCGACCGTAAACTCCCTCCCCGGAAGAAACGACTCGACCAAAACCCCCAAAGAAGAAGGACTCGCCGCCCGCAATGCATTCACCACCCGTACCAAATCTTTGTCCGAGGCTACCCGATTTGCCAGGGCAATCCCTTTGGACGACCCCTCAGCCAACGGCTTGACGAACAGCGGCCATCCCCCGGGCCCGAGCAGCGTCTCGGCATGCCGCGAGCGGCGCATCTGTCCCAGGATCTCCTCGCCGCTCAACTCCTCCTTCTTTAGCGGAGTGTCATCGAAATGAACGACCGCAAAGGGCGCCGTCGCGACCCCGAAATGCTCCAGCACCATCTTCGTGCGCCCCTTGTCCAGACACAGCGCCATGGTCGCGGCGTTCGAGAAGGTGCGCGGGATGCGGTGCGCTTCCAGCACGGCGGCGACCTGCGCTTCGCGCGCGGGGCCGTACACCCCCTCTGTGATGTCGAAAGCCAGGTCCCATTTCGGGGTTTTGGGAGTAGTGAGGTGGGTGAGGAGGGCGTGGATGCTGGGGATATGGTGCACGGTGTGGCCCTGGGATTGCAGGGCGGTGGTGATGGCGGGCGTGGCGGCGCCGACTTCGAGGTGCGAGGGGGATGCCGCCGAGTGGTGGTGGAGGGTGTAGACGGCGGGGTCTTCGTAAATGAGGGCGATTGTCAGGGGGTGTTTTGTCATTTTGGGTTGGCTGGGTTGGATGAGGATGGGGTTAGGGTTGATCCGCGATTCCTTGGAGGTACTTATAGAGCAAGTGCAGCTGGCCTCTTATTGATAAGCTCCTTTTATGAGTGAAGAGTGGCGATAGAGTTGCGGGGTGAAGTGGTCGAGGATCTACATGGTGGTCAGTAGGTCCCTGGTTTTGCCTGCATATGTTGTGCTTTGTTGGCCATGCTTCCGTGGATGCTGATCTATGGACCGAGACGTATCGGTTCGGCGCATGCTGCAAGTTATCAACTCGAAAGTCGGACATTTGCCATGATCCATAGGCTCTCTCGATTTTCGTCAGGGCGGATTAGTGCGTCAGGTTTCTGGTAAGCTGGACAAGGTGCATGGATGCATTAAATCAGCGACGACCTTGACTGCGGTCTTTCGGCGAGTGTGAATTGATGCAATGCTATCATATGAATGAAGCTCAATTGTTGATCATCAATTGAGCTTCTGCTCCTTTTCACCAGATTGATTGCCTCTGCAGTCTACATGCGAGTGGTCGCATCATACCTGGACGCAAAAAAGGTTGAACCCAGCGGTTTGAAGAGCTGGATGTGTTCCATCAGACTGAGGATCAGAGGACTCAAGCGCTCTTACAGCCTCTCAAATACTGAACGGATATGTACGACAGCTTGAATCAGCTAGATTTGGGCAGCGCGCGCTGACTGGTGGAAACTGCGAAACCCAGCGTCATGCTCAGCATGTCACGATTTCATTTCCCCTCATCTTCAATTCTGCAGGACCGGTTAATTAGCGGAGGCTAATGCAGTGTGACGGAAATGCATCAATTCAGAGCTTCGGCTAATTTTTAGCCTAGCCTCGCCAACTTCCCCTCATACCATGCAGTATACGGCTATAAATGAGCAGATCCACCTCCGCATTCTTCCTCCCCACCCAGTACCCCGGATCCAACAATGTCTAAATTTCTCGCAGTATCTCTGCTGTCGGTTGCGGTTGCAGCTGCACCGTCGCTTCACCCACGACTGCAGAATGGATTGGCCCAGACGCCACCGATGGGGTAAGTTCACACCTTGATCGGATGGATTTTAGCTAAAGCATCCAGATGGAACACATATAACCACTATTCCTGCTCTCCAAATGAGACTATCGTCCGGTCCAATGCCCAAGCTTTGGTGGATTTGGGCCTCGACTCCCTGGGCTACCGCTATGTCACCACCGATTGCGGGTGGTCGGTGGCCGACCGGTTGGCCGATGGGTCCCTGACCTGGAATCCGGAGCTGTTTCCACAGGGCTTCCCAGCGCTGGGAGAGTATATTCACGACCTGGGGCTGTTGTTCGGGGTCTATGGAGACGCAGGAATTTTGCTATGCGGCAGCCCGCCGAACAACACGGGCAACTTAGGTATACCCCTGCGCCCCATGTTGAAATGGGTGGGATTCTAACTGCTGCTCGCTACAGGTCACGAAGAACAGGATGCTCAGACATTTGCCTCGTGGAAGGTAGATTCTCTGAAATGTAATTGCCCTTGCCCCCCCCAAGACACAAACCTCCTTGCCAAAATCCCAGAGACTCACATTCACCACAGACGACAACTGCTACTCCGACGCAGCGACCAACTTCCCCAATGTCAACTACGCGCCCAGCACCTCCCCCTCCTCGCGCTACGCCACCATGTCCCAGGCCCTGGCCCAGCTGAACCGCACCGTGCTGTTTCAAGTCTGCGACTGGGGCGTGGACTTCCCCGCGCTCTGGGCTCCATTGCTGGGCCACACCTGGCGCATCGGCAACGACATCATCCCGGCGTGGCGCACCATCTACCGCATCCTCAACCAGGCTGTACCGCAGACCGACGTCGCCGGACCAGGCCAGTGGCCCGACCTCGACATGCTGGAGGTCGGCAACGGGGTGTTCTCGCTGGCCGAAGAGCAGACCCACTTCTCGCTGTGGGCGATCCTGAAGACTCCGCTGGTCATCGGGGCTGCCCTGCGCGACGAGGCCACGGCCATCAGTGAGAGTTCGTTGGCGGTCCTCAAGCAGGAGGATGTGATTGCCTTCAATCAGGATGCGCTGGGCACAAGCGCAAGTCTGCGTCGCCGGTGGTCCGAGGAAGAGTACGAAGTCTGGAGTGGCCCGTTGTCCGGGGGCAGGACGGTCGCGGCGCTGGTGAACTGGCGCAACGAGTCGCGCGAGTTGACCCTGGATCTGCCGGACATTGGGCTGCAGTATGCCGGCAGTGTGAAGAATATCTGGGAGGGGAGTGTGGCGGAGGGGGTGCGGACGTCGTACACGGCGACGGTGGCGGGCCATGGGACGATGCTGCTGGAATTGGGGGATACCATAGCTGAGGGGGTTTATCCTGGAGATCTGTTTGTGAAAACATCAGGGTAAGTGCGTGTACCACTCTGCTGGACGATGAGCTGACCGTGGGATGCAATGCAGGACCACCACGACGTTCTCGCCCATCTACGCCGTCACGACCAGCAAGAACTACACTCTGACAATCACCCTCTCCAAACCGCTCTCCTCCCCGACTGCGATTCTCGTCTCTACCGGCTCCAACACAACCACCCGCCTCACCATCCCACCCTCCATCACGAACTTCACAACACCCCTCTCCCTATCCGCCTCCCCCAACGCAACCCTAACCTTCCATCACCCCTCCACCCCGACCCTCCCCATCACCTCAATCACCCTAACCCCACCGCAAGGTACCTACGCCCCCAGCACAGCCTTCACCCTCTCCGGCACGGCAACCCTCACCACCTGCGGCGCAGGGTACTGCCTCCCAGTCGGCAGCAAACTAGGCTACCTGTCCCCGTCCGGCTCCGCCAGCACAACCATCCACGCCTCCTCAGCGGGCACCAAGTACATAGAAGTGGCTTACATCAACAACGACATCGCCTTCGATTCGTCGTGGGACGAGGGCCGCAACGCCCGCAACCTGACAATCTCCGTGAATGGCGGGGCGCCGGTGCGGCTGGAGGTGCCGCTGAGTGGTCGGCACAGCGAGCTGTTTGGGCCTGGTTTGGGGTGGTGGGATAGTGCGACTCTCGGGGTGAGCGTGGATGGGTGGATCGTGGGGGGGAATGAAGTGGTGGTTGGGAATGTGGGTGGGGGCGAGGGGGTGCAGAGTTATGGGGCGGATTTGGTCGGGGTGAGGGTTTTGGATTAGCTTGCTGCAGCTGGTATACATGTGTGTTGTTGATATTATGGTTTAGCTCGAGGGGAGACCGAAGTGTTGGGGCGCAGGATAGTAAAATATGTTTGTTAAAAGAGTTATATGATGTGAGAGTTGCACTCTCTTGATGTCTTCCTCCAGCTAGAATCAGGCGAGCTCCTTACTGAAAGGAGGCAAGAAGCGACCAAGTCCACATCATCCGAATGAAGAGACATCGGGTAGCATGTTTCCAGTCGCAGGGCTACACCTCTCACGTATTAGAAACATGATACAAAGCTTACTACGGTGCTGACAATCTCCACTGATTGACCGAAATTTAGTTGCAATTATATGCCCTCGAGATAGCACTAGAATGCCTTAGTCTAGGATATCATTCTGCCCAGCCCTAGCCGACAGGATGTGTCTTCCCCATTCCCAACTGCTTCCCCATCCGGCCGAAGATAGATTGGATGTGATCCGGTGTAATAGCTGCCTGGTTAACGTAGTAGTAGTAGCCTATTCTGCGGCTATGACATTCACAATTGATGGCATGCACAACCCTGCGCTACAACCACGATATCACAATACAGAACGAAGAGATTGGGTATATACCAAAACGTGTATTCTCCTACACAACAGAAAGTACGAGCAAAGAAAGATAGATCACCTACCACTAGAAAGGCGGCGCATCCCACGCCCTCAACTCCACCAAACAAGCCACCATATCCGGCCGATTGCAATCCGCGGCATACACCACCGGACCGCGACCATCAAGCGACGTCAGCTGCAGCAAGACCGGACGCATCGCCACCATCACACGCACATACATGGGGGACGCGTAGCGCAGCGCCTGGAAGAACATCTGATCATCAAAGAGCTCCTCCAAGACCAGACCCGACTCCAACCCCGTCCTCACCATCTGCTCCACGAGCCCGAGCTCCAGGTCCAGCGTGCGGGCCCTATAATCCAGCAGACGCGGCATGGCGCACTTGGCGCCGGCGTCCAACAGCAACCTGAGCACCGCAACATCCTCCGCCGTCGCCTTAGTGACCCAGCAATCCAGCGCCATCTCCAGCCGACTGGACGTGACATTGGGATCCGCGCCATGCTTCAGCAGCACGTTCACAATCTCAAGATGCCTGTACAGCACCGCCAGATGCACCAGGGGCTGCGCCTGGAGATCGTAGCTATCCGCGCTAATGTGGAACTTCGTGAGCGCTTTCGTCACGAGCCCTACATTGCCGGCCCGCACGGCCTCGACCAGAGGCTGGGGCGGCAGCGCCCGCGCCGTGCGGTACGTGCGCGTCCGCGGATGGCCTTTCGCGTCCGGGGCCAGGTACGTGAGCTCGTGGTAGTGCACCGCATCTGCGAGGCAGCACTCGCGCATCTCGGCGATGAGTTCGGTTAGTGCTCGTCTGAGGCCTTTGCAGGTTAGTGAGAGCGCGAAGGCGGTCTTGGGGGTCATGTACTCGCCGCAGCTGAGGATTAGCTCCGGGGGCAGCGCGTAAATCCCGGTTGTGTTCGCCATGGCGGTTGCGCTCGGAGAGCTCGACTTGGTGGTTGTCTCGAGGAGGAGTCGCGTTTGGGCGTACCTGTTTGGCTTTTGGGCGGTGTGGGTAGAGTTACTGTTCTGCGGGCCTTCTCTTCAGTATAGGCAGTGATGACGAACAGTGCTTTACACTGTGCGAGGCTCCTGGGGGCTGCATGCTTGGTACGCGTTCCTTTATATAGGGGTGAGAAGGTGTTCCTTTGGAGAGAATAGATCAAGAGTTGAAGGGTTTTGGGAGGAACTCCGGGTAAGTGAATGGGGGCATGGATCAGATTGTTGTGCTTTGAAACGAGAGGAGAGCAAGTTTTAGGCAAGATGCTTGCACTGGTAGCCTGTCGTTATGAATGAAGACTGATGTGTGGCGGTTGCTTGGAGGTTCATGGTGATGCTGGGGAGCTTGCCCGGAGAAGGTTTCCGAGGGGGACACTGTTGTCGCTGTGTAAAAGCGTAGACGCAAGTGACCATAGCAATCAGCATAAAAGCAGCATAGGACGAGTATAAGAAGCTACTCGACACGACACTCGCAGTATTCAGAGAAAGTGCTACTAGCTCCAAATTCATTATGTTTCGGAAACCTTTATGCACAAAGCATTATATACTGCCACTCGTGATGCTTTCACCTCCTGGTGAAAGAAAGCGATAAAGAATTAGACAGAGACTCAAGAGAAGACAATGAAATCTTCAGAGGCTTATCCTTAGAGTATGCTAATAATGTAGACCATTGACCTACCTTCACAGCCATGAGTACGCATGAACCATCCTCCCCAAAACTCTTGCCAAACCAAAGCCAGCCGCATTTACCGACGAAACCAACCGTTTCGGCATTTTGATGCCTGCGCCCTAAGGATTTTGATTTCGGCCGATCGGGCGCAGGTGCCCGCTTGCTGTGGATCAAGGGACCTTCTCCCAAGCATTCGGTGATTAACGCGCGGTGCCCACCAACTTCCAAGCTACCAGCCCAGCTGGCCTCAAGACTCAAAGCCTCACTGGCTCAGCCTCCATCGCAGCAAAAATGACAACATGATGCATAAACCATCCCAGGTCTTCGGTAACTAGCCTTGCCCTAAAGGTACCGAACTCCAGATAGACGGACCCACCAGACCGGTCGAGACCCATATGGCCGGGTCCACTGTGGCTGGACGGGATTCTGGAAAAATGGCAGTTTTACGCGAATAGGCTCATGTTTGTGGACATGTGTCTTGCAGGCAAAGACTGTTTGAAGGGTTGAGGTCTCTCCAAACTACAATTGTGAGGGTAATTTCACTAACAGTGGTCTCCGTAAGCAGATTCTGACATAATGTTAAAAGGTGGGAGGGCGAGCACGGTGAAGGATGCTACTCGGTGATAGGGATAAACATGGGCTGCTCTTGGATGGCGACTTCGCAATGGATATACATGAATAGAATCTACTTATATACAGTGGCTAAGGAGACAACAACGCTTCAGTAAGATCCCACCAGGGTAGTAACGTGTCTAACGACTGACTATACCTGCCCCGAAAGGAGACGATCTCGCACGACCCCAACCCCCCTCGTCCCCATAAGATAGACTCCCGCGCTCAACAGAGTCTGCACTGCAACATCCATAGGCGATCCCGTCATCCTTCTCTGCCGCAGGACAAGCTCCAGCAAGCCTGCTCGCCCTATCACGCCCATTATGAAGAGCAATACATCCACAAGCGCATCCAAAATCAGCGGCGAGTACGCCACCCCCAGCGCAAGGAGGGACCGCACCGCCAGCGTGGCGTACTTCTTTTGCATGGGAGGCGTCTGCTCACTTGCCACAAAGGTATCCATAAAGCTAGGGGTCGAATTCCAGCGACACCAGCTCAGAATGGGGAACCTGCCGGATACTGCACGATGCCTTTTACCCCTCGGAGTGGGCGAGGAGCTCACGATCTTCTGCAGCAAGGCTGGGTCCGAGACCGCGATGTTCTGCGAAACAGTATCGGCTTCTTGGCCTGTTGCGCGCATTTCAGTCGATAATCCTTCCCAGGAGGTGGAATAGTTGACGATGCGCGTGTAGAAAGGGGGATCGAGGACTTCGACGGTCACGGTCCGGACGGATGTGCTTTTGAAAGTGCATGACGCGGATCTCATGTGGATGGTCTCGTCGGAGAAAGCGCGGCAGGGGATGTAGGTTAGTTCCACTGGGTCGGGAGAGGAGGAAACACAGAGGGCGAGGTAGGCGCGGAAGAAAGGTTCGAGTTGCCTAGCAAGGAGTGTTGTCAGTATAATCCTCAAACGGGGCACATGCACGGGGAGAGGCCTGCCGTTCAGCCCGGGTCGGATGGCGCCCGATACTCCCACTGCGCACCGGGGTCTTATCCATCATCTTCATCAGTCCCTTCCAGCGGATGCGCAACGCCTCCAGCACGATATACGGCGTCGTCAGTACGCCCGGCAGCGTCCACCGCAGCGCAATCCGCGCCAGATCCGTGAACCCCATCTGCGCGGGATCGAGCGGCGCGCCACAGCAGGTGATCCGCGTGACCATCTTGACTTTCCCCTCCGGGCTCAATGTATTGGTGTTTAGCAGCGTGGCATTGGGCTTCCACGCGGCGCCGTGCGCCAGATCCATGAACCGGTTCGCGATGGCGCCGTCGACCTTCTCGAACGGCGAGGCGAAGATGAATTTCTGCCAGGTGCCCTTGTAGTAGGTGGATTTGGGATGAGAGGATGTGGTGCGGATGGTGGAGGCGCTATCGAGGAAGCGAGGGTTGTCGGTCTCGTTCCCCTTCTCCGTAGCAGGGATGGGGTTCTCGCCGCGCTCGACCCGGAAGAAGTAATTGCGCTTCTCGTCGTAGGAGTTGTTGATCTCCATGATCATCGCGTCGAGTTCGCGGTCGGCGTTGTAGAGATACCACCACGTCACAACACTGCGCGACCACCAGAAGAACCGCGGGACGGTGAGGAGGTACGCGTGGGGCCATTGGGAGGGGTCCTCGTTCTGCTGCTGTTAGCTTATACCCCCACACTTCTGGAAAAGAGGAGCAGTACCTCTTTCAGCAAGTATCGATCCAATTTCGCCCGCATATCGAGACCCTGATCCCCGCGGTGGAGGTACCGCTCCCCGTCGACACTGAGCCAGCACGTCGCCTGCGCCAGGAAGGACCTCCACGAAGGACCCGCAGGCGTCGAGTTGCGGAGTGTCAACCGCTTGTCGTCGATCGCGAGCAGGTTGCCATAGCGCGCGCGCATCCCGACGGGGATGCCGATCATTAGGAATCTGTTGGCGAATTGGTCCTTGACGGGGTTGAAGCGCACATGATTGAGCTGCACGGGAAATAACAGGGGCTTTCCGAGGATTGATCGCGGTTCATCGGAGAGGGGAACCACTTGACGTGATACTAATAAGAGGCGCAGAGACATGAAGATTAGAACAAGGCATGGCGTCAACAGAAGCAAGACACCCAGTGCTGTTAGGGCTGTCAGGAGGAAGGCCGCACTTCGGTGCCTGAGGCCGGCGTATAGGGCTAGAGTGACGAGGTCTTCGTACGGCATCGTGCGTTGACCGACACCTTTTCAATAGAGGACAACAAAGAATCGTAAATGGTGTGAAGAGGACAAAACGGAGGGCTGTACAAAAATTTTGTTAAAGGATTTTAAATGCAGGGAGCAGCTTTATACATTGGAATTGATGCCTACAGCTGAGCCGTATCGGCAATGCCGTAACCAAGAGGCTTGTTCTCTTCCCCTAGCACTGTCGAAAAAGATCTCCCACCGCAGCACACTAGTACAAACAATACAGCAAAATTACCTTGATCTATCAAACTTGCAAATACCATGACCGAGACCACCAAACATGCTGCTTATACAGGACCAACAGATCGAACTAACCGCAAAGGGACGCCTGGCATGACGCTAAAAGAAATGTGGCTGAAATCTCGCCAGCCGAAGCGCGTTCAGCCAGCCAGCCCCAAACCCACGGAATGACACCTGCTCGGATGGCTCCGGAAGAACAAAATCAATCCAGGGAAAAAAAAAAAAAGAGAGAAAGTACACTAGCTTCACCGTTCGTAGATCCAATCCGCAGAGATATCCCAGTGTGTGGACCGCCAGAGGTGGAGAGAGTTCCAAGGGTAGAGGAACCAATTCTTGCCCGTCAACTTGTCGATGAAGAACTGCGATCGCCGTCAGTCATGTCCGTCATTCAATGAAAGTGGGGATACAGGCCTCACGCACACTAGAGCAGGAGCTGTCATGTACTGTGCGATCAATCGCCGCATGAAGCTCGTCAGTATACTCCTTCTCACTACCGAGCTTGACTTCAACCAGAGCAGCCTGGTTCAGCAGCACCGGTCTGATCAAAGCGATGATCATGTCCACGTAACTATCAATTTGGTCAGCTAGCCAGCCAGAGATACAGAAGGCTGCATGCGAGCCCAACCGACCTTTCAATCTGGAATGTCGTCGACGTGTGGACCCCGCCCGAGTTCGGGCCCAGCACATAGAAGAAGTTCGGGAATCCACTCATGGCTATCGACTTGAAGGCGGCCTTGGATCCATACTGTTGCCAGTGCTCTTCACGCGTTCGGCCATGCCGGCCCCGAAGCTGCGTTTCGTAGTGCGTCAGGGCGAATCCCGTTGCCAAAAGCTGGAGCCACGAGTCAGTCTGCCTGTTCACGCTAACGAGGGACCGGTGGTCTGGTGAGAGACTCACGATCAGGTCGGCTGGAATTTCCTCCCCGGAATGTGTCACGATTGAGCGTGGCTTGACCTCAGCGATGAGGTCGTTCGTTAGGCGAACATTGTTTCGATGTAAAGCTGCAGAATAGCTCCGGTCGAACAGCCGTCTCTGCATGAACAGAACAAATAATTAGGTCAGTTTCAGTTCAGCAAAGCCACAGCGCGCGCGCCCCGCCCATACCTTACAGCCGAACTCGTATTGCGGTATTAGCAAATCCCAGTATTTTTCTGCACGAACCCGTTAGTCCCCTATCGCTTGCAATCTTTCCCCTAATGACGGAGATCCATACCCGGCGCAGCTTTGTGTACATACTCCCGACTCGATTTCTCGGCGCTTGCTCGATTCACACGACCCTCTTTGCTGCGCTGGAACTGCGAGAACCCGGTTTCCATGTACACAAACATCGCCCACCGGAGCAAACACAGCAGAAACGGGAGATAGCGGAAGACCGCTCGCCATGCTTCGGTGATGCCGTAGTTCGTGCTCGGGACAATGTGGTGCGGTGTCTGCGCCATAGTCTTAGCGGATGGTTTCTTCCACCCTACAAAAAAGAAGTTAAAAGTGGAGCAGAGAGCAAACTCACCCTCATGAATTGGGTAACGTGGCTTGCCTGCTCACTGATTGCAGGCACTAGTTGGATAGCCGATGCTGCGGTCACGGTCAGCATACCTCTCGCGATGGAAGGGCTTATCCCGTTCCAGCCCTACCTCCATTGCCTATAACCGCCACCTTCTTGCCACGCAGGTCCACGTCCTCGCGCCACCTTGCGGTGTGAATGATCTGTCCCTCGAATTGCTCAATGCCTGGGGCCGTGAATGGGAGCGGATTGACGAGCGCCCCGACAGCCGAGATCAGGATCCGACATTCCTGCGTGAACTGCTGCCCGGTCGAGAGGTCCCGGAAGGTGACCAGCCAGGTGCGGGTGGTGTCCCGCCAGGCGGCACCGACCCATTCGGTGTTGCCGGTGAAATGTGGCGTGACGTCGTAGCGGTCTGCGATGCCGGTCAGGTAGTCCAGGATCTCGGCCTGTGAAGGGAACCATTCGCTGAAGTCAGGGTTCGGGGCGAAGGAGAAGGTGTAGCAGAACCCTGGCACGTCCACGGCACAACCTGGATCTGCAATTCTCAGTAGGATGATCAGATATATCTGGGATGGGGCAACGAACATCGGTTCACCCACCACGTTCCTCCTACACCAGGCTGTCGATCGTAGATACAGTAGTTGTCCAGGTTGTAGGTGCGTTTCAGTTGACAGGCGGTGACCAGGCCTGAGATTCCGGCCCCGATGATGATGACGGTGGTAGGGGGCTTGGATGGTAAAGACATGATGTCTAGCGGCCTCGGGCTTCAAAGACGACAGATGCTGTGTGGTCAGGAGATTGAAGGCAAATATTCATTGTTTGTGCCCTTACTTCTCGACTCTATATATACCCCAGGTTGAGAGCCTGAAACGGATCAAATCCTGAAGTCCCGAGGGACTATCCAGCTCTGCAGTATAGATCGGGCAATTCAGCTATCTCCTAGTTGCCTACTAACGAGATGTTCTGGAACACCCCTCAGCAAAACGAAAAATACGCGTTCGTAATTTACTCCGACAGGTATGTAACGGACCTGCATGAAGCCGACACGTCAGTCAATCCCCACTTTTTCAGCTGTCGCTTAAACGCCCGATAGCGCGAACCCTTCCATAAGTGTCCGGCAGCTTGGTACCCTCTCACTACTTTGCTATGAAGGGTCCACCGGTGGCTTGGGAGCACATGTTAGGGCTCGGGTCATACAAAAGCTTCCGAGTCAAGCCCGATTCTATGGTTTGGACAGGATCATGAGACTCAGTCCACAATTCACAACGGGCAGGAATAAAGATTAAAAACGAAAAGGCAAGAAAGCCGCAAATGGCTCAGCCAGCCACACGAACTGCAGGAGGCCGACGCTTCAAAGTCTTAGGCAACATCCGACACTGCCTTGATCCCAAGCGGGCTGGGCTGCGTGCCCCAATATCCAAGCCACTCAACACGAAGAATCAAAAGCAGAATGGACTGTACAGCATTGTACACTGCACAGTGAATTTTCCTACCGGCAACAACAGCCACATTGGACAATACAACATGTCCATCAAATGTCTCAATCCCCTGGGCTTCACATCGTTGGCATCTGCAGGTAGCCGCCCAGTATCCACGACATAATTCTCGATTCCTTTAGGCAAACGAAGTATCAAGGACGGTGGGGCCGGAGATCGCCGTGTAAGTGGGTGATTGGAGGATTTGGATGAGGATCAAGACTATGCTGCCACCCCAAGGAGAATTAAGGTGGGTTTGTATCCTATAACCAAATATGAGGCTTAATACCATGGCTTTCGACCACTGCGAGTATTTCACGCTCAGCATTGCTTGAATCGACCCACCAAGAAGGGCGGACTGCATAGCATGACATGGACTAGTTGTAAACTTGAAACAAGATGTTATGCTTTCTAAACAGAATCTATGTGGGTGCGCGGATGTCCGGAAACTAATGTCGGCAAGCTTATGTTTATTAATCTACAGAGATTGGTAGGACGTGATTACATCATATTTGAACATAATAGGGCTCATCATAATGATATAGGTATATTTAAGGAAGGTAAGAAGAGAAGAGTAGTTGTGCGGAGATAGGTTTAAAAAGAAGACAAATTGGATGCAGCTCGTTATTGCATTACCTTATCCTTGCTGAAACGATGAGCCTGAGCATATGAGTAAGATACTAAACTGACCAAGTCCACAAAGTGAAAGTTCGTAGGTAAGTTGTATCGAGTCAAACCGGAGAACGAAATAATGTCATCGGACAAAGAACACAATCAAAAATATTCTTATATGGAGATATAGATAATATCCCCGTCATCTGCTTTTATCAGACTCAGAGCTTATGCGATACTTAGTGTATTCACCTATAGGTCACTGATTTCTCTGGTTTTTGGTAGGGGAAAATTCACTTCCATGCTCTAAACTGACTCGACCTTCTGCAATGGTGTCCTTGATACCACAGGAGATTTCCGGCTCCCATCAAGAGCCAATCTCCATGAAAGAACAAACACATAAAAGAGCCAATTATATAAAGAGAATAGATAGTTCTTGCGTCTTTAGTCTAGGATAGTACAAGAGCCCATACAACCTGCATGTATCAAACACCACCACTATGCCTGAAACCCCAGCCGGACACCGAATGCCCGCCGAGTTGCTTCTTGAAGTCGCCAAGTGGATGGACAATCGAACGCTGAGCCGGCTTTCCCGCACCTGCAAAGGCTTTAAGGATGAATTCAGGGACCACCTACGTAAAAGAGCCATCGCGTATGCCGTGCCCACGCTCAACCCGAAGTATTGGGAGAATGAGTTTGTCGACGCCGTCCGGCAATCGCACGGCCGGAGCGACGAGATCTCCGCCATCACCCGCTCCGCCCTCGCCCGCATATTCAGCGACCAGGTCTGGGAGGGCTCGCGGTCTCAGTTCGAGGCCTTCCTGCCGCGCCAGCCCCTCTACGATGCCATCCGGCGGAGCCAATACGACACCGTCGAGCGGCTGCTGCGTGGCGGCGGCGTGAACGTTGCCAATGGCCAGAGCTTCTGGGACGAGCCGATGCTGCACATCGCCGTGGAGTTCGGGCACATAGAGGCCGTCCGCTTGCTCCTGGAGCACGGAGCAGACCCCAACGTCGAAGATGAGGAGCAGGTCCGTGCCCTGGACATAAGCCCGCCGCGGTGCCCACGCGCGGCGATCTACCGCCTGCTCGTAGACGCCGGCGCCATCCCCAGCTCCCTGCACATGTTCGGAATGGATGTCTTGGACCTCAAGGGCGGGGCGTGTCTCCTGCTCGACGCGCTCGAGAGCGCACGCGGCACCGGCCTTCCCGAGCCCCAATGGTGGGCGATCCTCGTCAGTGCCATGCACGGCGAGTACCAGGATTTCCTGGAGGGAATTTTTGATCATCGACCCGGCCTGTTGCAGCTCTCGCGCGAGGACTCCGTCGAGCAGAAGGTCACGCTGTTTGATATAGCTGTCAAGCTCGCCCGGTTTCAGATCGCCGCGCTTGTCGTGCGAAAGGGGGTCCCCCTGCACGACGCGCCCGCGGATTACTATTTCAACGACGGCAAGATGAGACGCATCCATGTTCCGTATAGAGAAGTGTGGAAGGCGTTGTTTACCCGGGCTCCTGGGGAGCTGCTAGACGCTCTGCTAGAGAGGCCGGAGCTGCGCGATTACGAATTCAAGGACGCCATTCGTGAGAGAGCGAGTGTGATGCGTAACTTACTAGGTTGAATGGATTTGGCCCGTCTGCTACCACCAGGATGTAGACGGGATTTAGGTATTGAACGTGAAATGTGCAAAGCCGTCTTGATGTGCGGATGTTGAGAAGTCCAAAAAGTGTTGATGTGCTAACAGTAAGTCTTACCAAGAGATACAAAACCGTGTTCAGTTGCGACTGACTGCCGTGGAGACCGGGACCGAGACAGATTACAGGAACAATTGAACCAACTTCCACAAAGCCTGTCACCCTTTGATGCGGCTTGTTGACACCGCAATCAATCCTAACTATATAGCCCCACCAGCCTCTCAGCTCCCAGGCAAGCCAGCGGCATGCAGCAGATATCTCAAATCCTGCTAGCCATGTTTACCCTGCAATGTTATCCTTTTCGAAAGAATATTCCACAAATGAAGCAAGCTGCAGTCGACCGTCCCAGTACTGTGGCAGGTTATGCCTCATCATTATTCATCAAACTTAGTGAGTAGCCTTGACTTCCACTGGCTTTTGGCCAGAGTGAAAAGCTTCTCATCGGACAACATATCCCAGCCCAGGAGAGCCAACCCTTTGCCAACCGCTATGGCTTCTTCATGTGCTTCATCCGTACCAGCGCACGCGGTGAAAGAAGGATGGTGGGGAAAGGACCCGTCAGGAGCTGGAATAGCAAACATCGAATGCAGTGTAGGAGCAACATAGCTCACGTTTCCTGTGCCATGTCAGTCTCTTCCTCCATACTATCCATTTGAAAACATACCAACATCAGACGACCCGGTCAGGACCTTCTCGTACTTTTCGATGATCGATCTTCCAGACGCTGTCATATGCTTTGTGTATCGCTGGCACAAGACATCATTGAGTACGATATCGGTATACAGGCCTTCCCTGTTGCCATATATCTGTTAGCAACACATAGAAAGATTTGGGTCAATTCAACGTACTCCACAATCTTCACAGTACAACCGGTGACGACAGCAGCCCCTTCAATACACAGGCGGACTCGCGCAATCAGCTTATTGAGCTGGTCCAGAGTGGGGCTGCGAATCTGCCAGTAGGACTTGGTGTACGCAGGAATCACATTCGCGACCTTGGGGACATCCAAGAAGGCGCCATGAATCCGCTCATCGGGGAGGATCTGCTGCCTCAGAGTCGAGATCCCGTTGTAGGCCGTGATCAAGGCATCCAACGCGTTGACGCCCTCCCATGGATTGCCTCCAGCATGGGCATTTTTCCCGTAATATTCAACGAAGAGCTCCTTGCGCGCATTCATGAGTATACCCGCCACGCCGTCGCTCGGCGTTCCAACGATATCCTTCGGGCCAGGATGTCCAGGGGTAAGTCAGCCATAATCGTGAACTTACGGCAGAAAAAATGTGTCAATGACGGGAATGGAAGTCCTTACGCCATTAATGAGACATCAACTCCCTTGTAGGCGCCTGCATCGATCAATCTCGCCTTCCCTCCCCCGTTCTCCTCAGCAGGCGTGCCGAGGAGCTGGATGCGGCCGCCAATTCCATATTGTCTCTGCAGATGGCTCAACGCCAGAAAGGCCGCGATGCTGCTCGTCGCGATGAGGTTGTGACCACACGCGTGCCCGATCCCTGGGAGCGCATCGTATTCCGCGTTGAGGTTGACCAGGCGACCCTCGGTGCCGCTGATACATTCGAAGGAGGTATCTACCCCGTACGCATGCCGCGTCACTGTGAACCCTTGCTTCTCGAGAAAATCGCAGATCGCGTCGTGGGCTTGGTGTTCTTCGTAGGCAAGCTCGGGGTTTGACCATATCTGAAAGCGAATTTGGTTAGTGATTGCCAGCGCCTGAATGAGGACTGTTGAACTTCGCAGATTGAGCTGACCAGGTGATTGAGCTGACGCAGTTGCGATGCAACTCTCTCGAGAGCACTGTCGACTGATGTGCGCACTTCTTCAGGCGGGACTGCAGTAAGCGAGGCCGCAGTCATATTGGGCGAGTTGCTTGGTTGAATTGAAGAAGTATGAAGGCCTGGCGTTTGAACTTGAGGAAAGTGCACGATGAATGGGTATTTAACTGTGAACCCCTGGCAAGGCCTGTTGCTTCATCTCCTTCTGCAATTCCTCGCAGACGATATAGACACATCAGCAGCCGGGAAGAACGGCACTTTCGAGATTCAGTATGAGTAGTTCAGCTCTGAGAAGCCAAGGGGGTGATGCATAGTGCGGTGCATAAGCACAAGTTGCAGCATAAGGGATGCTGCCAGAATGCAGGGCTTATCTGTGCAAAAGAGAGGATAGGACCAGGCACAGCCACCAGATAACAACCGACATGCGGGCACCAATCAGTCCCAGAACATTTTGCCGAGCATCGGTGGCTTGGCTTCATCTTCGCTAATCACCGTTTACGGGTTTGCCGACCTTCTATTATACTTCCCTATACCTGGTCTTTGATTAGATCGATAATCGATGAGGCCTTTCCGCGGGAAATTCATGTCGCCTCCCTGATAAGACTTGAAAAAGCGGCCTGAACTATCATGTTTGCCTATCAACTAACGCCCTCTTGTTGGCGGCTTGCATACTCGTTGATAGAGCGGCCATTCAATACCTCTGAAGGATGGGAAATGATAAGCTTGTATTTATATGCAGCATTCTGCAAACATGTAGGAATCCCCTCGAGAAACCACACTTCTGATGCCCACATAGTTTGGAAAACGCGCTTTTCACTTCATGTGCTATGGAGAAGTCTCTGGAGTCCCCTTTTAATGAGAAGCTGCCATGCTCTATTACGGAGACGGCGCAGGAAACTAGTGTCGGCGAGCTTGCCGAGTTTCTTGCGCCATCACCTGAAGCGGAGCGCCGGCTTCTATGGAAATTGGATTTGTTGTAGGTGCTCAAAGACGCAGCCGACTCGAAGCCACTCGCTCACCAGACCGCTAGCTTGATTCCGACCATGGGAATATGCTACATGCTTCAGTACATGGACAAACTGGCTCTGAGTCAAGCGACACTCTTGAATCTACGACAAGATTTAGTCAGTATCCTTGAGCTTTCCCCTGCCACAAAACGACGTGGTTAACTGGTATGGCCGTTACAGGGTCTTCATGGCTCGCAGTATACATGGTGCTCGGCCATCTTCTACTTCGGATATCTAGCCTGGAGCTGGCCGACGTCTTACCTGATTGTCCGTCTGCCTCTGGGCAAGTATCTGGCAATCTCCGTGTAGGTCTCCATGCATGCCAGCAGGTCCCGCTTGAAACATGGTTAATCTTACTGCCACAGATTTCTCTGGGGTGGTATTTTGATGTGCCACGCAGCCTGCCAGAACTTCCAAGGCTTGATTACAGCTCGATTCTTCCTGGGGGTGGGCGAGGCGGCGGTGGCTCCCGGATTTGGCCTGATAGTCGGGATGTTTTATAAACGGGACGAACAGCCCTCGCGCCAGGCGGCCTGGTTCGTCGGTAATTGCGTTGCGAATCTGATCGGAGGTGTGACTGCCTGGGGAATCGGCAATGCCGCGTCCAGCATTCAGAGCTGGCGTCTGCTGTTCCTGGTCCTGGGTGGCATTACTTCGGGCTATGCCATCTTTCTTCTTCTGATTCTGCCCGACTCGCCCTCCACGGCGTTCTTCCTCAGCTCAGATGAACGCAGGACTGCCACGCAACGAATGCTGAGCAATGAAACAGTGGATGTGGTGGAAGCCCCAGGGGGCGCAAAGTTCCATTGGAGCCAGGTTTGGGAATCGGTGCAGGACCCCCAGGCGTGGTGCTTGGTTCTGTACACATTCTGTGTCAATCTTGCCAACGGGGGTCTTACCAGCGTAAGGTCATCTCATTAATTCCAGTTGGCGCAAGGGCTAACTGTCAGATACAGTTCTCCGCCATCATTGTAGCAGGCTTCGGCTATTCCAGCTTCAAGTCTCTCCTACTCCAGATGCCAGTGGGTGCCGCGCAGCTTGTGTTCCTCATCATCACCGCAGCCATTGCCACGTTCATTCCGTCCTCTCGGATTTTATCCATGGTTCTGAACGTTGTGGTCGCCATTGTCGGCGTGGCGCTCATCTATACCTTGACTGACAGCCAGAAGGTCGTCAAGCTAGTCGGACTGTCCTTCGTCGGAGCCTTCGCCGTCAATATCCCTCTTGCGCTGAGCATCATCAGCTCCAACGTGGTCGGACGCACAAAGCGAAGTACCGTCAGCAGCGCCGTGTTCGCTGCCTATTGTGTCGGCAACATCGTCGGTCCGCAGTTCTTCCTGGCGTCGGAAGAGCCGGTCTACGCGGTATGTCATGGCGAGCGGAGTATATTCTTGATAACATGTTCCTTATTGGCTAATCCCCTACCAAAACAGACCGGCATTCGCGCATCTCTTTGTGGTCTGGCTTTAGGTGTTCTCTTTCTTGGGCTCTTGTCCGCGTACTATGTCTGGGAGAACAGACGACGAGATGCTTTGTACGGCCATGTCGAGAACCCGCATCACCTTCCGTCTAGTACGACTCAGGCAACAACCAGCCATACAGACAGACAGAATACGAGTTTTCGCTATGTTCGATGAGATGAACCTCATGTTAACCCTGCTTTGTGGGATACACTGTGCTGCTGGTTGCGTGTTTAAAAAAGTTGAACAGTGTTTCTCTGAGATTAGCTTGAATAGTGCTTACTATTTGAACTCGTTCTACTCGCGGTGATATACTAGAGTGTATGGTGCTAATAATTGACTGTATGCATATACATTTACGCAAGACAACTAGGTCTCGAATTAAACTGCCTGCTCTGTTGTCTTGAAAGGAATCAAGTTCCTTTCCTACGTCGTTCCCCGAAGTCTCCATTTTCTGCGGATACTATTCGAAGCAGCAATTAGATTCCGGTTCAAGATAACGAAAGTGAATGCTGCGAGGTGCACCCCGTGGGATTTTCAAACTCCGAGCCTCTTGTTTGACGGTTGAGGTACTTTTTTTACACAACAAGCTACGTTCAGACAATTTTGATGTTTCGAAGAATCCCTGCCGACAAGTTGAGTGTATGCGCTGCACTGAGGCGTCTGATGGACTGCACGGGCTGATTAAGGCCCGTATGACCTTTTTCTTTGTGATGATAAATTGCCGAACATCAAAGGGAAGAAAACAAAGTACTTGAGAACAAAGCCATTGTTTGTGGTGGTTGTCCGCTCTACTCTGTTATCCTTCCTTCCTTTCAGCAGCACTTGATTCTAGCACAAAGACTTGGGATTGACAGCAAACCCATAAAGCGCCGGCTTTTATGTTCTTCCCTTCAGGGACAAAAAGACAGGTACATCTATCACGATCGACAACGGTGATTAGAGAGAAAGAGACGCGTCTCCAATCTCGCCTGTCTCTGCGAGAAGGTTTAAATAAGGCCTAGAACCCCCTCTTGTATTTTCCCTTCTATGCTTGTTCTGTTCCTACAGACCTTCCGAAGACCAATTCCATACGTTCAATTTCGAAGTCTTTACCATCAGGGTTCATCTTACGCGTCCACTTTCTTACAGAATCAACCCACATGTCTCAGACACTCCGACCCCTCGACGAAATCATCGACGTCCCCGATTACATGTTAGAATATTGCTCCGGTGCTTGGCGTGAGTCTCTCTCCCCTTTCTATTATCCTATTCTTACCCACCCTAAACACGACTGACATGATATCCGCGCAGACATCGATTCCGCCGAACAACACGCCCTCAAATACAACGACTGCTTGTTTCTGCGAAGACATTACCCAACCTGGGGTCTCTCCAACAGTGTCCGGCGCAATTATTGTCCTGAATGCTTTTCTAGAGAAATTTGGCCCGAGGGGCGACGCTTTGCTTTCTACAGGGCTACTATTAGCGAGGCTGAAGCGTATGTAAAACGTCATGCTTACAACCCGGGACAGGATTCGGAACACCGCACGCGAGTCTTTGGGAGATACGCCGTTGCTATGAATTACATTGAGGCTGAGTCTCGGTGTTTTCGGAAGCGCGGGCCGACTGGTGGTTCTTTTGGAAAGAGACGGGGTCAGGCCCAGTCTGAAGCTCAGGCGAAGGCCCAGCGTCGGAGTGAGATGGCGGAGCAGGATGGTGCGCCTCCAAGCTTCGTGGCTGCTACTCGGCAGGGTCGTGCCCAGTCTGAACCTCAAGCAAAGGCTAAGAGTGGGAGGGAGGCGGCGGAGCAAGAGGATGCGCCCCCAAGTTATGAGGATGCTACTGGGTTGGGACGTCGGCGTTAGGCCCGTCTCTTATGCCCCGGATCAGGGCGCTTGCTACGGGAGGTACGGACATGCTAAGGCTTTGCTGCATACGCGGGGCGGTCACACACCGTACTCGTTCTCCAGGCTAATGAGTCTTGGTGTATGCAGCTAACTCATCTTTGTCTCTCCAGTTATATGGTAAGCCAAGCATTCCTGGCGGCTCTGGCTAAGACGAACGACTTCCGTAGCTAGCCACATAGGGTCAGACGCAATAAGATTGATATAGCTCGAACCAAACTGCATTGAACTTTGAATGTAATTTAGCTTGAAAAGATGGCTTAACCTCACGATATGTAAGGGCCCTACCAGCCCTTCCAATCTTCGCGGATAACCGCGAAACGAAGTCACATTGCAGGCCTGAGGCACTTATCACGTGCCTGCTAAAGCGAGCAGACAGCGGCTGCCTTGCGAATTAGGCAGAAGAGCAACAATACTACCTACTGCGAGCCGACGGACTCCGACTCAACGGAATGCAGAGGTTTACTAGGTGGTACTTATGCGTCCATCAACATGGAACTTGATATAACGGACCTTCTTGAGGCGCAATGAATATCAGTAAGATCCTCCAGTTGTAGTACTATGTAGCCAGATTTTATCCGAATGTTTCCTATCCGGTGATATCCGGTAATATCTGGTGATATCTGGTGCGCTTGCTTTCAGCAGGAAAGAAGCCCTCTGGGGTGGGTTGAGTCAGAGCTGTTGCCAGTGGTGCATATGATGAGCGTGGTTGCACCGCTCGGCCAAAAGAATGTCAAGACAGTAATCTAGCTGATTGTTTGCTCCAAAGGATCCTTCCCCAAGACATAGGACTGTTTATCAGGCCGATGATCTGAACTATCCGTCTGTTGTAGTACACAAGGATTTATAAGGCTCATAACCTGATGGCAGTGTAAATCTATCTTTGCATTCTCGCGCTACACGGGCGAGTCTAGCTAGGTCTAACTGTAGGCTGTGAGAGCCAATAACTGACTGCAATAAGGCGGCAGAATTCTGTCATGAATACAGGCCCAGAGGTCACACCAAAAGTAGAACACCCTACCAATCTACTCAACCAGGGAATGGTATGATAATGTCCGCCCATGTCCCGACATATGCATCCGGCGGCTGATAGGCCAGTGTGCGGAACATTGCCACAAGCAGATATACCCTCGCCACAGGATATAGCCATACTAGACTTCTCATGGCAAAGTGCGAGACCCGGAGCGTTAACCACAAAACTTGCTTCCAAAAAAGTTCCCAAGCCTGAGAATCGCATTCGAACCGGTCGTATAGATAGTAGAGTACGCGGGGCAGAGTAATCGCCAGTGGAGCACAGGTGCAGTAGACAGCCGCAAATCTCCAGAAAAACTGCTCGGTATCCGAAGGAAAAGGAAACCTCCACGCAATGAGATGAATTCCGCCGAATAGGGAACCTCCGAGCAACACCCCAAGTAAGACAGGCATGGCTAAAAAGTCAGGTATGCATGCTATCCCGAATACAGGCGTGGCTACTAGCGTCTCCAAGACAGGCGATACTAGGGAAACAATCTGTTGCCGGAATGTTCGGCTCTGCTGGCTCAGATCCGTCATTGACGCTGACTCTCCGTGACCAAGAGCCTCGAAAACTTGCTCGCCTCCGCCTCGAACCTCGAGAATTGTGATAGGAACCTGGACCCCTTTGGGTTTGTTCCAGCTGAGCACGTATGTCACCACGGCACAAGAGGCAAAAGCAACCACACCGATTTCCAAAGGGGCTACTGCTAGACGCGTTGCACCCCGCACAGCTATCTGGATAACCATCCAAAGGATCTGCCAAACCGTGATCAATCGTAACAGCCAGTCGGCTTTCGACCGGTCCTGTAGCTCCTTTTCGGTAATATCGGACAATTGAAAGAGAACGTTCTCTCGACGAAGCTGCAAGATGTCACGGCCGCTGAGAAAGTGGCAGTGACCCAGCCGTGCGGTGGAGTGCCGGGTGGAATGCCGGGCCGGAGGGGGTACAGCCGTGATGCTGTAATTACTGTCCAATGATAATCTTGAGGCCCGCATGATCGCTCGTCTTGGGAAGATGGGGAGGGGATGTGGAAGGCCGTCCTCATTGGTGCTTAATTCGTGTAGTACCGGCTCAGGCTCACTTGGACGTGTGAGACACATTCCTAGTGGTCTTCGTCCAGATGATGCTGAGTTCACCCTCATCACAAAGCCTCCCATATTAGCAAACAGTGAATGAGTGATTGTCCACTCCACCTCATCCTCCTGGGCGCGTGTTTGCAACTCGTGGAGGTCACTCTTTGCTTCCCAAAGATCATAGCCATGCTTTGCGAGAAGCACCTCGGGCGCTATTATCGTAATCACGAACCACACAAGTTGACGTGTGTACTTGTGACTCCAGTGCTCGATCTTGCCATTGAAGCCGGGCACGAAATTCTCTCGCGGCCTGGGAATGTCCGGGTGCTGAACCGTCCAGGTGCAGAGGATAATCGTGAGAAGATTGGCCCAGAGAATAGTAAGGGTACCGCGCGTATTTGGGGCGGAAACATAATTCACTGTCTCCGCGGGAAGGGTGCAGTTTGTATCGAACTTGGTAAGTGCATGAGTGTAGGTGCAAAAGAGACTGAGAATAAGAATTAGCATTGTGTCTGTTGTGGACGCGAGCCTTCACGAGGGGTACGGGATGCAAAACTTGGATAAGGATTGATAGAACCTAGCTTGGGGATGGGAAAGGGAAATCTCGCCTGGATATTTAATAGCCAGGGCTACGCCAAACATTACCAAAGCAAAGCCCTGAATAAGGCTGGCTGCTAAATGAATCAATCAGTCCCAGCATCAACGGGAAAGCGCATATATGATAAAGGTATGTAGAGCTAGCTGCTCGTGTTGTCTCAAAACGAGAGTGCTAACTTAGTAGACACCCGGAAGAGCTTTTCCAGCAGGGTAGACTCCTGACGATAGATCAATAGCTGTTGCGCGAGGTCCGCAGTTTGCCATTTCTGCAGCTGGACTGACTTAAGTGTCGATCATTCGGTAGCTTGAGTCTAATTATCATGTCGACTGGCCAAACCTGGCACGTATATCACGATTTACTTTCTGTGGCAGGACCGAATTAACCTCTGAGAACTCATGATTGGTTGGCGAAGAGTGAATCTAGAGCCTCAGCCCCAAGTACATCTGTCAAACTTTAAATACCCAGGCCATCGTGGCAAAGGAATGGGCGACTTCCCCTCCCCTCTTTACTCTCCTTTCCTGGGATGTCGATAGATGCACGTTGTTGAAGAACACTCTGGAATAACCTTGTCCCGTCAGCCCGACATGATTGTTATAAGCAAGAGGACCTCGTTACTGAATGAGATGCCGGAGGCTATATGTCTATCAGCCTCTGGATCTACCACGCACAAAAGTAAAAATTCTAATGTCGTTCCAGCTACATTCAGCCAGGACAAGGCATGATTATCTTGAGTCTGCGAGGTTTCTTTGTGGAGCTCAAGTTGATTCACTATTTGTTGTGGTCTGAAACTGTAGGCGTTCAAATGTGCGAGACGATGGTCAGTCTTCAGACGCATCCTGTATCCGTGTCTCAGAAATTGGGGGAAAAAAAGAAAAGAAAAGAAAAGAAAGGGAAATTGGTCTGCACGTTGTGTGCATGATGAGGGTAACAAAACGCACAGTATAATGCCAGGCTAAGGTGTCGAGCAAATAATTGATCCTAAACATAAATCTTTCTTTGCCTGTATCTCTTCATCTGAGCAGTCACTGCACACTTTGGTGAGTTTCTATGTCTCACTTTCGCACACAGATCCGCTGGCAATATTTTTGTATTGGCTTATTTGCGCGCCCAGAGTCTCTGAGGATAGCTAAAATTAGCTATCGAAGTAGCCATCATCAAATCAGTGCTATGCTGATCAGTTCTGTAAGGATAGAAACGGTAATATTGAAAATAAAATCGAGACTAAGTTGAACTAGCCACAGGGATCCACTAACAGCCACTATGACAGTTTGTGTTATCTGTCGAAGAAACGCTATTGGGAGTCTGAATTTGGAAGGGCGAAATGTATCATATCTTGCCATGGGAATAATCACCAGACAGACAATCCGACCCGTGCCCGACCATGAAAGCATGTCACTCATCCCAAGTGTTCATCCTTTACCGTTGCCATGAGCATACCAATGCCGGCGCTGAAAGGAGGGCGTATGCAGACATAAAACAGCGGCATTGTCACGAAGCCATTGCCTTTGTGTGGTTATACGCCAAAGAAGCACTCGCTGCACGACAAAGGCGACAGCTTTCTTTTCTTTGCATTTGAACGAACCCTATCCCTATAAGAGGAGCGTGTCCAGCGCAAAATCGAGCCCCATCTTGACCATCCGAATATCCTCACCCTATATCTCTTCCCCAGATGGACATCTCCCGCCCCTTAACTTGAGGTATCTGACTCTTAACTCTAACAGGCCCATCTCTCCAGGACCCAAAATGTTCCGCCCCGACTTCTACTCCTCGCGCCAAGAAGCCGCCGTCCGAAAGTTCGCGCATACCCTCTCCTCGACCGCCACGGGCCGTTTCTTTGTCCACATCTGCCACGAGCTCGACGCCGGGAAGTCCCTGGACTGGGAGAAAGCCGCGGGGGAGCTCGGGACGACGTTCCGGGGGATGCGGGCGCGGGCCGTGAGGCCCCTCGTGCCGCGGTACGCCGGGCTGGTCTACGACGGCTACGACGGAGCGGTCCGGCTCTTCACCGAGCCGGCCACAGACGACGAGGACCCGGTCCCCTTCACGCGCGACGGACGAGTCGAGTTCCGCGTTCAGGATGAGAGCGATCGCGCGATCATATTGGAGTGGGCGGCGAGCTTGCCGGCGTGTGTGAGTCCTGCTGCTGCTTCTGGGGTGGGGCTAGAGACGAAGCTCGTGCTGGATACGGGGACGGCGCCCACGGTGAGGCATTTTGGGAGTCGCTGGGTTACCTGGTTTCATTATGCTGAAAGGGTTCCTGTCGCTGATGGGGAGGTTGAGGAGGAGCCCTGAGGAGGAGGAGAGGTCGTCGAGCTCTTAGGGGGTCTGGGTTTGTCTGGTTTGCGACTTGGAAAGCGCCCGCGCTGATAGCAGGTACCTAGTAGGCAGGTAGGGGTTGCAACTCTGTGACGGGCCTACGAACGATGACTTGGTTGAGCTTTTTGCGCAAAATTAGGTAGATAACTTACCTAGTGACTAGGTAGTCAGGCACTAATACGTATACAGTACGATCGGTCCTTCCAAGGAGTAGTCACATGACTTGCGCTTCCCCGGATGGCGAAGGAGGGTCTGGGGGGCCTGGGCGATACAAGGCCCCCACCCCCGCAGCTGCAGATTCAGGCCGTACATCCAGTTCAGTACACGTGTGTTTGTATATATTTGTAACGAAGGTGCTTGAAAAGGTGCTCAAACCATAGTATGAACTGTTAGTTCCTTGAAGACTTGCGTAAATACTCCCTTAAACAGCTGTGTTGTGTCGTGAAAAATTATTTCTATATTTCTACTGCTCAGCATAGTAGACCTTTCTACTTATATCTCCGTCTAGAGTTCGAAATATTCAAAAAGCCTACAGGGCAAACACAGCCCACGAGGATTTCTATAGCTCATATACTGGGTACAAATCGTTTCTTCCTTTACTACATTTTCTCTGATCGAGCGAATAAGTGAGATTCGTAAAAATTCATATCATCATTGGAATTAAATCAAACCCAGCCGTAGCTGATGGGGGCTGGGGGCTGGAGCCCCAGAACTATAGCACACTCCGGTCCCCCGTCAGCTTCCAAAACTGGAGGCCCTCAACGCGGAGAAACTCAAACTCACCCTCCACCAAGGTCTCCGGAGTCCAACGCAGCTCGTCGGGCTCCAGCCAATCGTCCATGAGATCCAGACGGTCGTTCAGCAGGGTCAGGATATCAACTGGGCTTTCGGTCACGTAACCTGCCGGCAGGATGACTCGCACAAGGACATAGTCCGGGGACGGTGCTTTGGACTCAATGCCCCAGATATAGTCTCTAGTCATGCCATTCACGGCATCCTGGAGCGCAGAGTGAATCTCCGGGCCCCAGCATGTGGTCTGCTTGGGGACCCACAGGTCGACGAAGAAGTGATCTCGAAGGAGATCCCTCCAGGTCTTGGGCGCATCGGTCATTGTTGTGCTATGATTGTCAAGAGTCGTCGCTTTACCTGGACAGTTGTGGTAGATATGTTGATGGGGTTTTGTGATGGGGGTATCGGTTCACTTGAAGGGGACGGGATGGTAGGTTGAGGGTTTAATATACCTGCGACACGAGCGGCAATTGACGCTGAAGCAAGTGCCATGTTGTGAAAGTCTCCAGAAAGATGCTTCATTGTAGGGCAAGTTGAAAGCAACCAAGAACAAGAGGACCGGAGGGTTATGAGATGTTTCATCTACTCAGTCGGAGGGATCCATTTCGCGCCTATCGGTGTTGGATTGCTCCAGAGATGCTGGGTTTGTTCTACTCGTGGGGCAAAAAGATCGTGGAGCCTTTCAAGTAAACCGTTGATTGGGAAGGGTAACCTCTGGGCCATGTGCGTAGTAGGTCTGCTCCATCGCGGAGATCTCCATAAGATTGGAGACACACCCTACGTTCTAGTCACCCGTCAAAATTGACATGATAATGCGAAAAAGATACTTGGATGTTGAGTATACATTTTATGCCGATACCGCCGATTTTCCCATAGCACTGCAGGGGCCCGGTCGTGCTGGATGGGATGGGGATAAGTTGAAGCGCATCCCGATATCTCGGGCCTGAACCGTAAGGCGTCAAATGCGGGCCGCGTTTCTCCGAGTACTGACTATCACGTGACCTGGTCACTCGCGGGCGGGAATCTCTTATCGTTGCTTGTTCAATCCCGTCGCCATCGCCGCAACGATCAACCTCAACCTCCATCCTTCAGAATCCTTCATCATGGCAGACACTACGACGGAGACCACGCCTCCCAGTGTGGCAGAGACCACGCCAACAGAGTCCACTCCCCAGCCTGACGCGGTCGTCAAGAAGCGCATCATCCGCAAGAAGCGACGCCCCGCGCGCGTCCAGGTCGAAGCCGACAAGGCCAAGGAGATCCAGGCCCAGTTCCAGCCCCAGTCCGGCACAACCTACAACATCTACTACAACAAATGGGCCGGCGGCGATCGGGAGGACTCTTCGCAACAGGCGGCCAAGACACGGTGCAATCTTGCCCGCGACTCCGGCTACACCAAGGCCGACGCGCAGCCTGGCGCACACATTTGTCTCCACTTTGTAAGTTTCGATAATTCTCATTACATCGGCGAAGAGACAGGTGCTAATCGTGTCGCGTTTATTGTTCTTAGGCCCGAGGACTTTGCCACCGCGGTCAGGACTGCGAATACCTTCACCGCCGACCGACGATTCATGACATCACCCCCCCTCAGATGGACGTTTTCGGTCGCGAGAAGTTCAACGATTATCGGGATGATATGGGCGGTGTTGGTAGCTTCTTGCGGCAGAACCGGACGATCTATGTTGGTAAAATCCATGTCAGGTACGGTCTTCATCTCATTCCCTCGGTCGCCTTCGCGCGCAGACGACTAACTTGCTTCCAGTGACGATATCGAGTAAGCAACCCTCCATGCCCTTTACACACTGGACAAACATTGGAAAATGACGAGATAATATCTGCTTCGCTGCGATGGGCTGGGATACACTTCTAGGCGGAGGCTGACCAGATGTCCGACAGGGAGGTTGTTTCGCGTCACTTCGCCGAATGGGGCGAGATTGATCGGATCAGAGTCTTGACTAGCCGTGGTGTTGCATTTGTACGTGCTTCACCGCCTTGGAATTTGCGTCGAGCTAACAGTCCTAGGTAACCTACAAAACCGAAGCGATGGCACAATTTGCCAAGGAGGCCATGGCCCACCAGAGTCTCGACCACAACGAAATTTTGAACGTCCGCTGGGCCACGCAGGATCCCAATCCTCTGGCTCAGAAGCGGGAAGCCCGCCGCATCGAAGAGCAAGCCGCGGAGGCTATTCGGCGCGCCCTGCCGGCAGAATTCATCGCCCAGATCGAAGGCAAGGATGCCCATGCGAAAAGACAAAAAACCAGCTACGACCTCGAGGGCTATGATGAGCCGGACCAGGTGCGCTTTGCTGTGGGCTTGCGGGGAACTGGAGATGATCAGCACGAACAGCTTGCACTGCCGGAACCGCAGGACCAGCACCAGCCGGAGGAAATGCCGCCGGCGCAAGTTGCGCAGGGCGGCATCTTCTCCAGCAGTACTCTGGCCGCATTAGGGGCTGCTCGCGCGTCGGTCTCGGCCAAGTCTCAGCAGGTCGCCTCATTACAGTCGCTGGTCGCCTACGACAGTGATGACGAGTGAGGCAGATGGGATAGATGGGCCTCGAATGATGACGTTTGTTGAGGACATTGGTCCCTATGGCAGCATCCGAGCTCATTGCCGATCTGTCCGGTATTCTTCAACACCCCAGCATCAAGTGCGGCCAATGTCCCTGGGTATGGTGGCCATGGCTTCCCACCTTCACACGTCTCCAGATACGCCGCAGCACCTGCTTCCAGCGACCTCGACCAATCGCAGGGCGCAGGCGCCAATCACAGACCAGGTGCCACATTTCTGGTCAGGCGAGCAACCTTGTCCGTCGGAGCGGAGTTGAAGTCGAGTATGCAACAGGCACAATGGGATACGCATACCAGCGGTTGCAATGCGCGGCCAAGACTCAAGTTTATCGCGGGACCAGCAGTCCAGTCTGTATCTGCTCTGTGCGCCGTGTAATATTAAGGTAGATTAGCAAAGTAGCCATTACAACCACTAGCTTTGACTTGGTTCTGTTCAGAGTCATTTCCGTATGCTGTCCTTTCATGATAAAACCTCTCTCCTCAAGAAGGGCGCTCATCCTCGAGGCCTGTTGCAGGTAGTTCAATACAAACCTGTGGATGCGGAATGGGGCACGAGGCACTTTGTAGAGCTGGGAAGAAACTGGTCGAGTGAACCAGATTCCCAGTGTGACTCCTCCATCGCATCTGACACCACGTCGGAGTCAGATATTGCGCTATGAATAACAATTGGAACATGAGGCTGCGATCTGCATGTAATGTGTAACCGATGACGACAGGACCGCAGAAAAAAAGGTCCAGCTATGACCAGATAACAGTCGCCAGTATCACAAGCTGGGGTGTAAGTGCATTATCCTCGACGTTTTTGTCTCAGTATATCTTATGTGTACCTGCAAGCAGCAGTGATAATGCTACCATTAGGGCACAAATCCTGAGCCGTAGCTTAGCTGGAAATTGTGCGTACTGTGGTAAGCACCGACTAAATTCTCTGTTGTCCTTTCCGACTTAAGGAACTGAATGGCATAGTTACAACGATATCAACACTCCTAGTCCTCTGGTAATCAGGTAAGAGCTCAGCTGCAACTTAAGATGGGGTCGTCACATCTACATATTAGCGAGCCCATTAGCAAGCCCACCCGCTATCACATACTCCTATATCAACATCATTAGCGGCAGTCTACCCTGCATCACCACATGCAAAGCTGAGTCAAATGAATGGCTATGATTACCTTGCAAGTTTCAGCTATTGTTGGGGGTTGGCCACACCCTGCATTGATCGACACTAAAGAGTCCATGGCAAAGAAGCACAGAGAGTTCGTCTTTCCCACCGGGGGGGAAACCATGCTGGATCACACAATGCTCGATTCAGTCTTCACAGATTGTATGAACGAGCTGGAGGCCGTCATAACGGGGTGGTACTATAGGAAGCACTACCATAAACACCGAGGGCACGGGGTACGCTTACATTCACCCATCGGCCTTTTTCTGTGAGAACTTCGGAGAGCCATCGACTTTCTCGGTGATCGTCAACTATAACCCACACTAAACGACTCTAGACATCCTCCTGCATATTGCTTTGCAACTAGTGTGTTGTGATATCAGCTGCATTCAACCTCGTCACATTTTTACTATTTCATAGTTCCATCATGACATCAGAGAATGCTTCTTGATATCCGAACTATGACTCCGCACTCCGCTCGAAGCTCTCTTTGAGGTATAAATATGTCCTCATCACGTCCCTGATCCCAGCATCACCATCAACCAGAACCATCCATCTCAACAGCACTTCAACCAAACTATCATCGTTTACAAGACTCAACCTTTTATCAATCAATCAGCCATGAAGCTCATCTCCACCCTCATCGCCACCACCCTGGCTCTCGCCGCCTCCGTCCGGGCCGCAGACTGCACCACGGGCCTGAACTACTGTTCCGGAGTCCTGGACGACGTCGGTAAGAGCTGAACCCCTGTCCACCACTCAACTGCATTTCTTACTGATCCACCGATCAAACGCCCAGATCCCAGATACAATGCGATCATGCGAAACTTGATCATACAGAGGAACGGCAACAACTGGTGGACGGACATCTCGGATACTCCGGACAACTACTTGTGGCACTGCGAGAGCGGTGGCGGACTCAGCATCGTCCGGGGTTGCAACTATGGCTGTGTCAACGCCGGGGCAGGGTCGAGTGATTACTGCAGATGGCAATCGTAAGATCCACGTCGGTTGACAACGTGGATCTGAGATCAAAGGTGCGAGCTAGGACTGCATGATGGCAGGGCGAGTTGTTCGGTCACTGTGTGTTTGCTTGGATTTTGCGTGGGGAATGGAAGTGGGGCGGTGCGTGTATTGGTGGGATGGTACTCGGTAGAGTATAGCAACCAATATCACCAGCTTTGCGACTGCTTGAAATCTATGTTACTACCGTTCTATTCGATCTTTGTCTCGAGGCCTGGCTCAGACTTGGGTATTGCAAGTGATTCTTGACATTTCATAAATGGCTCCTCGGGCTGTCAGCCTGATCACGTCCTCCATTGATTTTTGCTACCTAATCCTGATACAACACCACCTCACACTCAAGCTTTCTAGCAAACTATAGGTATACGCATGAGTCATGATCGACTGCACTTCTTTTATCCATGTCCAACCTTCAGGACCTAGGGAAGGTACACAAGGTACTATTCAGAAGCTGCAGGGCTCGGGTGCTGGATGCTTTCTCCGTGTGCTGCTCGGAGTGAGGCGTCTCAGACAGCCTTTCCCCGAGTCAGCTTTCAGGAATTGATTTGGTTGTGGAGGCAGTCGTTCGATGTTCGATGGTGTCGTGCGGTCGTTGCTGTCTCAATTTGATGGCACCTGCAAGAGAGGTGGAAGATGCGTCTTGATTCTGCTACGTGAGGCTATCCGCAAAACTAGCTAAGGCCTCCGAGGTGGGCAGCATAAACACCGAGGCCTTAGGGCCGCCGTCACAATGAATCCGGTGGCTTTCGTCATGGAGAATTCTTCAGATGATGAATTGGCTGGTTTTAAGGACATATTTAGCTAATTTGGAATTGTAGCAGCGGGCAAGGTCAAAAGCGCGAAGAAATCTGGGCCTTCGCTCTTTATCCAGAGATGGTCCAGTGGGTTCGCCAGATACAGAGGTAAAAGGCGGCTCGTGATTGAGGGACCAGATATCAGACTCTGGGACTAGGGCGAGAGTAGTGGCCGAGACTTGTTTTGAGCCGATATGGTAAAAGCCAAATTATCATGCTCAGAAGGTCTTCCCTCCTCCCCAGTTGTCCTGCCCTCCGGATCTTGGAACTATGCGAAAGTGTAGCCCTCTCGCTAGCTCGCTAGAACAGCGAAATGCCCCACAGCATGTAATAAGGTCTCTCTCTTGTACGTGTTGAGTAAACCAAGGGGGGAGAGCACAACTAATCCTATTGACCCTAACGATAGAACTAAAGGACGCAAGCTTTCACCCACCCATTCGTCCTGAGTTGACCCTGCCAAGGGCTTGCATTTTAGCTTCCGACTGGTGCAACAGTGGCACAAACCCCATCTCTCGGTCTCGGGAGATGCAACTTCCAGCCTCGTGTTCTTCTGTCTAGAATGACAGAAACGAAAAAATCCACAAGACCTCATACATTGCGAAGTAGATTTAATGCGAGAGATGAATCTACCCGAAACATGGAATCATCATCTTTCCACTAGGTCATCCTCAAAGCTTTCCGACGAGCTGTTCTCAAGGCATGCATAAATACACCTAGCTAGCTGTCGTATGCTCGGGGTCTACCGAATGATCATACTTATAACCTTCCCCAATCTAAGACACAACATTGAAACAGTGGTGGAAGAGTGACTCAAGAAGAAACTCCCACACAAACCGCATACCCAATCTGCAGGGTCTCGCAGCCCGACCCAATCGCGGGAGTCCACCCATACAGCTGCGCGAAGGTAATGCTGTACGCGCTCTCGATGGCCGCGCATGAATCCCCGCCGACCACCGTATGATACCTGTCGCAGTTCGCGGCGATCCCCGTCTGCGTGGAGCCGACACTCGTTGCGGTTGCCGTTGTCGCCGCCCCCTTGACGCAGTATGCGTATCCGAGCCAGAGGTTCGTGCAGATGGGACCAACTAAATCCATTTTTCCCCAATGTCAGTATCTGCTATTTTGGGTCCTTGACTAGGGGGGAAGCGAACTGCTGGGATTCCATGCATAGAGTTGGGCGAGGGTGACGCCACATTCGGCCTCCATGGTCGAGCAGTCGTCTCCGGACTCGATGGTGAAGACCTCTTGACATCCGGCTACCACGCCGGTTTGGGTCGGGGCTGCGGGGGTGGCTGTGGTTGCGGCGGCAGTCGTAGTAGTAGTGGTAGCGGACGAGGTTGCAGAGTCATCCACTCCAATGCAGACGGAGCGGCGGTCGTTCCCGGTGATATTTGTGTACAGCGCCGCGTCGCAGTCACCGGCGAGCCAGGGGTTACATGTTATTCATTTGTTTGCCGAGATGCTGAAGTCGGACTCGATCTCAGCGCATTGGTAGTCTGAGATTGGGGTTATTATACGCCGAATGGCTTGCAGGAGTTTTCTTGTCCTTCAGGTTCTCTGTTTCTCCTTTGAAACGTACCGCCGGCCATGTATCCAAGGATCTCCGTGAAGCAATTGCAGTTCGACACTGTGGTCGTCTCAGTGGCGTTGACTGGTAAACAAAATGAATCGCTGTCAACGCCACCGGTTCCTAATGTGTGAAAGAGTCAGAAGTGATTCAAAGCCGAATCTAGAGATAAGGGTCGTAGATGATAAGAAAAGATCGGCCATTCACGATAGGTATCGTTTGAAAGCGTACAATCGTTGTACCCAGGTTGCAGGGCGCACGTGGTCACATTGGTGTCCAGACTCGGATCCCACGCGAGTAAATCATCAGTGGTTACACCGTATGCGAAAGCGATGTACTTGCATGAATTTAGATTATATGTGGTGTCATCGTAGTTCCTGTAGGATGCGCAGCCGTGGTGGTGCCCGGTGCATTGGGGAGGTAGGTGGGTGTGTAGATAAAGCCCGGGTCGCTGGTGATTGTGGGGATCGAAGTGTCGACCGCGGGGAAGCTGGCGGTGGCCACCGTGATCCAGGGGGTAGTTATCGGGTAGCCCGAGTAAGTGCTTATGTCGCCGACAGCAGCAATGCAGTAGGCCTCGCCGAGCTCAAGGTTGGTGCAGTCTGCGTTGATCTCCGGATTCAGGAAGTAGAAATCCATTAGGGAGACTGAGTTGGCCACGGATACCAGGCTGCAGGTGTCGCCTTCCACTACCTAATGGGTCATATGTTACTTACCAGCAGGACGTCTCCGTGTTGTTGGTCGGAAATGCAACCCACGGTGTACCACTTGCCGCAATTAGTGCTAGATCCATTGAGAGCGTTCGTTGGGGCTAGCGCTGCAGGAGTGATAGTGGTAGGGTTCGCAGCTGTGGAGTTGCCGGACCTTCCATGGTGTGGTTAAGAGAACCTCCGGGTGGTCTATAGCTGGTATCAGCACAATTGCCCATCATGGGCAGGGTTGAGAGAGGAGGAAGTGGTCGAGTACCCTATGCAAACAATGTAGCCAATAGAATTCACAGCATTTTGGCAGAGAGACTCGAAGTTGGGGTTCCATGACATAAATTGTGGGACAGTCTTTAAAAAGCTTTAAACTATTTTTATTAATCTAGGGCTTTCATAAGATAATTGTCTCCACTTTTTTGAAGTTTATTTTACTAGGGCCTTGTAATTGAACGGGTCCGATATAGCTGTAATAAGTAGATATTAAAAAGGGTATTATTACCAGTAAGTAAAGGCTAACTGAAGAACAACAAAACATTAGAACTACCTTTAAAAAGAGGTAGACCCCTGTAGGATAACGAAGCAGATAAAAAATTACTCTGATGAATTCAATTCTCTACACAGCCAGGTTCGTGCTACGAACAAAGCTCTTTGGGCAGCGCCCTTGTGGCAAGATTATTCATAGGCTTTCTAGTAGATGCGAGCAATGCAGTCTCTCACAGTGGGATTGTTCTACGCACTGCCAGTGGATGGCACTGCAACCTAGAGAAACAGGGACACGCATCCAGTAAGACGTAAAATGCTGTGTCAGGGGATCCACTTTGCATGTCCACTGCTCCTACTCTAGAAGGAAGGCGATGCGCCTGTTTCTACAAGACAGGAGGGACCTCGACATAATATTTCTTCTCAATCTCTGATCCCATAATTCGCACGGAACAGCGGCCGTTTCTTAGGTTGCGGGGTGATGGTTTTCCGCCTGCCTTTTTGGCACCGATAGCCTCCCATTTGGCTGGGTTGGACCACTGGAGCTGGAGGATCTGCTCAGTAAGCTTTTGCCCTTGAGTCGGATCAAGCCAGACATTTGCCGTGTCTTTGATATTTCACCCAAAGCCTCGCGCAAGATGGACGATGATTTGCTCAGCTGGATGACAACCGTATGTGTCGTGATGGTCCCCTTTTCGATGACTGAAAGGCGCGGAAAGATGGTGAGAGCAGGTTCCTCCTGGGGCGGCCGTCCACTTTCTGGCTTGGCCTGCTTGGCCTCGTTTACAGTGAATGGAAGCCACCACTCCTCAGCTCCCGGTTGGTCGAAGTCCAGCTCGTATCTGCGCTTCGCGCGACGTATCGGGTCCCAGACGGCAGCTGCCCTGCTCGCAATCCTCTCCAAGGCCGCACGCACGGATGCAAGATGAGCTTCTGGGACTGACCCCTCCAGGTATGAGAGTACGCTTTTGACCACGGTGTGAATCATCTTCGAAAGATTCTTTTCCTGGTCTGGTGTGTTGATGGACTGCAGCACAGACCGGCAAAAAGATTCTTTCGCGCTGTCTGTCACGGCAAGGTCCAAAAGAACCTCTCGAATGCGCGTCTCCTCCGGGATGATATAGCATGGCTGGAATATATATTTGTCGATCTCCCGCGCGAGAAGGGCGAGAATAGATACCAAACGGATGTGTTTAGCTGGCTGGGTATTGGAACAGGGGATGGGGATCTGATGAAACTGAACCAGCTCGCAGCGTCGCAGATTTTCCCACAGTGAATCATTCTTGAAGTAATTTTTCAGCAACCTTTACCTCGACATTCGAATTCTGGAACATACCGAGATAGCTTCTGTGGAGAGATCAACATTGAGCAGCGGGTGCAGCTCTGTCTTGGCGAATTCCCAGAGAGCAGTGAATCCATCGATCCTGTGAGATTGATCAGTATACTCTGGCTGAGACTACCGATGCAGGGATCGCTCACAGAGAACTTTCATCGCCTTCAATATGTCCTGCAGAAAAGCTTTCGATTGTGCTCAACCTTGTGCGAGTCTCGTTCAACGATCGCTGAAGCTTCGAATTCTCCTCCTCGAGGGTTCTAGCCTGCGCCTTAGCGGTGGACAGACTGTCTTTCAGTCTTGACGCCTCCGTCTTGAGCTGTTCAATCGTCGTTTCAAGCTCTTTCACCCGTCTCTGTGTGCTATCGTGGGACTGTTTCTCTTTCGAAAACGTCTCGAACATGCCATGGATGACTATCTCCTTGTCGTTATTAACTTTCTCAAGATCTAAAACGTGCTTTTGATAATATGTCAGTTTAGTCAGTAGCTGACTGCTATCAGTAGCCACCGCCTGAACCATGTTGAATCCATCTGACGGAGTGAGATCCTTTAGTCGGGCAAAAAAGGCAAGAATGGCGTGCGGATCGAGGTCTCGGGCCTCAAATGTTGCTGATGGGCCGGTTGAGGTTGCGGAAGGCATTGTTTGCAGTGGAGGCTCGACTGATTTCTTTCGAAGAAAAACGAAATGAGTTGATGTCGACGGTGCATCAATATCAAGGTTTCGTCTTGGCTATTCTCCTCCCATCATTCTTATATTGAGTTGTGGGTGTGGACTTAGTCTCGAGGCCCCTCAAACCTGCTTCCACCACCTCACGGAGAAGTACTAAAGCGATTAACCTGCTCGGTCAAAACGGAGCTGTTGTGTCATGGTGTGTATGGTTACCGGGAGTGTGGCTCCCAACCACCAGGCGTCCGAGCACCCCTCCCTTGCAGGGATGCGAGTCATTACATTCACGCCAACAGCCTGCCAGACGCCACTCATAAATAGAATGAGGCGGTCGGGCGGACTTCATGCAACGTGTCGCCTGCCCTAAGGGCCCTTATCCTTCTGCCACCAGACGACGCCCACTATGCTACACACACTCGTCTTGGGATGGGTAGGAAGTCGAGAGACATGCCTCGCCTCCTCCTTTTGGAACCCACTCGCTTCGCCCGCTCAAACATGGCGATTCTGATTTAGTGAAGCAGACGCGCCAGCAACCTGCCGGTGGTTTCGATCACGTAGTCTGTCTAGCCCAAGACAGCTCATATTAGTCCTGCCCTGATACTGTGGATCGAACAGGCAAATCGTGTCCATGGCTTCCTGTCTATGGGTCATACAGACAATTGACCCGCTCTGCTTCCACCCTAGACGCCTTTGTAGGTGTCATTGAGGGATCCAGTCTCTCAGATCATAGGATCTGACTTTCTCATGCAAGTGGGTGGCAGTGTGCCGCGCGCCTGACGTTTAAGGACATGGCATAGTAGAGTTTATCCTGCATTTGAAAAGGGAAAAGGATTCTTATTGTGACAGAGTCCAAACGACCGTGTAGATCCAATCGTAGTTATCTTGATGCAATAAACCTGTTTAGTGTGTAAATGTTACTGCCAAGAGAATCAACGTCTACCGCTCGAGCTTGTTCGAAATGGATTAGAGTATACATTAGAGCCATTGGAGATTTAAAATGCCAGTCAACCCAAGCGATTAGATCACACTCTCTGAGAGCAAAATCGCAATCACAGTCGATCCCTTCATATAACCTATCGTCTGTCTGTCGGACTGCACTAGTCATGGGGACGTGCAAGTCCACCAAGCCAGCCTGACGGGGAACAATATAAACCACACGGCCGACACACTTCGACCCCGCTACCTCCGCGCATGACTAGATTAGTTTACAGGATTTCTGCCATCGATGCACACAGGTCATCCACATCGTCATCATCTTGGCGTTGTGCCCCTTCTATGCAGTGACCGGCCTTGCAGCCCTCGCACAAGTCGCGACTGTGCGGGCGCCGGGAATGGCCTTGGAAGTACTCCGGCTTCGACTGTCGAATGCCACTCCACTTCTTGAGCCGATACGTGATCCGTTCTGTGTAGGAGGACTCATCGAGGACGGGTCGGCTGATGGAACCACAATCCCGACAGTGTTGGTGATAGACGCGCGCGTTGTACTCGCGTGGCGAGTACAAGCGGACCGTGATGGCGATGATCTTGCTGGACCACCCTCCGGTCTGACAGAAGGCATTGCGGCAGACAAACCGCCCCATGGCCCTGGTGTCATAGTGCCTGACGACGCCCACGTCTTCATCGTTGGTATGGAATATGAAATGCAGACCCTCGTCGTCAAGGAGCGCCTGCACCTGTTCGTGCAGCGCGGGATACATGGACCATGGCTTTTGGGGCCGTGATCTTTTGGCAGCCTTCTTTTTGAAGCCCTGGGGTTTACTCGGAGAGGAGGGCACATTGGACGCTGTGTTCATGAGGCGGGTGGCTCGGTCTGGCTCGGGCATGATCGAAATCCGGTTTGAAGTGAGCTGTCTGACGAGGACTCTTTAATGAGATAGTAGCGGCCTCAGTTCTACACGGGGGATTATAGTGGGAGATCTGGACTTGGAATCTCTGGAACGGTCGCGGCAGTTGAGCTATATATCTTTCTATAGTTGGTGGATTTATGGCAGGGCCCCCAAAGACGGGTAGTGCAGAATGTCCCGTCCGGTCCGGGGATCATCGCGCAAGGCTGGCCGAGTGAGAATCCAACAATAAAAGTGAGGCGAAGAGGCATCTGAGCGAGAGATAGAGAATTTGGTTCGTGTACAGTTGCAGCCTTCGGGGGAGGCGGGGTTGGTTGGTGGCGCAGCGCGGTGCGGCACGAACCCTGCTCGTCTGCCTGGTGGCGCTGTACTAATTGCAACTCGCGCCAATGATGTATGTACATCATTGCATCCAGAGAGAAATGTGGCACACCGTCGGGCATCAAATAGGTTGGTAGAACTGAAATGTCAAGCTCAGATGCTTTCTCAAACAGAGATTTGAAGTGCCTTGAGAGCAAGCTACTCGACACGAAGGACTGCGTCATACTAAACCAGCGAGGGTGTTGAGGCTAGAACGCCTTAGCACCTCAATATTGCCGATTGGCTCCGCAAGGACTAGTTGTGGGCGCATCATGCTGATTAGCTTAGTATGAGCTCACTTTCAGTTGGCTCCGGCGCTTGGAAATCGGTCGTTCGTATCCTGTCATTCGAGATCAATAGCCGCTGCTGTGGCACAGTGTGCCTGCGTCAAGCTGGATCTAATGTCTGGAGCTGCGCCGCATGCAAGGCTACCTCCATGGTTTGCGCATCGCCGAGTATATTGAAGACCAAAATCAACGGTGGCATGCATCATTTAGGGGGGAAAGGTGGGGACGGGGGTAAGTGAATTCTTTATGAGATTCGATGCTATACTGGGTTTATCTGAACGCTTAAGGAAATGTCCCTGAGACAGTTAAGCTATGCCCAGCCACGGACCATCTGAACAGCCCTATATATGCTCCGTCTGCCCCTTAGTTATACATACCATGTTAGTCGATATTTCACTTCATTCTCCTTATCTGACGATTTCCCTGCCAATACCTGCGATACTAGCAGCACAAAGCTGCAATGCAACCCGCTATCATCTCCACGTTGTTCACAAACGAGCTGCGGCCAGATTGTGAGGCCGCAGCAACTATCAGCCAGGTGCAACACCTAGCATCCTATAATTGGATTGAATCCGATTACCCTACGATTGCTATCCCTGGCAGTCCTAATCTGTGGAGTCCACGGTGGCCAACCAAGAGACGAGGGAAACTGTTGAAGGTGCCCAAGGACTCAGGGCTGCTGTACATCGCGCAGAATGCAGCGCGTCACCCGGCCAGCCCGATGGAGCCTCTCTTCCGCGCCTTGTACTTCACTCGTCCCGCCTTCGACATCAGCGCAGTCGACATTGTGACGGACCGCAACAACATCCGGCAGCTTTTGACATTCATCAACCCGAGACACAACAGGAGCCGCCTTGAGGATTTCACCATTCAAATTGAACGACAGGGGAGGACCATGCTTCTCTGTCGCCAAGAGATATGGACCCGGGAGTTCATACCTCGCCGGGAATTTCGCGGGTTCGGCCATGAATTTGAGAACGCAACCACTAGCCGTCGAATCCCAGACAGTACGGGCCACTACCGAATCGTGTCCTATGACTTTGCGGGACTGTCGTGTTTGGTGCGGTATGAGACCGACGGATACGTCCCGCCGGATGACGACGTGGTTTCAGCGATGGGGCGGAGCAGCCCGAGTATCTTAGGTCCCCCTACGGTCATTTCTTCATATTCGGCGTTGAGGATCTGCGCAGGAGGCCAAACCGTTCCAACGCAGTCCATACTGGAGATCAAGACCAAGGCCAGGCGAGAGCCTGTGGATCTGCAGCAGGTCCTACCTCAAATGTGGGTGTCGCAGACGTCTCAACTGGCTTGTGCCTACTACATACAAGACGGCCGGTTTATTCCGTGTCTGCCGACAAGTGTGGCATCCGAGATCCAAGAATGGGAGGAGAATCATCAGGATGACCTCCAGCGGCTAGCAGCCTTGCTGAGATGGTTAATTGCCTCTGTTCCCACGAGTGGCCAGAAGGCCACGCTGGAATATTATTCGCGGCGCAATCAGCTAGTGATCTCTCACGCCGAGCGTGCTGCTATGCTTCCACCGGATCTCTACAACAGGTGGTAAACCTGGCAGAGGCGTTCCTTTGCAGCTATTATAGCAGCAGGTGTCAGTGTCTAGGGGCTTAAAGAACTCTAAGGAGGCCCCACCCCGTAAACTGTGTCGTCCTGAGTACATGAATTCAAGGCCGAGCGGAACGGAGGAAACCTGTCGCTTGCTGTGCAGCGGTCGCCCACTACCAGCTCTCGACTTAAGAAAAGGCTCTCGGATCTTGTGGAGTCTGGTAGTACTCAAGGAATGTGCAAGCTGGCTCGACTCGGTGATGAACTTTTCGGATCGGGATGCATTGGTTCTTACACTTGGGCGATCTCGGGAATGGTGTGGATGATGACGTGCAGGGGAATCCCAAGGGTAAGGGGAGGCTATTCTGAGCGTGCAAATCGGGTTGGGTGGAGATTTCTGGTTCTTGCACTGTGAATACTCTGATATATGACTCTATAAGCTGAAAATTAGCAGCATTCTCATGAGACTTGCCTACTTTACAAGCATGGCATCTAATCTACCGTTTTGGTCAAAACGTGACTGGATTGGATACGACTGCATGGAAACTCCGGAGATGAATCTTGGAGTTGAAACCAAATCACCTACAGCATACCTTTCCTGTACGGTACATAATCTGGACAACTAAGCGTATTAATAGCACTAGCACTCTTTACTACTAATACTAGGAGATAAAAGAATATGGAGTTAAGAAGCGGCCCCTTGGTCCAGGATTCTGCTCTGCAACCATTCTTCTCGTCGGTCTTTCCGCGGTGATACGTCAATTATCAGGAGCACTTTGGGGAAGGGGGGGGGGGTTGCGGATGTCCCATGAGCACCATCTACCCCAGTCCACACTGGCTTACGCAGAATCTCGTACCGTAGAATTGGTATAATCGCGTGGTCTGGTTGGAGACCCCAATGCTAATGTGTAGCTCCTGGTGCAGCTTGTGATGGGCCAGGTGATGCTGTTCACATTTTTGGCAGGAGTCGCCCCCCGTCACACGTGATTTTCCGACACCGACAAGGTTCACAGGCGCGGATGACGTGAATGCGACTGTTCTGATGATGGACTGTAGGAATCAGCCTTTGTGCAAAAATACCAGGTTGATTTTGCGCCATGATGGGGGCTTCTTTCCTGGAAGAGTGTCTTTCTGTGGCGGCACTGTGCACTGGCCTTGGATTAGAAGGCATCACTGCATGCATGCAGCTCGAAAGTAACTACAGTACTGTATGCTCCTAGGCCAACTGGAGACTGGAAACACTGTTTATCCGAGGCTTGTTATCACTGTGCTTATTTTATTCAATTTCGAGAATACAGTAATTAAATAACCTGCAGTGGAATACTCAGTAGTCCTCAACGACTTTTCAAATTCTCGGCGCGTTTGATCCTGAAAATCCTGGCTGTATACTACTACAGCATGTATACTTCAGTTAGTACCTGGTGCCCACAGACATCGTTTTTCGCCACTTCTCAGCTACCGAGTAGTTACAAAAAAAAGAAGAGCCAATGATAGGGGTTTCACAGCCAATCCCGTACCGGAATTACCACACGGGCTTTCCCCACCTAGGACTGACCTTAATTCCGGGAATTGATCCACCACGTACTTCCGACTTTGCGCGAAGAGAGGCGGTGGAGGGATTTGGTGCTAATTCCGATATCCACAGTGCGTCCCTCTCTACGGCGCAGAAATATAGTAAAAGCCATGTGTAGTTGAAATCAAATGTTGATAAGATAATACAGGCTTTGACATTCCTGTTTGATTCCCCAAATTGCCAGTATAAATGTCCTTTTAGCAGAATCTGAGAGTTATAAGTTGTAAGAAATCCCATTTAAACGTGAATTCTTGCTGTTTTGATATCTCATCTAATAGAGCTTATATATAAGTCCTTCACTGAAGCTCTTGCATTATCCTAGGCGCTGATACACTTTACAGATTTACGGTAAAGATCGTTTACAGAGTTTGGCCGCTAGATCCGTTCCCTCGTAGGGCGCACTGTAGGGCGTGAACCGACCGGGCTTTGCCAAACATTTCCTAAAAGAGCTCCATACCCGCCATACCTAGAAGCCCGAGTTTCCTCATCAAGCGTTTCCAAGAGAACCCCCAAAGCTTTGAAATCACACTTGTTTTGGTATCATGTAATTCACACAGGCGGTATATATATTGCCCAAATCCTACACCCAGACGGTGCCGTAACCCAGTGTCCGTCAAGCAAGCCACAGTAACGAACAGTCACCCACAACATGTCCTCGTAAGATACACCCCCTTTCTTTGGCCCCGCTGCTGCGTCTATATGCTCCCTGGAATCCAACACTGACACAATCACAATGCTTCCACAGCGCATCCGAAAAGTACCTCGCCCTCACGCAAACCAAAGGCAAAATCTCCCCGCAGACAGCCAGCGATCTCTTCGACCAGCTCCCACCCATCAAACCCTCGCAACTTCTTGGCAGCTGGATCGGAGGGTTCGTCAACACCGGCCACCCCACGGGGCCCACGTTGGAGGAGATCCAGTGGGTGGGCAAGGAGTTTTATTCGGTGGATGACGTGGACCCCGTGATTGTGTCCCAGGACGGCCAGAGAGCCAGCTGGGGGCAATGGGGGCGGGCTACTGTATGTTTCTGATTCCCCCTTGGATTTAAATCAGAAAGTCCCATGCTGATATTGGAGTTTCCGATGGTAGTTGCGAGAGATGGTGTATCGCGGGGTTCTGTCGACGGTGATGATCTACGACGACCGCCCCGTGTTTGATCACTTCCGGTACGTGGATGAGAATCTGGTTGCCGGGATTATGGAGGGGAAGGCGGTCGAGGGCGGAGATTTCCATTTCTATCTGCGGCGGTAGGATTGGGGTGTGTGTGTCTATTAAAGGTCAGGTGGAGGGTTAGTTTAGAGCAACATGAGCTAGCCTGTCATTTCCAGCTATGGGAGCCTCCCTGATTTTCCTTTCATTGATCAGTAGCATGTTTGGACCGAGAGAATGCAGCAGAGGCGTAAAACACCAGACACATGGTGAGAGATCAAAAACTAGGCCCCATCTTGGGTTTTTTAGCGGCATCGCGATTACATAAGTTTTGTGACAACAATAAAAAAGGGAAAGAAAAGCAAAAGCGCATAAATGACAAGAGAGAAAAAGAAAAAGAAGATTGCATCGTTCAAGCCGAGTATATGACAAGGAATTGCGCATGCAGGTCAAACCCTAGAATGAAAGTTACAGACTCTGTGGTCGATATATTCAGGATCAAACATGTATTCAAACCGAAATCAGAACCTCTATAGTCTATCACGGTCTATAATACACACACTCCGCAACATCAATCCATCCACTGGCCACGTACCAGCTTAATCGAAAACCGACGCCTTCATCGAGTTAGGCTGGATGTATTCCGACGCATTGCGGAAGCTCGTGAACCCCCAGCGGATCTGCGCGGCCATGGCGATCTCCACGTCCAAGTCCTTGGCAAAGTGCCACGCCAGGCCGGTGTCGCGCTGGAACGCTCGCCCAACAAGGATGACGTCCAAATTATCCTCGTTCAGGATCTTCTCCGCCAAAACCCCGTTGTTGATCATCCCGACCGCCGCGACGAGCAGCCGATCGCCAACCGCCTTCTTAACCGCCGCCGCGAAGGGGACCTGGAATCCAGGGCCTCCCTTGATCTTCTGGGCGCTCGAAATGCCCCCGCTGCTGATGTCGATCAGATCCACGGCGCCTTGCGCCGCCAGCGCCTCCGCGAAGCGGACGGTATCGTCCCCCTTCCACCCGGCCTCGCTCTCATCCCAATCGGTCGCCGATACCCGCAGGAAAACCGGGACATCAGCACCCACTGTCTCGCGCGTGAGCTGCGCGATCTCCAGCGGCAGACGGATGCGATTCTCCCAGCTGCCACCATAGCGATCGGTGCGCTGGTTCGAGGCGGGGCTGAGGAAGCTCGAAAGCAGGTAGCCGTGGGCGGCGTGGATCTCGATGAAGTCGGCGCCGGCGGCCAGGGCGCGCTTGGTGGCCGCCACCCAGGCCATCTTCAGCTCCTCGATTTCGGTCAACGTCATCGCCTGGGGCACAATATCATCAGCCGAGAAGGGGATCGCGCTGGGGGCCTTGACGTTGTCCGTCCAGCCGCCGACGGCTTTGGTGGCCACCCCGACGCCCAGCCAGGGGGGCAACGTCGACGCCTTGCGGCCGGCGTGCGCCAGCTGGATGCCGATCTTCTGACCCTGGCTGTGCGCGAACTCGATCACCTGCCGAATCGGCTCGATTTGCGAGTCCTTCCACAGGCCGACGCACTGGGGCGTAATCCGGCCCTCCGGGACGACCCCCGTGGCCTCGATGATCATCATCCCCGGGCCGCGCTGCGCGATCCCTCCGTAGTGCGTCGTGTGCCACGGGGTCATGTGGCCGTCGTCGGCGCTGTATTGGCACATGGGTGCCAGCTGCGCGGGGGGGGTTAGCTTGGTTTCCGTATGAGATGTTTAAAAGCTCTACGATTGAGGGAAAGATACTCACTCCTAGTCGGTTCTGGAAGGTTTGACCCCGGATGGTCAAGGGCCGGAAGAGTTTTGGGATTGGCTTCCCGCTGCTTTGAGGGTTGCGCGCCGTGCCCGCGGGGGGGGTCTGCGCCGGCGTGTAGAAGGAGACGCCCGGGGCAGGCTTGACGGGAACATCGGGCCAGTTCGTCATTTTGTGGTTATCAATGATAGTGTCTATTGTATGTATTTGATAGTGGAATGCGAGATTTGATGTGTCATCTGGCAAAAATGCAGAATACACCTTTTATACTCCCCAGGAGCCCCTCAGGAGGGTGGTATCGCCGTGCTCGAACATTCGGCTCAGCATTGTAACTTCGGGATGATTTCTAAGCGGGATGTGGAAAATGAATTCCAGGCGCAAACATATTTTCGGGAGACATTAGTAATAGTTCAGGGGTTGCGTGATTCAAAAGCTTGAAGGTGGGAAAGCTGTAGGGCGTGAAGGGCGCAGCAAACTCCGGGATCCACATGTACTGTACCATAACTACAGCAAGTCGTCTTGGCACTGACATGAGCACGATCCATGGATTGCAGGAGCCTGTTGGCAATTGACTGTTCTTTGCTCCGAACCCTCTCCAGTGTCACTTTAATCCCAGCCTGTGGCTTGTAGCGGGGGTTGGTCCGCCAACGGTGATGTCACTCCCTGCGGGGGAGCAAACAGCAAACCTTGTGGGCAATGAGAGTCTTCCCACGTCATATTACCAAATCATTCAAAATTACTCGTATCTGGACCAAGTAACCATAGTAGACAAGAAGCCTCCCTTGCATTACATTTCATCACAACCACCATCTGAGATATTGCAGAATTGACAAGAATTGTCTCATGTGAAAAATGCCATCAGCACTCGTTACCGGAGCCACCGGTATGACCTCTCCGCTCCGCTCCGCCCGACAACCTAACCCTAACTGACCATCAACCCTAGGAATCACCGGCAGTGCCATCGTGCACCACCTCTGCAAAGACGACCAATACGAGAAGATATATTCCCTCTCGCGGAGCAACCCGGGCTATGCGAGCCCGAAAGTGCACCACGCGACGCTGGATCTGCAGAGCTCGGCCGAGGACATGGCCAAGGACCTGCAGGGGGTGCGCGCCGAGTACGTCTTCTTCTGCGCCTACCTAGCGCGCGACGACCCCACGGAGCTCACGCGCATTAACGCGACCATGCTGCGTAATTTCCTCCGGGCGCTCGAGCTCACCGGCGCGATCAAGCACCTGAAGCGCTTCATCCTGACCTGTGGCTTCAAGCACTACGGCGTGCACCTGGGCCACTGTAAGCAGCCGCTGCAGGAGGATGACCCGCTGCTGGAGAGCAGCAGCGGCATTCCCTGGCCTCCGATCTTCTACTACGAGCAGGAGCGCATCCTCACCGAGGCGGCCGCGCAGGGCGGCTGGGAGTGGGTGGTGACCCTCCCGGAGGACGTGTTGGGGTACGCGCGCGGCAACTTCATGAATGAGGCCACCGCGCTGGGACTGTACTGCGCCGTCAGCAAGGTGCTCCCGGGCTCCCTGCTGCCCTACCCGGGCTGCCGGGCGAACTACTTCGCCTTCAACACCTGGACCTCGGCGAACCTGCACGCCAAGTTCTGTCTCTGGGCGGCAACGGCCCCGGACGCGAGCAACAACATCTTCAATGTGATGAATGGCGACACCGAGAGCTTCCAGAATCTGTGGCCGCGGCTGGCCCAGCGGTTCGGCTGCACACTCCCCAACCCCATGTTTCCCGGCGGTGGCGGGCCCGATTCCGCGGGATTCGGGGACTATGAGGCGACGACGGTGCGGATGGAGAATTTGCATCCACTGGCGGAGCATGAGCAGGCGATCGGGGTCCGGGCGGAGGGTCCGCCCACCTTGTTCCTGCAGGTCGATCCGGAGAAGTGGGCGCGACGGGAGGATGTCAATGCAGCGTGGGGGCAGTTGCGCGATCGGTATGGCCTCGACCAGAAGGCGTGGGAGAAGGCAACCTGGGACTTTTTGACGTTCGTGCTGGGGAGGGACTGGAGTTGCGTGGGGACGATGAGTAAAGCGAGGAAATTGGGGTGGACGGGCTATGCCGATACGTGGGAGGAACTGGAGGAGACGCTAGGGGTGCTGGAGAAGGAAGGCGTGCTCCCTCCAGTGGATATGTTGAAGAAGGATTTCTAGATATCATCTAGCAGGTCAGTTCAGTTACAGTCCCTTAAACTACATAATAGCTTTGCAATGCACAACGACCCTTTTTTTTTACTTCCTGGGCCGCCTCCTAGAATCATTTTGGCTGCCTCGATTCCGCGTCCTTCATGTTTGGGGGTGACAGCCGCGTTTACTCGCCTGCTGGACGCGATCTAGAGGCGACTCCCTAGCCCTGCGTCCCGCCTCCGCTGAGGCTGTTCAGCTTCCCTACTCGCGCCGATACACTGTACGAAGCCGCCACCCCGCAACACTCATTCCTCTGGTCCTTCCGGGCCGGCCTACCCCGGCGCCGCATCAGCTTCCGCCATATCGCCCCTGGATTCCGGCTGCAGTCCGCCTCCGAACTCCCTCCAAGTGCAACCCTTCACCGACTGTCCTCGCGGTTCCTCTCCGCGCATTCCCAGCAAATGTCCTTCCTCTTGTTTCGAGCGAACAGCGTGACGCCATCGCCCTGGTCCCGCTCGTCGTTTCCGGACGGGCGTGGTGGAGGAGATTCCCCCTGGGACCGTACATGGATGCAGTCTACCAGACGAACAGCACCACCGCGTTCGGGAACGCGTGTAAGGGGCTTCTCCCGTTTGACCTGAGCGTGCATGGCTCTGCGCGCGGGAGCACAGGCCTGCGGATGCCGCGAGAGGCGCACGCAACGGAGCTGTATCGGGCTGGGGATGTGCACGTGTTCACGGGGCTGTTGGACAGAAATGGCGTGCAGTTCGATCGGGCTTCGGGGGAAAGGGCGGAGCGGGTGGAGGCGGGGGGCGATTGGGAGGTGGATGAGGATGGGGTCGCGGAGGGCATTGAGAAGTTCCGGAAGGCGGATACGCGCGAGGGATGGTCGAGGTATCAGGCTCCTTTTGTCTTGGTGAGAATATCGTACAGTACCTTGTCGTCGCGGTCTGATGGGAGGCAAAGTGAAAGAGACCAAAATGACAGACTAGAATGGAAATCAGCTAATTATATGCGTGTTCTTATACACAGCCCTTTTGCCTCCCATAGAGTAGGCAAATAAGTTGTGAGCGTCGGTTGCTGGGGAGTGGCAGGGGAGTACATATGGATAATAGGATTCAAAGTCGAGATTTCGGCTTTAGACAATAGTACGATTTTCTAGGCAATCGCAGAGGTTTGCTAAGGAGTACTTGATGGTAGTTACAATAGGTGTGTCCGTTGCAGAGGTCGATGCGCGCCCTAGGGCGTGGCTCGTCGCGCCCTAATTGATCCTGCCGCGCCGTCAGAGTTTTTCACCATTCGAGCAGAATCACACGGCTCTACTCAACATAGCCTGCCTGCACGGACTGCCAATAAGTTACCTTGCATCACATAATCAGCTCCTCTTTGATCGAGTAAGCTTGCATCAAAGGACAGGACCGACACACAGCAATCCTGTTCCCAAACCCAACCCACACGGACCATCACCTGCCTCCACCATCCCCACCCTTACAAATGAGAAAACATATTTTCCAGTATGGGCGAAGTGTTAAAATAAAAAAGAGTATGTCTGTTACTATTGGCTACAAACCTCAGTCCCAATCCTAGCCGAAGGCTTCCCGGGGGAGAACCCCCCCGGGACGCCAGCCTCCCCCCCTTCTCCAAAACAGCGCGCATCAGCCCCTCATTCACACCCATATCAACGCCCACCTCCCTCCCCCGCCGCACGCAATACCCATTAATAAACCTTACCTCTGTCTCGCGCCCGCCCCGCAAGTCCACCACCATCGAGCACGTCGTCTCCCGCGTGCGCTCCAGCACCGTATTAACTGTGTCCTCCAGCCGGTCGAGCGCGAACCGCGCTGCCACGCCCTCAACGCCCGTCAGCTCGGGGAGTTTCGGTACAATGGCGGAGATCTCAGCCAGCACGGCGCGGCGCAGGGCTGGCTGGGTGAAGAGGAATTTGTTCGGGGCGTTGTGCAGCGCGCAGACGGGGTTGCAGAAGGCGTTGACGGCGAGTTTCTCGAGTTGATGTTGCAGGATCTCGGCGTAGGTGGTGTAGGTTTTTGCGGTGAGGAGGGGGGAGGTGGGGAGGGCCTGGAGGAGGTATTCTTCCTGTTTCTGAGGGTCTGGGCTTGGCTCTGCGGAGGGGGTGTGGGATTGGAGCTGGGCGAGTTGGCGAGGGACTTTCCCCAGTGAAATGGCGGAGGCGCCGGTGTGCGTGACTTCGAATGGAGCATTCAGTGTAACGCCGTGGGAGATCACGCCTACGATGTAGTTTGGTCGCGTGGCGGGATCTGGGAACAGGTGCTCGTTCACCTCGTCGATCGTGCCGCAGCCGTTCTGGAGGAAGAGGATCGTCGAGGACGCGGTCAGCCGCGGCTGTAACGGGCGGAGGGCGGCGACGGTCTGTGTGGCTTTCACGGTCACAATCAGGTGGTCGATCGGGTTGGTTGCTGGTGCGTTCGAGAGAGGGGGCGCGTGCCAGGTGCGAGTGGTCTGGTTGTAGATCTCGAGGTCGTAGCCGCGGTGGTGGGTGGTTTGGCTGGTGACGGTGTGCAGGGTGGTCCGGCTGCTGTTGCGTAGGTACTCGTCGTATAAAGTCTCGCGGTGCAGGAGGAGGGTCACTGCTGGTGGCGTCGGGAGGATCTCGTTCAGCCCGTGGGCTGTGAAGGTGCCGATGCTGCCGAGGCCCAGGACGTGGACTCGTGGCTGTCGGGGTGGGAGGCGTTTCGACGGCATGGTTGCGGTATGTGAGTAGCTCCGACTCACAAGTCTGTAGGTTGAAGCCAGATGTCGCGAGAGTACTCGTAACATGATGTGAGTTGACGTCGTCGACTGCACTGCGTGATCTATCCGAGATGTGCGGTGCTTATGTCTGTTCAGTCACACCCTACGCCCTACGCCCTACGCCTTGTAGAGACATTCTTACACGCCCTATGTCAAATCCACACCCTTCGGACCCCGATAAATCTAGTCGGATTCCTCACAGTGTAGCCTTACAAATTGTTGAATTCGTAAGGAGCTCCAATGCCTGTCATACCCTCCGTCCTATCCCAACACTGAGAGTCAATCAGTTGGAAGATGCATTGACGCGACGAAACAGCTACGCAGAGATCAACAAGCTATGAACACGAATTCTCCTACCCACAAATGCCTCCCTCCCCCTCCCCATCCCCATCCTTCTCACAGTGCAATCCCCGAAACGCCGTCAACCACTCGGGATTATCCGCCACCGTCTGGTTCCACGCATCCTCCGAATCGTACAGCACGCGCCGGGACTCCTGCTGAAACATCTCATCGGTGGGCACGACCCCCTTCCGTATCTGCTCGCGGGCAAACCGGCTCAGATGCAGGGTGAGCACCTGGGTGAACGAGCTCAGCTGATCCGGCGAGACCCCGGGGGCCATCGCCTGCAACGGCGGAGCCACGCTCGGCACGGCAGGGGCGACGATCTCACGCGCCACCTGCTGGTCGGCCTCGCCCCACTGCGCCCGGGACGAGATCTGCGCGAAGTGGTCCTGGACGTCGCAGTTGGTCGCTGAGAACGGGATGACGCTGCGCGACTCGGACCCCAGCAGGTACGGCGGCAGGGCGTTGGCGACCAGCGCCGCGAAGTCCGCGGGAAACTCGTGCTCGCCGCGCCAGGCTGCCATGGTTTGGCCGCGCCGGAAATGCTCCGCCAGGTGCTCGACGCGCTCCTCCCAGCTGCGTAGCCGGGTGTCGCAGAACCCGCAGCGCGAGGTGATGGCCGACTGCCCAATCTTCCAGCTCTCGAGGTTCGGGGGCCAACCCCCCTCGGTGGGGAGGATGTTGTGGACGAGGCGCAAGTGCTGCATGAGGTGGTCCTTGCGGCGGAAGGAGCGGCGCGTGCCGGGTGCGGTTTCACAGGCGGTGGCATCGTGGTCGTTTAGATGAGCGGCGTCCGGGTCGGGAGCGCCGCAGAAGGCGCACAGAATGGTTTCTGGGGCGGTGGAGGAGAGGAGGGTCGTGCCGAACGGGGCGCAGTACCACGCTTCTAGGGTCACATGCAAGGATTTCTCGTGACGCGCCCAGTCGTACTTGCTCTTGAAGCGGTCGCAGCAGAAGGTGCAGCAGTAGCGGCGCAGCGCGTGGGTAGAGCTGGTGGATTGGTTGGTGGTCTGTCTCTTACGAGATGGGGCTTTGCCCTTGCGAACCCGGCTGCCCTGTCCTTGGACTGCCAGCGGATCTTGTGCGGATGAGGTCGAGCGGCCGGATTGCTGGGAGTCTCGCGACGAGGCGCTGGATTCGCCGCTGGTGGTCGATGCGGCTCGTCTATACTGACGGAATGCATGGCTATTGCTTCCCGATGTACTCGGGCTGATGCTGTCTGGTTGACTGGGGGCCGTCTTCAGCGCATCGAGAATATCTGGAATCAGGGCTGGCTCCTCTTCCGGCGGCGAGTTCCGCCACCTTTCCATCGGGTTCAAATCGCTGCTGGCATTGGGGATGACAATGGGGCCCGCTTGTGCCTCTAACTGCCGGGTCAGGTAGCGGCTTCGACGTCTAGGGAGCTGTCGACCATGATTTGTGGTAGAGGGATCGGTGGTGGGGTGCGTTGCTCTGGCTGAGCGCAGAAGGTCAGAGGAGGACGCGCTTAGCCCGTCCTGCTGTTGGGGTGAAATCCGGTCATATATTCCGGAGCTCGAATGGTCGACACTGAGCAGAGCTGGATCGATCACGTTAGAGTCAACTTGTGCGGTGGTGACTAGAGCTCCATCAGCACGATTATCCTTCGAGGTTGCGCTATAGTACATACGCAGCTGAGGAGCCTGATGATCCATGGCGGGGCAATTTTCCAACGTAGGGTTGCTGAGACCGAGGCTGTCCGGCATACAATCCTCACGGAAGTAGGGTTGTACTGGAGTTCCTTCTTCGGTTCTCGACTCACCTTCGACGTGATTGCAGGAATAGCTTTTTCTCTGGATGTACCAGCAGGAGAGGTTGACAAATCAAAAGAGTGTCGACACGGTCTTACCTGGGGTGGCGCTCTCCTGCCCACTCATTACATAATTCCCGCCTCCGGCAGCTGCGGAAACTTGGCTACTAACTTACTGTGTAGGTAGTTAGTTATCTTAAACCACCTAAATGACAAAGATTGCTAGCGCACTGTCTGCGTATGTGCGTCTTGAACAAATTGACAAGTGAAAGTCCTACTATGGATATAGGCAACGACCCTTGCTCTTATTTACTTTGGCTTCCGTCCATAGTTCTGAACGAGCCGATAAATCAATGTGGATTTTCTCCTTCATCTGTGGCCTGGGCGAGGGACCAAAATATATATTATGTACGGAGTATCTCGACACGGAAGCCAAGAGCCAAGAACTCCCAAATCAATCACCGCGACAAGATGTTTACCCGTGGTCTTGGCACAACATACCCAAGGCAGCAATCTAATATGGCGTATGGCTGTCAAAGAGCAGATGACAGAATTCGATGTTGCTATTGCTATTTTGTTGGGTTATATTGCATTAAATCTTGCTCTAATACATCAACCCAAGCATGTTAGCTCAGGGGAAGAGCGCCGGGCTCATAACCCGGAGGACCCTGGATCGAAACCAGGACATGCTATTATCTTTTTCTTTGGTTTTTTTTTCTTTTTCCTAACTTCTAATCACCTTTTCACATTCACCCATGCGCCATTGGAAAAAAAGTCTAGAATTCAATTTTGTGTAGCCACGAGGACTAATGCATACACTCCTAGTTGCATCATGTGATGCATGAGAGAGCCTGATTATATGACGCGAACAAATACTATTATCTAGAGGCGGGTGGTTGTTACTGTTGTCAAGCAAAGTGTCCTGGTCTTGTTAATGTGATGTTTGGCAGGAGCCTATCGCATTAGTTGATAGGAAATGCGGGCGGACAGCGGCGCACTATGATCTGGAAAGCTTAAAATCATGAACGAAGAAGATAATCCGGAGGATCTCATGCCGCATGAGGGTATGACGAAAGCCTGACACGATGCTTGGAGACCAGCAGTTTCATTACTGTATGAGTAGCAAAGTCGGAGATCAGATGAGCAAACACGAGCTGCAGCAAGACAATCAATTCACTGATATACCTTTAGCGCCTTCAATCCAACTTTGTATCCGCAGTCATTATAGCTAGGGATGTAGCACCACAGCTACTCGACCTTTCTACTCACATCCCAGCGAAAGGGAGGGGCAGCAGGAAAAGGGGCCCAACTGGTCGGCACCGCGAGACCCGACACACTGGCGGGGGCCGAGACAACCCCGCTATTTCCGATCTGAACAACCACCCAGACAACTGGTGGATCGACTACTAATTTAAGCACGTGAGATTAACCCGCAAGCGGTAAGATGTTATGATCGCCCGCGGCCGAATTATTGTCTTTTAGACTAGTTTACTCGGCACCAGCGTACTGAAACCCCGATCCCGCCGATCATCTTCTCTTTTCCTTCCAGCGGTTTCCACGTAACTTTCTCCGAGACCCTAATTCTGGGTTCGGTACCGATCGCCCCTCTGATGCACTGTACCGTACCGTACCGACGATCTATCGACCTCACCGCTACTTGGGATGGACTTGAACAGAGGAAGTGAACAAAACAATGCTAATATTCAGATTTCATCGAGATGATAACGTTAAATCTACCGGAACTCGAAGTGGCCGTCGATGTTGAACAAGCGCTCGGCGAGGTTGATGTCGCGAACGTGCCAGTTGCCGTGCTCGTCGCGGAGCTCACCGCGGACGACGGGGACGTGAGCGCCGCCCTCGATGTCGAAGTGCACCCCGCGGGCGGACTCGAAGAAGTTGTGGCCGCCCCATTGGAAGTGGCCTGTCCCGTGCGATCAGTACCTGGGTTTATATTCTAGAGGGAACGAAAGGCTACATACCGTTGATGTTGCCAATGAAGTGGTTCAGGTCAATGTGGGCGGGGCGCTCGTGGCCGTGCGCATCGCGGAGGAGAGCGTGGAGGAAGGGGCCCTCGAGGCGGATGGAACCGTGGACGGCGGACTCGTGGAAGCTCATTGTGGAGGTGTGTGTGGTAGACGGTAGGAGTAGATTGAGAGTTGGATGAGGAGGAATTGAGATGATGAATGGATGGCAATTCCGGAGGGCATGGAGCTCCCTTTTATACGCTGGCTGTCGCTCTCCTTTACCCACGTAGGAGGCGGGCTGTCACCCCATGTCGGTCTGTATTGCCCGCATTGACTGCTTGGCTGGTGGGGATCCGTATTCGTCTACGTACGTAGCTGAGTCGCGACGGTGAAGGCCGAATCGGCCAGTTCTGGCGAGACAGCCACAGTGTCTGGGTGGTTTGGGGGGGTGGAGGGGCATTGAGGGGCTGTGAGGCTGAGCAGAGGAATTGTGAGGCGTGGCCGAGAGGCGTACACAGAAGGACAGCTGAAGAGAGAGGTCGTATCCACTTTCCATCAGATCGGGTAAGGCGAACCGGTGTCGGCGGTGGGTCAGGGGAGGTGGCGATTACCTAATGGGTATTGACCGTGTCATCTTTGAGGGACTGGAAGTTAAGCTTGTCTACGTAGTATGGGGTATACCTGCACCTGATCATAGCCGATCTGGAAAGCTTGAGGTCATGTCGTGATCAGGTGGCGAGGATCGACGGGCTATGATGGATGGTGTGCCGACGAGTCACTTTATGACAAGTCCAATGTTTTACAAATGACTTACAACATTCCAGTCTGACGCAAGTGAGCATCTTGCGGCATTAATTGAGACCTTATTGAAGTAGCTGTTCACATCTAAACAAGTATCGAAGAAAATGAAATGGCACAGCCCAATCAGCTAAGGCAGGAAATATGGCCACCAACTGCCAATCACAGCCCTCTACCGCCTGCTAATTCGTCGAATCTTTGTAGGGATGTCTTGAATTCAAGAAGGAAGGGTATCAAAGCTGAGCTAGTCGCCTCTTCTATTGTTCAGAGCTGCCTAGCTCATACCTGTGGCCTCAGACCGACATGCGGGACCCATCGCCACCTGCAGATATCACTCGGCTACGCCTCATCGTTGACGACTCCCACCCACCAGATACCGGTACTTGCTTCGTGTATGTTCACTTCAGGTTGATGAAAATGACCCGAGTCCCTATACATCCACTTTACACTACACAAATCAAACTACAAATGAAACACAGATCCCTAAGCCCACATCTTCTTAAACTTAGCATCGAACTCCGTCCGCAACAGCTGAAACATTTTGAGAACTCGTTGCAATCCATCTTGGTCGAACACGGCGTCCATTTGCTGGCATACTTCCACTTGGCCCTGCTCGTCGTGGTCGGTGTGCAATGTCTCGTCGATACCAGCTGGAACAGTATCCGCATTGCTCTTGGTTTCATCGTCCATCATATCCTCCCAACTGTTCGGTATTTCTTCCTCTGAGTCAGCGGCGAAAACAGTCTTGCCTCCTTTCTCATTCGCCTTTTGCTTCACCATCGAGTTCTTCTCCCTCCCGGGCAGCACAGTTTGGGCCATACTGTCAACCTCATCCACCTCCTCCTGCGCATCCCCGCACCCCATAACTCCCAAATCATCTGGCTCCCCCACTGATGCCTTCGCATCCGACTTCAGAAAATTCTCGAGACTCGCGACAATTGTCGCTAGTATCAGAGAGAAGTCATTCAACATAAACCACAGATCACCTCGCCGAATCATGTTTTCTTTATCCAGCGCCGACTTGTTGCCATGCTTGAAGAAGTCATACAGATACGCATTCAGAGGGCCTGCCTCTCCGTCCGACTCAACTGGCACATGCGGGATAACGGACTGTTCGAGCCACACACCCTGACGCACTGATTTACAGAGGTGTGCGATGGTCTTGGGGGGGTTAGGACAGGAGAGGGCGACGAAGGCTGATGTGATCGCCGCCTGGGTTGGGCACATGACTGCTGGTCTTGTGCGATTGTCACGGGCGGTGAATTGAGGAATCGAAGTCATGCCGCCTTGTTTCAGCTTGGTCAATGGAAGCACATCATCTGGGTCGTGGAGGTGCTGGTCAACGAAGGTAGCGACGTAAGTGGAGTAGATGTCCAGGGTCTCGCGATTGTGGTACCGCAGGATTCGCTCAGCTGGACGGGGAAGGGGTGGAAGGACCACCACCGAGGTTGACTGTTTCTGGCGTTTATGGTGGCGCTTGATGACGGAGGGATGAAGGGGTTGGCGGCCAAATAGGTGCGACATGACTACCATCAAGGTGCGGAGGGTTCGTTCAGGATTCTCATAGAGATGCTTGCTCAAGCGGTGGAAATATCCCGCTTTGAGGAGAGAGTGAAGAGCAAAACTGGAGTTTTCGGTGTAGTAAAGATGGGAAATCGCGCCGGCGAAGTTGAGTGGCACTCCAGTCTCATTGAGGAGTTGGTTGCGCCGGAGGTAATCGATCGAGAAGCGTAGATGGTGAAGTACCGTCTGTCTGGACTCTGGCCCGCCAAGGTAAATGCGCGGACTTGACAGGATCGAGTCAACAACTTTCTTTGCGAGGATAGCCTGGTCCGAATCATGAAGTAAGATACAAAGACGAAGAACTAGACTGGTGGTGATAGGAAAGTGTCCGTTGAGGTCAGGCAGCTTGGAGCTCATGAGGCGACGGACTTTCAGATCAGAGATGCCCTGAAAGACGACATTACCCAAGTAATCAAAGCTACGGCGACCTGCCCGTCCCGCAGATTGTCGAAAGTTGAGCGCTGTCAGAAACACCGTATCGCCTGCAAATACGACTGTTTTGCAGGGCATGTTGATACCCAGCGCCAGCGTGCCAGTGGCGATAACGACGCGCAGAAACCCCTTCCGAAACAATATCTCACACACACTGCGGTACTTGCGATTCATACCTGCATGGTGAACTCCTACTCCACGTCTCAGCGCGTCGATGAATCTTTCAGGTACACCAAAGGATTCTAGCTCCGCGGCATATGTTTCGAAGTCCGATTTCGATAGCGCCCTTCCATTGGCGAGAGAGAATCTATCAAGCGGCTCTTCAGGGTCGAAAGACGCGTACCAGTCGGGTTCCTCTGAAGCAGCTTCTCGAAGTCGGTCTGCCCGTGACATTTTGTTGGCATTGTGGCTTGTGGTTTTTTTGGCACGAGTCGAGCTGGATTTCTTCCATGCCTGAAAACGGGCCAGTTTGCTTTTCCATTCTGCATCAGACGCTTTCCAAGATCTTTCAGCCTTCTGCAGCTCGCTACAAATGTGATGGCAGATTTTCTCGCACCAGCTCCGGTCATAGTTGAAAAATAGGGCCGGAAGGGCGCCTTGCTCGGAGAGGGCGCAGATGAGCGGTAGAGTCGTATGAAGCAGGGTTTCTAGGCCGACCAGTTTCGCGTGACTGTTAGCAGTCGATGAAGGATGAATATCAGCTTTCTTGTTGCTGAGAGCGTTCTCTGATAGCTCCTGCACCACAGCGTCAAACGGCGACTTGCCGTCTCTCATCCATGATGCAAGAACTGCTTTCAATCTAGCCTCGAATGGGAAAACATCAGCTTTGGTCATGATTTCCGGCATCATGTCTGAAGGAGATAGAGAGGCATCAAGAGCAAATTCCTTTGTTTGATTTTTGACCATTGCTTGCCAGAGCTTCAAGCAGTCGCGGGGCTCAAGTGAAAGATCGTCTGGTATGCCTCTTGAACGGTCGATCAAACTCGTCACGGGGTGTATGAACTCCATGTCAGCACATCCATCTAGACCGAGGACTGGAAGCACTGCGGCCCCCGGGAGGCCATCAAAGTTAAACCTGACTGGTGGGCGATAGATGTACTTTCTGAGATCCGACCAGCGGACTTTGTGCTCCACTGTTTTCAGCTCAAAGCCATTTGCCCGTTGTGTCAGGCTCAGCCAGTCGCTGAACTCTTTGGGGTTGCCGACGGTTGCAGAAAGTGCGACGATAGGACATGGTGCCAAAAGAAGTAGCTGTTCCCAGACTACGCCGTCCTCGGCTTGACCAATGCAATGCACCTCATCGAAGATAATTCGCCTTATGCGAGAGGACCATGACTTTGCGTTACCCGGCGCAAGAAGCATGATTTGAAGAATGTGTGGCACAGTGATGAGTACCTGGCACTTGGTCGGATTGTTGACTCGAGTATCACGGGTGTGGATGGCCCAAACAGACTTTCCAGCGTGCTTGTATGCTTTGGTGAATCGAGCCTCGATCTCTGCGGCGACTTGGTTGACAAGGGCTTTGGTGGGTGCGACATACACTAGGACTCCGTCATCACTATCTTGGAGAACTTGTTTGATCGCATAGAACCTGCACATATGTTAGGTAAGTTTGTAGATAAGGCCTAAATCACTCACGATATGAATGTTTTCCCAGCACTGGTAGGAGCCACCACAAAAAGACTTGCCTTAGCATCTATCTGATCCAGGATCTCTCGTTGCCATCTGTCAGGCGCAAAGCCCCTGACCCGGGAATCTAGCGCTGACTCCATGTTGCGATCGAGAAAAGGGCCTGCATGGAGAAGCTGAAACTCACGAAATGACAATCCTATGTGTAAGCCCTCAGAATCGGCTCCCGGGAACGCGAACTCGAATGTCAGGGATTGATTCCCATGAGGGACTAGGTTGACATCCGGAAGGCCTAGTGCTATCGAAATTTTCGAGATGCACCGGACGATGTCTTTAGTGACTCCCACTTGCACCTTGGTGATCTGAAGAATTGTATGCCAAATGAGCGCCACTATCGGCATTGACTGGCTTTTCTTGGCGGCAACGCATCGCTTGCGCCAAAGACCAGCCAGGGTGCTTATCAAGTATGTTAAAATCTCAGCTTCTAAATGACATCGCTTCTCTTCTGACAAGCCCTCAAGGTAGGACTTTGCGTTCACGTATCGCTGGGCAAGACTTGGTTCTTTATCGAAGCAGCGGCGCTGGTCCTGCCACACTTCCATTTGCTTCTTGATAAACATCATCTGCCTGTCCTGAATCTCGGATGATGGATTGGGTCCTGTGGGACGACGGGTATTCTCCTGGTTTCTTGTAGGTCTGCGATCCGCACTTCCCTTCGAATCTCGAAACACTTTTTCGGGCTGCAAGATGCCTCCGGTCGCATTTGTGAGACTAAGAGCATACTGCCTGATATCTCTCATCAAGCGCTGATGACGACGTTGAATCTTCTCGGGTGGTGCGGCAGGCTGCTTCACGTCCAAGGGACGGCGGGCATTATGCCAATGGGTTCGCTCCGTGAACGGTTTCGAACGTGCAGAACTCGAAATTCCCACAGCGGAAGGTACAATGTCCAATGAAATGGGTCCCAGGTGCTTGTCCAAAATGGGGTTACTGAAAGGCATGACAGAGCCAAAAATATTCGAGTGGCTCTTGCATCTCGGGTGGGCTATGTCTTGCGTGTGTTCCTGGTACTAGCGGTCTGCTGACATGACACCGTCTCCTGTCATGATGGTTCTGGCAATCTCTTGTGCGCAGATCTTGTTGAGTGTTGATACGAGGAGATTGTATCTCGCCACTACCGTAGGGCTGACAAGCATTGATGAACTCGAGTTCTGATTTCTGTTCAGAGTTCCGAGAAAGATCCTTCCGTCAATCACATCGATTAAGTCGCGGGGAATATGCTTCTCCGCAGTGACTTCTTGCCAGAAGGGAGACTGCAAGACGGCAAGCGCCATATCGTTGTACCGTCTCAGAAAGTCCGCCCCAGGCCAAGAGGCATCGAGTTGACATGGGCGGTCACACAGTCGACACTCGGACAGAATTGCCGTGTGTAGCAACATAGCGTCCATGCATTTGTCAGCCGTCTTACATTGTGTGCCAGTTTCTCCCAAAGCACTAAGAGTGAATATTACAGCCCATTCGCGCTGGGATAGGCTCGGACGTGGGACAGTCTCGTAAATTCTCCTGAAATTTGTCTTGATTCGTTCACTTGGCTGACCTGCAGGGGAACCGACCGCAGGGTCGGACACTGTGGCAGGAGGACACATGTTAGCCGCATACGTCTCGCCATTTGAGCTCGCTTGAGAGATCATACCGTGCACAGACTTCGAGTCAACATCCTGATCTTCGAACGACTGCTGTCTAGACAAACCCGATCCCTCGAGGATCGTAGAAATGACCTGTACTGGTCAGTATGTGCTAATGTCTCAGAATGACAAGCTCCACTTACCTTAGTATCCCGAAACTCGAGACTATTGATGAGCGAGACTGTATAGCCGCGAGACAGGGACCAAGAGATAAAACTTCGGAACGTAGCGGAGTTGCTCAAGGCGGCTTCATTAGGCTTCGCATCGGTTTTAGGTCGTACTTTCCCAGAGGAATTCTCACCGTCTGGTCCCGAGGTGGTGTGCTTTTCCTCATCATACATGTAGAGGGCATCAGAATTTTCTGCTTTCTCGGCGCAAGGCTGGTGGTGGATCGCTAGATCTTCCCCATCATGACACATGATGAAGTACGCACGGGTTGCCACAAGGTAGTCGTTGAAATCCTTGCAGTCGTACGTCTCGAAACAGCGGATGTGCATGGACGGGATAGTCTCTGGTAAGTGGCGACTCAGATGTTGCAGGATGACTTCACGAGCTAGGCAGTACTTCGACCGGTTATCCGCGCTGCTGTGCTGTGGGATGCATGCCTCTGAATGGGATGAGAAGAAGACGATGTGAAAGTGACATTTCCTCTGGTGGAGTTGTGCGAGAAATCTCTCGACGATGTAGGTGGCATGGAGGAGCTGAAATCCGAGGTCAAAGTCTAGCAGATCGTCGGAAAAGCAGTGGCGTAGGAGCGAGTCCCCCTCCAGGATGAACAGTTCGTCCCCGGCATAATCTCCGATGAGGTCGATAGTTCGTGGACTAGTGAAGCTTTTCCTGATCCAAGCAGGATACGTTAGCTGAGGATGGAATATGAATCAGGCCACCGCAGGAAAGAACACACCCTCTGAAAAGGAAAGCCCAGTTGGGATCGTCCGGCGGGCTTGAGGCACTCGACATGTTGGGTGGACACCATCCGCTTCGTGTGGAAAGAGCAGAGCTTTGGGGACAGGAAAAGTTGAGGAAATGAGGCTGTGTGATGAAAAGAGGGGAAAGGACCGGGGTGTGGGAGAAGGAGATTGTTGATGGTTGGGTGGCCTTTATCAGCCAGAGGCTTTTAGCGCGAAGCTGCCTGCTCGAATTTGATATTTCCACCATTCACCGTGGTGACCTTTCGCCCAGCGAGTTCCACAGCATCTAGCTCAACCGTCTTACTTGATAATTTTCTGATTACATAGCCCAGCGACTGTTTACTCCTATACATAATCAGGCAGACCAGTACATACAATCAAATGAGTAGCACAGTTCTTTGCTGACAACCAAGAGAGTCTGAGGATTCTAACAGACACCTTGACGGCTTCGAATGCTGATCATGGAAAGGTCGACTGTAATACGGTATGCAGTCAAGAAGAGCGTTTCCATCGCTCGACTCAAAGAGATGTCAACAGCAATACAGGAGTAACCCCATAGCCGAAAAGTTGATGTATGTAACTAGAAGATAAGAAGAGATGATCATGTGCCTTATCGATAAGGCAGACCCCACTCGCGCCGGCTGTGCCTGTCCATCCCCCAATCCGGTCTAGACCATCGCCGCCCCGCCTCACGTGATCTCAAATTTCACTCTCTTCCCTCTGCCAAGCAAACAACTTCCCCCTCCACTCATCCACACACCAACAGAACTTCGAACGGAGTCTACACATCCACTCAAACGATGCCACGAATACCTCTCGCCCCGCTCGCCTCCCTCACGCAAACCCGCTATGTCATCCATCTGACGACCGGCAAACGCCTCGTGCTGTTCCGCCTTCCCACCATCGAGCCATCCGCCACCTCCCCCACACCGAAGAACGAAGCCGAGGGATGGTCCTACTACGCCATGGAGGCGGAGTGTCCGCACGCCGGCGGCCCGATGCAGGACTCATCAATCGACATCGAAGATTCCGCCTACGTGGCCTCCTGCCCGTGGCATGCGTACGACTTCAACGTGGAGACCGGGGAGTCGAGTGTTGGGATCAAGGCGTGCACGTTCGCCGTAGATGTGCGGGGCGCGGTGGAATTCGGGGATCAGGTGATACTGGAATACCCAGAGGATGGAGTGGGCTTGGTCAAAATGGAGGCTGTCAGTGAGAGGATCAAGCTGAAGACGGAGGTAACGGGCAAGCGTGATGACACCAGCAATAAGACAAACGGGAACAACGAGACGGCTGCTTCTCCTCAACAAACAACAGAAAATGACGCTACCCCCTCTGGCCCGGTGGTCTACCTGGACGACAAGGCGACCGTGTGTGACTGGTGCGCGCACATTCTCAACACCTCGAACCCGGAGCACAAGATCGAGCTGACGGCGCACCTGTTTTCTAACTTCACGGCGCGCGAAGGCACGAGCGACCAAATGGAGATTGGCGACGGCAGCGGCGTGACACTCCCGGCGATCCCGCCCCGCGATGGCCTCGTCGACATCAAGCCGGGCCAGATGCCTCGCGCGGGACGCGGTGGCACGCAGAAGAGCCGCATCATGATGCTGCACGCGTTGGCGAACATCGAGCAGTGGGCGATCGATCTAGCGATAGACATTTGCGTGCGGTTCGCGGCGTTCCGCACGACGACCGCGGAACCGCGGGGTCTGCCGCGCGCGTTCTTCCACGACTGGTTGAAGGTCGCCAACGACGAGGCGAAGCATTTCTCGCTGTTGCGGACGCGGCTGGAGGAGATGGGCTCGTATTTCGGGGCGATTCCGGTGCATCATGGGCTGTGGGAGTCGGCGACGCTGACGGGGCATGATCTCCGCGCGCGGATCAGCATCATCGCGTTGGTGCATGAGGCGCGGGGGCTGGATGTAAACCCGATGACGATCGACAAGTTCCGCAAGGCGGGCGACGAAGAGAGCGTGCAGTCCCTTGAAATCATTCACAATGACGAGATCACCCATGTGACGACGGGCCATCGGTGGTTGACGTGGATCTGCGGGCAGGAGCAGACGGATCCAGTGCAGGTGTTCCGGTCGAATGTGCAGCAGTACTGGGTTGGGGCGCTGCGGGAGCCGTTCAACACCGAGGCGCGCATGCAGGCCGGGCTGGACGAGCGGTATTACGGCAATCTCGTGGGGTATGGTAGGGCGTGAGCATGGCAGAGGTTGACACTGCCACCTACACTTTTAACTCACCGTATCACTGACTGATTGACTTACTTAAGGAAGTGAGGAGTGCACTCGCTCGAACTCGTGATCTTCTGCGCTGTAGGCCTAGCAGACAAAGACACAGCGTCAGCAGTGTCCCCATTCCCACCCGCCGGTATCGCCTTCGTGGCAACAATACCGAGACACAAGCAGAAAGCGAAACAGCACTGCAATTAGTCCTGTGCGCTCAAGCACTTCTCAAAACGAAACCTGTACCACAACCTGCATCTTGTACATAGCATACCCATCTAGCGTTTAGCAACCCACCAACAAACCAGCAATTTTACCACGAGTACCTCCTCCACTCCTCCCACTAGGAAGCAATTCATATGCCAACATCAACGCTGTCCCCACTCATACCCCGACTCCAAATGGGGCAACAACCTACCTCCCCCAGCAGCAGCAGCAGGATCACGACCATCACCCCTATCACCCTGCTCTCCCGTATCCTCCGCATCAAAATCCCCAACACTCCCCCCCTCGTCAACCTCCCGATCCAAAATGCGCTGGTACTCCTCCCGTCTCCGCCGGATACCCTCACCATCACCATCCGGTTTAACAACCCCACCCCCCATCCCCCTTACCCGAAGAACCCAAAACGCAATCTACCATAAAGCCCACATTAGCCCTGATCACAACCAAGCCCGGTCCAAAAGCATCCACAACCCCCGAAGAAACCAAGTATCCCCCCACCCCCCAACCCCCCCCCAAAAAATAAAAAAAATACATACCCTCAACCCCCCCACAACCCCCAACCCCACCACCAAGAACCACAACACCTTGACCTCCTCCCCCCTCCACACCCCCGCACAAGCCCGCGTATACCCCAACTGCAACACACACGCATCATCGCCATGATCCCGGTCCTTAAACGGCCACGCGCGGTCCCGCACACTGCGCAGCCCACAGCACTGCAATCTATCCTGGATCGTGCGGATGGTCGCCGCGTCGCGGGCGTGGAAATACTCCTGCCAGGTTTGGTCGAGGGTGCAGCTGCTTATCCCTGTGGTGTTGTTCAGGTAGGTTAGGGTGAGGGTGAGGAGGATACTTGTCAACACAGTGTGGAGGGTGTTGAGGATCGGAATTATCAGGGTTGATTTGGGGGAGGCGGTGCGTTTGAGGAGGGTCGTTGCGGTTAGGGTTGCGAGGGTGTAGGGAGTTAGGAGGGTGGTGAGGATTGGGAGGCTATGGGGGAGCGGGAGGGAGAGGGTTTGTGTGCGGGTCCAGGCGAGGCTTATTATTGTTAGTTGGTAGTGGGGTTTTGGTGGGGGAAAGGGGGACGTACAGTGACAGGATGAAGGAGAGGATGGAGAGCTTTGCGTTTGGTGTGTTAGTGGTTCGGTTCAGTTTAGTTGGAATTGTGGGGGGACGTACGAGGGTGACGAGGAGGTGGATGAGGAAGACGGAGTTGAGTCTGATGGCCATGGTGGTGGTAGTTTATTGATGAAGCTGATGAACAAGTTGAAGTTGAGGGTGATTGATGAGGTTGAGGTTGATGGAGTGATGGGGTGATAGAGGAGAGGATGCGGGGTTGGGTGGCACATGCAGTATCTCGATTCACAGCCACAGTTAGATATCACTTGTACCTGTCTTTACATGTAGTGTACATGTGGGAGCATTCACTAGCGAAACATCTTAGCAACAATGGAAGACTCATACCTTTTATCACATAGATTGGTTGGATAGAGTAGAGGGAGAGTGTACTACTACCGGGTTAAACACAACCAGTATGTGATGCAATCAACCTAAGTGGAAGACGATTATAAAGATCATAACCTCATATTCATTCTACCGTTCCATCAATCGAGTAACTCCTCATCCCTCCAATGCTTTTATAGACCCATATTACCAGTACCTTATTAGTACCAACCTCACTCCATCCAATGCCCCTTGTAATGTAACCCCCTCAACCACTCCCCTTCCCCCCATTACACTCCTCTCACACTCTCCCCCGCAAAAACAACTTCTCCAGGGCAACCCACCTCCCAAACCCCGGAAACTCCCCCACGCCGCCATCCCGCTCCACCACCCCCTTCCGCTCGATCTCATAGAACCGCCACGCCCGCAACACCGCCAACGCCACCGCGCCCACGGCAAACAGGCCGCCCACATACACTTTAGCGCCGAGGTACCCTCCGCCCGCCAGATCCACCAACCGCAACGCGATCACCTCCGCCACCGTCGTGGGCGCCACGAGCATGAAGCAGACCAGCCCGAACGTCGCCGGGAGCCGCTTTAATCCAACCACATCCGTCAGCACGGGGGCGACCGTGCCCCAGAAGGTGCCGCAGACGGAGCCGGCCAGGAGGGCGAAGAGGAGCAGCAGCGGGTACGAGGACAGAAAGACCCAGAGGGTGAGGCAGAGCACGGCGCAGACGAGGGTCGTGAGCATCGACACGGTGATGCGGCCGTGCCGGTCGGAGAGGTACCCCATCAACGGCCGGCCGAGGGCGAGACCCAGGTTGAGGCAGGCGCTGGCGATGGAGCCCTGGCTTGGGGTCAGGGCGATGGAGGTCGCGTAGTTCGGGAGTGAGTAGAGGAGGGCGATAAACCCCAGGTCCGTGGAGATGCCCCAGATGATGATGAGGAGGACCTCGAGGTGCGTGAGTTCCATGGGGCTGCAGAAGAGAGTGGTGGTGGTGGTGGCTGAGGGGTGAGAGCGATGGTGTCGGGATCGTAGGACAGAGGGCGCGGGATGAGGGCTGGGTCGGTCGCGGAGGAGCAGCGAGCACAGGAGGTTGGCGCCCAAAGCGCACGCGGCGAGAACCCGGTAGGTACCTTGGATGCCGATGGTCTCGATGCTGCGGCCTGCGATCAGACTGTATGCCAGCCCGCCGAGCCCGGTGCCGGAGGAGGCAAGCCCGGAGGAGAAGCTGCGTTTGCTGCTGAACCACTTGGGCAGGATGGCAGTGGCGGTCAAATACAGAAAGCCCATCCCGGAGCCGAAGCAGATGCCCTGCGTCAGGAGGAGATGCCAGAACTGGGTCGCATACGAGGCGCTGAAGAGAGCGGCAGAGACGAGCACAGTCCCCAACAGCAGCGTGGGCATTGTGCCAACCGTCTGATGGGTTTGCGTGACCAGAGGACCGATGAGCAGACACTGCCCAATCGAGACGCCTCCGATTAGAGCGAAGCCCAGGTGGCTGGCGTTGGGGAAGGTCGAATGCGACAGGAAGTAATTCAAAATCACTCCCCATGCGCTGCTGACCCCCCAGGTGTGCACATTGATCATGAACACAGAGAAGGTGCACACCCAGGCATACCCTCCGTCGGGAGGAATGTCCTCAAATGAGGTCACGTTGAGGGCATTTTCGGCGTTGTGGTCGAAGTCTTGCAGTTCCAGATTGCTTGGAGCAGCAAGTCGTTCCCGACTCGAGTCGTTCATTTTGAGTATCCTTTTGAATGTATTGTTTGGATGGGTGAGACTGGGAATGCACCAAAGCCGAAGATTGTGTTTGTGCGAGCAGGGCTTTATATGCACATGATGCAACTCACCCCGCAGCCACGATGAGTCAAGTAGACCGCGGTCGAGACACCACACCAACGCAGGCCAGCTCAGTCGCACACAGATCTAACTCGTTCTGATCAGCTGCAGCATAATAATAGTAAATTATGCTGTGTCAAAATTTCCAAGGGAGAAGTAGGATGGCACCAAGAAAAGATGAATGGTGGAAATTATGCACGTCGGCTCACGGCCTTTCTAAACTAGCAATAAATTAAATGACATAACCATTTTGTACACATCACTGAGAAACACCAGACTCGGTCTTTCCATTCTTCTACACAGCAAGATTGATTAGCATTATTTGAGCGGGGGTGGACACGAGACTCACCAGCTTGCGGCTGTAAGAAACACCAAGGTTGCTGTTGCTCCGCGAATCGTAGGGGAAAGGAGCAGTGTAGTTGAAGGTAGCGGTCAGGTCTTTCCAGGTCTTCTTGACTTGAGACAAGATACCATGGCCGGCCGAGCAAGTACCCGTGGTGAGAGGAACAGGCCATCCGGCATTGTAGGTGCTGTAGTCATCATCGGAGAGCGGACCGGAGTGGGTTTCGTTCATGTAGAGGTTTGTGGTGTCAACTTCATAGTTGACATAGCCGGTCTTCTCAGCCACCCACTTGAAAAGGTTGGCACCACAGTCCCAGCGACCCAGGGACGGGAGACCCCAGTTGGCGGACATTGAGGCAATGACGGAATAGTGGGTATAGAAGGTATCATCGGTGGTACCACGGAGGTTCTCCGGGACGGCACCACCTAGCAAGAAGGTGTAGACATTGTTGCCAATCTCGTAGGTGCTGGTCTCGTCAAAGGTCAGCATAACGAGAGTGTCCTTGGTGAAGTACTCGTTCTCGAGAAGCTTAGTCAGGAAGTCGTAGGTCCAGGCCCCGGAGGTCTCAATGTTGGAGTCGTGGCCGTCATTGGTCATGTTGGGGGTGATGAACATGTACTGAGGGAGACGCTCGTGCTTCAAATCGTCGTAGAAGGTAGTGAAGTTCTTGATCTGTCGTAGACGAAGGGAATCTTCCGTCACGGAATCGAACAAAACCAGAGGGTTGTGCTTCCGCACGTACACGTTGGCACCGCTCTCCGGGTAGCGGTACCCCTGGTAGCCAGGGTAGGGAAGACCCTCCTGGTACTCTCCCCACGCGATGTTCTTGGTATCAAACAAGTCCGCGATGGTAGACACGTTGCTGGGGATTTGATGGAAGTCATCGTTGTCCATGCCAAAGGTGTCACCGGCGGCCGAGGCACAGTAGTTGGGCTCCGAGGGGTGGGTAATAGCCCAGAAGTTGCTAAGCAAAAGACCCTTCTTGGCCAACTTAGCCAGGTGGGTGTTCCCGGCGGCAGTATCGTAGTCCTAATCTGATCAGTATGGTCCATCTACTTGCCGTGTATACATAGCCAGGAATCGACATACGGTGTTCTCCAACCAAATGTTCACGAAGCGGTTGAATGAGAGACCCTTGACGTTGGATACTGGTGAGTATGGCTGGACCGAGGCCTTGGCTGCGGCAATCTCCGCGGCGGAAGGGTATTCCTCAGTGGTGGTCTGCGCGAGAGCAAGCGACAGACCTCCAAGGAGGGTCAAGACGGATTGCTTGGTGAACATGATGCCCGGTGGATGAAACGAAGGCCTAGTGAATGATTAGAACCAGATGGCTTGCGGGTTGAGGCACAAAGAAGGAAAGAGGACATGAGAGCATCCGATTCTAGAGCGCCTTTATATATGTTTCCTGTTTTCAGATTTGCGATGTTCTGCGATGTCGGACGAGATGGTCGACAGCCTGGAGCCCACGGGGGGCATGTGTCTACATCTCCGCTGCCGATAGGAAGCTTTGTGAACCGTGTAATTGCAGTCAAGCGATTGGCCCTTTGGATTTAAGCGATGGCATCCAGCCCCTCCTGCATGCACTTGGTTGCGCAGCGAGGTATGTATCTCCGACGGGGGAGCTGGAGAAAGCCGGTTATGCGTGGATGTTGAGAATGACTGGCAGTTCTGCAGGGGAAAAGTAGATGGATGCGTAATGTAGGCATCATGCACGTTGCGATTCACTCGGCGCTGACTGGCCAGCGGGAGAGCGGGAAGGAAAGTGGGTGGAAGGGGAAAGTGGGCCTGAGGCCAGGCGACTGGCACGTGCCCCAACCAGCGGCTGCAACGCGGTCTGCAAGACTGCAGCAGCACCTTTAAACCTGGGGGGAAGATGAGAAGAGGATTGGATAGGGGAAAGAAAAAGATAAACAAGATAGAAAAGGTAGAAAAGGTGGAGAAAGAAAAAAAAAATCAGAAATTGGACAATCACGCGGCGTAGAACAAATACAGAATTGTATCAACCATGCTATCATTGCTACTCATTATTTGCCAAACGACTAGAAATCTATCATCTATAATATATCATGACTGGCGATGAAAGACCTCTCCCTCTATCATAGCTGGTCGTCTAAGCAAAGAACTTGGCCTCTCCCTCCTTGAGCTTGCCAGCGCCGACCAGTCTCTGCACCTCCTCGGTGTACACAGTCTTGACGGCAGCAGCGTCCTTACCAGCAGCAGTAAGGCGACCAGCCAGACCAGCCAGCTCCTCCGCATCGATCTTGCTGAGGATAAGATCGACATCTCCCAAGACAGAGTCGACCTGGGCGGCGGAAGGAGCCTCATCGAAGTAGTTGACATCCTTGACGGATCCCTTGACAACACGCTTGTTCTTCTTGGTAGCGTTCTTGGCGGCCTCCTTGGCCTTCTTGTTGGCCTCGCGCTCGGCCTTGGCGGCCTCCTCGGCATCCTTCTTGCGCTGCTCCTCCTCCAGGCGAGCCTTCTCCTTCTCCTCGACGAGACGCTTGGCCTCGGCCTCTCTCTCGAGACGCTTCTTGTCCTTGTCGGCACGGGCGGCCTTGCGGAACTTCTTGATTCTCTCGTCACCGGCGGCGCAGTCGTCGACCAGGTGGCGGAGACGGGCGGTGTCCTCAGTCTTGCGCTTGCGGCGGGCGTTGGCGTTCTTCTTCTCGACGTGACGCTTCTGGTCACGGCTCTCGTTGTCGTCGGGGACATCCTCGTCCAGGTACTCGAAGGTACGCCAGCTGTCGAAGTTGTACCAGAAGTTGTAGAACTCCTCGACGACGTCCTGGCTGCTGTTCTCGTCACCGAGCTCGGGGACGGGCTGGATGTTGGAGAAGCGGCCCTCGGAGATGAAGACCTTGCGCCAGAGCTTGTAGAAGTTCTTGGACGCCTCCTTCTTGGTAGGGGGCTCGACGTCGGCGGCCTCGTCGACGGAGTCGAACTGGCGGCGCTTGACGGGGTCGGAGAGCACCTCGTGGGCCTTCTGGATACACTTGAAGAACTGGTCGTTCTCATCACGGTCGCCCAGAGCGGCCTTCTTGTCGGGGTGGTGGCGAAGGACCTTCTTGCGGTGAGCACGCTTGATCTGCTCAGGGGTGGCGCGCCAGCGGTACTTGGTCAGGCCGAGAACCTGGTAGTGATCTTGGCTCTGCAAGGAATTAGCCCCGAACAGTAGCGATATTTTAGTTACTGGTAAACCGTACCTTCCAGTCCTTAGCCTCTCTGGCGAGGAGCATGTTGTCCTCGGGCTCGGAGATCTCGCCAAGGTCGTCCTCCTCGGTCTTCTTGACATTCTGCTGGGCCTGGATTCTCTCATCCTCGGAGAAGGTACGTCCGTGACGCTTCTGTAGGATTTGTAAGCATCTTACCCAGGAGTCAACTTCAAGCAGGATGGAAAAATGAAACATACTCTGCGGGCGTGGGCCAGGAAGAAAGGACCGACAGCCTCGAGGTTTCTCTGGGTGGCGCCAGAGAGAGTGCCAACGGCCTTGAAGTCCTTCTCGGCGCTCCAGCCGGAAGGCAGGGCGGGGAGAGCAAGGTTGAAAGTCTGAGTGAAAGTCATGATGGACTTTTGAGATGCCTCGATGAAGATGGGAAGAGACAATGGAAGACCCCAACAAGGACGTTGTGTGAGCGGGAGAAAACTTGGAAGGCTTCAAGGCTGCTCCCCCTCTGCTTTTTTATTTTTCTGCCCCGACTTGCCGCTTGCCCCGGAGCCAATCACGGGTAGTCTGTTTCGGAGGTTCTTCGAAAGCCTCGATTCCGCTGCGAAGATCACTTACCTACTTGTCAACAGAATAGTAGTTTCTCTCAACTACGATCGGTTCGCTTTACGGTCTCGTCTTTTGTTTTCCTTCTATCGAATAAGTAGAGGGTCTACTACAACTCCACCTCTCTCAGAACCACTTCCGCCGCTCGCTCTCCGCAGCTACCGATCCGCAAACCGTCACTTGGAGACTCATACTCGAGTACAAGCCCAGACCATTCACTCCCAACGCCCGCAACACTCAAGCCACTTATCCTCTTACACTAAACTCACACATTTCGATATGGCTTCCCAAGGCGTCGTCTCCGCACGCAGTGCTTACCGGCAACTTCTCCGCGCGACCCGCGTGGCCTTCCACAGTCCGTCCACCCCATCTCTTCCCTCAACAGCCTCCCCCAGAACACCGCTGACTTCTACTCCTTCCCAACAGACGACCTCCGCGTCATGGTCGCAGCGCGTCAAGAAGCGCGCCGCAACTTCGACAACCACCCTCGCCAGGGCATCGACACCCCCATGCAGATCAACCACGCCATCGAAGTGGCCAACATCCTGCGGCACAACATCGTGCAGGGTGTTCGCGACGACGGCGACGAGAATGCCAAGTGGGGTGCGCTTTTTGCCTCCGGTCCGGCCCTTTTCCCTGAGAAATACGATGCTAACAGCGATCATAGAACTCCGGATCCATGACGAGATCGAGCGCGGCGACAACGATTCCATCAAGATCGCCGGGAAGAAGGTCAAGGTGGACAAGGCCTGCTCTGCCTGATTACGACGATTCGATTGTACAGGGACAGACTACAGTCTAAACGGGCTGGGGGTGCGGTGGTTGCTTGCAAAGATATGCATTGCGGATTGTATTATAGTATACCCGAAGTTTCATTTTGTTTCCTCTCTTCTCTCCTTTCTGGCGTCTCTTTGGGGTATTTCATGGTTTGTAGAACTACTAGATAGACAAATGCATACACAAAATATGAAAGAAATAAAAAGAAAGCCAAAACGCCCGCTCTCAAACATACATCATATGAAGCTCCCTACGTCCGTTGGAAAAAAACAGTGTTGACAAGGAAGAGAGTTTAATCGCCGTTCAAACTGGAGTACTGGATTTCGCCAGCACCCGGGGGTGGTGCCACTGCGTAGTTCTGGGGTCTTTGTTCCTTAGCCAGGTCCTCTCCGGCCGCCGTGATGGCTCGCTTGCCGCCATCGCCGGAGGGGCGCGTGCCCACGGCTTGTCGACCCTCGCGGGCGTTCTTCATCCGCTCCTCCCGGTCCATGTTGTCCAGCGGCTTGGGCTTGCCCCACCGGACGCGCAGGGGACAACCCTGAAGGACGGCCTTGCCCTGGCAGTGCTTCGCAGCCGCCTCGGCGCCCTCGCGGGTGGCGAAGTTGATGAACGCCGAGTGGGCGCGGTGGGAACAGATCAAGGAGCGGAGCGAGCCGAACTGGGTGAAGAAGGTGCGCAGTTCGTGCTCGGGCAGGTCGTCCTCGACACCCGTCACGAACAACGAGGTGATGTTGGGGTCGGCGGGCGGGTTGATGTCGTCGGCGGAGGGCGGCACCTGCGCCGCACTGGGGAAGGGACGCCCGCCGCGTCCACCGCGCATTCCCCCTCCCGCTCCGCGTCCGCCCCGGCCTGGCAGCGGTGTTCCCCTGCGGCTCTCGCTGGTGCGAATCGGACCCGGCCCGTTACCGTACCGACTGTGGACGACGGGCGCCTCGCTGGACCCTGTCGCGGGACCCTCCCCGTCTTCGGGGGCCGCCTCAATCCGGCGCTGTTTGCGGTAATAAGGCTCGCTGTTGGCGAGTCTGCGGAGCAGCTCGCGCGCTTTCTCGTCGGTCTTCTCGTACTCCTCGACCGCGCCGCGGCCTTCCTCAATCTCCTTCTCGTGGCCCTGGGCGTAGTATTCGCGGTTGATGGTGCTTTCCGGGCCCGGGGCGACCATCTTCAGGGCGGCATCACGAACGACGATGGGCAAGCCGAAGGACAGATCCAGCATGCAGCACTGGCAGCAGTTCTTGAGGCGGGCGCAGGTGAGGCAGATGGTGGTGCGCTTGGTGCGGGCGGTGCGGTCGGCCTTCCAGCGGAAGATGGTGAACGGACGTGTACACTGTGACACTGTTAGTCTCGTGGGGCTAGAATGGGTGCGCAGAGTGACGGGAGGGCTACCTACAAGTTTGCATTCTGCGCCATAGTCCTCTTTCAGCATCTGCACGTAAGGATTGTCCGGGAGACAGCTCTCACAGACTGACGGGAAGTCGGTGGTCTCCCATCCGGATCGGTTGAGATCCTGCTTGATCTGAGCAGGAGGCATGGTGGTGGGGTAGCTTAAGGCTCTGTGTATGACTCCAGCGGCGAAGCTCAGAGGTGAACTGGAGGAGTTAACAGCGGCAGCAAGAACTTGGGATTATCGATAGTCATCGTGGCTGAATGTGGCTAGTGGAGAGCGTTGTGGCGAGCGCCTGACATAAGCAGCCGCAGGTAGTTCCTTTCACGTGACTGCATGAGATCCAGGTAACTGATGGGCTATGGAGGGCATTTCCAACTACGATGTTCGTTCAATGCTGAGGAGGCAGACTACGTACTCTGGTGATACAGGGGCTGTGTAGAGATGAATTTAGCATGTGAAATCGAAAGAGCATTGCATCCTCGTCCGCACCCCTCCCAGCCCCAAGATGCCTGCCACTGAATCCGCGCAGATACGCGAATACGCAATACGCAATACGCAGAGCAAGCAACCAGGAACGAGAGTTGGCGGGCGAAGATCAAGACTTGGAGGCGCGGAAGATGCCTGGCACTAAGCCATATGGAGCAAAGTGTGGTTCCATCGTCCCGGTCGGCCACACATTCTTCCCGACCGGCCAGAACCCCGGAAGGCCCGATCAGGTCTAGTGCTGCGTCGAATTGAGTCTCTGGTTGGCTGGCCAGCCCTGCACAGATGATTGGCTGGGGAAATGTCAAAGTCGATTCGATGGTCGGTCTGTCGGTCGCAATTCCGCCTCCCCTTTCTTTCCCCGTTCTTCGTGTTTGCGTGTTCCTTTGGACATTACGGTGGCCCTTCCCTTCCATCTCATTTCATCTCATTTCGCTTCATTTCATTCCTCTTCACCTCCTCTTCTTCCCCTCTTCCTGCCCTTCTTTGCTGCCTGCTCGGCTTCAATTCTCTTCCGTCAATTCCCTTCCATTCAACTGGGTCGTGGATATATAATTGCCTTCTCTTCTCTTCTTATTCTCCCTTTCTTCCTCCGCACAACCCACTTTTCTTCAACCCGGCTTTACCCCCTTTTAATCCTTTTAATCCCCCACCACCACTTTCAATTCTCAAAATGGCTCCCACCGCTTTGGAACAGGAGAACCATGTGCGCGACGCTGAGTTCAACCGTGTCCTGCACGGAAAGTCCGCTCAGTCCCAGGGTGGTATTGCTGCCATGCGTGGCAAGGACGCCGCTGCCCAGAAGGCCGCCATCGACGAGTACTTCAAGCACTGGGACAACAAGAGCGCTGAGGACGAGACCGAGGAGATTCGCGCGGTAAGCACTGTGCAACCGGCGCCCGTTGCTGCTGGGCCAAGCTAATCAATTGCAAACACCAGGCCCGCCGAGCGGAGTATGCGACCTTGACCCGACAGTATGTCTTCCATCGCCGCTAGGACCTCAATTGCCCATCTAACTTTGTTCTTCCAGCTACTACAACCTGGCCACCGACTTCTATGAATATGGCTGGGGTACTTCCTTCCACTTCTGCCGCTTCGCTCCTGGCGAGCCCTTCCGCCAGGCCATTGCGCGTCACGAACACTACCTGGCCCACACGATGGGCATCAAGGCCAACATGAAGGTTCTCGATGTTGGCTGCGGTGTCGGTGGTCCTGCTCGCGAGATTGTCAAGTTCTCCGACGCCAACGTCACCGGCTTGAACAACAACGACTACCAGATCGAGCGCGCGACCCGCTACGCCGAGCGGGAGGGATTGAGCCACAAGCTGAACTTCGTCAAGGGCGACTTCATGCAGATGAAGTTCGAGGACAACACCTTCGACGCCGTCTACGCCATCGAGGCCACCTGCCACGCCCCCGAGCTGGTGGGTGTCTACAAGGAGATCTTCCGCGTGCTCAAGCCCGGCGGTGTCTTCGGTGTGTACGAATGGTTGATGACTGATGAATACGACAACGACAACGCCGAGCACCGCAAGATCCGTCTGGGTATCGAGCAGGGCGACGGTATCTCCAACATGGTCAAGGTGTCGGAGGGTCTTCAGGCCGTCAAGGACGCTGGCTTCGAGCTCCTCCACAACGAGGACTTGGCCGACCGCCCCGACTCGATCCCCTGGTACTATCCTCTGGCCGGCTCCTTCAAGCACATGGGTACCATCTGGGACTTCTTCACCATCGCGCGCATGACCTGGTGGGGCCGTGGCATCGCCCACCGCTTCGTTGGCGCCTTGGAGAAGATCGGATTCGCCCCTGCGGGCTCTCAGAAGACCGCCGACAGTCTGGCTCTGGCCGGTGACTGTCTGGTGGCCGGTGGTGAGAAGAAGCTGTTCACGCCGATGTACCTGATGGTTGCTCGCAAGCCCGAGTAAACGGATCGGTTAATATGATATCACGCCTGTACAAAATTGCGTTTCTTTGCCACAGCATCCCACACGAGCATTCATAGACGGTGATGGCGGTCTATGTTCTTTAATATCCCCGGTTTTCTTTGTTTGCTGTGTTTCCTTCTCTACGTGTTATATTATTGCATACCGCCGTGGGATGTCTGTCTTTATGAGCTGTCCGGTTGGGGGCAGTGGACGTATCATTGCTGAGTATGTGCTCATGGATGATGATTTAGGTTATAGTTAATATCAAGACACGACATATGCTTGTAGCTGCAGTTCTTCGTATGATTCCTGCCAGTGTCTGGTCTGGGGTATAACACCTGACGACCTCTGTCCTTCTCTTTCTCATCCAAAATCCCGGGAAGTGTTGATATAGAAGACTTGATCGGTCCTACAACGAATCCACCTCAACTCAGCATATATCAACTCAACCCCTCCAGACCAAACGTCACGACCACGACCTCCCTCCCCCCCTCCCCATCGACCCTCAACCCAAAGACCGACAAAACCCCCAACTCCAGCAACGCCCGCTCATCCACCACCGGCTCCCCCGTGAACCCTTTCCCCCTCCACACCACCTCCAACCCCTCCTCCCTCCCCCACCGCGCCAGCACCCACTCCTCCCTCTCATTCTCCGGCAAGACAAACCACACCTGGGAACGCCAGCAAACCACCTTGCCCCTCAACCCCGTCTCCGTCGGCCACACACCCTCCAACGCCCATCTCTCCCACCCCTCTGTATCCGGACCACAAACATAATAAACCCACTCCTCCCGCCCCGCCCGCGTATTCTCCCGGTTCAACACATGCAGGTTACCGTCTGCATCGACAAACTGGCCCTCCTGATTCATAATCCCACTCCCGCGGGGGATCCGCCTAACCCGGAGCCGGGGGTCCTGGGAGTCCAGCGCCGTCATCGCTTTCCCATCCTCCAAGGATTTCTCACCGAAAACACCGTATGCAAGAACCTCGTTCGCGGTATGGCTACCCCGCCATCGTACGCTTACGCCTCTCTCTGCGTACAAGGGGTCAGTGTAGATCTCGGCCGAAGCATGGTACAGCCCCTCGTTGTTCTCGGGCCCGTTCGGCCCCGTCTGCGCTTTGTGCGCCGTGGAGGTCGGGTCCCCTGCCCCCTCGTATTCCACAAAGTGCCGGTTCGTCCAGGTGAGGTGGAGTCTGTTGGTGGGGGCGTGGAAGGAGAGGCCGTTTGGGTAGGGGTTGCAGGCTTGGCCGTGGAGGTAGAGGGCTTGGGGCGTGGGGTGCGGGGTGTATGTTCCTAGATTTGGGGGTGTGGGTGGAAATGTATCTGTGGGTGTATCTGTGGATGTGGTGTTCGGCGCTGGGGTGTAGAGGTATAGTGCTTCTGAGCCGGCGCCTGCTCTGTTTGTATTCGGTTAGTAAGGGGGTTGGTTAGGGTTGGGTGCTGGGGCAGGGGAACGGGACATACCGTCCGATGCGACACTCGAAGAACAGGTTCTCTCCGGCGGGGATGAAGCGGGGGTAGGTCACGTCGCTCAGGGTGCTGCAGCCTGGGAGATGGGATTGCACCGCCCCAAAACTGGCAGATGTCCAGCTGGTCTTGCGGGGGTCGTAGGCCAGCCCCGGCTGGGAGAGGCGGTAGTGCAGGGTGTCGCAGTGGTGGTCGAAGGCCAGGTGGATCGTGCCGTCGCCGGCGCAGATGCCTACGGAGATGGTGTTGTGGCCGTCGTCGGTGCGCTGGGGGTAATCGGTGAAGGTGAGGTGGTGCCATTCGCTGGTTTGGTCGGAGAGATTGCGGCGCGCGAGGGTGAGGAAGCGCGTGGTTGGGTCGGGCGTCGGGTTGTAGAAGGCGGCGTATTGCGTGTGGGCGAGGGTGGTGAGGGCGCTTTGTTGGTAGGCGCACGCGTTGAGGCGGTGGGTGGTAGGGGGGTCTGGCGTGAGGATGGAGACTTGAGGGCTGAGGTCGGAGATGGTCATGATGGCAGTACTGTTTGTGTTTGAGGGTTGAGGTGAGGTTGTCGATGTTAACGTCTTAGTGGTGTGGTGGTTGAGGTCGTGGTGGATTCATAGGTGGTTATCTTGTATGGGAGGGGTCAACCACCTCCGTCGGTTTTCTGCCGATAATGATGCTATGCTACGGTATGCGCAACTTCTTTCCTTGAATCTCCTGACTACCTCACAAGATAAGTTGTATCCAGAGAAATGTATGATGCATGATGTTTGGTGGAAGAACTTGCTCGTTGCTCACCCCGGCTTCTCCGCGTTTTCCTCCCCACCTGCATTTTCCCCGCACTTCAGCGTCACTGGAGTTGATCTTCTCCCAATCCATCTCCAGCTTTTCCCTGCTCGCTCGTCAATTCTCCGAGACACCTGCATATGGGTTGATGAACTGGTCTCAATTTATCCGAGGGAGCTGCTGCTGGCCAGCCAATGGACCAGATAAATAAGCGAGCTCCATTTATGGCTTCAGGGCTCCCAGGTTAACCCGGTCAACTTCAGCTCCAGCAATCTTCAATTGTGTACTTCCATAATGACTACAAGAAAACTACGTGTGTCTGCCATAGCCAGTGGGGTCCTGGCTACTACGAGCGTGGTCAACGGCTTGAGCTTCGAGATCCCTTCTTCTGTGCCTGCCAATGCGAGTGCGCAGATCGATGCTGCGCCGGTGGGCTTGTCGTGAGTCTTCTGGATCTCACTCTGTTCCTGGTATGAGAGCTCACAATTCAGATTCGAGTTCTTTGCTTTCCCCGAGTACTTCGAGCAGCTGTCCTTGACCGACGGTTGTCTGGGAGTGCTAGCCGATGCATATGGAACAAGTCCGCCAATCCGGATCGGAGGAACCACCCAGTGAGTTCTACTCCTCAGGTTCAGGTTACTTCGCCAACTGACCGAATAGGGACCGCGCGACATACAATGCCTCGTTATCGTCTGCTGTATCCTACACCGTCGCCTCGCCGGACGACGCCCCCGAGACTCTGACCTTTGGAAACTCGTTCATGGACATAGCAGCCAGCTATAGTGGATCTGTAACCATCGGTATGAAGCCACCAAGCAACTCACCTCAAGACCACAATACTAACCATCTACAGGGTTCAACAGGCGCCTAGACAACATCAACAATACCATCGCAGCCGCCAAAGTCGCCACTTCCACGATCGGCAACCTATACGCCATCGAACTCGGCAACGAACCAAACTGTATGTCCCCTGACCCCGTCACCTCAGCAGGTCTAACTTCAGCAGTCTTCACATCCAGCGATCCCATCGCCGACGGCAACTCCTGGACCGCTGCCGCCGACGCCGTGTCGCAGGTTGCATGGCAGAGCTCGGTCGGAACCGCACTCGACAAGACGGCCATCATCCAAGCGGGCGTCTTCTTCGGACTGGGGTCCTACGAGGTGACCAACCTCGTGGGCGAGGAGGAAGACACGGATGCCACCCAATACGTGCGCTCCTTCTGCCACCACTACTACCCCTACTCCGCCTCGACCGCGGATCTCGATGGGCTGATGAGCCACGAGGCGATCGTGGAGGGCGTGACGGCGTTCCAGTCGCAGGTGTCTGCGGCGCATGATCTCGACAAGGACTTCGTGATGGGAGAAACCAACTCCGGTGCGTTCCCCTCCATCTTGAAAATGGTAACCCAACTAATTGAAGAATAGCGACCGGCGGAGGCGGGGGGATTAGTCCTACCTTTGGCGCGGGCTTGTGGATCTTGGACTACGCGATGCAGGCTGTGATTCTGGGGATCAAGGTGAGTAAACAACTCGTCCACGTGGATGTTGATCTTACAAGACTGACACGGTCGGCAGCAACTGTATTTCCATCAGGGCACTGTTGGGAACTGTAGGTGGTCAATAAAGTGTAGTACGAGGGCAACACTGACACTAAGACATCTAGGTCCGTACTGCTGGTGGGATGAGACCGTGAACGCCCCATTCTTTGGCGCCTATACTGCGGCGCTGGCACTCGGGGGAGCGTCGCAGGTCGCACAGCTGGACAGCGGCGACAGCCGGGTGGCCGCGTATGCGATCTACGATAGCAGCGGAGCGCCGACGCGGGTGCTGCTGTACAACTCGGAGTACTACACCTCGGGGACACGGAGCAGCGTCAACATCAGCTTGAGCGGCCTGTCCTCGACCACCGTATCAGCCAAGCGACTGACAGGCGATGCGGCGACAACGACCGTGGGAGCGGGGGCCATCACCATCGGGGGACAGACATTTGCCAATGGGACGTGTGCATTGCAAGGCACGGCGGAGATGGAGACAACAACCGTGCAGAGCGGCCAAGCGACCTTCACTGTGCAAGAGTCCGAGGCGTTGCTTATTTATTTGTAGTAACTAGGATGGAGGGATCAATCAGATAAGATGCGGTAGCGCAAGGGATGGTTCGATTGCGGGTGAATGTATAAGCAACTTTCCGAGATCCGGCAATACGGCACAAACTGAGCCATGGATCAAAGTCCCCTGATCTCAGACCCCTGATAAGGTCACTAAGCAAATTTTCTCGCGTCCCTTCGGGCCCCGATCGAGGCCGAAGACCCGACCAATGAGAGCCATGGATCTGCCTCTGCGTCGGAAATAAAAGAGTTTGATTACTCGAAGCAGTTAACAGCCCGGATTACGCAGTCAGGGTCGAGCAATGATGCATACAGCGATCCCGCCGTACTTAGGGTTAAAAGTCGCCCGCTCGCCTGCCCCTGCAGCTAACTTAGTTGGTGGTCCGGTTCCTTCTGTTGGTTACCTCCTAGATCCTCATCCATCTCTGCGCCTCGTGATCCTTCTGTTCCTTCAGGATGAGCAGCGCCGAGGAGTCCATTGACAAGGCCGAGACGGGGGTCAAGCCTTCTGCGCCACCCGCCGGCGTCTCGTTTTTCGATCCTGCCTTATCGCAAGTCCGACGTCATGTTTTCCTCCAGTGGGGGAAGACCGGTGAGTTTGCCCGACTGGCGGTAATGAGTGCACATCAAAGCTGACTTTAGCAGTATTAATTCTCTGCACCTTCATTCTGGGCATTCTGTCGCTATTCTGGGCCGTGCAATTCAAGCTCGAGACGCGGTTCGAGAACCTCACCGTCTGGGTCGTCGACTTCGACGGCCAAGTGGAGCCTTATCGCAACACCACGCCCATCGTGGGCCCCGCCATCACGCACGTGGTCGAGGAGACCGTCCGCACCAACCCGGAAGCACTGGGGTATACGATCCGCTCGCCGGCGGACTTCGACAACGACCCGTGGGCGGTACGGCAGAGCGTGTACGACGAGCACGCCTACGCGGCGATCATCATCAACGCCAACGCGACCGCCCTCCTCCAGGGGGCCGTCACCGGCGGCAACAGCTCCTACGACCCCTACGGCGCCGCCGAATTCGTCATCATCAGCGCGCGCGACGAGGCCACCTACTACAACTACATCCTGCCGGAATTCTGGGGGCTGGAGCAAGCGGTGCGCAGCTACTTCGGGCCGCGCTGGATCCAGAACCTCACCAGCACCTCAACCAACCTGACGCAAACCCCGGCGCAGGCCCTCAACCCGGCCATCGGCTTCACGCAGATCGACCTGCGCTTCTTCGGCCCGGCCGTCATCTCGCCCGCCACCAGCATCGGCCTGATCTACCTGATCATCCTGGCCTTCTTCAACACCCCGTTCATGATGCCGGTGCACCTGCGCTTCCTCAAGACGCCCAACAGCCCCGCGCTCAAGATCCCGCAGTGGCTGCTGTGGCGCATCGCCTCGAACATCGGGACCTACTTCTGCCTCTCGCTGTTCTACAGCTTCGTCTCGCTCGCCTTCCAGATCCCCTTCACCAACCCGCCGGCCTCGCCCGTCCAGCCGGCTGACAACCCCAACGCCTACGGCCACGGCTCGTTCGTCGTGTACTGGATGCTGAACTGGGTGGGCATGTGCGCCCTGGGCTTCCCCTGCGAGAACATGGCCATGATCATCGGGTTCCCCTGGAGTTCGCTGTTCTTGATCTTTTGGGTCATCACCAACGTCGCCACGGGGTTTTATGCCATCGATCTGGCGCCGGGATTCTTCCGCTGGGGGTACGCGTGGCCTCTGCATCGGAGTAAGTTTTCCTTTTTCCTCTTTCCCAATTAACCGTTATCCCTGGTGGGTGAAGCGCGATACTAATATGACTGAAACAGTCGTCGAAGCCCTCCGCACCATCCTCTTCGACACGCACTCCCGCATCGGCCTCGACTTTGGGGTGCTCTTCATCTGGATCGCCCTCTCCATCCTGCTGTTCCCCTTCGCCGCCAAGTTCATGCAGTGGAAGCAGAAGCGCGGGTGGGCTTAGTTGCCTGGCTTGGTTCAGGATCGTACGCTCTGTTGTAATATAGATTAGAAGCTAGACTATTTTAGCAGAATAATGATTTTTCTTCGGGTTAGAGCATGCGATAACTGTAATTGTAAACTCTTAGCTATTTTACCATTATGAATAGTGAGGCAGGTTAGAGTATAACTACCAGGCAAAAAGAGAAAAAGAATGGATGAGCCCAGCCCGGCTCGATCAGGCAACCTTACGATCTGGAGTCGTACGCGCTACCAATTGCGCCATAGGCCCATTCTGGATGACTAACCTTACTACCTATTCTTTAAATCAACATAGAATGTTCTTTATATCGACCTATAATGCAAGGGTGCAAGGATGCCTGGGACTCATTAGGGGGGTTGCACGGGGGAAAAGTTCGTGGGTTGATTGTTCTGCTTTACGTATCTGTATACTGGGCTCGGGATGCGCGTGGGCTTAGTGCGACGGTTCTCCCGGGTGGTTAATCTCCGAGCTGAAGGCGCTGTCCTGCAGCGGGAACGGGTGAGTTTGCATCGTCATGCCGCCGTAAGGCCAAACTCGCGTGTCTACTACCGTACCGTCGTCCTCTGCTGGAGGTTTCGGCTGCCCAACCGATCCGAGGATCAAGTAGGTACTCAGAGGTAATGACACAATAACCAACCCTATTTTTGTGGAACGAAAAAAAAAATTCATATCACACAATCACGACGAAGAAAACGATTCCACCTCTTGGAGGAGGGGATCGGGGTAAAGCAAAAAGACATGTCCCGAGGGAGGTTCGAACTCCCGGCCTTGGGATCGCCCAGAAGTTGCGCTTCCGAGTCATATGCGAGATATGAGACCCACGTGATAACCAACTACACCATCGAGACAAGTTGTTGAAGTTGCCCTTCTTTTTGAGAAATATGACCAGGGCATATTAATGAATTAGCTGGGGATGACTCCGGTTTGCGGTCTGTTGTTAAGAGTGTCTTTGGTTTAAAGGTGGTTGCAATGGTTTGTCTTGGGTTAATTGTGGTCTTTAGAGAGATATTGTTCCTGATGGGGTCTGAAATCTGCGAATTAAATATTGTTCTTGGTTGTGGGTTTGTGGTATTGTTCCGGGTTTGAGGGGGATACATATCTTAGCAGCGCGGATCTGAAGCAGAAAAAAATATTGCTGTGGTACCTTCTATACAGCACCATTCACGATATATACATGATCGATTGTATGTTTCTCTTATTTCTGCCCTTCCCTTTCTTCTGTCTCTATTTATTTCAATTCCATTGTTTTTTCAGTGGAGATACAACATACAATCCCCAAGAGTATTCCAGAAATTATTAAGACTGAGATAAATGTTTAGACACAATAAACACAGCTCTAATTCACACCCCACAAGACCCGCACAGCCCAGCAACCAAAGCAATAAAACCAGACAATAAGCCAGAGCACTACAGTAGAAGATATCATTGCCACGACGACAGAGAATCAAAATCCTGTACTGTACCACACACCCACCTCGTACCTCGCAACAAGGTCCCCGAACCATACATGAACCGAACCCCGATGCAGTCGAATTGGGGACTACCCCCGCCCCACGACCGGATACAGCCCAGTTCGGTATGTCCATCTTCATGGCAGCCATGTTATATCATTGCTCGTAATGCGACAGTCAGGATACAGGCAGAGTTGAAAAACCTTGGATGGAACTGTGTGGGTGTGGGGTCCAGGGCGATTGGGATTGCGACTGGGCTTGGTTGGGATGGTAAGTTGGGTTGCTACCCCCTTCCTTTCCTTTTCCTCTTGGATTTTCAATCAGTGCAGACACTCGAGTTTGAACAAAGGTAGTATTTATGTAGTAGAGAGGACGCAGAACGCTATCTAATCAATAGGAAACAGTTATCGAAATATCCAGTAGCAACTGAACCCTCCATCCCCCTTCCCTTTACAAGCACAGCAACAACCACAATAACCCAACAAACAGCAACAAACCCGCAACACCCTTTTATCATCCCAACCCGACCCCCCACCCCGGGGGAGACCACTAATCCTTCCGAATAACCGTAAACTCCCTCGTTGGCCGTACAACCGTCCACAAAAACGTCGCCGCCTGCACCAAATCCACCACCGGCGCCAGCACAACCGTCAGCACCACATGCACCGGAATATCCAGCAGCGCCGTGGCATGGCAGTCCAGGTCCTCCAGCAGACACGCGACCACGCGGCCGTGCAGCAGCACGGCCAGGTTGAAGGTGGTCCAGACGAAGAAGCCGTAGGAGACGGAGATGGTCCAGCCGCCGTAGATCATGGTCATCATTCTGTCCGCACCCCAACAAGCATCAGCAACCACTCCTTATTGGAAAGCGAAGACTGCACGCCTGGCCAAGGCAGATTCTCAAAGGAGGGGGGGAGACGTACAAACAGAAATGCGCCACAAACTCCAACATATTAAACGCCACCATCACGCGCAGCGCCCAGCTGGGGATCATCAGCTCCCCGCTGTACCACCGGCGCCGCTGGCGGAGCAGATCGCCCAGCGTGGAGGGGGCCTGCTCGCGCGCGATCGCGTTCAGCCACCCGAATTTGAAACCCTGCTTTGCGGCCTACCCTCCGTCAATTAGTCACTTGGTCTGTTGGGGTTCGTGCTGAGGGCGCACGCTTTACTCTCACACATCCAGATGACAACAGGGATTGGAGGCCATACGTAGTAAGCAAACCAATGATCCTCCGTCAAACAGTCCGTGTCCCAGGTGACCGCGTTCTCGACCGTGCCGTTTAGCAGTAGAAAGCTCCCGCGCATGAACCCGAGCAGCGGCTGCCGGAAAAACCGCACGGGGAGCTGGTACCGGCCGAAGTTCTCGGCGATGCGCAAGATCTCGGCGACGGTGGTGACGGGGTGTTTCCAGTGCGAGGAGGCGTTGTAGTAGATCGTTCCCTTTCGTTGGGTTAGCTATGCTCGAGCATAGGATAGGAGGATGGAAGGAAGGATAATAAAGAAGGAAGGGGGGTTGGTGCTAAAGGCATAGGTCAAGTGTGGCTTACCATCCCGATATCATCGCTCCCCCGCTCGATGAAATCCAAACACGCCTGCATGAGGTAGTCGTCGATCTCCGTCTCCTCGTCCAGGTGCAGCACCCAGTCCCGGTCGGTGAGGCTGCTGTGGCGCCGGTACCACTCCAACACCCGGGCCTTGTGGGTGGCGCGCGCGGCCTGGAAGGCGGGCGGGCATTGTAGCTGCTCGACCCAGTTGGGGAGGAGGGTGGTGAAGGGGTTGTGGGCTGAGTCGACGACGACGACGAAGCTGATGCGGAAGACTTGGCTGAGGGGTTTCCAGAGTTCGACGGTGTTGAGGACGGTCTTTTTGTTTCGGTTAGTAATGGGGACAGGATGTTGCAGAGGTTGAGAGGGGAATAGCACTTCCCTGAATGTTGGTCGCTTTCGTGACAAGAACGACGCGCAGGCTGCGGAATGATCGTTGTTTCGGGGCCTGGGCGTATGAGAACGGACGGATGGGGAAGCACATCCCCCAGAGGATGTAGTAGGGGGGGAACTGGGCGAGGAGGAACGGGGTGATGATGAGGGTAATGATCGTGCAGTCGCGTGTCCAGAGCACCCCCGGTTGCACGATCGCCTCAGGAACTCCGGCCCACACCATCAGAGAATATACTCCTATAGCGGAGCCAGTAAGCATGGAGTAATCACAGAGAGCATTTGGATGTACCTAGGAACGACAAAAAGGCCGTGCACGGGAAGATCGCCCAGTTGTAGTTCAGGATCTGGAAGAGCTTCCGCGAGCGTCGGTCGAGTAAGGGTTTCCGTTCCAGATCGACTCCATCTTGAGAACGCATGCTGGAACCCTTTCAAGACAGGGCGGAGCAGGGCAGAGGGGTGTAGTCAGAGGTTTCAGCCTGTCGCGTAACCACGACGGAAATGTATTGAGCCCGTGACTAAATCCCAGCAGAGTGGATGTTGGAGTGAGACATGAACCACCGTGCTGGAACTTGGGAGACACGACTCATATATGTATGCAATTGGCAACCTTCCCACAAAGCATCAGCCCTGATGAATTAGGCCTGCAGAGATCCCTGCAAACCATCACTCCTGCCCCGAAAAAGCAATGCGAAGCTGACTGAGACTGCATCCGCGAGAACCACCGCTGGCAATGTTTGAACCCACTGTTCAGCTTTCAGCCCGCTTGCAAAACCATCATACTCAGCTTGTGGCCCACTGCGGCGATCAGAGTCATAAACGCGATCAATCGGCAAATGATTTGGGCACATTCACTGTCTTCATTGATGATCGTGTGAGATAAAGTCGACGTAGATCATCTCTCGAGTACAGGATACATGAACCATCTGCAGTACGACAGCAGCCAAGCAAGTTCCAGAGCTGAAAATTGTACAGCATCAAACATGCCGGTCGCACAGGATAAGCGACTGAGAAGCTGTGCAACGTCTTCCTTGGAAAGCCTTGATTTATCTGCAGTGTGACGTATAATGAGAACCAGAGGCTGGTCATACCGAGCACACATTCAACAAACGGGTCTTTTTTCTCCTCAGCAGAAAGAGAGATAGCTGCGCAGTTTGGCCTTCATGTTCACGGTCCTTACATTTGGTTGACGGGGCCGTATGTGGCGGTAGCACCGGCAATGTTGAGCAATGAGAATAGAAATGGCAATAAGGACTTATATACCCAGCCTCCCCAGCTGAGTCCGGGTGATCTAGCTCCCTAGCCCGGACCGTGCTTGCTGCCATCCTAGGCTGCGGCTGCAAAATAATTAAGTACAGCTCAACCAGCCTACTTCGTTAGGTTTATCATGGAAACACCTGGGCGTCACGCGCATAGTCAATTGGACTACCCACTAACTCTGGAATGTCGGAGATCCGGTTACAAGAAGATTCACAGGGATGATTCAGCCGGGGACGAACCATAGATTCATGCACCATGACACATGAGCGCAGCGGATTGAATAAATATCTGCAAGATTGGCTTTTCCATCACGCCAGAGGCACCCTTCGAATATGTACCAATATGTTGGCCCGAATTCGCAACGAGGTTGCGGCCGAAACACGATCAGCCCTCACAGGTAACTTCTCCCCTCCAGCAACCCCAACGCGCGCGAACACACCCAGTCCTGGGAGTTGTCAATGGCCCGCAGCTCCGCTACGAGGGACTCATCTCTCTCGAGGACTATGGAGCGGCGCTTCTCGACCCCATCCGCGCGGTATGTCAGGTGGGCCGTGACCTGGCAGCCCGTCGCGTCCGTGGAGAAGGTCACCCCGTCCGGCAAGGGGGCGGCGCTGCGCCACACCTGCACCAGGTACAGCTTGAGCGACTCATCGAGGACCTTGGCCTTCATGGTGGAGCTCATGAAGCCCTCCTCGGAGCTCCAGGAGCGCAGCAGGTCGCTGGCGAGGCAATAGAAGGTGTGGTCCGGGCAGACGTGGGCGGCGATGTACACGGCGGCGACGATGGTGCTGGTGGGCGCGAAGGCGGGGCGGCGGTCTGGGCCGTCGAACTTGCGCATGACGGTCTGCGCGGCGGCCAGCAGGCTCCGCCGCTCGCAGAGGTGCCGGTCGGGCATCGGCGGCTGCCGCTTGCTGTACGTCGCGGTCTTCAGCCCCAAGAGCAGCGCGAGGCAGGTGAGCCGCGTCAGCTCGACCTCGCGGAAGTCCTTGCGGCGCGCGGCGTCCCGACTCGCGGCCATGCCGGGGCAGGTGAAGGAGGTGGTTCCAAAGGTGCGAAGGCAGAAGTCGTCCAGCGCCTGCAGGTAGCGGGTCAGCAGGGCGATCAGCCGGTGCTGCTGGAAGTGGATCGTGGCGTAATTGCTCGCGATGTCGGCTTCGGACGCCGACATGCACGTCGCGATCAGCTCGAAGCTGGTGTGCTGGAGGGGCCGGAAGGCCCTGCGCGCGTAGGAGAGGCTCTGGAAGGGCTGGAGGTAGGCCTCGTAGGGACGGTCGTAGACGAACTCGCTGTCGAAACGCAGGGGCTCCTTCAGACCATAGTAGATCGACCCTTCCTGAAAGTTCATGAAGGACTCCACGACACACTCGTCCACTCCCCCGGAGCTGAGTTCCAACCCCGATGGGCCTCGCTCGATATTCATCGTATGCAAGATCTGCAGACCTCCTTGCAGGTGGCAGGTGGCCCCAGTGACGTTTCCACGCAATAACTCGCAGGTAATAAAAAGCAAACAGCAAACGAGTATAACTTCTTGAAGCTGCGGGTCGTGTGACGTGCGTCTCTTATGTATGAGGGCAAATGAACGTGAGGACTGTTCCAGCGCGAAGCCGTACCAGGTATTCCGCAGACGGTGCTGCTGTCCCGGTCTTGGAGTACGACCTGCCATCTCATTGGCCTGGTTCACTGCCCCGAGTGCAACGACCGCATGGTACACTGCAGGCTCGGTGCAGGACAACCGCAGAATCAGTTCCCGCCACAGAGGCGAGTCGAAGTAGCCCACGAGTTGCGGGACCGACCGGTGCTGGAAGAAGGAGAGACAGCGGCTCTCATCAGAGGTCACCTTCCACTGGAACTTGGCTGCGATGGCGGCGCGGATGGTGGCAGATGCGCCGTTAGGAGCTGACAATATGACGGGTTTGGTTGTAGTTCTCTTACGACCACCTCCTGGAGGAAGCCGTTGCATGTCATACGCGCAAGTGCGACCGGTGCTTGTGCAGTTGCTGCATTCACCAGGAGATTCATCGCATTTGACACGCCGAGCTCTGTGCATCAAGGTCTTTTAGTCAATCTCAGCCAGTCTGTCAACTCAAAGGTAGTTTACTCACCGACAGGTCCGACATCCGGTGCGGGATCTCTTCGAGAACGCCTTTTTCTGAGGTTTTGATAGGATCTTTGCCTCGACCTGTGCTTCCATCTTCGGAATTGAGATTTGACAAAGGAACGATTGATGGATGATTGCGCGAGAACTGGTTCTTTTGAATATGACGGCCTAGCAGTTGGCCTTCGATAGCAGCAAGCTGGCGTGACAGGGGTCTTTCCCCTCAGATCCAATCACCGTGATTGATCACGATTGGGCTCATAACCTGGGTTTTAGTGTCATGCACGCGAGGCGCCGTTGCTGGCTTCGATGCAGATCGTGCAGGCTGGAACATTTTGGCACTATCCGAAATCTGTAGGTCTAGAGAAGCCGTACAATGCTTTGAGCTTCCAGGAAGCCTTCACTTCAGTAAATGTTCAGGGACGGATCAAACGAGGATCTTGTGGGTTAAATAGAAGATACCTAAGTGAGGTGAGATGTCTTTGAACTGTGGAGGAAGGGAACCTTCAATGAGTGGAGACGGTTCACATCATCGGTGCATTAATCAGCAAAGTAAGTTATACCACGAATCAGAGCAGTAGAAAACCGCAAATGTAGACGAGGTAGCCAATGATAACGGGTAGGGTGGGGACTCAGGCCCTTTAGCTTCCAATTTCCGGTAGAAGCTGTACTTTTACTGAATATCAACAGCTATAAGTAGCCTGTATAAAACCTAAAAGCTTAATTCTAGGAAAACAAGCTCTATAGATAGTGAGACCTGCAATACAGCAGGTCCCCTTGATAGGGCCCAGGTTCCCGCTTATTTCGGAGGTCCTCCATCTTTGTACCCAGTACGGGTATTAAGTCTGCTGCCTGTAGGATACATGCCTGGCCGAAGAAGTTACTAGATACTTGCATAACGGGGGTCCTGAGCCTATCGCAGAGAATGTAAAAATTAGCATTATTGATCCAGCTTTTAGTAGAGCTAGTATTGGCCTCATACCAATAGTATTACCCCTTTGGTATATAATCCATTTCTGATATCTATCTTATACTTTTAAATAATACTTGCTTCTAGGATCATACTAGAGATAGACTGTGTTATACTAAAGCATTTCAACAGCTTCAATAAAATCTAGAATCCATGCTTCTTCTCCTTACACCGGACATAATTGATAGTAACAGGACCTTGTCACCAGCTTATCAATAGCCGGAGGGCGCTTCAGTATCAAGTGCCAAAGTATAACTTGACTCTTCCTGCCTTTATTTTGACACCCTGTCGGACTCTTTAGCCAGTCAGGCATCTAAGGCACCCATGGAGTATTTAAGTAATTACTTCAGAGTGAAGGCCCTTCAGGTCTTCTTCTTCTCTTTTCTCCTTAAAGAATGGAATTCTTGCCTGGCTTAGTTCATCTACTTTCGTAGTCTCACACACCCAGTGTCTCTGTGCTCCATTTGATATGGTAACCCTATCTATCTATAGTATTTCACGCATGCAAAGCACAATGGTCGAGGGTTAGCGGGGGCATGCCCGATATTCAAGAGTACCAGCAATCCACATTTTTTGTCGGAACGCGTCAATCCACGTGTCCGCGGTGCCCGTGAGCAGCCGTCAGGGCGATAGGTATCGCTACAATCTACTCGACCTGCAGTTCACCGAAGAACGGCGCCAGAGCAAAAAAGTTGAGCCACCATCGTTTGCTAGCTGCCTCGCGGCCACAAACGACACATCTATTCCCCGATTAGGGCACCGAAATGACACCAAACGTTGTCCTATACCCCCAACAAAATAAAAACTAGAGCTTCTATACCCACGAACGACGCTTACGAACCCGATCGAATCCTTGCTCCACGCGAACCCAGGCGACCCTAATCGAATCCTTATTTCACGCGAACCTAGGCGACCGCTAGAGTAGACGCGACCATTAAGACGCCGACAAAGACGGTTATATCTAAGTAGCTGCGCGAGGTGGTCTCACCGTTAGCTGTGCGCACCAAAAGCCCCGGCACGGGGGTGTCCACCAGCCCGGCGGCGCCCTAAATGGCTGCTCTAAGATGTCGAACGCAGTATTCAACACGATTAGATTGCCTATGCGCTAATAAAATAGCTGAATATACAAAGAGCAGACACTGCAGATACTGATAGGAAAGCACAAAGAAGAATGTTAAGTACAATTGATAAAAAAACTCACACAGATGGACGGTTAGAAGTGGACAAAGGCCCGGTAGCAGACCATAGGCAACATAGTTCAAACCCAAAATGAAAGATAACAAATTTACATAATTAACTAACCGCTGACGATGAATTCCTAATCCAACTTAGCTGAGTGACTTACCCGCACACCTCAAGAATATCAACAAAAAAAAGCCAACACAATGGTGAGACGCCAGCACAGTCGATCCGGGGTCACACATAGGGTGGTTCCAGGGTTGTGGCCGCGGGACTCCGAAAATAGTAGGGATTGACGTGGCGCGGGCCCAATGACGGCAGGTTGTGGATAAATATAGGGTCAGCGGGTGGGGCGCAGTAGTGAATGGTGGGGAGATCAAGTTTTATGGGGTGATCATCGCTGCAAGGGTAAGGGTATTTATTCCGCTATCTTTCTTCCCTGCCAGCTGATTTCATCTTTCCTTCTGTTACTTCTCCGTTAACTATATCTCCTAATCTGTTTTTCCGCAGACACGGTCGTTGATTTCCCCTACCTACTCTGCAGTAGTGGTGACAACAAATCAGTCGTTACAAACACACGCACTCGCTTACCTTACATTTCCAACACTTACACCAAAACCATAACAACACCTCCACCTGTATACAAACCGCAACGCGAAAATGTCCACCTCCACCGCAACCGCAACAGCCACCACCACCACCGGCTCCGCCGCGGCCGCTACCTGCTCGGGCAACCTCTACGTCCTCCCCGTCCAAGACGCCGCCTGCGCCCTCCCCAACTCCGGCAACTTTTCCTCCGTCATGGACAAATGCTGCTCCCCCGCGACCGTCACCAAATACGACAACGACTGCGGCCTGTACTGCCTGGCGCAGGACCAGACCGTCAAGACCCTGCTGGCGTGTCTCCAGGACAACGGCGCCGTGACCGAGGCCTTCTGCAGCGGGAACCTCACAGCCAGCGCAACGGCCAAGGTGTCGTCCACCGAGACCGGCAAAGCGGGGAAGACGGGCACCAGCACGGGCAGCGCGGCGAGTAGCACGAGTACCTCCGATAAGAGTGCGGCGGTGGTCGGGCACAAGGTTTCGATGGGTGGGTGGGTCGTGCTGGGGATGGTGGTTTCTTCGTGCTTGTTTGGGGTTATGGGTTAGCTTTCTATGGTGATGGGTGATGCAGATGGGATCATGGGAATGTGAATCGGGTTTGGGAGTCGGTTGATAATAATAGGCGCCATGGGGAGGTGTCTGGCTGGGGGAGAACCCCCAGACCCCCCTTTCTTTCAGCTTCCCGGCAACCTCAACCTCAACCCCAAGTGCTAGTTATGATAATATGGCGGGCTGTATTATAGGTTAGTATTAATCAATCTCTATTGTTCTAATGTGCACGAACAGTCATTTTATTATATTATACGGAGTATCTCACAAACTACACTCTCCACCCCTTATTACTGCCCCTCATCTCCCACCTTACCCAGAAACACGCCCCGGCCGCAGCCATCAGCAACGCACCCACCGTCCCCGCCGCCCGTCGATACGTCCCAGCGTCGAACAGCGCCGTGCGCTCGGGGATCAACAGCCCCACCAACGGGGTGCCCACCAACGCCCCCATCCCCCGGATCAGATACAGCACTCCGTTCACGCTCGTAAACTTGTCCACCCCGAACACCTCCACCAATGAGGCCGGGAACAGCGAGATGTACGCGCTCGCAAACGCCCCGTAAAGCACCGTGAACACGACGAAGCAGCCGCGTGCAGCTGCTTGAGAGACTCCGTCATCTGGGGAAAATGTGGCAGGTAGCCAGAAGGCGAAGACTGCCACGGCGCTGACGAGCGTGGTCGCGGCGAGAGCGTTGATGCGCCCGAACTTATCGGCGAGGTAGCCCAGCACGATCCGCGAGACGAAGTTTGAGGCGTTGCTCACCGTCAGGAAGGTGGAGGCCGTGGTGGTGCTGTAGCCCAGGGTCTGGGCGAAGGCAACGTAGAAGAAGAGCGGGGTCGTGTACCCGGCGGATTGCAGGAAGCAGCCGGATGCTTGGGCGAGGAAACGTGCAGAGAATGCGGTGGTGCGGTCGACGAGGGGGACGGTAAGGAGCTGCTTCCACTGGGATTGTGGCTGCTGTTGTTGCGCCTGCTGTCGGGCATTCAAGTTGGCGTGGAATCGCGGTTCCCAGCGAAGAACGGCGCCAGCGCCCGTTACGATCGTCGTGGCGATACAGCCAGATACCCGAAGGGCATTGCGGAACCCGATATGCGAGATCATCGCCCGCAGGACGGGCGGCCACATCATGCCGCCGATGCCGGTACCAGAGATAATTACCCCCATGGCCAGGCCGCGGCGGGCGCTGAACCAGGTCGGGGCCACGGACATGGTGGGCACGTAGGCGAGGCAGCATCCAACCCCAAGTAGAAGACCCTGCGTTAGGGCAAAATGCCACAGTGCCCGGCTGAAGCTGGCCAGGATGTAGGCGACTCCAAACACCCAGCCGCCGGCAATGATGACGGCTTGCGGCGAGTATTTCTTCGACCAGGCGGTGGCGTAGGGTCCGGCCATGGACATGAGCGCGATGGCCAGAGTGCCGATGAGGTCGATGAGCGCCGTCGAAGCTCCTGTGAAGGGGGTGTTGGGCTCCGCTGCCATCTCCTCGTACAGGGCTTGGTAGACTCCGAAGGCGAAGACGAAGGAGCAGGTGGTCATCATGATGAGGCAGCCGGCTGCCACGATAGCGACGTAGTGCCTGGCCTGTCAGAAGGGTAGACTTGGAACGAAGTAATCGGCTCACCATTTCGGATACGTAGGCTCTGTGGCCGATTCATTTTTAGGTGGCTGCGTGCTGCTGGGCTCAATCTGCGGCGACTGCGAGATTGGTTCGCTCTTGACCGCCACCGACTCAGTGGTCAGCGTTATGTCTTCTTTTGACTCCGCCATAATTGACCCCGCCAGAGACACCAGGGTTGAACCAGACCAAGCAGGGGATAAGCCTTTTAGGGCGATCTGATAAGGGGGTCACGGCCATTCCACTGCCGAGTTGGGTGCCGCGGCTGAAAATTTACCCGCCACATTCGGCAGCCCCAGCATTCCATCTCCCGGTCTCATCTGGGGATTGGTAACAGGCCCTACAGGGTCTCCAGGTGGAGATTGCCCCTGTCTCCTACAACCCTGAAAGAACGTGCGTGTGATGGAGGTTCGGCTAGTACCGCGCCACCTGAACCGAGTCGGTAGTGAGGCTGCCGACTCGACCGCCAATGTTTTAGTATCCCATCAGAAAAGCCAGCAGAGCGGGCGGCGGATGCATTGATCGCGGAGTCTGGATGCCGTCCGCCTACTAGTCGGATGATCTTGTCGTCTTCCAGTGCTGCAAGTTGATAGAGGAGATCTAGAACTCATCCAGAGCTGTGCTTAAGCTGGAATGGGTATGGAACTGCATGATTGCACTGGGATGGTGAAAAAAGAGAAAGTAAAGAAGATGGGAAAGAGAAACAGAAAGAATCACCAAAGAATAAGGGAAAAAAATAATGAAGGGATGGTGGTTTGTTTAGTTTGATGGGGGTTGGGTAATGTCGGCGTTCCTGGGGGTAATCCAGGCCACGTGACCAAGCGATGCACCAAGCGAGTTGCCCACTTTCAGAGCTTAGCTAGTCCATCAAACAACCAACCACCAAGGAATTAAGAAATTGTTTCATATGGCCCATTCTAGAGCTTTACAAAACTGCTTACAGGCAATATAGATCAAAAGAAGCAACACGAGCGGTCAACTGGGCGGTCTTGAACACATTTATACACATTGCATTGACAGTAATAGTGAACACGGAAGTAAACGAATGACACAGAACTCCAGCATTCTACTGTCCTAGTATCGTCTGACATCAAGAATGAAGAGTGTGAGGTCCCAATCATCCAGCCGGGGCGTGGCGCAGTCAACGCTTCCTCGAAGCTCAGCCATCTGATTGGTTGCTTATATGTGTGTCTTGGCTAGCATGATCCCTGTTGTGGCTGAGACTACCGCTAGCCTAGGGGCATGGTGCGTCAGACGGGTTTTGAGCTGAGAAAGTGCATTTTGCTTGTCTTAAAACCAGATCTGGCCCCTATTTCCTACATTTCGACTAAACATTTCCCTAGACTACGTGGTGCAGGTCGCAAGACGGAGAATTCGAGAGCTGTCGAGGATAGTACTGATGGCTTTGCCGCGATCAGCAAGCAAGCGTCTGCTGCCTGACGATGACGATGATAACGATGGGAGCAGCATAAGTAGCAAGCGAGCTTGCTCTGAGACGCCCGCGGAGAGTCTCACCCATGCTATCACTACTCCAAATGGCGACTGGTTCGGGGGTCAGCCGTTTGGCGACCTTCCAGACCCTTTCGGCCGTAACGTGGGCGGCTCGATTTGGCCACAGCAGGGTTGTCCGGAGATACGGGTGGAGGATCCATATGGGGTACTTATCCGGGACTCCGGCTTGGTGTCTGATCCGTTGCGCGGGCTGGACATCGATATGTCGGACAGCGATTGGAGTGTACGGCTAGGGTATAATATGGGCTCTGATGTGCAAGACCGCGATGGCGCCCTTGATGCGCCACATTTACAGGACTTGGGTCAGACTGGTAAGACTCTCGAGTGAGAGAAACGAATGGCCTCTAGCACTTCTTGCGCTCAGGCTAACATCATATCGGTTGGTTAGGGCAAAAAGGCGCTCCTTACCCAATAACGGACATGTGGTTGGCCCACCAGGTGCCGGGGTGCGAACAAGGCCCAGCAGATTTTCAGAGTTTTAGTCCTGATCTGGAATTTACGAGAGCTCCTGACGTTCTGGATCTATCGATTGAACCTGACTTTGGCTGGAACGCACTTGAAATGGAGTTATCCGGTACCAGTCCTAGCACAAATGAGCTTCAACCCAAGATCATGGACAAGTCAAAGAAACCAACGAGCGATTCAGACGAGGAACAGTACCGGCCGCGCCTTGATAAATGTCAAAGCGAGCCTGTAACAAGCGTTGAATCAACGGACGCAGTGACATGGGACACTTGCTTTGGAGAGGTACTGTACATACATAAACACGCCTCCTGTCTCCATCTACTTCCTGTCGCAAGCTGACCGTTCACAAGCTCGCCCTCGAAGCCACCTCCACATTCAAGGACGATGGAAAGACAAAAAGTCGAAACCGAAAGTCAGCCCGGGTCGATCTAACAACCCTTGGCGGAGTCGTCAAATTGTCCTTCACGGACACGAAGAAGTATGCAGGCATCGTCGCTATGCCTGCGCTAGTGGACCTGCTGAAACAACATCGTGTCAAGTTGGTCGGAACACTGTTCGCCGCTCCACTCGGTAAGGATGCTGGGACTGGGGAGTGTCAGAAGCCAGAGCTGAGAGTTATCGTCTACGGAAGTATCAATGACAAAGACACGGTCGGGACTTGCTTATCGGACGCAGGAATGTACCTGCAACATCCCACAAGCGTGGAGTATGACCCCAGATTCCCATATGTGAACCCACAGTATCTTGTGCGACCTGGGGGTGAAATGCCTCGAATTGATGAACTCAGGATTTCCGACGATGAGCAGGGCTCGCAAGTTTCAGAGAGGTTAAATGAAGGGGTCAAGAGTGAGCTCCTCCGGATCTTCGACACGGTTAACACCTATGAGGGGTCCTATGAAGCCTGCTCCAGTCCAAGGTTGGCATCGAGGTTGAAACCGTAAGTGAGATATTCGTGTAGGGAGTCGAATTAAACGCTGATATTTAGATGCAGTCACCAGGAAGTGGCATTGGCGATGATGATCGAAAGGGAATCTGGACAAATTGATGGTCTGAAATTTCCATCCATCTGGGAAGCGCTCGGGAACCACAGGTACAATATTAGCAGCACTAGGCGATTAGCACTGTTGATAGCCGCTGACTGGTGGCAGGTACCGGCATAGAATCACAGGGGCCATCGACACAGACCCTAGACCGATGCGCGGCGGAATCCTCGCGGATGTGAGTTCTTAGCCTTTACCCTGAAATGGGACTGTGTCTAACCTTTGTGCAGGACATGGGCTTGGGCAAAACACTTAGCCTTCTAGCACTACTCTGCTGCTCCCTGGATGCCATAGATTGTCTACAGTCACCTCTAGACAGCCCTTGGGCGACTCTAATCGTCACACCGAAGAGCAGTAAGTTGAAATACTTTATGGCTTACAATGAGTCGGAGCTGACACACAAAGCTATTCCGGGATGGGAGAAACAGATTGGAACGTAGGCGTTTTCTTGACATGTTGTCATTTCGCAGCTGACCTTGGCCCCAGACACATCAAACATAATCAACTTCGGTACTTCATATACCATGGCGCAAATCGAGGCAAAGCTAAACCTTCCCTGGTACGCGAGTACGATATTGTCATTACAACATATGAAACCATACGCCAGGATTGGCGGACAAAGGATGGTTTAAGCACAGAGACTTGGTATCGTATAGTTCTAGATGAAGGTATGCTTATGATAAAGAGACTGAGATGAAGTTATGATATAGGGCTGGTTGTGATCTGACTTCAGCCTAGCACATCGTATCCGGAGCCGGTCCTCACAGGTGTTCAAGGCCGTGAGCTCCCTGAAAGCGCACGTCCGATGGTGTCTCACCGGCACGCCAATCCAAAACTCCATTGACGACTATGGTGCCCTCTTGAGCTTCATACAAATGCCGGTCCTGGAGAACAAGTCCGCATTTGATTATTGGCTTGCATCGCCGGTGAAGCGTCAGCAAAAGGGCTATATCCAGACACTCCGGGCGCTCGTCGCTGCCACAGCTCTCCGGCGGACCAAGAAGACGCTTGATTCCGCCCTTCAGCTGCCGAAAAAGGTTGAAAGAACCGAATTGGTTCACTTGACGGCCGCAGATCGGGAGATATATGACTATTTCAAAGCGAGAGCATCCAAGACGGCAGCAGAGCTCTCTGGTGAGCCTCAGGATTCTGGAAAACAGGCCAGTGCAGATACGACCCTCGCATTGATTAACATGCTGCGGCTAATATGCGATTACGGTGAGCGCTTGCTACCTAAATCCGCGCTCGAGCTATGGCGCAACCGAGACAGACATGATGATGTCATTGCCGCACCTTGGGAAAGTGTAGGCAGCTGCTTGAATGAGGAAGACTTTGTCCCCGACAATCGAAGCACACCGGCTCGTAAAGCTGCTGGTGGCAGTGCCAAGCCTGGGGACGTGTATGATGCTATCGAACGTGCAACTTATTCTCCTGATGAAATGACAATGGAGGGATGTCAAGAGCCTTGTTTGGGCTTATCTCCAAAGATGATAGCATTATTGAAAAACTTGGAAAGGGAGCAACGAGGCACATCACAATCGGCTCTTAGGCCTGCAAAAAGGTAGGCTGCGAAAATACCGCGCTTATGATCGAAGAGTGCAAGTCGACTAAATGATTAGCAGTGTAATTTTCAGTCAGTGGACCAAGATGCTAGATCTGATAGCTACGGTTCTTCACTCCAATAATTACAACTACGTTCGTCTCGATGGAGGGTCGACTTTAACAGATCGCCGGCTAGCGCTTGAGCGACTCACAAGGGACGAGAGCTGCACGGTGATGCTGGCCAGTATTGGCAGTGCCGGAGAAGGGTGAAGAAACATGTATACAATTTCCATGCTTGTTCGGCTGACGGAGGATTCACAGCATCGACCTCACCGCGGCCAACTCCGTCCACATTATGGAGCCTCATTGGAACCCAATGCTAGAGGCACAGGCAGTTGACAGAGTTCATCGAATAGGCCAGTCTTGCGAAGTTTCGGTTATAAGATATCTCGTTGCCAATTCCATTGAGGAAGTATGTGCGAGACTTACCTTTCCATGAAATTGTCATACTGACGGGATTGTAGTACGTTCGTTGGGTTCAAGAAGACAAGATAGCAATCATTCAGCAGTCGTTGGCTTCCGTTCCAACGTCACAGGCAGATCTTGACCATAGGCGATGGAAGGTATGTAGAAGTCTTATCAGAAACGCTTCTTGAATAGAATATAACTAAATATATTCCAGAAACTACAGGTTCTTCTGGGTATGGCACAATGAGCAGATTTGATGGGCAATTGATTAGCATATTGTTGGATTAGAAACTTCTCTTTCTCTCAGTTCTTCGGTCCTGTCTGGTTGATCGATATAATCATAATCGAAGACCTGCAAGTGAATGCATTTCAAGTTTTCGTACCATTCATGTCTATTTCATGTTTCAAAATTAGGGTTTACGTGAATATTTTTCACGTATGAGATACAAAGTCACTCGTCATTGGCTAGTTCTGGTTGTGGCATAATCAAGAGGTAGTTGCATTTCAATCTGCATGGGCCCTAGCCTGATCTATCAAGTCGTCCCATGAAACTCCAAGCCAACGAGATATCCTCTTCGCCCCAATCTGGTCAGATATTTTTATTCCGAGGACCGAAGTGTGCTGTGGGTTGGCGCCATGAAATAGAAGGAATTTGGCGAATTCAGCATTCTGAGCTGTAGATTTGCGTGTTGCATGTTCGAGTGCCGAAGGCCTGCCTTTGACAATCTCATTGACGCTAGCTCCATGTTGAATCAGGGTTTGCCCAAGTCTTAGAGAGCAACTTGTCTTTGCAACGTTCTTTAACGCCCTTGAAATAGCAACTGGTTTGATGTTCAGCCAAACCGTATCCCACAGTGAGACTAAAAAGTCCTCTCTGCCCGGTTTGCTTGCTGTAGCACCGATCACATATTTGTTCGTGACTGCGTCAAACAGCATGTAAGGTTCTTGTCCTTCCACATCTCGAATCATTGCAAACCATCTGCGGCCAAAGTCGTGCATCTCTGCCGAATCGCACCGGGCGAAATGTCTGCAAACATATGCTACATATCCAGGCCATTTGTCTATTGCTTTTGCATCAATAAGCCAGTTGAGAAGGTCAGTATTCGAGGCCTGTATAGCTCCTGAATAGGTTGGTAACAATTCGGCAAATTGCAAAAGTACCCCAACAGTTGAGGTAGACCCAAACCTTCCCAGTATCCTTCCCAGACTATAAGAATCGTCGCTTCTATGTCCAAATATCGCCTTCAATTTAGTAAGGGGAAGGGAATTGATAGCCTCAACATCGTTAGACCTGATTAGATCTAGGATGAACTCTACCTCGTCCTCGGGTGACATATGGCTGTCGTGAAGAATGTCATTAGAATCATATGGCTTTCGGTGAGCTTTGATTGCATGCTGGTCTCTCATATTCACAGACAAGAATCCAGTTCTTTCATACTCACAACCTGAAACAGAACATTTCCAAACGCGAGTATGTTCGGCTTCATGTCGCTTTTGTATTGCTATGGACTCAAACCCACGCCGCTGGAAAGGGCAATTCAAATACCCGCATTTGTAGGGCTGTAAACCGATTACACGGTCGAGAAGGCCGCATTGGCATCCGGGAGTGTGGGAGCCGGAAGCGCACTGCAATTTTTCGATGCCTTGGTAAAGTCGAATTGACACTTGGGATGATACTAGTGGATCAAAATCAATCCATTTCGTTTCTAGACACATTATTGTCCGCACATCGGCCCAACAGCTGTGCGATAAGGGGCATACCTTCATTGAGATGATATGATTCTTGTGAGCACATATGACGGAATCGATAGATGTTGTAAAGAAACTGATAAAGCTCTGGGTGATCTGCTCGAAAGGCGTGCAGAAATGAAGCTGTTACAATGCGTCCGTCATCCGTCGCGAGCGCGAATTGATCATTCCTGAGCGTAGCCATGAACATGTTGAGGCAATTCAAAAGGCTCAGGGGAGTCTTTACACCCTTCAACAAGCGTAGGTAGATCTGAAGGACTTCAAAACATCTCTCCTGCGCATAATAATGCAGCCTATAACTACCTTCAAAGAGATGCTGAGTGAATTGATCGTCATCGCTGACGACATCAGGATTGTGAAATCCCTGACAGAAATATGTAATGCAGGTTGTTGCTAAGTCGAGAGTTCCATCGATCAAACTGATATGGCCGGTTACGGCTGTACTAAAGAAGTATCTGAGTTGGTTAGCTATGTGTTTAGAGCAATCATTGCAATGTGCTTACTCTTTGACCGTAAAGTGGACGAACTGGACGTCCTCGCCAGCAACCTCAACTATTGGTCCACATAGCTTGTTGAGATCTGGAGCTGCGCTCAATTTTCTTCCTGCATTGAAATTGCCGGGCTGAATACTCAAGGCTTGCTCCATCTCCCGCAAAGTCAATGGCGTGGGTGAGCAGCCCACCCAGGCTAGTATCCTTCTGGCTTTCGCCTTTACAGATGGCGGTCGCAGATTATTAATCCGAAGTAGGATTCGCGCATATCTATTCGTTTGCATGTGAGCTTTATGAATTGGCTCTTAGCCGCTTTCAATACGAGACTCACGCGCTGTCCAGATCTTCTGGTAAGAGGCTCAACTCCTCACAAATCTCCGCGACATCGTCTAGCAGCTCGATACTGCTCAAGACAACCTTAGCATATAAGAACATCCCTAACCTCCGGTCAACCAAACTTCAATAAGCTATGATATTTCAGGTCGAACTTTTGGCTTACCATTGGCTTTTGAAGCTAGCGGCTCCATGGATTGGCGAATTTGCGTCTGGACGTCGGGTGGAAACTCACGACTTTCAAACATCTGTCGCAGCTGCTGACTTACAAATGCCTGAATGCCTTCCTCGTTTCTTTTGTCAATTCGAATTGACTCCGAGATCTTTTCCAGAATGGCAGCAATGTCGCTCTCTCGCCGACTGCTGATAAAAACCCGCATTTCGAGGCACGTTTCGGACAGGAGCAGAAGCTGCTTGAGGAGAATACCACGCTCAAGCTCTTCTATCTCATCCACACCATCGACAACTAGAAATGCGGGACCTGCACAATTCAGTAGGTCTCTGAGAAGCTCGACGGCAACGGCAACATCGCTCCGGATGCGGTCGTGGGTGGAATGGCAGAGCACATCCTGCATATCCTCATTTCGCCCAGCGAGCTGGAATATCAAAGAGTGCAGCACGCTTAGAGCTGAAGTACTGCTACTGTATGTGTGACTCAGGAAAGCGAAGGCCGTGTGGGTTACTGTGCGCGCCTTGTCTACTACTAAGCTGGCAAGGAATGTTTTGCCTTCACAATATCTCTGGATGTCAGTCTCTTCCGCTGGCAATGGGTCCTTCAAAGTTCACATACCGGCGCCTGGAATGCCTTGAAGCCAGAGAACGGGCGGCGTCTTAGCAGAGAAATCCAACCAGTGGGTGAAAGCCTTGTCCCTAAACAGCCATGCGCCTGATCCGTCACAAATGCGACCATGACACCAGTTCAGCTTGTCATCGTACATTCTCGGGTTAACATCAGTCTTGATCACATGAAACTGCTGTAGTCGTTGAGCACGTTCCTCGGCTTTGAAATGCTCCAACGCCTTCAATCGAGCCTCGTGTTCCTCGCGAATGTGCTCTAGGCGTACTTCATTCCGCATGAGCAGAGAGTGTCTTTCGATATGAGTCTTGACCAGGTTGATGCGATCCCTTTTGTGGGGCCAGACAGACTCGAAGAAGTATTTCCAACCTATGCCCGGAATCAGCGTCACATTTGGGTTCAGGTCTCGAAGCCTTTTACCGTCTATACATACGCGACATGGTGAAGAATTTCAACCCCACCTGGTAAAAGTCCAGGATATCCTTGAAGAACAGCACCATCAGATCATAGATACGACTGTTCTGCGCAAACAAGACCGCGCAATCCTTGAACTCCGGCAGCAAGGCCCCGATATCGCCCGTAGTCTGAAGGATTGCATCAAAGGACTGAGCCAGAATGCTACTCCACTGGAGCAGCAGCTTGATCGGACCCCAGATAAGGGCCATGACCTCCGGTTTGATCTGGACAAAGTTTTCAATCACTGCTACGTAGTCGCGGAGACGGTTCAGGTAAGGCTCGATCTTGGCCAGGTGTCGTAGGTGCCCCTTTTTGCCTTGTTCGGCCTGGAGCTGATCGGTGAGGTCGTAGACTTTGTCGATGGAGGTAACGGAGAGGATCTTCTGGTAGACTGTATCGTTGTTGAGGTTCGCTTTGAATTCCTGAATCGCGGCATCAAAGGCATTCTGGATGAGACTATGTGTAGCAGACATGCTCGAACCCCTCTTGCTATGTTGTTTGCTGTTAGTAGTTCTTTGGGAAGAATTTGTGAAACTCTGGTTCAGTATTCATGATTAGGCGCCAAAGGCTGGTCGAGGCTGGCGTTGTGGCTGTGTTGGATTGTTGGGTAATGATCCCTGTCCCTTTGCTCCAATCATGAGTCAGCCCAAAAGCTCCGGACACGCCCCTGTCGAGTCTTGTTTGCAATTACATTTCATTTATTTCTTTTGCTTTCTTTTCTACCCCTTCCCCCC